ACCCCAACCCCAACCCCAACCCCAACCCCAACCCCAACCCCAACCCCAACCCCAACCCCAATAATAATTTAAAGAAATTTATTTTACTAGCTTTTTTTATATATCCAAAGTTCAATAATAAATATGTTATAAAAAAGTTATATTTTTATTTTAATTCTTTTATCACTCTAATATTGATCACTCACTATATTACTTTTTATCTTATAAACTAAATTAATTGCATAAAATGTCTTTCATTTTTATCAAATTTAGTTTATTTATTAAGATTGGTTTTTGTATAAAAATTCATTAAAATTTATTTATTTTTTATGTTTTTAATTTGCTTTTTTGTTTACAAAGTTTTTGTTATAATAATTATTTTGAATAAGTTTAGCTTATTTTAATATTTAAAAATTAGTATCGTTCTTTGAATTTATTTTTGTGATACTATCAATCAATCATCATAAATTAATAATACACCCATATTATTCAATTTATTTAAAAGCTAGGGTGTTATTTTAAAATTATTTCAAATTTAATAGAAAAAAAATATTATTTGTAAAAAGAATTTTTTTAAAATTTTTACATTCAAAATTTGAGAAAAGGCTTTCATTGCTAAAAAAAATTTTTCAAAATTTAATAAAAACAGATTGATAACAAAAATTAAAAATAGAAACAGTAAAATTAGCTTAAAATCATAAAAATTAAATGAAATATCACCATCTGTACCTTCACAGTTTGTGATATTTTAATTACAGGATTAGCAATATTTCAATTTATAAAAAGTATTTTTTCTTAAAAAAAATAAGTAGAACTAAATATTTTTTAAATAAAAAATTAAACATATATAACATTATTATCATTTAAAGTATGAACAAATTGATTGGTGATTGGTTGAGATTTTATGGATAAAGAAATACTCAACAAAATATATAATAGCATTTAATTACTAAAAGTGAATAAATTTTTTTATAAAATATTAGAATTTATTAATTTTTTATCAGTTTTGACTTCAGAGTCTGGGTTCATCTAATTAGTAGTAGACAGCCTTGACTTAAGTGTATTCAAGGATGGCTTCTTCACCATTATCACGTCCGAAACCAGATTCCTTGTAGCCACCGAAAGGAATGAAAGACTAGGGAATGCAATAAGTGTTAACGAAAATAGTACCAGCTTGGAGTTCTCTTACTAATTTATCAGAAAGGGACATATTCTTGGTAACGACTACACCAGCCAAACCGTACTTGGTGTTGTTAGCTCTTTCGATAACTTCTTCAATAGTCTTCCAAGGCTTGAGAATACAGAGGACGGGTCCAAAGATTTCTTCTTAGGCGAGCTTGGAGTTGTCATCAACATTAATGTAAACGGTAGGCTTAATGAAATAACCCTTGGTTCCCCATCTTTCACCACCCATAATGCATTCAAGCTTTTCAACATTCTTAGCATGATCTAAGTAACCAAGAATCTTGTTCATCTAGGTTTGGTTAACTTGAGGACCGTGGTTAGCACCAGTGAAGGCACATCCAATAGTGACTTTGCTTTCAATGGCTTTTAATCTCTTAACGAATTCTTCATAGATGCTTTCATGAACGAAGACACGAGATCCAGCAATACAGCATTATCCCATATTGTACATAATAGCATTCCAAGCAAGGTTAACAGCCATATCTAAATCACCATCAGGGCAGACAACGACAGGAGTCTTACCACCCAATTCAAGGGTAACCTTCTTTAAGTTAGTTTGGGAGGAGGCTTCCATAATTTTTCTTCCTACAACAGTAGAACCAGTGAAAGAAATCTTGGATACTCTGTGGCTTCTAGCAAGAGTTTCACCAGCAATGGGACCATAACCAGGGACACAGTTGTAAACACCAGGAGGGAAACCAGCTTCCTTGAATAATCTGCATAACCATAAGATGGTCAAGGGAGTTTCTTCAGAGGGTTTGTGGACAACACAGTTACCAGCAGCTAAGGCAGGGGCAAACTTCCATTCACACATAAGTAATGGGAAGTTCCAAGGAGAAATCAAACCAACAACACCGAAAGGTTCTCTACGAGTGTAGAACAAAGTTTCAGTTTAGCTTGCATAAGTCTTACCAGTGACCTTATCAGCCCAACCAGCAAAGTATCTAAAATATTTAAAGAAATAATTAATATTAATTTGAATTTTTTTATATCTAACTAATAATTTTTTTGATTTAACTTAATAAAAATTTTGCTTAAAGTATAATTAATACTATTGACTATATATATAGTCATTAATATATCATTATATCTTATTTCTATTTATTTTTTTTTGTGAATCTAAGTTGATTTTTATATTGTTTTTCTGAAAAATATCAACCAAAACCTATGATAGAAATTGAAGATTTAAAAGCTAAATAGAATTCTACCTTAAATTGTTGATGACTTCACGGATATCAGCTTCAGAACCTTCAATGGGTTTACCATTATCAAGAGATTCTAATGAGACAAGAGTGCCAAAGTCTCTTTCGATAAGTTCAGCTAACTTGTAGAGAAGCATTGATCTTTCTCTTAAAGTAGTAGAGTGCCACTTGGGGTAAGCAGCTTTAGCAGCATCGATAGCTAATTCAACATCTATTATATAATATGGCAATAAATAAGGATTTTAAATCAAAAATAGGATTAATTTTTAAATGCCATCAAATAATATCTCTTAAAGAATTATTTTTAGCAGTAATAAGTGTGAAAATGCTATAAATTCAAATAGAATACCTCTTTCAGTTGCTTCAGCAATGTCAGTGATCTTTTCTTCAGTAGCGGGATTGATAACGGGGATAGTGGTTTTCTTGACACCATCAACGAATTCGTTGTTAATGAAGAGCTTGTTTTAGAAAACAGTGGGCTTGGTGTATGTGGTAGACATTCTATTAATTTTTTTACTATTTTTTTTTTTTTTTAGATTTTTAATTATGATTTAATTATTAATTATTTTTTGGTTGTTGTTTTCAACAGTATTTAAAATAAAAGGATGCTATTGTTTTTATGTTTGAACATTCCAATCAAAGATCAGAAAATACCCCACAATTAACTAATTGTAAGATATAAAAAAAATAAGAAAGATATTGGGATTCAGTCGTGTGAAAATTTTAATTTTATTTGCTTTCCACAAATTATTATAATTAATTTTTTTCAAATGACGTAATTTTTACATTTATTAGATAGAGGTGATGCTTTCAGATTTGTTCTTTTTAACAAAAGAAGAAGAAAAAAATATTCAAAAGTTTTAGTAATACCTTACATACAATTTTCTAGATTTTTTATTCTTTTTTCAAACTATTTTAGTTATTAACTACAACACTTCAAACAATTTGACTCAAATTTAGATAAATATTGACGTAAGATATTTAAATAACTTTTGATTAGTTAATTTGAATTTTAGTGAAATAGGTGTCTTCTTTATTAAGATAGATTTTAGAAGTTTATTTAGTGGTCTATTTTTGATATATTTGAACTGATTTTTTTCCAAAAAAAACAAACCAAAATTAATAGCATATAATATAACGTTAATGAAATTTTGTGGAAAATATGAATTAAAAGGATATAAAATGGTTAAATAAACAGAAAAATATTGAAAATAAATAAAATATTTTGAAAAAAAATGCAATCGTTTAAAAGGTGTAATTTATATAATAAAAATATTAAAATTTGGGAAAATCTAAATAAATAAATATCTTTAATCCAATAACTATTCTAAAAATAAACAACAAATCTTGCAAAGTGTATTTTTATCAATCAATCTTTAGTTAATTAAATTTCCTTTTAAGCATAAATGCATGATCGAAAATCAAATATGAATGAAGTCTATACAAGTAGAATGGCATTAGTATTATATTTTTACTATAATTTTAAGATGATAAAACCCTTAAGAAGCCTCTTTGTACTTTCAATTTAAGAATTTAAATAGTATTGATAACATTTTAATATTATTTTATCACATTTTGCATCATGTAAATGTTATAAATAGAATATAAAAGCATTCTCTTATCTGATAATATTGATTAATTAAAAGTATCTTATTAAAATCCGCACCATATTCTGCGATTATTTTAATGACGATCACGATGACAATGCTTAATATAATGGATTATTTAGATAATAAATTCAAAAACTAAAAACGTATATTAACATTTTTCTCGTTTTTTGAAGCAGATTTTAGTTAGATAATAACATCAAATTTTAGTCAAAAAAATTGCGTCACTATTTAATAAATTTAAAAAAAGAAAAATATCTTTCTGCCTGATAGTAATCAACATAGTAAATTTAGTTGAATCACAATGATTTTTAAAATACCTATTAGTTTTCTATTTAATCCAATATAAATCTCAATAGAAATTTTCTTAATTTAATTAACATTAAATATTTGTAAATCAATTTGCATTTTTTTAAGTTAAGCGATTATATTTTTGTTTGTTGATTTAAAATAAATTTTTATATTTGGTATAAATGAATCTTTTAAAATATTTATTTTGTTATTCAAATATTTGAACAATTTGTTTAAATTCCTTCCTTTTTCTAAAAAAATGGTTGCAAATTTTAGTAAATTAAATTGTTATTTCAATTGTTCTAGAAAAAAAAAATCTAATTTATTTTAATTTGATTGATTTATTTTACATTCTAATAGCTTAAATTTTATTGAAAAAGTGAAAATAAATACAATTTAATAGTATTTTCTTTCTTTATATCCACATTTTTACTATAATGGATTACTTATTTTGTTTTATAATTCTCACTTTTATTTTTACTTAATAAAATTGTAATTTTTACAAAAATCTAATACTATAACATGCAATAAACTACTTGTCTCCAAAAAAATAAAGTACAAATCTTTGTTCTTCAATTTAAAAGGTATCCTTATTATCAAAGCATTAAATCTAATCTGATCAATAATTTATGTATTTTAATAAAGCCAAATGTTATGTTTTCAATTAATTATCTATTTAAAATTTTTATTTTATACAAACAAATAAGATTCAAATAATATAAATTCCTAATAATTTTTGATCCTTTTATCAAACATGAGTATTAAAAACTTATCTTAGCTAAATTATGAAATATTTATGGATTGGGGTAGCTAACCTTCAAGGGCTGTCATGACTGTTGTATATTTTCTCAAAATACCTCATAAAATTAACGAAGTCAGAATTTTAAAAAAGTAGAATGTTAGTGAATAATATAAAAAAATAAATCCTGATCAAAAAATTCCTTGCATCATTGATAACGAAAACTTTTTTTTGAATGAATCTCATTCAATTATGAGATATTTCTGCTAACTATATGGTGATAATTAGCTTTACCCTGATGATAATTTAAAAAAGAGAGCCTTAATTGATAGCTATCTAGACTGGCATCACTCAAACACTCGCAAGATGCATAGAATGCTCTTTAAAAAGCTTTTTGAACCACAACTTGGCATTTAAACTTCTATTAATATTGAAGAATTAGAATCAGATGTGTAAAAAGCTCTAGCTTTTATTGAAAATAACTATTTGAACCATAAAAATAAATTCTTCTTTGGATTTGATAACTATACTTTAGCTGATATCAGCGCATATTGTGAACTTTATTAATCAAAAGTAGTTAATTACAGCTTTTAACCATACCCTAACATTTTAGAATGGATGTCAAAAATGTAACAAATAAATGAAATAAAATAAACTCATAAAGTGTATGATGAACTGTTAAATAAAAGAATCTAAAAGTAATCATCGAAATTGTGACATATTTATTAAAAATATTTATCAATAAATGGATTTGAAATCTAAAATGGAAAATCAAATTAATTAATTAATTTATTCAAATTAAATTAAATTCAAGAAAAAATTAGAGTTCATTAATTAATTAATTTATATAATATCTTTCTTAAAATATTAGCAAATTTTTATATTATCTTAAATTTAATATAATTATAAAATTTTAAAGTAACCTTTTGGATATTATTAATTCTAAAGAATTTTATAAAAATGAATAATAAAAGTAGAGTAGAATAATCAATTATCAAAACTCTTTCTTAAAAATAATTTCTCAAAATTATAGTAATAATAGGAGTTAAATATCCTCTTTACTGCTAATTTTAAATGTATAGTTTCATGTTAAAAACTTCTTTACTGCTAATTTTAAATTTAATAGTTTGGATTTTGAAAATAATTATTTAATTGGTAAACCACTATTACTTTAAAATTTTTTTTATAATCCTGTAAAATTTAGAATATTTTATTTTTATTTTAATTAAACTAAATCCAATAAATTGTTTGATTTAAATAATTTCAATTAAAATTTTAATTTTTTTAATTACGTTGAATTGTATTTTAAGTATTTTATTAAAATGAATTTTATTTTAATAAAGTATATTATTATAATAAACAATAATAGAGAAAAATAAATTTAAAAGTTATTTATTATAAATAATTAGACATCTAAAAATCTATTGTAAATAAATAATACAAAATTTAAATTTATCTATCAAAAAATGAAAGTTATTTTAAATTTTGTTGATAATAAAATTCAAATTTTAGTTTATGAAATTAAAAATTAGAAATTATTTAAATAAGAATTTAAAGAATTAGTTTTTAAAAAATTAAATTATTTTAAAAGCTTTAAAAAAAAATTTAGTGATTTTTAATATTTTTAAAGTTTTAAATTGTATTAATGCTGGCTGATTATTTTATATAAAAAATTAGTAAATTTAAAATATTAAAATAAAAAAACAAATTTGTATAAAAAAACATTTTAGAGGTTTTATTTAAATATATTTTTTGATGAAATTTTTCAAAATGGGTTAATATAAATTAATAAAAATGTAAAAAAATAGATATTTCTAACTTATATATTATTGGTAGATGAAATGGAATGTTTGATTATTTAGTAAAATATTGTTAACGCGGGAAAAATAATAAATAATAATTTAATATTAATGTATATAGCAAGAAAATTATTAAAAAGAGTTATTGTTTGCTTGTATCAATTATATAATTTATAAGCTATCTATCTAGATTGTTTTATAATGAATGTTTGCAAAAAATTTATTGGAATAAGATTATTAATTAATAGATCAATGAATTTAATTATTATCTGCTTATTATATTTATCAAAAAAGAAAGAAGATTTAATTAACTTCATTGAAAAATAATAAAAATTGAGATAAAATAAACAAAAGGAATAAATAAAAGTATTTAAAAAAAGAAAATAGCTTTTCATAATATATATTTAAAAATAGAAATGTCAGGTTTTAAGTCTTCTCTTAAATTAAACTAGTAATATTGATACCATTTTTTAGATTTAGCATAAATAAATTTATTTTATAGCAATTCAATGCTTAAAGAGAGCGAAATTAGTTCAAATGCAGCTTATTAACTTTTTAATATAATGACCATCATTATTGATTTTTATTTTTAAAAATAGGCATACTAATATAGGAAAAGAAGAACTCAAAAAGCTAAATCAAATGCTAAGTTAGCTCTTGCAAAACAATGATTCAATTGAATTTAGATAAGCAGTTGATTGGAAAGGTAATTTTGAATTAATTTTAGAGATTTGGCAAATTTAACTCTATTATTTTGAGATATTTCAAATAATCGATTTAAATAGATCAATTAAATTTTGCATACATAAATTATTTTGTGAGTACTAATCAAAATTGATAATAAAATAAGCTTTGGGTTTGATGGACTATCCAAATATTATTAAATACCCCATGGATTTAGGCACATGTAAAGAAAAGTTAAAGAATAATGAATACAACTTCGTCGAAGATTGCCTTGATGATATATAAATAGTTTGGGATAACTGTAAAAATTATAATGCTGAAGGATCTGTAATTAATTAAATTTCAATTATTTAATATTCTTTTAAAAAGAGTTTTTTTTAATTCAAAGATATTTTCTAATATTTTTAAAGAAAACAAAAATAATATAATCAAATTAAATCAAATCAATTACAATTATACAACCAAAAACAAACCCCTTTTATCTATTTATTTATAATAGCTGTTCTGAAATTATTATTTTTATTTTAAATAAAAATATTATTAACTGATAATAAAAATTTTTTAAATTTAAGATATTTTTGATTTTTTATAAAGCTAATATTTCGCAGTAACAAAATAAATGGATTTAAATATTTTATATATATTTATATCAAGCTTTAAAAATAAAATAAATTAATCAATGCTAATTTTCAAGTACCAATAAAAAATGAATAACTAAAAAATAAATTTTATAATTTTAAATGTAGGTTTATATAAAAAAATAAAATCAAAAGCAAAGTATAAATCTATTAGCAAACAATTTTTAAAAACATGATTATTTGATTAATGAGAAGATTTTCACAAGATTTAATTTACAAAATAAATATATTTAAAATAATATTAAAATGAATTTATTTTTCATTTTTTTCAAATAATTTTTGAATGTATTTTGGTTTTATGTAAAAATAAAATTATTATGATCAAAACCATACTGGTTTTAGTAAAAGAAGTTGAAAAAATTTTTCTGTTTTTTATTTTTAAAAATTGTTTTTTTTTCTTTAAAAACTTGAAGAAAAATATTTAAAATTATTTAATATCTCCTTGTTAATTAATAAATATTTATAATAATTTTTAAAATAGTGGATTTATAAATTAGCAGAAAAGTTGGAAAAGCACTTTAAAAATATGATTAAGAATTATCTCCCTTCCATATAATTTATGAATGCTGTAGTCAGTAAAAAATTAGTTTTTTGATAATGATTTATAGCTTTTAACTTGAATTTTGTGATTAAAATTTTTTTCATTAAATAGAAAAGGAAAAGCTCTCCTAGATGAAGATTAATCAAGATGAGAAGTATCTTATTCATTTATTATTTAAGAATTAATGAATAATTTATTTTATAATTAATTATATAAGTAGTTCATCTCAAAATGGAGACTAACCAACTCCAGCTAATAATACAACTAATGGAAACAAAAATAATGATGCAAATAATGGTACAAGCTAGAATTAAAATTAAATATATCAAGAAGAAGAAGCCAGTGAATCTATAACATCTTAAGATAAAATATTATTCTCCTAGAAAATAAAGATGCTACCCACTGAATAGCTCGGTATGATAGTACTTATGATTTAGAATAGTGCTTCTTAAGCATTTAAAGATATTGATAAAGAAAAATGTTAGATTCTAGTAGACTAAATAGATCCAGAAACATTTAAGAAAATTAATCAGTAAATTATTATAATTTGATATTAATTATTAGCTGATTTTATAGAAAAAATATAATTTAAATTTTATACTATTTTGAAAATATAAGTTTTTATTAATTTAATTATTATAACTAGGTAAATCGATTTATGGAATGTTAGTACTGAAACTACTACAAAGAGAGTGAAGATTTGAAGTAGAAAGAAGAAATTTTAAAGAAGCTTGTGTGGCTATTTAAACAATTTTACTGCTAAATATGATAAACTTAGTTAATTACTATAATATTTTTATATTCATTTTAATAAAGATTGCTTGCTGGAGAAATATATTTAGATAATTTACCAAGATAAGCTTGACTTAAAATAAAAATTCTTATTTGGTAGAAATAATTATAAATATAAACCTTTTTATTCATTTAATTAATTGAATTTTTGTAATGATTTTTTGTAACATATGATGCATATTTGCTTACTGGTATCTTATAATTGCCGTTCTTTTTACTTATGCTTTTTTTAAATATCTTATTATTGCTGAAGCAATTACATGTATTTATAATTCTACTTAGTGGATTGTTCTTAACTGGTTACTTGTTTTGTTAAGAAAAAAAGATTTAACAATATTTGCATAAGAAAAAATAAATTAAGTTTCTAATTTTTTTCAGTATTTTTCTAACGTTTAAAACTGTTAAAATACCTTAATAACAGACAGACAGATATTACTAAACTAAATTAAAAAAAATCATTAAAATAATACACCAAATATATTAGATCTACTTATTAATTTTAAATGACAGTGGTTAAAAATAACTTTCTTAAATTAATTTAGCTTTACTAATATTAAAAGCAAATATCATGAAAATAAACAAAACAAATATTTCATCATTTTTTTTAAAAATGCCGTTTTCAATTTTTTATTTAATTAAATTATTTATTTTATGGTATTCAATTAACGAGATCCCCTCATTTACTTAGATAATAAATTGAATGATAAAATATGAACGATAAGCTAGCTTAATTTCAGTTGAACTTAAATAAATTAGAATTAAGCAAAAGGGGTCACAATTTTAAATATCTGCGTCAAATTATTCTAATCCTATTCTGTTAATGTTTTTGTAACAAATTGAAAAAGTCGATATTCCTTAATGAAATTACACCATTAAAATTGGATACACTTTAGTTTGTATATTATGAGCAGAAATATTTAAAAATCTATATTATCATTTCAGCTTATTATCAAATTTAGTTGATTTTTTTTGAAAAAATAATGAGAAGATTTTGATTTGATATTATATGTAAGGATAATGGCTGAAGAATGAAGTTGATGAAATCTATATTATGGAGACTATGATGTATGTAATATCATAACGAATTAATTAATTTATGAGAAGGATTCTAGTGATTCACTAAAAAAATACTAATTTTCTGCAAAATCTTCAAACCAATATAATAACAAAGTTTTGGCAAAAAGATTTTGTTTTGTACTTCATACAAATTTATATATAAATAAAATGGCAATTAATATTATTGTGTGTTTAATGGTAATCGAAACATTTTTTAAGAAGTAAGGTAAGTAAGGAGATTAAGTATGAACAAATATACAAGAAATAAACTAATGCAATTAAATTAGGGTTTTGTTTAATTAATGGTAAGTAAGTATCAATACTTTTTTATCCATCAGCTAAGCTAAGGGTTGACCGAAAAATTAAAAGTAGCGAGCTAGCTAACTAGCCAATACATAAGTTTAGCTATATGGATAATTTTAATAGAATCCTTTTTTTCAATCAGCATAACGAGCTATGTAGTATAAGGATATCAAAGAGAAGTTGTAGAGACGAATTGTAAGAGAATCGGAATTAATTTGAAAAGATTTCTTAGAGGTTTTATGATTGAAAAGTATCATAGCACATTTAGCTCCACATAGTCCACCGACTTTGATTAATCTAATTAAGAATTTTTCACTAATACGACGGTAATTCTTACTTCTAGCAAATAAAGAAACGAACTTATCATAGCCGAAGGTAAAAAATGTTACTAAGTTTACAAGGATCATATAGAATCCAAGTAAAATGCAAACAATATCAGAGAGTTGGAAATTCATATCTGTGAGAGTTATTTTGATTTAGAGAATGTATGTAGCTGGATTTGTTATTCCTAAATGGAATATCGTTAAAGATTGGTTGATATTAGTTAGACTGCTTTTAATAGTTTAATTAGGAAAGATATTATCTTTTCCTTTTGATATAAATTTATTTGATTTTGTTTGTTTTTTTGATTTATCAATTATTGACTTAATTATATTGTCACTGCTTATCAAACGAAATTTTTGGTCACAAATGAATCTATCTAATATTACTTTATTCATACAATTAATTATTGATACATTTGTTCCAAATAAGGGCAAACAAAAAATACTACTCCTAAATTTTCTATCTATTTTTCTTTGAAAAAAAATTATATTTTTGAAAAAAAAGAGATCTATCATTTTTATAGTGATACCAGTAAGAAAATAATAACTTAAAGCTTTCTTTATTTTCATAGTATTTTATAGGCGTTTTTGCAATTTTCATAATTTATGTGCATTAATTTAATAAATACTTAATGTATTAGAGCTATAATATGTTGTAAGTAAGTTATAAAGATTTAAAATTTTTTATAATACGCCGTTATCTTAAAACAATTTTTTCGACTACTATATATTTTTTAATTAATATAACGTAGTCACTTTCAAATGCGCTGATAATAAATTAGGTAAAACTTAGTTGAGAAAATATATTTTTTATATAGAAAACTGCCTGAAATACACAATCAAATAATTTTCTAGTCTATTACTTGCTATTCCCCCAAAATCCGATGTAAATACATCTATTTAAAAACAAGCTGTTCAATTTAATTTAAAAAGTAGTAAAAAATTATGTAATTTTTTCTTTCTATTTTAAATCCATTTGTAATTAACTCTAACCTATTTTCAAAAAATTCTTTTCTATTTTAAAAAATTAAAAAATCTACATATTTTTAAAATCTTTTGTATACTTTTTTACCTCAACTTTTAAAAATGTGATCCAAAAGAATCAGAAAAAAAATAAAATAAGACTTTGTAATCTAATTTTAATTTTGTCAGCAGAATTTATATATCAACCTGACCAGATTGATTAAATATTCACCACTCTTATTGCATATTTAACAGGATAATTTAGATATCTGTGCATTCTAAATTTTAGCCAAAATTAAAAAGCGCTTTCTCAATTTTAATTTCACACAGTCACAGTTTATGAATCTTAATTTAATAAATCCAAGCTATTGAATGAGTGGTTGTAAATATACTTTCCAACCTTCGCAAATTATCGGAATTTCATTTTGAGTATTTTAAAAGAAATAGTAGTGGTTTTAAATTTTATGCATTAAAGCAAAAAATCTTAATGTAATTTAATTTGCTTTTGTGAATAATTAATTAGAGTTGACAAAACATTAAAAGATTGCTGAAAAAAATTTATAATTTTAAACATTTTTTTAACCACAAAAAATAATTCTTCAAATTTCAAGATTAAGTGATTTATAAAAAATAAGATAGCAAACTGATAGATATATATTTATTAAATGTATTTAATAACTCATTCTAATAATAATTTTTAGTGGTAAAAATATCTTAAAATTTAAGAAATGGTATATAAATTTACAATATTATTTTAATGTTGTTCAAACAAAATTCAGATTTAATTCTAAAATTTTGTATTTATTAATTATTATTTTGATTATTTTTAAATTAAAATTGAAAATAATAAATTATATATTCTTTTTTATTTATTAAAATAGATTTTTAAAATCATAAAAATATGTTATTGAAATATAACCTTAATATTATCTTGAATGACTCATAAATTAAATTTTGATTTTATTTGACAAAAAATATTACTAGAAAATATCTATTGTTTACCCAAATAAATTAAAATTTATTGATTATGTTTATATTAAAAAAAATTAAAATAATTAGTTATTTATTATTAAATATTTTAATCCTTTTTCTAAAAAATATTTTTTAATTTATAAACAAATAATTCACTCTTAATTAAAAACTTTTATCAAATATAAATTAGAAGTCTAATAGCTTAAGATTGTGTAATTTAGAATTTATGAAATTAATCTATGTATTTTTTGTGATATGTAGTAATTTAATCAATTTTTAGTTATTTATTAAAAATTATATTATTTTTAAATTAAATGTCTAAGTTAATTGCCTTAATTAGATTTATTATATAAATAAATCTTTTTTATTTAAAAGTTGATAAAATTTCAGAATATATCAATTTTAATGTAAATATTTTAAATTATTTCAGTTTTATAAAAAATAGAAAACATTAAAGCTTGATTTTATTTCTTAACAACATTTGAATTAATTTTTGATAGTAGCTACAGATTATTTTGATAAACTCCAGGCACTCATACTCATACGTACATATATAAATATTAACATAAGTTATTAATCGATTATTTAAACTAAAAAAAAAATTTGTATTTTATAGAAGAAAAAAAATTTAATTATCTAATATACACAAATTTAGTATAGTTAAGTTGATTATATTATGAGAAGTTAAGGCAATTTAAAACCCGAAGTACTCTAATCCTATAATATTTAGAGCTCATATTAAAATAAGGGAAGTCAGGTAAATAGTTAAAAGAACTCAAAGAATGGATAAAACAGATCAACAAATTTAGGTTACCCATCAATGATGTCTCCTACTACAAATTCATATGGATATAATTAAATAGCAAAGAATAACGAGACTCAATAATATACATAATAGTATGCTAATCCAACCAGTTTGAGCACATAAATGACACCTACTGGAAAAAGTTTATCGTTTTCAAATGCAGCTCCAATGTAGTATAGTAAATTAGCAAACTCAATAGACTCTTCTTCTGTCACACCTTCTCACTAAAATAATGGGCTTTAAGTAGGAGGTAACAACAATAATTAGTACGGATTTAATAAGCAAACCTATGGATATGGCAATTATAATACTATTGATCACGCATAAGGTGGAGCTGTAAATGAAAGCAATTATTTATATAATGGTTATCGTGCTTAAAATAAAAGATTGAGTAATACAGCAAATAACACAAATTAATCTGCATCTACTATAATTGGTTATAATGTAATAAACAGCAGTAGCTAAAACGGAATTTAGGGATAATTATAATCTTAGGCAGCAGGTTCTTAGCAAGGAGGCAAGCAGAATGGCTACAATATTTAGGATATTGTTTAGTTATAATTACCAAAATTAACTCCTCATGATGGAATTTTAATGACAAAATAAATGAATGGGAGTGTGAGTGAAAAAGCAAGTCTTCGCTCTCCAGTTATTGAATTTGAGAGTACTTTGAATTCTGGTTCGAGGAAATAAGACCCTCCATCTAAAAATAATTTAAGAAATATTGTTAAATACTATAATTCAAATGGTCAAACAAATAATAGTAATCCCTACAGCAGTCCGCTTCAGCAATCTGTTTCAGTACCATCTGTTGAAAATTAACCTTAAAAACAACTAGTTAGCATAGGTTCATCTATTTAAAGTAGATAACCTAGTAGTAATATCCCAAGTAGTCACAATTTAAAAGAATAGCAAACCAGTAGTAATACTTAGAATTAAAATGGAAATAATACTGCAAATAACGTCAATTCATCTTCGAATTATTACAGTATTTCTTCTGCACGCCCTCCAAGTAATGGAACAACAAAGAAAGAAATTCCTTTAAACAGTTAATATATGCAGTACTCAAGCTTGGGAAAAAATTTAAATTACCTTAGCTCTCCTTCAACACAGTCCTCAAAGATTTAAAATTCTTAATAAAGCATACTATCTCCAAACGCTAAGCAATCTAGACTTCAAAGCAGTGAAAATTCACAAAAAACACCTTTGAAATCAATTTAACCTGCTTAAGTAACTGGCTATAGCTCTATTTTTAACTAAAATAGCATAAATTAGTCAAATACTAAGTAGCCATCTATACAAAATGCAAATAATGACCTTTTGGATGTTCGAATGCTCCCAAAAATAGATAAATCTAAAATATCAACTAAGTAAATAGGTGTTGTACATGCCTATGGTGCAAACACACATCAAGGTACTTATTTGTTTTTCTTTTTAAATAAATTAATTTTCATCAAAATACTATTTAAACATTTATTTCGAAAAAAAAAAAAATTAGGTAGATAATTATAAGTAATTAAAGGAAATTTAGATTTTTATTTGATTAGCTGATTAATTAATTATTTAAAAAATTTTTTTCCGCTATTTCCAAAAATATTAGCTAGCTAGCTAGCTAAAAAAAATTAAAATAAAAATTTTAGAATTCAATTTTTAGAAATTACTTATCAAAAAAATAAATTTTGATTTACTACTTTAGAATTTAGAAATACTTTTACTTGATAATTTGGTTTTATATTAAAAAAAATAATAATAATTTAAAGGGTTAATAAGAGGTTACAATGAAGACAGAGTCAGCATTATCTTAAATATGGTAAAACCTTAAGAAAAAAGCCATGTTGCTGATTGGCCAAATATCTCTTTTTTCGCTATTTATGACGGACATGGTGGAGCCTAGTGTGCAGATTTTTTGAGAGATCAATTACATTTTTATGTAATTTAAAAATTTTTTTTAAATTTTTTATCAAGCATTCATATGTCAAAAGAGAATAAAATTTTAATTCGTGTTATAATTTAAATTTTTGAGGATGATAAAAATAATAATTTTTAAAATTACTTCAAATAGATTATAAAAGACGAAGAATTCCCAAAGAACCCATAAAGAGCTATACATAATGGATTTGTTAAGGCAGAAGATGCATTTTTAAAAATTACAGAATCTCAGATTCCTTTAGACAAATCTGGTTCATGTGCCATAGTTGTGATGTTAATAAGTAAATAAAAGAAATTAGAAAAAAGTATGAAAATAATTTTAAATAAAATAGATGAATAAATATACGTAGCAAATTTAGGAGATAGTAGAGCCGTTCTAAGTTAAAATAATGGATAGAAAGTTATCGGATTAACTGTGGATCACAAGCCAAATCACCCTGATGAAGAAAAGCGTATTATTATGAATGGTGGAAAAATTTACTAGTAAAATTTTTAATGTTTTTTGAAAGAATTATAAGTTTTTTTGTGTATTTTTAGGAGCTAAATTCCAACTATGTAACCCAAGCAGTACCCATAGTTTGTTAAAGGTCCTCATAGAGTTTTACCTGGGAGGTTAGCAGTATCTAAAATTCTTTTCTCTTAATCAATTAATTAAAGTACTTTTATTAATAAAAAGGTATCTAGAACATTAGGAGATATTGAAGCTAAATTAAAAAAGTATGGTGGCAATTCTAAAGTTATTTTATGTGAGCCTGAGATAACTTAATTTTAACTATCTTAAGAACACGATTTTATAATGCTTGGATGTAAATATTATGTTATATTTTACAAATATAAACAAAAATATTAAAATAAATAGGTGATGGGATTTTTGATAAGCTTACTAATAATCAATCTATTGATTTTATTTGGGATTCTATGAGAGAATAATTTAGAAAAAAAGAAATGAGGTAGAGTTTGCATGATTATATAGGAGAAGGGATAGAATATTTGATAAAATAAACATTAATTCATAAAAGCTTCGATAATTTAACAGTAGTTATAATCTGCTTCAAAAATTTAGAAAAGCTATTCCTTTCTTGATTTTACCAACCAAGGTCAATCAATATAAGCAAATTAAGTGATAAAAAAAACAATCAAAATATTAAAAATGAACAATTTTGTTTGGTTGCAAATAAATAAATAGTAGCATAACAATTTAACCAATTTTAAATGTTAAAAATAATTAAATAAAGTATACAAAACAAATAAATAAATAAACTAACAAAGCAATTTAGTTGCTTAGATAAATTCTAAAAAATGAACAAATAAAATAAAATAAATTAAATAAATAAACCTACACTTATGTGTAGTAGAATTAAAAAAGCATTTTATAAATAAATTACATAAACATATATAATCAATTTTCTTATAAATTAATTTATCTATAATCATTTTATAAAATTTATTATTTTATTAATTACATATATCAAACAAATTATTTATGTTAAAGCTATTTTGCTTTTTTAATTTTTATAATTTTTCAATCCAATTTATCAGTGGTCCTTCCTTTAAATTAGGTTCTTTACTGCTATTTAATTACTTTTAAATGTTATTTTAAATTATTAAAGTTATTCAATTTTTAAGATGAAATTTATTTATAAATGTTAAAAAGCTAAAACATAAAATTAATCTAAATTTACTTTATTTATAATCGCTATGAGATGAAGAAATTTATTTTTGAACATGAAAAGTAATTTTATTATCTCTAAAATATTTAACTTAAAATAAAATTCATTTTAAGTATAATTAATTAATTTAACTAAATCATTAACCAAAATAATTTATCAAAAATGTAAAATACTTGAAACAATTTTTTATTAAAATAATATTTTATTTTTCAAAAAGCATTGCATCTATCATGAGCTGATGATATTCAATCGATAGTAAAGAAAAATATCATTTAAATTATTAAATTGTTTTTTTCTATTAAACCAATTTCTACAACTACCAGCATTTTTTTCATTAAAGTTAATAACAATTTTAAGAAATAAATTTAACAAGCAATTATGATTTTATTTTAAAAATTGTTTTTGATCAATCTATAAATAATAAACCTATTTTTTCATTTGAGCGCGTTAAATTTAAAAATACTTTGGAATTAAAGTAGAAAAATTATCAAAAACATTATTTTTATATGAAAATAATTATTTTATTTACAATACTATTGCGTTTGTAATTATTATTGTACAGAAGACTACAAATAATTATTCATTTTAGGAAATAAAATTTTTAAATTAAAAAAAATTGTGTCTCAATATTTTTAAATTATTATTATTTCTTCTAGATACTTTTAATTATTAAACATATTTTTCAAATTATAACCAAATGAAATTCGAATTAATAAAATATTTAAAAAATTATAGCATCTCTTTTAATTTTGCTCTAAATAAAGATACATTTAGGGGTTATGGCTTAACTAGACTGATTTAATGTTTGACCAAATAAAAAAGAAAAGAAGAATTTGTTATAATTTAGATTAAGTATCTAAGTAAGAGACAAAAAACAAATAAAAGGAAAGTATTTTGTATGAATAAGATAAACTCAGATTAAAGTACAAATATTGAATATAAAATACAATGAAAGAGTTTGAATAAATTATATAAATTAGTAGTAATTAATTAATATATTTTATTGTAGTTAAGAGTTAATACTTATTAAAGTACTTTTAACTCAAGATAATGATTGATTAGAAAGTTATGTATTATATAGTATAGATAGCATTTATTAATTATATCTTTAGATATAACTTTATCTAAGCTGTCTTTAATTAAGAAGATCATCAAAAATACTTTTATTAAGATACTTTAACTTTATTTTTATCTTTTCATTTGAATAGAAATAATTCAGTCAAAATATTCAATATAGTAAAAAAAAGCTGATCACAGCCGAATTCAAAGGATGTTCCACTTGCCTGTTCTTGTATAGGATGCAAGAACTTTATGAGCTTGTCTTTTGATATCACGGTCGGTATCTCTATTAAATCTTTCTAGTGCTTCAGCAACCTAAAGCTCTAAACGATCTGGAGATCCGTCACAGATGATATGTAAGATCCTAGCTCTTATTTTGGCATCGGGATCGTCTACCATTTGGAAGACTCTATCCCAGAATTCTTTGTTATCTTCTTAGACTTTGCAAGGGCAAAGCTCACTAACAGCCTTCAATCTAATATCATTATCTTGATAGTTTGTATATTTCAAAATTTCATCTACATCAACCGTTTGTTTGATGCGGCCAAGGATTTCTTTCTTTTCACTCTTGGAACACTAAATCGACATATTATGCTTTAAATTAAATTAAGTATTTATTTAAAAGGGTTTTTTTTATTATTTAGGTTTAATTGTTTTAAGAGCTTCTCTTTTGAGAAAATCTTTAATTTTTTTTTTTTTTTGTTAATTAATAATTATAAAATTATGTGAAACTAAATATCCTTGTATTTATAATTTTTTTTCTGATTATGATTATATTAATTCTTCTGGTGACACCGAGTAGCAAATATGCTCAGTATTTATCAAAATACTACCTTAATAGTGTCTATTGTTTAACTATCCTCCTTACTTAATTATTAATTAATTATAACAAATTTATAGCAAAATTTTATAATTGTTTGGTATTATATTTAAAAATTCAAATGAATTAAGAATTAGAGGGTTAAAAAAGCAATTTTGAAAATTCTACGCAATTAACTACTCAATTTGAAAATATTCTAATAGAATGGAATTAAGAAATTAATAGTGAAGAAAATCTATAGAAATAATTACTAGCATAAATCAGAAATTTCGATGAACAATCCTTAATCTAGAAGGCAACTCTTTAGAAAAATAGAATATAATAGTTGTAAATGTATGAGCAGATAAATGAAAATAATAACAATGCTCTGAAACAGCTCATCTAAGATAAGCAATTAACATAAGAATAGCAATTGAAATTTATTAAGGAGCAACACGCTTAGGAAATAGCAATGCATTAAAAGAATCTTGAAGAGAACATTCAAAAAAATCTTAAAATAATCAATAATTTAGTTTAAGAAAAAAAAGAAATGAGCGACCAGTTGGAGGAAGTCTTTCAAAAATTGGAAGAAGAAAAGGAATCGAATGCACAAAAATTAAAAAAAATGAAAATATTTTATGAATAAGAGATTAAAAACTAAAAGGATTCTATTCTTTCTAAGGAGAAAAAAGAAAGAGAGAAATGGTAAAAGGAAAAAGCTGAAAAGATAAGAGAACTGACAATAAAAGGACTAGAACCAGAATTATAAAATTTAATAGAAAAACACAACCTTGAGTTAAAGTAGCTTAAGCTAGATTATTAACAAAAGTTACTAAAAATGAGATAAGAATTATCAGCTGAGTAGCAATTGTAGCTTTAGTAGATAAAAAATTCATAGTTATTCTTTACAAGCAATATAGACTTCAATCAGTTAACAATTAACAATAATATTAGCGCAATAAATAAAAACGATAATATTTAAATAGACAAGCACTCTTCTAACAATTTGCAAGATGAATGTCAATTTGAAAAGTCTCCTTTCATAAATCAAAATCCAGCAATTTTGGATGAAATATCAAATTCGAATAATCCTAACGCTGCACAAAATGAAAATAGAAATGGAATTTTTAGCAGCTTTAATTGTAATCCATCTATTTCTAATCAAAATTCTGATAGTAAGCTTTAAAAAATTTAACAACTAAATTAGAAAAATTTTAATCTCAAAGTGCCTGATAAGGCAGAAGGCTAAATTAACAATATTTATTCTAATCAAAGTCAATTTTAGTTTTAATATAATAACAATAATAATAGTAATAATAATGTATAATAACCTTCGCAATAATCTCAATTACCTCAATTAATCATAAATAATAGGGTGTAAAATAATTTTCTTACTCCTCATATAAAAAAGAAGACAAACAAATAAAATCTGCTCAGTAACAATTGAGAAAAGCAAAAAAAATTTATTTTTTGGTTGATTTAATTATTAAAGATAATTTTGATTCGCTTCTTATAAAAGATTTACAAATTTAATGTTTGCTAAATACAAATATATTTATTAATAATCTTAATTTAATCTGAGCAAAATTATTCTGATTCAAATAATTAATTACTCATTTTAAAAGCAAATTTTTCTTATGAGAAAATTTAGAACATTTAAGGAAAGATTTGGTAGAAAACATACTTCAAAAATAATAAAAGAATTAAATATTAAAGCTTAAAATAATATCTGCAATCAATTTATTACTTAATTAATAATAATATGAATATATGGTACAAACAAACTGTATTAGTATTAATTTATGGTTTGAATGCGCAACTATCTTGTTAGCAGCATGCTTACTTAAAATTTTGTTAATTTAGGAATAAATTTAATTTAATATTACTTACTACTACTCATCATATAACTAACTAAATACTACTTTTTTATCATTCACTTTTTATAATTTATTTATTTATTTATTACTTTATTTAAAATTTTTATCTAATTTATATTAAAAATTTATATATTATATTTCAACTTTAGCTGACTGAAAATTCTTATATTTTTTAAATAAGTTCTTTGTTAATCTTCTTTTAGTTTTCCAAGGCTAAATCTTTTTCAGTAATCATCTCAGTTAAGCTATTTACCTATTTTTTTAATTACAAAAATTAAATAAAATTATTTCATATTAAATTTTATTTTAGTATAAAATAATTACTAATTTTTATAGAATTTATTCATTTCCTCCCTCTTTGATTTTTCTCTTTGTTGGTGAATTAATTGATTTAATATCTTAAGTATAAGCCTGAGTTATTCTATTATGTTTAATATTAATAAAAATAAGAATTTATAAAAATTTATATATTACGTTTCTAGTGTTGTTTCTAATTGTATTATTTTTTTAGATAAAGCATTATTTTCTTCTATTTTTGTTTATAACTATGATTTTATTAACTGTACATCCTATACTTGTTCATTGTTTTTAATTCCATTGCCATTCAAGATAATTAAACTTTTATTTTGCTATACAGGTATCACATGACTTTGGCTCTTTTATAAATGCACAGGCGATAACCCCTATAGACTTTTACTAAATTAGTTAGAATTATTAGAAGATTGAGACATGTGATTGTGCCCAGATAAATTATTTTAAGTATCAACATCAGCTTTTTCAGAGTTATTTTCATCTTCTTTTTTGTTGAAATTTATAGAGTGATGAGAAGAAACATTTTAAATTTTTTAAGTGCTAGGAGAGTCAAGAGATTTTTAGCTTGCAACTTAAAGTTATTTTTCTTGGAGCAGATATTCATATTTCTTTTTAAAATGCATTACTTCATTTTATAAATTTTCTTTTTCTTGATTTGTTTCATTGAGTTTGGCTTCTTTTTCAATTAATTCCTCTTATACAACTTTATTTTATTATACTTACTTATTCAGTTTTTCAGCAAGATCTTAAATTGTTAGCTATAAAGACTATGCTCCTTCTTAGTCAAGAACTTCTTTTTTTCTTAATAGCTAAGTATTTAGTTTTTCTATTTATACTTTTTAGTCATCTATTTCTCTATTCTTCTCTTCTATTTCCTATTGAATTACTTACAATTCCTTATTTTTAAAAGAGATTTTATTAAATATATTTAATTTAGAAAAAAATTTTTAAATTAACTTATATGAAAATAATTTATTTCAAAAGAAATAAAATTTTAATAAATCAAAATTAATTTCTTTATTGTGATTATTTTAAATAAAAAATATTCTATCCATCCAACATCTATAAAGATACATTTTTATAATAAATATTCCTAAATGAACTTTGTTTAAATTATAAACAATTTTAATTATGAAAATAAATATTTGAATATTTAAATTCGACTTTTATTTTAATAAAATTGAAAGATTTCTGATATTGTCTAAGATATTTTTGATTAAAAATTTATATCTGCTTTTATCGTAATTAATTATACATTAATACTTAGTTAAAAAATTACTTGAGTTAAAAAGAGTTTCTCATTCATATATTGAGAATGCTTTTATTTAAATTGTTCGTTTATTTCTACTTGAACTTTCAATTTTTCCTTTAACTCTTATAACTGCTGATCCACCTATTCCAATTTTGTCTCCTTTTTCTTATTTTCATCTTATAATTATTAAATTTAATACTTCATTTCATCTCTTAGTTATTCTAAATCAACTGTTTTTTTTGTCAACTCATTTAATTTTACAAATACTTCATAAGATTCAGATGTAGTTGCTTAGGTTTAATGCTTTCTTACTGCTCTGACTTCTGTTTATTAATGAGTTTATTATTGATTTTACTATTACAATTACTAGCCGTTGCTTACAAGTTAATTTCCACTATTTTACTAAATTAGCTCTGTCTTTGGTAACTCAGCTTATTCTTCCCTCGTTTAGTCTTAATTTTCTTAATTATTGACCTAATTGCTAATGCTTTGATTAGATTCTTCCTGATATTATTCTTATTAATCTTGATCATCTGAACTTGGAAACTGTGAAGATATTAACTTCTTACCACAAAACATTCTTAATGCTACAGTAATGACATCTCTATGAGTATTAGACTGTGCTTAAAGTCTGTAAACTATATTTTAGCTAAAGTAAAGTTCAAATATGTTATTAGTTCTTTTCACAATTTTGATTGAAGGATAGAATTATCCTAGTTAAACAGTTGCATTTATTCTTTCATCATCTTGTGCATAAATAGATACTTTTTCTGTATCTATTTGCAGCTGTACTTGCTTTGGAAAAGAATAGCTATCATTTCGCTTTTCATTTTCATCATTGCTTAAAGTAGGGTCATAAATACTTTCCAACTTAGCAGCTATTTTAAACCTACCCGTTTCTAATAATTCTTAAACCTCTTCTTAAATTGCTTTATCGATTACAATTGGTCCTATTTCTTAACGCAGAGGTTATCCCTTATATTCGCTTTCTTCTAATATGGGTTTTGCTTCAACAATTATGCTAATTTATTTTTAGTTTATAAATAACATCTTCAATATGCCTATTTGTTTGATATTCTAATTATAAAGATATTGTGAAGATAACCATATTAAAGGCTAATAAAAATTGATTCATTTGTTTTTGTTAATAATTCAAGTATTTTGATTATTTATAAAATATATTCATAACATTTTATTTATTTAGACCAAAAAAACTGAACTCAATTGCTTGTTATTTTTGTCATTTTATAGTTCTTAGAAAATATTATTGCTTGCTAGATAATTATGAAAATTTGTAATTTTCCTACTTAAAATAATCCTAAAATAAATATTGAATTGCAATTACTAAGTATTTATATCGTCAGCATTAGGTTAATAGAATGCTCCTGTAATACCTTCTATTTCAGTAACTTAATCAGATTTTGTTTTATTATACCACTTGCATATGATAGGGAGAGGCATTCCATTATTATTGTCATCTATATTTATGTAATAAGTTTTAGTTTAGTAAATTATTTCAGTTTGAACAAAAAAAATAATTTTATTGTTTTCAGCAATTTTTCAGTTCATTTTAAAATCGTAGTTAATATTTTTTAAATGGATATCTTTATTTTGGTTAGAATATTTTTATTACTTTTTGAGTCTAAGATAGCTTCTGCCATAATTAGTTCAGAATGAACACTACCTCCTATTACAGAAAATTTTACGCTTGTTTCTTCAATAATGGACTTCTTTTTTTCTCTTGGGCTATCTCCGTCAAGCATTTTTTTTATCTTGTCTCTAAATCCAAGCTTCTTTTTTTCAGTTTAACTCATATTTTTATTGGAATAAGTATACACTATTATTATTAACTTTATTCAATCAACCACTACCAAAATATAATTAATAGTATTTTAGTTTTTTTTATTAATATTAAAAAAAAATTGCTTTTTTTTTGATGTTATTTGGGATAGTAACATATATTTATTAAATCAAAATTAGAATAAGAATACATACATCATTTATAGGTATCATTTTTATAGAATATAAGTTCAATCAATTAATTTTTTACTTCAGATATTTTATAGGTTATTTATTATTTTATTTATTTGTACGATTAGCATTGCACTAAATAATATAAATGATTAATTTTATTCACCAATTTCTTCTACCCAAATAAACTAAAGTAATTTTTTCAGATAAATTTTTTTATTATCTCATATTTATATAAACAACAATATAAATTTCAGAATGATAAATATTTATATCATAGAGTAAGTAAGTGAGTATCTAAAAAATATATTAATTTAATGCAAATCACTGATTTATTTTATTTGTTAAAAGCAATTTAATAAATTTTAATCTAATAATTTTAAGCTTGAATTTAAAAAGAAATAAATTTATACTTTTGTTTATGTATATTTAATTTTTATTCACATATCTTCGAATTATAATTTAGCTTTTAAATTTAATAGTTATTTAATTTCGTATATGAAACTTAATTATGCATTTTGTTTACGAATTTTTCTGCTGGAACTTCTCATAATTTGATAATATAATTAACTGTATTAATATTCTCGACTTACATTATTTTTTTAGATTTGTATCAACAAAAATCAATTTCAAATTTATTTTTGATAAAAGCGCATTTGGAAATAATATTTTAAATTTACATATAATTAAATACGAAATGAAAACTAAACATTAAAATTAAAGTGAGGTAAATGACATCAACCAAAGTATTCAATTTCCAAGTTTTATCAAATTACAAATTATTTATTTATTTTAATAATTAGAAAAATTGTTGGTAGAAAGTAAACAAAATCAAATTAATTAATTAATATCCATAGAGTTAATAAATTAATTATTTTACATTGCAGAGATTTCTTTTCTAATTAAATTACTCAAAATAATTATCTTAAATGTCACTCGCTTTACGAAATTCATTCGAAAATCTGCAAGTCATCGACTAACTCGAATTTCCCTTAGAAAAATGGGAAAACATACCTGAGATAGTTAAAATATCTTTTCTACAAATGAATAAATAAATGATGCAGATGAGTAACTTTCTTTAAAAGTTAGCTCTCCCTGAAAAAATTAGTGAGCTTTAACTCCAAATTGATAGCGTGCAGCATTCCTATAACAATTTTACAACATTTACTTACGTTAAAGATTAAGAGTAAATCGAAACCCATTTAAAGCAGATAGATTAGTAGTTAGGTTCCAAGATAGACAACTTGTATGAAGAAACAAACAATCTTTAGGTAAAAAATTAAAAAATGAATTCATTTTAGTTAGTATATTTGTATTAATTGTTTGGATTCTACTAACATCAAATCTTCAAAAATTGGTGCACATTCTTTTTGAAAAGATATTTAAAATCCTATTTCATAAATAATGAAGAACATTTATGTTTTATTTTTAAAGAAATTTGTTTTAAAATATTTTTTTAGATATGAGTTAATTTACTGTGAAAAGTTTAAAAATCTTATATTACAAAAGGATACTTAATTATTACTTATTTATTAAACCTAATTTTCATATTATTTTACTTTAATAGAGAGCTTAAAAGCTTATTGATATTAATCCTAATGAAGAATCAGAATAATTTGTTCAAAATAATAAGAATTTCGATCTGCATTACAATAATTTATCTAATACTTCAGATAAATCAGAGAAAACTTAATTGGATAATGCTAAAGTCATATGGAATATGATTAACACATTTATAATTGAAAGTCATATACCTACGGAGTTATAAAAAATAGAAGAAAAACTAGAAGCCTAAAGAATTGAATTTGAAAAAAAGCTTAGTTAAAATATTCAGCCAAAGATAATTGAGTAAGGAGAGCAAATAAAGGCTTTAGATACAAATTTAATTCACAAAGAAAAAAAGCTATAATTTTAAATAGAACAAATTAACTAAAATGACTTCTAAGGAATGAAGCAGCAAATCAGGGAAAGCAAAGAGTATTTACAAAAAAATTAGCAATTTTAAACAGCTCAAACTCAAGTTAATAACACTGTATAACAAAAACAACAGGAAATTATCTTAGATTACAACACAAAGATATAGCTTGTTTAGAAAGATACATTTGAATTTTAGAGGAAAATAGATCAAATAAAATCTATTACTGAAAATATGATTTCTCTCTTTCAACATAATTCTGAGTAAAACTAAGAAAAAATCTAAAAAAATATTCATGAGTGTTCTATGAGGATACAGAAATTAGAGAATTTTTATAGTCAAGAATTAGGAAGCATAAATATGCAAATAGAGCACAATTAGAAAGCCCAGTTTGTCTCTTTGAAAGAGGAAGTAGACTTGCTTAATAAAAAAATTTCTAAAAATACAAAAGATTCATATTAAGAAATACAAAAATTAGAGAATGCAATTAATGATATATTTCCAAGATTCAAACATTATTAATGTAATTACGATTGGATTTTTCTTTCTTTAAATAAATAAATAAAAATGAAATTTTAATTAATTAATTAATTAATTAAGTAAAAAATAAAGAGTTGGAGTCTTAAATTAATAGCGTGATTTCTTTAACTTAATAGGAACTTAAGAATAACGTCAAAAATATAGTAAAAGTAATTTTATTTAATTTATAATAGATTTTTTTATTCATAATTTATTTTTTTCTTAAGGAATCTCTGTCGGGAAGTGAAGAAAAAATTATTTTTTTAGAGGGACTTATTGAAAATTTAATTAACTTACTTTACTAAAATGCATAGGATAGAATTAGTGGATTAGGTGGAGCGAGCGTTTTACCTATGATTACAAAAGATATCAAAAATTTAAATTATGATACTAATGCTATGATTTAAAGTACTTTAAATACTTCATAGGTGTTATTAGATGATCAGTCACCTAAGAAAATAGCAACAGAAAAATCTATTTAAGAAAAAGAAGAGCTACCTAATTCAATATTAAAATCTCAATAGCTAGAAAATGTTAAGTTTTTAAGTGAACTTCATACTAAACCTTTAATTCTTAAGTCCCCAATCAAATTTAGTTCAACCTTAAAGAAAGCAAATGAAAATTTATCAAGGACAGAAATCTAACTTGTACTTTCAGATAATTAGTAAAAGCACCCAATACACTCAGTATTTTTTTAAATTTAATAAAAAGTATATAATAACATACTAAAATGTTTAGAAATAGAAAAATCAAGGTACTTAACCGGTAAGAGCTAGGAATAATAGTCTTGGATTAGCACCTTCAAATAGTCTAAGTCCCATCAAGCTTAAGCTAAACTAAGTAAAGGTTTAAAGTACAGAAGAGAGTAAAAACATTGATCTCAGTAAAACTGTATATCCTCGATTCAATACAACTAATTTTGAAAGAAAAAATTTTAGATCATAATCCCAAGAATTTATGGAATTCGGAAAAATCAAATAACCCCCATCAGGTGTGCTTAATTCTGATCATATATTTTGTATGGAACTAGAGGCCTTCAAACAATAGTTAACCAATTCAGTAATTCTCAATAAACATTTAATTCAAAATCTCAAAAGTAAATTTATAATTTTCTAATTTAAAGCGTAAAGACAATACCGAAAAAAGGTAAAAATGGAGCAACTCAGGTTCACCTAATTGAACATAAAAAAAATAAAAGCTATTAAAAAAAATGATTTCAAATTGTAAATAAAAATAAAATAATACTTGTTAATTAAATTAAAGAAAATAACTATAAAACTAAATAAATTATTATAACAAAAATTAGAACCAAAATAAATTTTTAAATTGAAATTTTAAGAAAGTTATTTAAATAATCTAACTAGTTTCAAACTTAATACCACAAATCAAATATTACCAAATGCGATTTGAATAAAAATTTGAATTTTTTCATAAACACTTGACCAAATTGACAGAAATGGTATTGATACTAATTACTCATTCATTACTCACTCACTATTCAAATATACATAATAAAGTACAAACTTATAATTAAAATGTATTATATAGTATTTTATATTATTTATTAAGTAATTAATTAAATATCAACCATATAAACACGTAGCTCTTTTTAATTAAATACTTGCAAATAAATGCAGATCTTTCGCTTTTGAAAAATAAGCATCTATGTTAATATATTACAAATATTAGATAGCAAGTAAGGTAGAAAGCAAGCAAGCTAGCTAGCTAGACTTAATATTTAATATAATTCTATTTATATAATTATAATTACTATTAAGAAAGTGTTCTAATTTAATAATAGTGGTTTGTTTCAATATTTAAAATATTTTATAGAAGTTCAATATAAGTACAAAGACAATTTGTATTTCATTTAGGTGGTTAAATATTAAGACCATTCTTGCTTGGATTAGTAAATGCTTAAAAACTTTAAGGGTTCACTACTTAAGGAATAGCTCCTGCTTGTTAAATAGGAAATGGAGATTAATTGTATAATGGTCCTAAAATTTATATTCCGGGATTAGTGTTATATAAAAATGGTTAATAAGAGCCCATGATTGATGGATTATTTTATATTTAAGTTCCAACAGTTACTTATTAAATCATAGCATTTTAAGAAGAAAGGGATTTCTTAGGCATTTGTTAAATAGGTTACTAAGCTTATGATATTTAATCAGGAGATATTTGTATTATTTGACTTTTATGAATAGATTATTACTATTGTTATTATAGATTTTATTGATTTTATAATTATTATTGCTATTTTTTTGCTTCATAATCTCTTATACTATCAAAAAATGGATGATTCAGGGCATCTTCAACAGATATTCTATCTGCCTAGTCAAGTGCTATCAACTTTGTAAGCAAATCATTGGCTACGTCATCAAACTCTTCTCTACAAAATTGCAAAAAAATTATGGTTAAGTTATGAAAAATCTAAATAATTTATGATTACTTTTTAATAATTTCTTTGAAGTTAATTGGTCCCTTGGGAAGCTCGTTAGGCAAGCTCACTTCATACTCTAAATAGAAAAAAACGTTAAAAAGTTATAATAAAATAAGATAATTACCATATTTTCTACAAAGCTCAATAACAGCATCTGATCCAAAAATATTAGCTAACTCTAATATGAAAGTGATAAAATAAGTGTTTTTTATTTAACCAGATTTATTGTGATTATTTTTATTTTGATTAGGTTTATTTTGCATTCTAACATTGTTGAATATGTTATACTTTTTCAATAAGAACTAAAGGAATACAACACCTATTGGCCAAATGTCAACTTAATATCCTTAATCCCTGTATCTAAGAATAGATTCCAAAGGCATAAAAGACTCAGTACCTAGTTATTGATTTAACATAAAATAAATATATTAATTATATTATCTAATTATTTTTAAATATTTACCTATTTTATTTTTTCCTACAATTTTTTCGCATTTTTTGATATTTTAGTAAAGATCAATTTTTTTTTGTATTTCAGGATCCTTTTTCTGTCTCTATTATTCTTTCAAATTTTCAATAAATTTATCATCCTATTGTTTAAATAAATAAATAAATAAACTATTAGTTATTTTCTAAACAATCAAATAAATTTTACTATTTCAGATAAACCGTAATCGATCAAAATTCCCTTTTTCTCAGCAGTGTTATACAGAAAATTACCAGGCTTAACATCTCTGTGATAAATACCCATAGATTTTAAAGTTTTAACAGCTAAAAGCATTTGATAAATGTAGTGTTTAATTTCTTCCATATTTGATTCTGCAAAGAATTTCTTTAAAAATAGTTTGAAATAGAAAAGTTAGATATTTGCTGGCTTAACAATTATTATAAAGAAAATTTACAATAAATGGCTCATATTTAAAGTACTCAATGACTATGTGAGTCTTTTCTTCTTAAGTGAACAAGTCTACCATTTATGGTGTGCAAGGTTAACCTTTTAATAGTGTAAGAAAGGCTATTTCAGAAAATATAAGCTCCGGAGATACAGTTTGGAAATTAATTTTAATGGCAAACTTCTTTTTTTTGTTAACTACTCCATCTCGACTATTTAATATAAATAGAATTTTAATATATTGTTTGCTTGCTTAGAAAGAGAAAATCAAAGCAAAGTAATTATCATAAATCAAAGTATTGAATTTTGTAGCATATAAAATTAAGCGCCTATAATATATTAGAATCGAATTCATTCTATTTTATTTCTATTTTTTTTCTAATTATTTCTTATCATGAGCTGATTTTAACAAAAAAGAAAAGCAGCTATGGAAACCAATTAAAATGAGAGTAATATTTAATAAATATTAGGATTATAGATCATGATTTTTTGGTATTTATTGAGAAGAAACATTAGAAAACATTAAAATTATATTCTGATTTATTGGATTAAAATTTATCATTTTAAATTCTTATTTTTTAGTTTCATGTTCATTTACAATCTAATTTAACTTTAATCTATTTTGAAAATAATGCCCGCTTTTCTTCTTAACTTAAAGAATTTTAAATAATTTGAAATAATGGCTATTCTTCTTTAAGTAGGGTAAATATAAAAAAGAAATTATTCATACTATTCATATGCCTTATACACAACACCATAGCCACCTCTACCTAATTCTTTGTTTACCAAGTATCCATGGCTATGCAGGTATTTAAAATCTGCTGGCTTGTCCTTATAATATTTCTCTTGTTAGAAATTCTGCTTTTCTTTAGGTTTCCTAGTTTTAAAACAAGTATAAAATATGACCTATTTATTTAAATTTTTGAAATTATTACTCCTGACGTTTCTAAATTGGCTATGTCTAATAAATGTTCTTTGTATATATCTGCTATTGAGGATTTGCTATATTATACATAGCGCCTTAAGCTTATGGAACTGGGATATTTGGTACGATCTGTTAGAATTAACAGTTAGCAGGAATCATGCCTGGTGCAAATTAATGGAAATCTCCTTGGATAGGAATATTTGGCTTCATATAGGGACTGCTAATAAGTTTAAAATACCTTTTTTCTACTATTACTAGTGTGTGTTGCTTAATGAATACTTATTTTTGATTTATATAATTTTTGATAAAGAATTAGTTAATTTTTTATATTGTATGTTTGCTTCAATGTATTAATTAATGTATATATAAGAGCATGTGTGTATGTGAATATAAATTAACTTTAGGCGACTTGTTTAAGATAATATAAAAAATTTTTAATACTTTTGCATTTATTTTATTTTTGAAAACAAAACAAAACTAAATAAATAAATTCTTTTGCAAAGAGAATAGTAAGTAAAGTAAGTGTCTCTTTGTCTCTGATTTTTAATTGCTCTTCACTCTACGCCATTCTATTTGTTATCTCCTTATTTTTTTTACTGTATAAATTATTGATAACTACATTCATTAATTTTGTTTGTATAAATTATTTATTGTGTCTCTATAAAAAAATTTAAATTTGATAACTACCTACCTACCCATTAATTTAGTTAGCTATTTATTATAATAAAAATGAAAGAATGAAAGCACAGTTTAGATTTTTAACAAATAATTTTACTTTCATAAAAAAAGATTTGCCTAAATAAGGATTAATAAATTAAAAACTTATAAATAAAAAATCTAATTTAAATAATTAAATTTTCTGTATCTAAATAAAATAAACAACCAAGTGAATACTATAAATAAATACATTAATATCGTTTTAACTTCAATTATGTTGAAAAAATTGTTTGAGATTATTTACTTTTTTGATTTTTTGAGAAATTGAAAGATTCATTTTTTGTTAGAAATCAAAGATTGCATTGTTTAATCAGAACAATCAATAAGACTTAAGTCTTTTTATATTTAGGATGAAAGGTGCAAGCTTGAATGATTATTTTTAATTATTTCCTTCAATAAAATAGATGTAGAGTATTGAGAAAGTTGCTTGAATTATTCTTCGAAGGCAAAATATGGTTATTGTAATTTTTGAATTTTCTATCTTCTTATCATGGCTTTGTCTTTAATTTTTGCATTTTTTTTATTTAGTGCCTATTCACTGATTTTAGAACCCATTTCAAGAACATTTTTGGTAAAAATTGGTACTATTTAGTGCTTAACAAGTTTAATTTACTTTTACAAGTATTCTACATTTTTTTAAAATCTAACTTTGTCTTTTTAGAGCTTTTCCAATTCTGACTTACCTACTTATATCTAATTTTGCTCAATATAATCTATATCTAATATTCTATCTTTGTAAAAACCAATATTAGTTTAAATTTCATTAGCATTTAAATTATTCTGCTTTTCATAATATCCTTGCTCTATTTTTTAGGAAATTTGCTAGTCTATCTCTTAATATTTTTGCTTCTCACTCTTTTCTTACTTTTTATTTATCAAGTCATCAAACTACTTCTTTTTATCAACTAAGCTCTGAAGTTTTTCATGTTTATTTTATTCATAGTAAGTACATAGCTCAACTTGATCAGGATTTTAGTTTGAAATATATTGTAAATCTATTTTTCTGGTCTTGAGTCCATTATTTAATGTAAAAACAGTATTATTACCTTCAGACTTTTTACAAAATAAATTTAATAAATAAAAGTATAAAAATGAAAAAAGAAAATAAATAAATAAATTACATGAGCACCTTCTATTTTATAGATTTCGTATTTTGTTCCTAAATAATAACAATTAAATAATGTTAATAAAAACCAGAAAATAGATTTTATAAAATAAAAAATGATTTTTTTCTTTGTGCAGATTTTTGTTTTAATTTTTTATATTTTAAATAACTAAATTAATTAATGCTTATATTTATTACATTTTGACTAGATACTAATTTTTATAAATAATTTAATATTGAAATGTAATATTTATTACAACATATGTAATTTATTCATATAAATTTTTAGATTCTATTATTTTTTTAAAAATATTTCTTCTTTAGAAAATATTAAAAATTAAAAAAGTTTTTTTTTGTCTAAAAAAAATGTTTTTAGAAAATAAATTATAATTTTACCTATTCTAACTTTAACATATACTCCCTTAACTAATTCATGAAAATAAGAACGAAGTAGTAACTTGTTTAGATAATCTTTTGAGAGAGTTAGCTATTTAACTAATTTTTAAAATTCTTCACTCTAAGTATTTCTTTCTCTTTAGTGCTGAGCTAGACCATGAGTTTAACTCTTAAAATCATCATATTGTGAAAAATTATAATCATTATTATTATTAGAATGAGAATTTGAGTCTTTTAACTTTTCTCTTTTTGTTTCTAATTCTTTTTTTAGCTGCATTTTATCCTTTTCTACTTAACTCTTTTTAGATTAGTCTAAGCCATTGGTAGGATCTACAAAAATATTAGATGCTACTGCAGCTCCTGCAGTTGTTTTAACTTTTTCTGCCTTTTCTGCTATTTTGTCATCAAATTTTTTATTATTTCTTTCCTCCAATCTTCTATTCAATTCATTTACTCTATCAACTTCATTCATTTAATTTAACTTCTTTCTATCTTCTTCATCTTTATACCCATCTGTATCATAGCCATCACTAAAAACTTCCTTTTAGCTAAATGTGTTTTTCTTCTTTTTCTTTAGCAAATCTTTATCATTTGCATTAATATCTTTCTTATCTAATAATGTGTCCATAGCTAGTTATTATTTTATAATAGTTGTTTCTAATTGTATTTATGATAATTTATCAAAAATGCTTTATTCTTTATAGTGCTCTTTTAAAATGGTATGTGCTATAAACAAATAATTCTAGTTTTCTATAGCTTTAAGAAAATAATTATTTCTTTTTGTATTAACTTTTTATTTTTTATAAGTAAAATAAAGTCAATCTTTTTATAGATATTTAATAAATTAACAATTAATTAATTTCCTTATTTTGCAATCAATGTCGTCTATCTAGTTACCAATAGAAACATTTGATATTCATAAAATATTACATATCAATCAAAACTTAATTATTTTTCATATTAAATGATAATAAATTATAATGAAAAGCTAAACAAATAAACAAACAATGTTGGTGAAAATTATTTATTTTTTATAAATTTTAATAAAAGCAAATAATTTTTTTTTATGAAAAATAAAATATTTTCCTTTAAATAAAAATATGTTTTCTATTAATCAAAAGGGTTCTAGTAAAATATCTTATCCTTAACCTAATTCCCATATATATGCTCCTGCAATATTTTCTTACTCAAAAAGCTTGAGCCTTTCGTCAATAAATTTCAAACAGGGGTAATAATATCTAACACTTTCCTCATCTGATGATCTAAATACACATTCTTTCAAAGTATCTACCCATTTCACTGAATCAATTTCTTTTTCTTCAATAAGTTTCTTAAACCTTGTTAATTAAAGATTTTATTAGGTTTTTATCAGCTTGCAAAACTTAAAAGATAAAAATTTGAATAAAATATTTATTTTTAAGCTTTAAACACCTGAAATAATAAATATCAAATGATAATATTTTTTAATTACTCTTCTCCCATGATATAATCTACTCTGCCTGAAATCTTAAATCCATAAAACGGTATTCCCTTTGTTAAAGAATTATTGATTAATTTAATCCTTTAAAAAAATTTTACAATTAATATTTTAGGACGATGCTTTTAGTCAAAAAAGTTAATATTTTCTTATATCCAATTGATAGGATTAATAGGATAATAACCATCAATAATCTAATGGTAATCATAAGCACTTACTAATAATCTATCAACTAAATCAAGTAGAACAACCATGTGAGACTATTTCCACTTAAATCTATCTTACTTTCCCTATGTTTTTAAATTTATTATCTAAATTAATGGCTTTCTGTTATAAAATTGATATACTAAAAGGCATGCAAAAAAAAGCTTATTATGCTTATCTCTGATAAGTTGACTTAGTTCTCTAACAAAAGCAATTTAATCATACTGTCTAGATGCTTAAAAATATGATAGAAATACAGAATCTAAAACAAATCCATCAAATTTATCTATGTACTTAGCAATTTGATCAAGAACTTTTTATCTAGCCCACATATCTTTAAAGCTAATAAGGGTTTATTCATCTGATAAATAAATTCTTGGGAGAATTTTAATATTTGTTGAATTATCTTTATTAAGTTCTCTTATTTGACTTAAGAAATTTTCATCAATATTATGTTCTCCATCAAGCTATTTTTGAAATTAAAATAAAATCATAAGTACCATAAAAGAGAATATCTATCTATAGTAATTACTTTTTAATAGTCTCCTTAATCTTTTATTTCAAACCAGACAGGACTAAGATAAGTAAACTTATCTTTAAATTTTAACGCTCTTTCAAAACCCTATTTATTCCTTTGAAAATAATGAGTTTTTCAATTTAAAAAAATATTATACCAAGGTGTTAAGAAAGCAAAGGTCTCTCCCTTAAACTATTTAGATTTATATATATTCTTTGTCTTTTTTAATGTTTCTAATGCATTTTCAATATTTTCTTTCTCTTTATTAGCTTATATATTTGTTGAAAACGTATTATTTATAAAATTATTATTTCATGTATTATGTAATCTATTTATGTTACTTTAGAGAAGAGAGCCCTATATTTCTTATACAATAGCAAGCAAAACAAATAAACAAATGGCTAGCTTAAGTGTACTCATTACAGAATTGGTAATACCTTGTTATGAAATTTAATTCAAAGTTATGAAAAAATTGTTTCAAATCTTAAACAAATTTAAGATTATTATTCTGATCAATTTTTAAATTTTAATTAGATTTCACAATTTTAATGATTCATAACAAATTAATTTATTAACAACCATATCTTTCTAGATCTTAGAATCAAAAATATTTTTTAAATAAATTATTTAAACTACTAAATAAATTAGAAAAATTAATTTTTAATTCTTAATTATTTAAAAAAATATATTTTTCTTTTTTAAAAATGTAAAATCTTGTGATGATTTATATATTCAAATGATATAATATTTTTAAGATAAATAAATAATTTTTATTCATAAAAATACTATAATCTTTAATTCTATTAAAACTTATTTGAGATTCAAAAATATTTTTTTTTATTTAGAAAAAAATTATATTTCAAATTATTTAAAGCTCCAATTAATAATGTTTTTCATTTGTTTTTAGTTATCATAAGCTTTATATCAATTAATATTCAATTAATTGTGATTAATTCTATAATTCTAGGAAATAAATTTTTATGTAGATGAAATGTATTAAATCGACAAATGTTTGATTTGTGAAGCAAGTTATAATGGAATTTTAAATGCTCTATGGTTTTTAAGCTTATGATTATCTATCTATCTATTTAGTTATCTATCTTTTTCACTTTGTTTTTATTTCAAATGATTGATTTAATTAAAAAATCAAGTAAAATTATTAGATATTTAAGATTTTTCTCTTAATCAAATAAAACAAAGAAGGATGATAAGAAATATTTTAGGAAAAATAGCTGTTATCATTTGTATAATAAAGATTTAACTATTTAATTGCTTAGAAGTAATTAAGGAAATAGATGAGCATATTAAATATTATGAATCTAGTGAAGCTAAAGAAAAGCTTTTAGAGTTATTCAAATATAACTGCACTTAAAGCAATTTAGGAGAATTAATAAATTAATATGCTAATTTGATTTATTATGGATAAAATGATGATAACAATTCCTTAAAATTATCATATTATTTTTATAAGTTGGCTGCATATTATGGGTAATAAGATGCCCTCTTTATGACTAGCTTATTCAGCAACTTTAGATTGGATGGTAGCTATAATATTCTCTAAAACTTAGATAGATTACTTGAAAAAGCTAAGAATACTATTTCTGATATCAACAATTAAACTAGTTCTTATAGTTTAGACAATTTATCTTAACTAGAACTATTGTCAATATACTAATATGTCTCTGAAAAGAGAAATTCTTCTTCAGTTCTTGATTTATATTTATCATCACAGCAATAGAACTTCTTTTCTAAGCTAGCTTTAGCTCATAAATATATGCATGTAATTAATTATTAAACGTATTTAATTTGATTTTGATTCAAAATCAATTAATCTATCTATCTATCAATCATTCTTTATATCTACTGATTCACTAATATAGTGCAATTTCTTACAGTTAATTTAATTATCTATCTTTAAAATAAATATCTCAAAGTATTTGTATGCACAGCATAACTTTAAAATAGATAATATAAATAAATTATTTTACTTTTTGTTATTTTAAAATCTAGGGAAGAGGAGTTAATATTGATTGTCGTACAGCTTCTCTTTACTTCAAAGACCTAGGAAAAGATTAATATCTAGATTCTGATTAAGTTCCAAATTTAAGTAAAATTATAAGGCTAGACCTTTAGATTTACAGCATGACTTCGAATTTATTTAGCTTTAATCTTAACTCAGATAAGATAAAAATACTTGAGACTTTCAAACATATTAGCTTAAATTATCAAAGCAGTAATTTAGGAGAATTACTTAATTTAGCAGAATCTTATTTTTATGGCATAAATGGAGTAAGAAGGGACTTTAATAAATCGTTTGAGATTTATTAATCTATATATAGTAAAAAGAATATAAGTTAGGTAAATTATTTTATTTTGTCATTCATAAAAAAATTTTAAAAAATGATTCTAGAATATAAACACCTTCAAAGCAGGAGCAATGCTAGGATACCATTATATGAGAGGTTATGGGGTTAAAAAAGTAAAATTTACTAATAAATTATCTTTAAAATTAAACGAATTAATTATGATTTTAAAAGGATTATTAAATGTCATTTAGCATATTTTAGTCCTTGTCTGACTAAGGGGATACTATATCTCTAAATGGATTAGGTAAATTTTATAATATAATGCAACAAATTATTAAGTTATTTCTTTAACTTCGACAAAGGTTATTTATACTACAATGGATATGGAGTGAAGAAAGATTAGAGAAAAGCAATCTCTTTATTTAAAAGTAATTTTTGATATTTTATATTAGCTTTTATTGAAAATTTTAATAATTTAGAATCAGCAAGCTTGAAAGATGTAAATGGAATGTACAACTATGGTGTTATTCATATGCTTCCTTCTACCGATATCCACCTAAGAGACAAATAAATAGCTCACCAATACCTAAATTTGGCATCAGAAAAAGGCCATGCTTTAGCATAATATGCTTTAGGTACAAAGAATACATGTTTTAATATTTTACTAATATTTAAAATTAAAAGGTTTACTTTATCTAGATGGCGTCGATTTTTATTAATCTTGTGAGCTTTCCACACTTTTGATGAGCAGGAGCATGTCAAGAAGTGCTTCAAGTCACTTTTAAAACTCAGCTAATTATTTGTATTCACTCAATAACTATAGACAATCCCATTTAAACTATTTGATATCAGGCTATTTAGGAGATGATGTAAATATTTTTTAATGAAGTTTTGTAAAAATTATAACATTTATTTAAATTAATAATTAAATTTCAGGTTTCATTACAAAATGCAGCAATATTAGCAGATAAATACTCTGGGATTTACACTTACAATGATATAAATTTTTATGATTTAGAAAATGAATTGAAATAAGATCCTATTTACAATCTACTAGTAGAAAAGAAATTTATAGAAATTGATTTCCATGAGTTATTATTTGAAGATATTTTGTAAATGGTGAAAAATAAAACAACTTTGAATAATTTACTTAAAATCGAAAAAAATTCTTCCAAAAATTCTATAAGTGGATATGTTTCATATTAGCTTCTAAAGACTTCAATAAGTTAAAGTGGATATAGTAATTTAAGATTAGGTGACTATTTTTATTATGGAATTAATGTTAAACAAAGCTATTCAAAAGCATATTAATACTACAAATTAGCTGCTGAAAAAAAAGACTCAAACATTATTGATTAGGTAAGCTATATTTAAGCATAGGGTTACTTCAATTTAGCTTATATGGAGCAGCTAGGCCAAGGTGTTCCTTAAAATTATTAACTTGCTTATATGCATCTTAATTAAAGTCTATCTTTAACAAATGACAATTTTTTGGCTAACGTTCTACTTAGAATAAATTTCCTAGAAGATATTCTTAAAATACATGATCCTGATACTTAAAAGAAAATTATAAATTAGCTGTCAGTTTTTTTCAAATAGCTTTTCAATGATTATAAATCTCTCTTTAAAGTCCTCTCTTGCATACCATTTATTCTAATGATCATATATTTGTATGGTAAGAGGTTGAGAATCAAACATGAGCATAACGTGTGAAAAATTAAATATAAATAACCAAAATATAATAAATAATCTGTAAAATATAATTTATCAAAACTTTAAAAATACTAAATTAAATTAAATAGATTTATATGCCATGTATAGTTAATTTATAGAGTTTATATTTTTGATGAATAAATCTCAATATTTTATTCTTTCAAATATAATTTTTCTATTTATTTCAACTAAGTATTTAACCAAAAATTTAACTTATCTTAAAATAAAAATTAAAACTAGCTGTAATAATTTTAATTAATAAATTATACATTTAGATATATTGAATGTTATACCAATTTTAATACTTAAGTAAAAATAAATAGATAACTCAATAAATAAAAAATTTTAATTACTTTAATTATAATAAATGTTTGATAAACAAATTTAATAAAAAATTTAATTAATTAAAATATTCCTTTTTAAATTTTAAATGTTCTAATTTTTTATTTTTTAAATTAAAATTTAAACTTTTTTATTAACTTTTAAATAGTATTATCTTTATTTATAAAAAGAATACACATTATTTTGCTACCATTTAAAACTTAAACTTAAATACAAACAAAAAGAAATTTTAAATTTTTTAAACTCTGTTTGCGTGAATCTGCAAAAAAATATTATCAACATTATGCAAAAATAAACAACATATTTAATAATCTTAATACTAAAGTAATTTTAATTTTATTTTTTCATTATTTAATTGCCCTAATTTAAATGACTAAATTTTAAAATATAAATATATTCAAAAATGTTAAAGTTGATCATCAATCCATTCTCCTATTATTTTTCTTCCATTAGCTCCTAAAAATTTACCGGTGCCATTTTTTTTTCCATGTACGAATGTACCTTCAAACTTATCTCCATTCTTGTAAAAGTATTCACCTTTTATTAATTTATTTAAATTATATAAGCTTTTTGAAAATTCAATTCTACCTTATCCATGGAAATTATCACGCTCAAAAAATCCTATATACTTATCTCCTGAAGCAAATTCAAGAATTCCCACACCATGTTTCATACCTTAACTCCAATCGCCTTCATACTTATGTCCTCCTAAAAATCTGATAAATAAAAAAGTGATAAAATTCGATTATAATTTGTTAAATTTACTAATATCTTCCATATCCATGGATAATATCATCTTAGAAGAACCCTTCATATTTTTCACCGTTCGCATATAAGTAAACACCCCAACCATCTTTAAGAGATGTTTTATCATCTATCTCACCTTCGTATATGTCCTCGTTTGAGTAAAATATCTTATATTCTTTACAATTCCATTTATTAGTCTAAATATATTCTCTTTTTATTTCAGTCAAGACATTTACTTGTTCATCTTAAGTTGTTTAGTCATTGTTTTCCTTCATTTATTTATTTTTTTAATTTATTTTTATTTCAAATAGAAATATAAAATTTAATAATCAATACATCATATTCATCTTCATCCTACTCTTCTATGACATTATTGTCTTCTAATTATTCATCTTATTCTTAATCTTAAAGCTTATTTTAATCTTCTCCTTCTTCACTGCTAGTCTCATCGAAATTTTCAAAGTTAATTACTCCATTGTAAACTATACCTAAATCTTTAGCATTTTGAATTGCCTTTTTTAGAGCTTTTTATTGCTTTTTCTATTCATCATACATTTCTCTTGTTAAAGTAACGTGATCTTATGGCAATAAACTTCTAGGCTTATCTATGCTTTGACTATTTTCATTTTATTTTTAAATTTAACTGCTATCATTTTATTTTAATTATCCTTAATCATCATTTTAAGTCTATTCAAGTTATTTTTCCTCTAATAAAGGCTATTATTTTTAATTATTAGCTACATTTTAGCTACTTATTTAAGTGGTATCAGATTCATTTGTTGCATAAGCAGTTGTATCAACTGATTTTTCTGTTTACTTTTACTCATCTACTTATTTTACATTTAAGTATTTACTGCGTAATGATTTAAAATACTCCTTTTATTGTTCTGGAGTCATAATTTATTCTTCTTCATCATGAAGGTCATTCATCATCTATTTTGATTTTTAGACTTCTTCGCTTTCTTAATCATCACTCTCATTATTTATAGGCTACAATTTATATTATGCAAAATCCCTATTATGGCATTCATCATTTTTTTATATCATCAAATTAATTTTTTTTTCATTTTCGTTGTCAAGTTGGGTATTAATTTCTTCATCTGGTAATTAATAACCACATTCTTACATTAAATCTAAATAGTTTTATTCCCAATCTATTTCTTCATCTCCAACTGCCTTATTTACTTTTTCTACTTCCTTTTTTAATATTTGAGCTTAAGTAAAAGTATATCTCAAATGTTTATTTACTTTATTCTGTGATTTTATGTTTATTTCCTTATCCTTTTGGCCATTTTATACTTTCACCTGTAAATAAAATGATTGAAATAATTTATAAGCATTAAAGTTAACTAAATAAAAATAACTGTTGTAATCTATTACTTCTTGATTTTTTTCGATATCAATATTTAGTTAAAACTACTTGATAATTTTCATCATTTCTCTTTCGAGCAACTACTCTTCAACAGATTCAAACATTTTAAAAATTATATTATATTGATTTTATTTAAATTTTTGATGTCACAGATTCTTTAGAATTTTTTAATATCTTTTAAGTGAAACAAAAAAATTACTTTTAAAAAAATAACCAAAAATTAATTTAAAAAAAATTAAATATTAAAAATATCAAGCTCATTTTTATAATGACCTTAGATTCTGTCTGTATTAATTATTTTTTAAAATATAACAACTATTTTTAATATTTTAGTTATTTTAAATAAGTTAATTAATTCTGATCTATTATTTTCTATACAATTGATTAACATTTTATTTCATATTCAATTGATACTTTTTATAAAACTGCTATTTTATTCTATAAAATTATATTAAATATAATCTAAAAAAATCTATTCTTTTTTCAAAATTTTTGGTAGTTTTAATTTTTATGGTTTATTATGCTTCTTTTGATAAAAAGATTTAATTTATTATCAAAATTTCTTTAATATTTTTGTTTTTATTCAAATAAATAAAATATGACAGACATAGAAGAAAGCTTAGATAAGTATTATGAGGATAGCGATGAAGATGATAAAAAAAGCTAAAAATCTGATGAAAGTGATGCTAGTGTGAAGGCTTTGAAAAGAAAACTCGAAGCCCTCAAGAATAACGAAATGGATCCAGATGAAGCTGAAAAAAGATATCAAGAAGATTTAAAGTAGGCAAGATTGCTGAAATAGCAAAAAGAATAATAAAAGGAAGAGTAAAAAAAATAAAAAAGCATCAAAAAACAAGAAGAGCAAGCTTATGAAAATGATTTTGGTAGTGATGAAGAATAGCCAAAAAAAATAAACAGTAAATAGAAAGTGGAAGAAGTGGAGGAGGATTATGAGGATAAATTTGAGTTAGAATCTAATTCTTTTAGTATTCGCTCTAAGTAATCAATAAGAAGCTTAAAAGTAGAAGATGAAGATAACAATTATTATACTTTAAAATAATCGAAGTAAGAAAGTACTTAAAAGCCTGCATCAAATCAAAAAATACCTTCTCAAACTAAAACTCCTTCTGTTTAATTTAAAGATAATTTAAAAAAGCCAAGCAATGCGGCTGCAGCAGCGGCCCCTCCTCCAAAGACGATTTAAAAATCAGTAGCGCCAAGACCTTAATCAGCTAAATAAGCTCCATTAAATACAGTCAAATAGGATTCTAAAAAATAACTTCCTTCTGTCAATGGAGTAGATTCCAAACAGAGTAAACCAATAATAAAAGAATCTAAAACACCTGCACCAACTAAAAAATAATAAGTAGATTAGCCTAAAAAAGCCTCTGCTACTCCTAGTCAAACAAAGTTAACTCAACATTAGTTGGATTTGTAAAAGAAAAAAATAGAAAATGAAGAAAGTGAAAAAAAATTAGAAAAAAAACCTAAATTACCTAATATTTAATCAAAAACTCTTAAAGTTAATAACTTTATGAAAGATAAAAATGAAGACCAAAAGAAATCTTCTGATAATAAAAAACAAGAAGATAAACCAGTAGAAAGAAAACCAAAGGATGAACTAGATGAAGATATTTTTGGAGAAACTGAAAAAGAAGAAGGTGATTAAGCACTTGCATAAAATTAAGATGAAGAAGAAGAAAGTGAGGAAACTAAAAAACTTAAAGAAAAATAACTTAGATAACAAATACTTAAGGACTAGAAAGAAAAAAGAAAGAATTAACTAGATAATTAATTGGATAATGTTAAGTAAATACTAAAAAATCATGAATAAAAATAGAAAGAGTTGTAAGAAAAAGAAGATTAGCTTTACATTAGAGAAGCTGTAGAAAAAATAAAGTAAAAAAAGTCTAAATAAAATCTGACATATGAAAACGAAGAGTCTAATTGGGTCGATATCACAAGGAAAGATTACTAGAAAAATGAAAATGAAGACAGAGTTTAGTAATAGGAAAAATTTAGATAGTAAATGCTTAAAAACCTTAAGACTGAAGAAGAAAACTTAAAGAAAAAGAAAACAATGGAACAAATTTAATCAAGGGTATCAACAAGAAATGAGATTAAAGAAAAGAATTGGGATGGGAATTTAGCTTCAAAGAAAGGAACTTTAAATGAAATTTCAAAAATTGAATCAGAAAAAAATGAGATTGCAAGAGAGAACGAGTTTGTCTCTTAAATGAAAAAAATTGAAAGGAAAAAGTATGTTCAATAAAATAAATTTATTTTTGGAAATAAATCTTATATATCAATAGGTATTTAGAGCAACTTGAAATTGAGAAAATGCAAAAGAAGAAAGCCCAGGAGTTTGTTAAAGAAGGTTAAGACAATCTTAAGAAAGGTAACAAAGCTCTTGAAAATATTGAAAAGATTCTCAAAGAAAAAGATGAAAAGAAGTAGAAAGAAAAAGAAAAGAATTATCAGTACGAGGAACAGCAAAAGGAGAAATAACTAAACGATCAAGTAGAAATTAAAAAGCTAAAGGTTATACTGAAGTAATTAATAGAAGAAAACAAGTAGATTTAAGCTGCTTTAGCTAAGCAAAAAGAAAAGTAGCAAAAGAATCAAGAATAAATCAATTCCATCAAAAATAAGAGTGGTGTTGTTGTCTTAGGAGATAACAAATTTACTTCATTTGGATTGGTACCTGCACTAAATAAAAAATAGGAACTAACTGATATCTCTACTAATGATGAGGAATCAGTTAGTATGCTTGGTAAATAAATAAATATTTAAATTAATTTTATTCTAAATTAACTTTTTATATTTGAAGATAAAATCAATGACTAAGAAAAGAGGTATCTTACTTAACTAACTGTTATTGAATTAATTGTTTAAAAAATTACAGATCAAGGCTTAACTTTGTCTGATGTAAAAAAAATTAAAATATGAAATTTAATAATAATCATGATACATTTTTATAATAAATAAGATTTTTTCATTGCTTGATGTGAATAAAGATGGTATATTAACCATAGAAGAAATTGAATAAAATATGAGTAAATTAAATTTTATAAATATGTTTTGTTGCAATAATAAAATTTATGTTTCCTAGGCAAACTTGATTTAGATTTAACTGAAGAAGAAATTTAAGAAATTCTCAAGATTATAGACTCAAACAAAGATGGTGTCATTAATGAATTCGAATTTGTTAAAAATTTAGAAGCATAATATTAAGTAAAAATTATAAACTCTAAATCTATTTTTAAGCTTGACGTATTTGTTAATAGAGCTAAAAGGAGTATAATAGAGTTATGGGAGAGCTAAAAGATATTTAGAATCCTATTGTATTATAAGAAAGAATTTTAGACTTAGAAGTCAGATAGAGAGTAGTTATTAAATGTATAAAGAAAGAAGAGGAAAAAGAAATAGGAAAAGGACCTGAATATCAAAAATATTTAGAGAAATTAAAGAAGTAGGAAGAAGTTTTTGAAAAAAGATAGAAATTTAGAAAGTAAGGTAAGGACATGACTGAATTAACTGCTAAGGCTGGGTAATTAAAATTACAACAGAAGAAGCTAGAAGATGAAAAAGAAATGCTAGTAATAATGCAAAGAGAAAGAATGGAAGCTATTTAGGAAAATATTGGTAAGCTCACTGAGGAACTAATGCAAATGAGTGAGATCGTTATTAAAGCAAAGAATATAGTTGATAAAGAGAGAAATGATTACTAAAAATTAGTTATTAAGCAAGTTGCAATAGATAGGCTGTAAGAATAAGTTGATGATTAACGTAGATAAAAAGAAATTGAATAATAAAAATAAGCTTAAAAGTTCTAGAATAATATAAGATAGAAAGCTAAAAATATATAATATTAGCAACAATAAAAGTTATCTGTATAAAATGTAGTTGGAGCAACTATTTTGCTACAAAAAATATATAGAGGATGGAAATCAAGAGTGCAAGCAAAAAAATAAAAAGAAAAGTTGATGAGAGCTTGCACCTTCATATAAGTTTATTTTAAATGGTACCATAAAAAGAAGAAAACAAGAAACTTTGTATCAAAGTTAAATGATCTAGTACGTAGACGTAAAATACTAGCACTAAAACTTCTTTAGACAGTATTTTGCCATATGCAAAATAAATTAGCTCCTAAAGTTGCACTAATTGCCTTAAAGCAGTTGCTAACTAGAGAAGAATACAGTTTCATAGATTAAAGATAAGCAAAAATTTAACAGTATATTAATAGATAGAAATAAGCTAAGCCTGTAGAGGATGATGTATTTGGCCAAGAAGAATAAGAAAAAGGAGTAAACAGCAGTTCTATGCAGTAGCATTAATAACCTGCTTACGAATAAAAAATAAAATAAGGTGCAAAAGATGTTAAAGAATTATTTAGAGCACAAGAACTGCCAGCCATCATTACAATATAACGTGGAATTAGAAAACTTTAAAATGTTATTGGTCTAAATTCCAAAAACAAAATTACCTTTACTATGGGTGATATCTCTCCAGTTTGTAGAATTTGCTAAGTTAACTAAGTATAAATTTTATGTAGAAGCTGTGAATAATGTGTCTTTTGTAAGTCTTGCTATGAAAAATACCACAAATCTTACCATAGAAAGAACCATCGTTTTTATGATATAAATACTGCAAACTATACTGATTTTGATACTGGATATGATAAAGAAAAAGTATATAATGTGCTCAAAGACTATTTAGATGAATTATAAAAACTATTCTCTATCGATTTTAATACTGGATATATTCCACTTGAATAAGTTATTACATTCTACTAATAAAAAATACATATTTTTTCTTAAAATAAAAATTTATTTTAATAAGCATGCAAGTATGCTGAACGTTATGTTGAAAAAGATAACGTTGTTTTGAAATCTTTTCAAGAGCAAAGTTTTGAACAAAAGTATGATCCTTCTAAAAAGTATATTGATCACAATATGTTCATTAGAAGTTTTCTTTAATTTAATAAAGCATCACATGATTGATATTATATTAAAATATGAATTATTCTAAAAAATTAAAGTATTTTGTTTTTATTTAAAATTTATGTAAAAAAATTTAATTTTATTCAAATCAATAATTTTTTCTTTTGGCTTTTCATTTAAAAATTTTATTTTTATAAATATAATTGCTTTCTTTAAGTCTTTAAGATAAATACTTTAAAAAATCTAAAAATTATTAAAATAAATTTACATAAATTCTTCAAAAAAAATGATAATTAAAATTTATGTAAATTTTCGAATGATTAGACTAAAAGCAAATAAAATTTAACCCAAAAAAATTTAAAGAATCATTTATTTATTTTAAAAATCTCTACATTTAATGTGTTGATTTGTCATATACAAAACTAAATATTAAGCAATTTATATGAAAAAAAAATTGAAAATTTTGCTTGAGTTTTTTGAAATAGGAAAAAATTTTATCTATCAAAATATAAACTAAAAAAACTCAAATTTAGATAAATTTTTAGTTTTAAATTTCAGATCAAAATAATTCATTAATTTTTAAATTCTTGCAAAAGAATAGAAGAGAAAATATTTTAAAACTATTTAGAAAGAGGGTCTTATCAACTAACTAACTAATTATAAATAAATTTAAATTGAATGTAATTTATTATCTGAATATTTTTGGAGTAATCTTAATTTTACTGATCGATTACTTTTAATTAGGTATTATGATATTTTAATTTTATGAGTCTGCTTTTTAGATTTTACTTTATTTTTATTATAAAATAAATTAGTTGGAAAATAGATAATTACAAGTTTATAGGTAGGAGTTTGCATAATATGTAATTTAAGATCCTTTTGTTTATTACTGCTATTACCTTAATTAACTTGATGAATTTTTAAATAAATTATCAAGATTTGTTTTTTATTTTTAATATTTATTTATTATTGTTGTTGTTATTTATTTATTTTGTGTCTATATAATTAGATATAATTTGAATTGAAAAGAGTTTATTTATTTATTTATTTATATAACTATTTAGTGAGGATTTTATATTTTAAGTAAAATTTATCTTTCAATGTGGCTAAACTTAAACAGTTTTTTACACATTTTAGAAATCTTCATTATCATCAATTTAAAAGGATTCTTCTGAAGAAGATTGGATAATATCGCCCAATTAAGTATGATCGATTTTAACATTATCTTTTTATAAAATATCATTATGGTTAATATGGAAATCGCTGGCGATACTGCAGATGTCAGAATTCGATCTATTTAATCCATTTTAGAATTACCAAAGATTTGAAGAATTGAGCGATGTACCTTTTTTTACAGCTTATTCGTTTTAAGGAGTGTCATCATCACTTTCTATTTTTTTGAAAATAGGATTTATGCTTGTCTCTAAGTTACCTACGCTTTCTTTGCTTTGAATTTGTTACTAAGAAGATGGCTATTCCTGCATATTTCCTGTAGAGAGTAAAAATTATTTAACATATTTTGTAGATTTCATTTATAATTACTCCTATATAGAGAATTATTTTGAATGATCGTTGCTAAATACTCCTTACGAAGGAATCAAATTTTCACTATTAATGTTGCTTGCTAGCGTGTATTAATTATTACTAAAATGTGAAGATTTTTGTACTTTTGCCTCAAAAAAATTTCCGTTTTTCTATGAAGAGTTCAAGTTATAATAGTTTTACACTGGTTGTGCTTATTATCTTTCAGGATTTTAGACAATGCATGAGGAAGTAAAATCTTCACTCATTCTCTTAGCACGAGTGTCAATTTATTCCTCTGATTCAACTTTCTCAGCTACGTCATTTGTATTTGATCTTGAGCGTAAACCTTAAACTTCTATCTCAGAATTGTCTATAAAATGTTGAATCACTGGATTAGCAGCTCCAGCTGATACAGCTGATTAATTTGATTAATGTTGTTACAACTATATAGATTTTATCCCTTCCTGTAATTAAGCTCCAGAAAAAATATTTGAAGTGTTATTGATGCTGCTCTATGATGGTAAATTAACTTGAGCTTCATTCTTATTAGCAAAAGTAGAATTGTTATTGCTATTATTGTTGTTATTGCTTAAATTGGTAGGATTTAGTTGGAATTGTAAAAGATTTGTACTTGGATTTGCATTCACTATATTATCTGTGTATTAAATTGGTGAACATAAATTACTGCTATGGCCTCCACTTACTTGGCTATTTGTGTTTGAATTATAGTTTTATGTTGAATTAAATACACTCATATTGCTTCCTAAAGTATTTTACTAAGTTGATATGATTTAATGCTAGCTATTTTATAGAACTGACTGAGGCTATTTATTTGTTTCAATCTAATACTAAAGTTGCTGCTATTACTACTACTACTGTTGCTAATGCTCATTCTTCAAGAAAACAGCTTTTTCTGAAGGAATGCGGCTTTTTTCATAAAGCAAACGTAAACGTAACTACGAAGTTTGGGGAGTTTTTTACTATTTCTAGTTTATATGAATAAAATTTGTTGGTAAGTCTTACATCCCAGTAGTCATTAATTGTTTAAATTATTGAAGTTTCATCTTATATTCTTTCTTTTTTCTAAGGAGAGAATCATCTTTTTCACTTTCATCTTCATATTCGCTTTCAGTATTCATCTAATTTTTTGGAATATTTGTGCAGCTATTTTCACCGCATTAAACTTCTTTTATATTAAAAATGTCTTCTCTAAATTAGGAAACATTTATATTGCTCCCTTAGATATTGCTTTTATATACTTTGCAGCTATTATCTCCAAAACATTTTTAGACAGACTCGCCAAAGAAACCAGATTACTTAAAATATTGATCACCATTCTGATTATTTCTGCTTTTAGTAGGACTTTCTATTTAAGTATTATGTGGTCTGCTATTCCTTTTCTTCTCTACTATATGCTTTGAACTTTCACTTATTACTGGAGAATCTTCATTTTTCATTTACAAATTGTCAGCACTACCTTCAAATCGATTGCTTAATTATATTTTGTTATGGTGATTTTTGATTCTCAAACTGTAGTTATTTGAGTTGTTATATTTTTATGATTACATTTTATTTGTAAAAGCAAAAGTGAGTTAATTTGGGTAGTTTGAATCGCTACCATTACTATCCTTTTTTACAAGAACAGTTGATTAATTAGCTTTTATCAAACTTAACTCCATGTATTTCTTAGAGTCTATTGTACAGCCTTTATCACTATCTTAAGGTGAATGGAATAAATTTAAAACAGTTGATTTATTCATATTTAAATTCAATTCATTTCTATTCCTAACATCATTATTGCTGCAAACTAAGAACCAAGGATGTGAAAGAGCTTCAGAAGCAGTTAGACGTTCAGCAGGATCTTTTCTAAGCATTCTCCTAATAAAATCTTTAGAGATATCATCCAAATCTTTAATATAATCCTGGTTATACTGAGCATTACGTATGAATTCTATCTTATCACTAATATATTCCTAATCAAAAGGCAAGCGTCCAGTTAGCAAGTAGTAAGCAATTACACCAATAGCCCAAATATCTACAGCTTCAGTATATCCAGCCGATTCAAACATTTCTGGGCTCTAAAAATCAAGAGTGCCTGTACGAGTCCACATTTCACAGACCTTTAAAACTCCTGTCTTGTTTTATCTAAAATATTTGAATCTTTTGCTTATCTCAAAGTCAATAATTTTGATGTTTTGCAAATCATTGCTAATTAAAATATTATCTGGCTTCAAATCACGATGACATATTCCCTCACTATGTAAATATTCTACAGCAGTAATAATTTCTTTTAAAATCCTTTTAATTAGATCATGGTCGATTTTACTTTGATAAGAAGAGTTAAATTAAACTTTTCTTTTTTGTGATTTATTCCTAACACTTTTTTCTTCACTGCCTTCTATCTTTTTTTGAGAATCAATTTTCGTATCGTCTTCATCTTATGCATTTAAGTTATTATTCACTATCTCATTTTACTGTTATTTTAAATTGTCACTTGATCCTAGCTATTAATAAAGCTTTATAAGGTGATCATCCTCCTTTGCTTAATTATCTTCTTGCCTCCTTTTTTTCTATTTTTTTTTTCTATCCTTTTTTTTAGTAGCTTTATTTGAAGCACCCTCAAAATTTAAATTCTTCTGGCTATCTAAAGAGTTAGACTCATCTTCTAAATTATCAGTGCTTGTTGTTTTCATTTTACTCATACTGCGATGATCTCTCTTATGAGGTGAAAGACTCCACAAATTCTCTATGTAATCCTAAAGTGAACCATATTCACAATACTCCATAACGTAATAAATTTTTTCAGTCTCTTAGTTGATAAAAAGTTCATAAGGTTTTATAATTGATGGATGATTTAAATTTTTTGCTATTTTAAAAGAAGTAATAGCAGAAAGAATAATTTCAGTATCTCCGTTTCTAATCATTTTTACTGCATAAACTTATTGACTCTTTTTATGAATGCATTTTCTAACATCACCCTGAGAACCTTCTCCAAGCTTTTCACCTATTAGCTCATAATTTTCCTCAAAAATCCTAGTCTAATTTATAATTGATGAATCTTTTTATGGTTTTTGCTCTCTATTATTTATATAAAAATTGTTTTTAAAGAATATTATTAAGTTTCATAAATTTAGCAAATTGTCACAAAGAGTTTAGTTCAAATTTTTAAACAAATAAAATTTGATAAGTGCTTAAACTATTTCACTATAGGTCGTTCGTTTTTTAATTATTTAATAAGCACTTAATATTCTAAATTGAATAAATTACAACAATTAGTACTACCATGTGCTGATATTAAGTTAATCTTTTATAAATTAAAGATGAAGCTTGTTGAATATTATCAAAGTATCTATTACACTTTATATATGTAAATTAATTAAGAAAAATTTTTTCTACTTTTTAAATATTGTCTATGACAAGTAAAAAATATTCAAACTAAATTTCGCTTTCTAAATATTCTATTTTTGTTGAATCTGTTTTTAATATAAAGACCTTACTAGCAAATATTGTTAAAAGCAAGCAGCTTTTATTTTTTAAAGCGCCAATATTTTGGATACTTATTTATTTATATATTAACTAACTTACAAGTAAAATTGCTTTTTTTTCCATATGAGACACATACCATATATTTAAAAATGTAAATTACTCGAATATTTTATTTATGATGGGATCATTCATGCGAACTTTGTTAGAGTTATTGCTTCCTGTAAAGTTAAACTCAATTCGTGGACACTGTTCGATTTTAACTGAATTAGTTAAAACAGTTTATAGCTTAAATAAATCTTCATCTTCCTATGGAATCTAATTTTCATCATTAACTAGCTTTTATGCCTAATTCTGAATTTATTAATCCTATTCATTAAAATTTGACCCTTTTCCTAATATACCAGATTGTGAAAACAATTATTAAACATTATTTTGACTTCCACTATTTTGAGGAGCAATACTTTAGCTACTTCCTTCAGGATTTATTTTTTTCGTTATTCCTTTAAATAGTGTTTCTTTGATGCTATTTCTCATTCTATTCATGGCTTATTTTTTTTAATGTTAGCTAGTTTCCTTTTCTTGGACTTATGCATTTTTTATGCTTGTACTATTAGGCTACTAAATACTTTCATGTTAATCTTATGTTAAATTTTAATTATTACTTCTTTCATTTTCCTAATGCTTATCTTTTAAATCTGCATTTTAATCTGTTAGAATATCCAACCCTTGAACTAAGTTTGGCTTCATCTCTGCATTAGAGCCTTCTGCCTTATCCATCTGATAAAGATTGAAATATTTTAATTTATTCTTGAATCACTTAGACTCTTGTAAATATATATTGCTTCCTTCTTATTGATAGTGATTTTGCTCTTTTAATTATCTCTTAGTTTTTATTGTATTTTGCAATTATTCTTTCTTGAAAAAAATAAATATTAGTAATTGAATTCACTGTGTTATACATACAAACAACATCAAGTACTCTCTTAAATCTTGTTGTTTATCCTTCTTAAAACTTTATTTGGTTTCTAGTAATTTACATAAGCCATACATCATAATCTCGTATTTTTTACTTCTAATTTCTAAAAATTAAATCGTAATTATTAAACTCTAATTTAGAAACCTTCTCATTAAAGTATATTTAAGCTTCATAAGGTATTAAAATCAGATTTTTTATGTTGACCAAAATTTCTTCAATTATAAAAAAATAGTACATTTTTACGTTTATTTTTAAGTTATGATAATTAGAAGTATAGATTAAAATTATCAATCAATGTATAAATAGCATAAATAAATAAATAAATAATAATTAATGAATAATAATTGATAGTAATTATTAACAACAATTTTATGAATTTCCTTTAAAAGTGTATTTTACAATAAATTAATTATATAAACATTTTTATTTTTCAAATTTCAAATTTTCACTTTGCAACCTTAATTTTTTTAATTTATCATTTTAAAAATCAATTTATTTTTTATTTTTTTAACACTTTTTATTATTAATTTATAAAAGTAGTTTTAAGTTATAAGAATTTGACAAAAAGCAATTTGGCACTATAATTTAAATAAAACCAAACATTAATTAGTCTAAGCATCAATAATTAATGCTAATCAAATAAATAATTTTACAGAGATCATTCCTGAAAAAATCAAAAATTCCATATATTAATTTATTTGGTTATTTATCATAAATATTTTTATGATCTAGTTAATATTATTTGAAAAAAAAATAATAATAATTGGCATGTTAATGCAGAGGAAAGTCAAAGTTTTAATCTTAAATTTATCTAAAATTTTTAATTTCTTAAACTTTTTTTAATTAAAAAATATAAATGATTAATTTATCAAAAAATATTTACTAAAACTGTAAAGAATTTTTAATTTTAAAAAAAATTAGACAAAATATTTTTTGTATTTTGTAAAATTACTTAGAATTTTAATTATTGATAGAGCTAAAAGTATAGAATATACTGATATAAAAACCATTTGTCTAACAATAAAATGAATTAGTACAATTTATATATTTAAATATATATTTTTAATTTAAAATTAATACAAATAATAAATTAAAATAATTTTTTATAATTAATTAAATTTAGTAATTTAAAATGGAATTTTCTTTATTTAAAATATAATTTTTTTGATCTTAGCTTAAATAGTTCTTAATTATTTAATTTGGTTAAGCATATCAGTAATCATCTTATTCTTCTTCAATATTCGCCATAAGCTACTTTGCACAAATGAAAAGGATTATGAATCCTATTGAAATTAGAAGAGTAGAAAATATATCAACTAATTCCTTCACAACACTTTTTTTAAATTTGTTTGTGCAATTTGTGCATAAACTCATGTTCAAGATTTCACCTCCTTCTAATAATAGTACTGAATTTCTTTAATTATTAATATAATATTGCTTATCGCTTGTTTAAATAAATATTTTACAATTATTAGGCATTTTCATCACCTTCATATGCACTAAAGTCTTTGATAATATGATTTTTAATTCTGTCTCTTACTTCTTTAATCTAAAACATTTCTAATAAAATTTATATTTAAAATAAATCTAATAAAAGCTTTTAATAAAAATAGCTTTGTAAATATCATTTCTACTTTATTCATTTTCTTTAAGTAAAGTATTCAATTTAGTTTGGCTTTTAATAAGTTCTCAATTTATCGAGAAAGAAATATTAAAAATATTACCAGTTTATTAGAATTTATTGATACTATTTATTTTACTCATTTCTAGTAAAAAAATTTAATTGTGTTATTCTTAATCCTGAGTTAGCTTTTAATTTTTTTATATACTTCAAATAAAATATAATTATATTTTTATATTTTACGATGCATAAGAAATTTCCATTCTCTGAGAAGTGCATTTTTTTAATTTTGAAACCTTCTTTAATTAGTTTAGAATAGTTTGTAGGTTCAATATCAATTATTCCTATCATCGAAGGAATGCTGAATATTTATATAAAAATATTAGTTTATTATTGCAAAATTTTAATAGCTTACGAAAAATCAACCAGTATTAAAAACTAGTCTAATATATTAACAACAAATTTGTTTCTCATCTTACTGTATGCTGTGTGCACATGAGGAAATAAATTATTTTCAAAGATGTCTATGTTTCTCATCTTGATATGTTTATTAAAATCAGTTTTATATTAATTATTTTAATTTAATTACATATTGAGAAACATTTTTGCTAAAAAGTGTTTGAGCTTCTTCTCTATTGAAAAAGAACCTAGTGTTATCAATTTTAGGTATTTCTTCTCTATTTTAATCAAATTTTGTTTTATATAGTTCACATTCAATAAATACATCTTCGCTGTTTCCTCTTAATTTTTATTAATTAAAATAAATTTCATGTTTTAATATAATTTTAATAATCGTTACTTCAGGACTATTGCTATAAATTTTTATGTAAAGCCTCCCTTTTCTTCTAAAATATCTACTACCTATATGCTGAGTACCTGCACATAGTCTTTGTCAATATAAGAAAAATTAGGAAGATTAATTTTTTGTAATTAGGCTTCATCCTAATTGCTTTAATATATAAAATTGTATTATAACTTTATTCAATTAGTAGTTTTAGTATAGCGAGTAAATTAATTACTTTGAAATTTTTATTGTCTTCATAAGAGAGCGATCAGCCAAAGAAGAGTATATAATTAAATTTTTATAATATGTCATTCTTAAAATTTATGTATAGTTCATGGGAATTTCCAAATAATTTTTTTAGTCATACTTTGTTTCTTTTGTTAGCTTAAATATGTCTTCAATTCTGAAATTGTGTTTTTATTAATAAAATTTCATTTGTGTTTAGACGCTTTCTTGCTGTTCTGATGATTGATCATTCATTTTATTGTCATTTTTATAAAAACTAGAAAACTAATTCTTTTATTTTTGGCAGAAAGAAGTTGAGTTATAAACACGAATAAAAGATTGATTCTATGTATCTATGTAGTTAATTAAAAAATTTTGTTTCTAAGTATCAAATTGAATATCCTTGATAACTCCATTTATCTTATGAAGAGTGCATAAGCGCCATTAAATATCAGAATTTCTTTCATAGCTAATATTCCCAAACAACTTCTCATCTTACATTTCCATAATACTAACAACTATTTATAAAAGAAATTAATTTTCAATATTTTTTACTCAGTTTCTCCTTGCTTAATATGAATTCCTAAGTAAGTAAGTAAGTAATTTTAAAATATATTTCTCCTTCATCAACTTTAAAACAAATATATGTTTTTCTATCATAGTTTTATGCAAATTGTATATTTTCTTTAAATTACTAAATTTGAATGATTTCTTTTTTTTTTTGGAGAAGAATTTGGCTTTAAATTTTTCTCAAAGTAAGAAATTAGTTTTTTTACTCTTTAAAATTTATATGCTAATATATTAATTACATGAGTAGGATTAATCATCTGTGAAGAGGAACTTGTTATCGATAGAAACTAAATAAACTTTATCATTATATTAATCTAAAATGATTTCATTTTTTGTTGTCTTTGATACAAATCTCTTCGATAAGTCTGATACTTTCTAGTTAATAAATTTTTCAAAAAGAGCCTCATCACTGCCTTATGCTCTAATCATACTATCATTTTATTGCTTTTAAGTTTCTTGAAATATTTCGTCATAAATGTTTTTGTTAGCTAAATTGCTATCTAAATCTTAGCAGTTAGTTGATGATTAACTTGCATTATTTCTAGGATTGTAGTACAACTCATATTTTGCCTTTAAACTTTCTACAAGCGATTCTTTGTATTTTTATAATTCATCGCCCATGTTCCTGTAATATTTAAGCTCTGCATCAATAATTGAAAAGTTTGATGTAACCAAATTAATAAAATCTGGCAAGATCAAAGATAACACAACCAAAACAGTTAAGTATATCGAACTGTGCATTTTCTTAAGCTCAAAATAAATTATTATTTGTTTTGATATTTTAAAATCTCTCTAATTATACTTCCTCTAAAATCTTCCTGTAAATCTACTTTCCTAGTGCTATGAATTTTTAACTCTAAAATTAGTTTTTATGTTTAAATAGTCTTATTTTACTAAAATTTTCTTTAATGCAAATTATACAATATTGTTACTTAATATTTCTTAATAAAAATAATTCTGATTTATCAATATAAAGACATCTATCTACTCTATATTTAAATAATTTGACAAATGCAATTAAAAAGAAGAAATTTATTTTGAAATAAATAAGCAGTGACATCAAAAATAACAACAAAAATCGAATATTTAAATATATAATTTTTTAACTAGATTAAATCTTAAAACTAAAAGACACGTTTATTTGAAAGGATTAAATTCGTTTATTTATTTTTTAATTTACTTAACAGAAAATAAAAATTTTATCTAAGTTTAAGTTAATTTTAAAGGAATAATCTATTGAATAAACATTTAAATGCTTATCATTTTAATATTCATTCATTAGCTAAGTTGATTGCTTCAATAGGAGTAACTTATTAGAAAACGTAACAATCTTCTTTAATTCTTTTTTTATAATAAAGCAGTTTATTTATTTAAAATAGTTATTGAATTTAAGAAATTTACTTTATCCTTTAGCCATTTGTTGAAAACTTTAGAATAGCTTTAGGGTACTAAATAAGTATGCTATTTAATGGAAATTTAGTATTAAAAGCATTTTATAAGTTTTTGTGTAAAGTTATGCCACCTCTTACCTTTCCATCTTCTAAGAATTATTTTAATAAGAATTAAATATTTTTATAAATTGATTTTAGATTAATAAATTACCTAATTGTTAAAATTTTTTAGTCATTTATCTCCCTATAATAAATTCTGTTTATCCATCAAACTTTAAAATTAAAAATTTTTTAAAACAAATAATTTGAAAATTAAAGCATTTACTGTAGACAGATATCTTTCTCCCACTCTTGATACCATTTTATACCAAATTGTGTGACTAGATGAAGAATTAGAGGAAATTTAAGAAGAATTTATTGACTTGCAATTTGATAAAACTGAAAATGCTTACTAATCTGAAAGTTTATTTTGAGATATAACTTCACTCCTTGCTTCGCTTTATTGACCAATATTTTTGAATATCTCTTCATTGAAAAATCCAGTTTAGTCATTGTTTTTATCAGATTGAAGAAGATAGGAATCATTATTAATTTATTGAATGTCTTGTAAATTATATTTATTGAATAATATTTATTTGCATTCTCTAAATTCTTGAGTTTAAAGGCTACTATTCCTTGACTGCTACAACTTTTATGAGAATGCATATCCATTGCTACTTGTTTCCCCTCTAAATTCCTGATTTTTATATATTTGTCCAGATTTATTTGAAGGCATTTTTATTTGGTTCTATTTTTCTTCATTTTTAGTTAAGAAAGGGCTTACATTTTAATAATTCGGGTTTATATTTTCAAGTTCTTAAAATTAAAAATTTCTCTATGTTTAAGTTTCTACAGAGTTATCAAAATAGTATTATTTTTTATTGCTCGATATAAGATTATTTAATATAGGAGTTGTATGTATTGGAAAAGGATGTAAAGAACTTCTCTAAGTTACATTTAGCCTATTTTCATTTGTTAAATCAGCTAAAGCTACTGGAGACTGACTGTATTAATTGTAACACTTTTCATTATTTCTTATAGATTTATTTAGCTTAATTTATTAAGGAGTGTATGGACTTTTAGTAGATTAATTTTCTTCTTCAATAAACGATTTGATTCTGTTATTATTGCTTAAAGGTTATCTGTAAGATAAATCTTAAGAGTTTTGTGTGTAATTTATTTATGATATATTAACTTATTGTTTTTGCCAATTTAAATCTTAATCTATCATAAAATTTGTTTAATTTATTCTTGGGGTTTAGGATCTTTATTAGCCTTATTTTTTATTTTTTAGTTTTTATTCATCTAACAAATTCATTCTTATTTAACCTTAAAAATGTTATGATTAATTTAAATCATTATACCCATTTTGCTATAGCTAATTTTAATGTAAGATATTATCTAATTAAAATTTATTGGCTGCTGTGTTAACTTAATTTTTATTTACATTTTCATTTATGTTTTAAAGATTTTAAAGTTAAACATAATTTGCTTCTTTATCTGACATTGCTTTGTAATTTTCAAAGCAATCATCTACAGATTTCCCTGATTTTTATATTAAACTAATTGAGCGGTAGGTCTATTTAACTTAAGGAGGAGTGCTTTTTTTAGTGTTTTTAAGGCCAAAAAATGCTTCCCATGATGAATTTTTATTTTAACTCTATTTTTAACCTGAACGAGATTACATGCATTCATGCTAATTTGAGTCAGAATTAATTTAACTCATTTCTTATTTTAAAATATCAAAATCAATAGCAGAAACATTATTAAATTCGTTTTTTTAATCTAAAAATATTTTTTTATTACTCTTTGTAAGGCAATATTAATGAGAGTCATTTTATAATTAAAAATTATTATTATTTTTATTTTAATCTTCAAGATTTTAATCGAATTTTTCATTCATGTAAATCTTAGAGGTATCTTTTTTCCCTTCAATAGATAGGCTTTTTTAATAGCAAAAGCCATAAGCAGCAAACTATTTATTTAATATTGATACTTAATTATAAAGCGAAGAATCTTTTGTTGAGTTGCAACTTCTACTTTCATTTTAAGTTACTCCCATTTAATGTTTATTGAAGCAAGGTCTTGCCCATTTGTTCTTATCTTTTTTTATTGTTGTAAATATTTGAGTGCTCGACGAAGTTTCTTATTTATTCAAATTTGCTTAGATTAATTCTAATTTCTAATAACATTTTAATTCATAATTAGAAAATAATAATTAAAGAAATTACCATTTATTAATACTTTTATTGAAGCTTTAAATTTTATTCGTGTAAATTCAATAAAGTTGGAGTGCATTCCATACAACAATTAAGTTAGCAATTTTTTTTTGCGCTCATTTAAGTATTGAAAATGAATAAATAATGCCAGAAATTAATTATCAATTAATAATAATGTTTACTATTTCTGCCAAAATTTTCAAATTTTTTTTAAATTGAATATCTTTTAAAAGAGCTTCCTAATAAGTTAATAAATTATATATGAATTTAACAGAAAGTATAGCTTTTTTCAAAATCAAATTTAATTAGCTAGCTGATTTAAAAATTCAGTGACAATAATAATAAGCTTTATAAATAAATACCTTTAAACAAAATTTAAAAATTATATAAAATCTTAACAAATAATATTTAATTTTTGATTTTTCTATTTTAGTTTAATTAAATTAATTTAATTTTATTAAAATAACCAACAAATATTTTTATGAAATATTTTAATATTTAACTACCAAAAACATTATTGTGAAAAATTTTATATATTTCATACAAAAGTGCAATTTTTAGCCAAATAATTTATTTGAAAAAAAAGAATAATTAATTTAATACAATGCTTTTACTTTAAGAGTTAATTTGCTTTAAGTAAAGAAAGTTGATTCTATATAAATATTAACTACAATATTTTTATTAAACAAGTAATATATATATATGACTTAAATATAGAAATATAATTTTTAAAAATTACTTTAAAAAATTTGTAATTTATTGAAGATAAATCAATTCATTTTAATTTGTTACAGTCCTTAAACACTTAAATTTAATACTTTTTTAGATTTAAAATGGATCTAAGGAGTTAATTTATTTTGAGATATGCTGCTGCTAAAAAATCTTCCTTTCTATTAAATTGCCTCGTTAATATCTTTTAGTTTAGAAGAGAAATATTTCAAAGGTAATTTTTCAGAGTTATTATTAAGAATTTATTCTTTTTTTGTAATTAAATTTGGGCTTTAGATTTAGCTTAAAAAATTCTTATTTAATTTAGGCGAAGGAGTTTATAATTATTTCAGTTTATTTTCTAAAAACTTATTATACTAGGTTGAGCTTAATTAATTTGTTTTTTAAGTAGATTATTCAGTTTTTTAGATATTTTAATTTGCATCTGTCTTAATTAGGAAAGAACTTTTGTTTTTTTTCTTAGTAAATGTATCTGTTTAGTAGTAAATGCTTTATTCAAATTTAATATTGCTTTTATCTAATGTGTTTGTATTATTTTCAAATGAATTTAATTTTTTTAGTTGCATAGAATTAACTCTCTTTTTTTATTAAACATTATTTTAGTAATTTCCATATTCAGATTCATAATATTGGGAACACTTTTTTTTATCAATAAATGGTGTAACTATTTGCGAAAGGAGCAATGAATTTTATGTTTTTTTATTAAAATATTAATTGTTGATATTTGTATTTTTGCTAATATCTAAAACACTATCAGAATCTTATGCTGCAGAATAATTCAACAAAGAGTAATGCACATATTATTCTAATTAATAAAAAAAAAAGAGATTTTAATCTGAAAATTTTTTTTAATTTTTACAGTTTTTAATTGGAGAATTCTATTCATAATTTGATGATATATTTTGTTTTGGTGAAGAATCTAAGTTTAATTCAATTTTTTTACGTTCTGGAGATCGGCTTTCTTTCTAAGTAAATATTTCTTTAATTTATACTGAAGGTTTTTATCTTGTATTGAAGTATCTTTGCATATTTTTGTTTGAAGATTGAAGCTTTTCGTCAAGATTTTTAAAAAATTAGTTTTCTGCTGTTTTATACTTTTTTTTATTCAAAAAAAAAGAATGATGTAATATTTCTTAATCAATCAGCATTTTCATTTTTTCATAATTCTACTTTTTACTAATTTTATATTCTTAGGCTTTATTTATCATGGCACTATCATTTAAAGAGTGAATATTAGAATTTAAATTTATTTTCGTTTCCTCTTGCTATTATATTTTTTTATCATAAACCAAAGAGTCTTGTGAGCATTAACTTAAATTTAAATCATTGAACTAAGATATCCTTGAATTAACTTATTTTGGTGAACCAAGTATGATTGCTTTGTTTTAAATATTGTTAATTATTATAGAGAACTTAAAATCTAAATTACGAGATTATAATTCTGAAAACGGTTGTTTAGATATTCTTCCTAAATCTAATGAAACAGACATAACACTCATTTTCTTTAAATATTGTTGTATTTATTTATCTGGTGTAGATACTCTGCTTTCTTGGCCAAATAATTTTTATTATCTTGTTTAACTATAAAACAATTTACAAACCTTTAAAATTATGAATTCTTTACCTAATAGAAGATGCTTCATCAAATTTTGTATTCTATCCTTCTCCCTTTTAATTTTGCTTTGATGAAATTGTTTCTAATTTAAATCTTTTGTTATCATTTTAAGAACCTAATTAAAAAATCAAAATATTTTTAACAAAATAACATTTTTTTTAATAAAAGTAAAATTTTTTATTTTTGATTAAAGTATTGATTTTCATGATTTTTTTTGAAGAAAATTCCTTATTTATAAATTCAAATAAAAAATGATAAAATATTGCAAATGAAATTATTTGAATTCAGTAATTAAATATTTATCCACACTAACTTTTTATTTTTCTTCAAAATTCTAAAAATTTATTTCATTTTTATTTTATAAATAAGAGAAAATCTTTTAGAGGGCAAAAGATTTATTTTTAAGAGGGATGGTATTTTACTTTAAAATAAACTTGAATTCTGGTAGAAAGAATTATGCAAACTTTGTAGATCCTCTTGCTCATTTGGATTTTTTTGAGTAGAAATTACTTTTTTTCTTATAAAATGATATTTGACGATATTATTTTGCTTTTCTTTGATTTTATCTTCCTAAGGTAGAAGAGGTTTCTTAAAAAAAATTTGATTTCTTTTGGATTTCTGTTGAGGCTAAATGTTTTCGTTGGGAACATCAGTTTAAGCTTTGGAATCTATCAACTCTTTTTAGAGAAGCTATTCTTGCTCAATTGATGAAAGTTGTTGGTCTAAATATTATCCTTATTTATTTTCACATATTTGCTGCTTCATTTAACTGAATGTTGATATTAATTTCTCAAATTGAGTTTCTCTAAATAGATTTTTTTATTATGCAAGCTATTCCATAAATTTAATTTATTTCTCATCATATCCCATCTTCTTAAAGAACTCTCTTCTATTAAGAATCATCAGCTTTTATTTCAAACATTCTTATAACAATCATAAACTCTTGTAAATATATTTTACTTCGCCCGTTCTAGATAAGCAAACTACATTTACTTTTCTTTTTTCTTAAGTGAAAAACTCTTCTTCACCAAAAGATTAGTTAGGTCCAAGAATGCCTAGCTATTTAAAATTTAAATAATAAGCTAAATAAACAAATCAATTAATATAACTATTACATCAACAACTATTGATTCCTTTTTTTTTTGATTTACATTCAATTAGCTTGTTGCATCTGCCTCAATTTTTATATACGCTGTCCTTGATACCTAAAACAAACAAAAAAATATTTTTTAAATAATTTGTTTATTTATCTTAAACTATAATAAATTTTATTCAACTATTTAAATTCAATTATCGTTAAGTTTAGTTATTAGCAGTAATATAATTTAAATTCTATTTAAAAAATCAATAAAATATTTAATACTTTAAACTCTCCTTCTCTTACAACATAAATTTTATCACTTTTTTCACCTTCTTTTACAATTACATCCCCTTTCTTAAAAGGAATAATTTAAAACAGTAAATACAGATTTTTTAGAGAATTCCCAGAAAACCTTGAGAATAAGTAATTTTTCTTTAATCTAAGCAACTCTTCTTTAAATTATTTTATCTATTAATTTTCTTAAATTAATTATGAGATAAAAAGTATATTTAAGTTTATATATGAATTATACTGATAATCTTATCAAAAGAAATCTTGTCGAAAGTTATAAAGTGGCAATCAGTAATGCATGTTACTGTAGCACTTCTTGGCTTTTTATCAATTAGTGCAAGCTCACCAAAGGATTCTCCTATTTTTCATAATAAGGATTAATTAATTTTAGTATCTAACTAAACTATTGATATTTATTTACCTTCATTCAAATCACGTATATGAACTTTTTCAATAAGAACATCATCATTTCCACCTCCTCTCTAATTTTGTTATTCATTATTTGTATCTTATCTTTTAAAATCAACATGAATACTCACTTTTCCTCTCAAAATAACATAGAATTTATCACCAGTTTCGCCTAAAATAGTTTAATAATTAATATATCAATCTAAGAGTACCTATCTGTAGCTTTTCTTAAATATTTAAATCTTTTTTAATTTGCAAATTACCTTATTCAAAGACTTTATCTTCAGCACTACAGAATTAGTATTTAAAAAACTGTGCACATTGCAAAATCATGGCTTCATGATTTTTTCCAAAATGATTTTTAAAAAAAGACAAATTGGAAACATATTTCGTAATAATCCTTGAATCTTTATAAGTTCTAAATTTGCTATTTATCTTTAGTAATTTGATTACTTCCTTTATTTTATTAAAAAATTATCTTCACTATACATTACTACTAATATATAAGTCAATCTTAAAAATGTAGATAAATCAGTGTAATATTTCAAGCTTTACTTCAATGAGAAGTTCCCCTTAGTAATGTTCAAGATCATCAAAAATATTTTAGCAGCTATTTTAAATTGATTCTACTTTTTTTCTCTCCTTGCTTATATTACTTCTACTATCATTTTTTTTCTCTATTGTTTTTATTGATAACCTGAGCTACTAAGATGGCGCAAGATCTTTTTCAGAATGACTACTTGACTTTTCATCCTAATCGCTAATCATTGAATAACTACCTTTAAAGGAATTATAGTTAATAAATATAATTTTTGTATATATAGTTAAGTTTTTACCTTCATTCTGTTTGCTTTAGTCTTACAACATTATACAATTATTAGTAGAATTAACTTGTATAAATATTTTTTATTTATTAAATCAATTCGACGATTGACTGAAAATTAATTTGCACTTATTTAATTAAATTAAAATACATAATCAATTATCAAATAGTTAATTATTTATCACATATTTATTTCCTTTATAAATCTAATTAGATTAACTCTTAATTATTTTTTTTTTGATTTTTTAATCTACTTTCTTAATCTAATCATTTATTTATTCTTAAAATTTCAAAGATTCTTTCTTTAGCTGCTTTTGTTAGAAAAAAAAAATTAATTGAATGAATTAAGTTTGAAAAATACTTGAAAAAATAAATCTATTTTATAAATGAGCTTATTTCACTTTTTTCAATCATAAACAAATTTAAAAATATTTTATAATAAATATGGATTTTTCAAATTTTAAAATAAATTAAACAAAGGATGAATATTTATTTTTGATTTAAAAATGATAGGGAGCCAAAGATTGTAATTGAATTGATTAGAAATATTAATAAGTAATTAATTAAATACTGAAAATATTAATCAAAAATTCATTTTAGCTTATTTATTTATTAAGAATAATCAATCTGCTCTTAATATAATGAGTACTTTTGAGTAAAACTTAAATACTTTGCTAAAATTAAAATAAGAAGTTTTAGGTATAAAAATAAATTATTCAAGCGTAAAATAATTTTGTAAGTTTATCTTAAGATATTATAAAAATATTTTTAATTTAAAAAGGAGATACATAATTATCATAATTTACATATGATGGAAGCATAATCGAATCAGCTTAAAAATGCTTATGATGAAATTGATTATCTTAAACAAAATACCTTTGATAGTCAATCTAAATTTAATGATTTAACTAAAGAATTAAAAACATATAACGAATAACTCAAAAAAGAAAATCTCTTTCTTGCGCAAGAAAATAATCATTTAAAAAACTAGGTTTCTAGCTATATGAATGGATTGTAAATTTAAAAAATTTTGAAATACAATTTAGAATTTTGAATTTTTATCTATTAAATGATTAGTTAAATTAAAAAGTAAAATCACAAATCTCCTAAATTACTTTTAAATTATAATTAATATTGAAATACTCGAAAATAATTTTAATTTTCCAAATAAGATCTATCTTAAATTAATTAATCAAATTTGAATACTATTAAAGCTTTTCATTTTAATTTAAAAAATAAAAAATATCAAATTTATATCAATAAGGTAGGAAGTAAAAACTTACTAAATATCATCAAATATATCAAATCAAATATTTTTTGGGATTTGTTGTTTGTAATTTAAAATATTGTGAAAAAATAATTTTTTTTTCATTTATCACTTTGAAAGAAAGCCTATCATTAATAATTTAAATATAAACTAGTTTGATCTATTAAAAAAAAAACATAATTTAACCAAAGTTAATATAAAATTTTTTAATGCAGCCAATAAAGATATTTACACTAAAATTTCCAAATTTTTATTGTTAAAATATTATTTTTTTTAAAAAAAATAGTGAATAAAAAGATGTGGAAATACACAATAGGATAAAAGAAAAAGAATAAGAAATAAATAAATATAAAAGGGAGCTAGAAAATTTAAAATTGATGCATTCTTAAGAGTTGTATATCTTAAAAAAGAACCAAAAAAAATGATATTAAACATTTTTCAAAAAATTTAAAAACTCAAGCAACAACAAATTAAGCATGCATGATTAATTAAGAAAACTAAACTTTAAAGTAATTCAATAATTTTAACTAATTTATAATAACCATCAAAGCTTTTCACCTAAATCTACTGCTTTAATGTATTCTTCTTCAGTGAGATTTAGAGATCTAGCTATTTCTAAATGTGTTTTTTATTTTTTTAATAGTTCAATTAGCTTTTGCTATTTTTTAAATGCCTAAATTAATTCTTATTTCTATCTTTCTAACCTTTTAGATTCTATAACTAATTTTTCATTTTATTTTTTTAAATCATCATTAACCTCTTTTTAAATTACACTCTTTTCCTTTTATTCTACTTTAAAGTTTTCTAAATCATCTGTTAACTTTTAAATTCTATATAAAACATAAAAATATTTCAATTTTTATTATTTTTTAAAATGTTAATAATTACTTAGCTTCTTTTTTAATTAATCCCTATTCTATTTTATTAATATTTTCTTTTTATTCTTCTAATTCCTAATTTATTGTGTGAAAAATTCATTATCTTATAAAAATAAATATATCTATTTTACTTTCAGCTAGAGCTACTTTTCTCTTTGAGAAACTTCTAATTTATATTTAGCATCTTTTGCTTGTTATTTAATCCCTTCATATTTTTCAGTTATTTATTGAATTTAACTAACAAATTATTTTTAATTTTCTGAAAGAACTTTTCCTTTTCCTTCAAGCTCATTTATTTAAGATTCTACTTCTAAAAGTCTTGAACTCAAACTATTTGCATGGTTTTCGCTATCTGCAATTGCTTACTTTTCTCTTTCAATTTCTTCTTCTAAAATTTAAAAAACATTTATGCCTTAAACTAATTATTATAAAATGTCTTTACCTTATTCGGCTTGTAATTATCTTAATCTAGCAATTTTTTATATAAGTTCTAATTCATTTTTCTTTTTTATTTCTTCTATTTTATCAATCAAATCCTTTTAGTTTTCTTATCTCCTTTGTTAATTAATAGCATTTTACTAATTTTATTATTCTTATTATTCAAAATCATTATAATTGTCTTCAATTTGAGTCCTGCTATTTGTCTTTTTTTGCTAAACAAAAAATTATTTTTAAAACATAATTATCCATTTTAGTAATTACTATTTACATTATCTACAAAATTTTTTCTTTTCTTTTCAATTTCTTGATTCATTTAGAGTAATTCCTATTCTCTACTCTTTAAATATCCTAGTTTATCATTAGTCGACATAGCTATAACTTAATGTTTTTTTAAGATACAAATTAATTTTTTAATTATTAAAAAAGTGGTTTGCAAAAATTTAAATATTCAAAGATTTTCTAATAAACTAAACAAATTTTTAAAATAATCTAAAAACAAGCAGTATTTAATAATTTAAAATATTATGTTAGTAAAATGTAACATTTATAAGTTAAATATATTTTATTTTAAAAACGAATCAATTTTTTTCAAAAAATTTTCAAATTAAATAAATATCTTATATAATTAGTTTAAATATATTTTTAAATTTAAATAATACAAAACAATGTCCTTTAAATATAAAAAGAGCTTAAAATAAAGGTAGAAATTTATAAAATTTGATTTTTTTTATTCATAATCTGGATACCATAACTTGAGTTTTTCAAATATATTTTATTTTTTATCAAATTAAATATTGAGGTAAAACTAAAGTAAGTTCCAACGAACACCTTTTAATATAAGCTTAAAAAATATGAAGGAAAAATATATTCCAAATATTAGTTTTGTATTTTCAGAATTAACATACCATTTAATTTACTCTGAATATTTATGATCATTCATTAAGGATTAGGAATTTTTGAATAGTATTATGTTATTAAAATGTAACATTTATTATTTAAATTTATTTTATTTTAAAAACGAATCAATTATTTTCAAAAAATTTTTAAATTAAATAAATTCTTTATTAAATTAAATTAAAATGTATTTTTAAATTTAAATAATACAAAACATATTCCTTTAAATATAAAATAGAGCTTAAAATAAAAGTAGAATTTATGAAAAATGCTTTTTCTCATTCATAATTTGGATACCATAACTTGAGTTTTTCAAATATTTTTTATTTTTTATCAAATCAAATATTGAGGTAAAACTAAAGTAAGTTCCAACGAACAACGAACACCTTTTAATATAAGCTTAAAAAATATTAAAGAAAAATATATAAAATATTAATTTTGTATTTTCACAATTAACATACCACTTTATTTACTCTCTGAATATTTATGATCATTAATTAAGGATTAGGAATTTGTGATTATTAATAAATATAATTTATAATATAAATTTTAATCAAAAATATTGAGAGTTTGCTTGTTTATTTCTATTAACAAAATTTTTTTTCAGAAATTGGTTAAAAAGATTAGAAACATAAATTAAATGTAAAGCTGGATATTTAGTGGCTATTTTAACGATTACAGGGAGTCTCTTTAAATAAACTAATCGTTTGGTGATTAGTTACTTACTCTTGTTAAATCAGAGTATTTATCAATTAAAAACCAAACAGTATTTGATGTAAGTTACTCAAATTTATTTAAATTATTCTACCAAATATTTTAGATTATTAATCATTTAATAATAGTGTGTAACGCAAGTTCTCAAAAGAGCTCTTAACTAAAGAACACATTTAGAAGTAGAATTTCTTAAGAAAGCATTTAGAGAAGTATCATTTTTTACCTCTGTCGAGAGAGAAATGAATAGCTTTTTTGTATCTAAGCTTCTAAAACATTTATAATATAAATTCATTGAAGCAAGGACAGAAATATTCAAAGCAGGTAAAAAATTTTGTTTTTTCTATATTTATTAAAAATTTTGTTTGTTGAATTACTAAAGGGGATAAAGGTTAAGACATGTATATCATCTTAAAAGGAAAAGTTTGGGAGATGAATGAAATCCCAAATGTAGACGAATCAGATCCGAATATGGAACCTTTAGATCCAGAAGTATTAAAACTGCTACCTGAGGAAGATTTTTTGCTTCATTGCTACCCAACTCATTCTGTATCTATAAAAATATTAATTTCTATTTGATCTACGATATCTATTTTTACAAAATGAATAAATTTAATTAAATTAAAAAATTTTAATTGAATCTTAAACTGATAAATTAATTGTATTTTGTTAGATTAATTAAAAATAAATTTACTTAAATTTGATAAATTAATTTATTCATCTTCTAGTTATTTAATTTCAATTAATAACTTTACATAAAAGATTTACAACACGAAAAAAAGTGGAGATTATTTTGGAGAGATTTCACTAAGACATGGTCACCCCAGAGAATTCACTACAGTTACTAAGGAGGTTATTTTTAAATTATTTTGTTTATTTTTATTAAATATCCTTTTATTTATTTATCTACATTAGGATACCCACTTTGCTACTATATCAAGAGAACATTTCAACGACTGTGTGGCACTCTACTTTGCTAAAACGAGAGACGATTTTTTAAAATTCTTTTTGACATTTACTATATTCTCGAGCTGGAAGAAGAACGAGATTGAAGTAGCTATGCTTAATTGTGAAAATATAATTTACAAAAAAGATTCTTTAATCTACAAAGAAGATGATTAAGATTAAAACATTTACTTTATTTACAGCGGTGAAGTGGAAGTATGAAATATTTATTTAATAAATTATTAAAATATTTTTGTTAATTATTAAGATATCTCATACATGTGATATTTATGACAAAGATCCTAATTCTCTTTACAATTAAAGAGAAGATATACTACTATAAAAGGAAGAGTTGTTCAATAATTCTGAGTTCACTTCTTAAAATAAACACTTAAAAATTAATAAAATAATATCTTCTCTACTTCTTAAGCATCAGTAAAATATAAAAGAAAACCATATTCTTGATATTAAGAATGATAAGATTCTCAAAAAGGAAGAATTATAGAAAGAAGTTTCTCAAAAGCAAAGGCAGGGAATAAAGCTTTTATGGTAAACTGTCAGAATTCCTATTTCAATATTAGGAAAAGGAGAGTCTTTTGGAGAAGAGGAAGTTTTTTAAGGTAAAGTTCGATGCACTTAAGCTAGGGTTGTTTCAGCAGAAGCACAAATTATATCTATGCCCTTAGAAGGTATTTTTAAGTTGAATAATTCATAAAAATTCAAACTAAATAAATTTAGAGTTCAAAAAGATGATGATCAAGAGAAAGAGAAATTACCAAGAATACACTGAATATTATATAAAAAATATTATCCATAATAAAGTTTTAAACAGATAGAAATAACTGGCAGATTCTTTAAAAATTAAGTAGCTATACTTATAGTATGAACATAATAATTATATTAGTGATGCAAACAGTGAGAAAAAAAAGAAAAAGAAAAAAGCAAAATAGATCAGTCAATAATAAAGACCTGTGAGTGCAGCAGCTTAATCACAGTCAATTAAAAGAGATAGAAAATAATCTGTTCCAATTTAAATCTCAAATTAAGATAAGCTATTTAACAGCACTGGAGATGGATTCTTTTTTACTACCCCTTCTAGTCCATCAATAAAAAAATAAAATACAATCTATTAATTTTAATCATCTCCATAAAATACTAGAGAAAACACAATCGAAGCAAATCCTTAAAGTCAAAACTCTAAAAGTATCATAGAGAATGTTTACACTCAAAAAATATTTTCGTTTCAACAAAATAACTAATCAAGAGCCAAAAGTGCTGAAAATAATTCAAGAATTAAAAATAGAATACTTACAACAAACAATTCTAAAGAAAATAGTCTTGAAAAGATTAAAGTATAGCCTATGCTAAATGAATCCCTTTCTGTAGAAAAGAAAATTTTAAATATTCCAAGAAGAAATAGTATTAAGAAGAACTCTGCAAAATCCCTTTTAAATGAAATATAAATCATAGACTAAAGCAGTTTAAAAGATCCTTAATCAGATTCCCTTGAAAAAAATCAATACTAATATAGGAATAGGCAAAATTTAACTTCTTTTAATTTCTTTTACAATAAAGTAGCAGATTTTCATAGTGGTTAAGAAGATTAATGTACTTCAACAACTCATTCAAAAACTATTGGAAGTACTTTTTATTATCACAGTAATCAGACTTCTCCTGGAAGCAGAACCTTAAAAAATAGAAGCAAATTAAATTCTAGTGTGACGACAGATAAAAATTCAGTGAATACCGGCCTAAATCATTAAAGCAATAAGAATACTAGTGTTAGCAATAAAAATTAGAGGAGTAAAAAATTAATTTAAGTTAAGGATATAATAAGGCCTGGATAAGATAAAGGCATGAAGGATACAGTTAATACGAAAGAAGGTGGGTGCTCTAATTCAATGAAAAGGCAAACAATATCTTCAAGAAATTCTGTTTCATAAAATTCAAACAGAAGTTCTCTATAAAACTCATTAAAGGTATAATTTTGTTAAAAAAAAGATATATTTGAAACAGTAAGAAACGAAAATGAAAATGAAAAAGATGAAATTAAATTAAATTAAAATATTAATCCTAAGCACGAGGCTTTATATGGCGGTGAAAGTAAGAATTTAGGGATTAAAAGAACTTATTATAATTCTGATATTCTTCAAGAGGTAGAAGAAAATAAAAAACCAGTTGACATAAATAGTCCTATAATTGATATATAGAAAAGCTTGATATAAGAAAGACAGAGAAAGCTTCAAGATAGATAATATATTTAGGAAAAATATAAATTCTTGCCAATTTAATAAAATGCTGATAAAACTATTATTAAAAAGAGTGATATTAATGATATAGGAGTAGATTAAAATAATAAACGAATACCTTTTAATGCAGCCAAGTTTTACATGAGAAAGGAAGAAAAGAACAAATATTTCAATTAATTTCAATTAAATAATTAAAATGGTCACTCTAAAAAAAATTTAGACATGTATAATACAAATAATCCAAGCAGCTGCACAAATAAACAAAAGCTAAACCTTCTTTAAAAGCAAAATGAATAATATTAAAATATGATCAATACTTTCTTGAAATATAATAAAACTTCAATTTAAGATGAAATAAGTCTTATTAAAAATTGTATTATTTAATACAATGTTGATACTAGAGTGCCACTGCCACCTAACAAGCAGTGAATTTTCAAAATTAAAAAATTTGAAATAAATTTTTTGTAATAAAATTAATAATTTTTATATTAACAAAAATTAATTTTTTAAGAAACAACGATAAAAAGCTTAATTAAAGACTTTAATAATATTAAAAAATTTATAAATTTGATATTAATCTATTTATTTATATTTAGTTAATTTTTATACTTTTAAATATTAAAACTATTCTTTCAGTAATAATTTACCATATTTATGAATTTTTTATTTTAGTTTAGTATATTATAGATCTTGATATAGCTTTTTAATTGATAAAATGATAGATATACTTACTTAAATATTATTTTTTATTAAAATTGGTTTTAACTTTTTAAAGATTATAATATACTAAATTTTATCTGAAAACTTAAAATCTTTTAATTCTGTTTGAAAGTTAAGTATTTTTGCATAATCTAGTTAGCTTAGTTTAGTTAAATAAACTATTTTACATGTATCCTGTAAACATATTGCTATGCTAGAATAAGTATAATTTTATATAAAAAATTAAATAATAAAAGAATATTTTTGTTACTAAAGTTTTTATCCATAGATTCAAATAGTTTAGGATTCTTTCATCTTATTAATAATAATATTAAAAATTTAAATACAAATAGACAATAAAAATATCTTTAAATAATAAGTAGATGAAGACAGGTTAAAGTACACAATAAGCTAAAAAGAAAATAGTTTTCTAAAATTTTGATCCTCCAGGCTATCAATTTTTAGTTGCCATTTTAATTATTGGTGTCTCATGGTTCTCTTATCAAACTGTTAAGAACGTTGTTGTATGAATAAAAGTTTAATTAACAATCCTTACATAATAAACTAATACCAAAATATGTATTTTCATATTATTTTTATTGTAAAGTATTGTTTTTAATGGTATTTATTTTATTTTTTCTTTAGATTAAGTTCTCACTAAAGATGAGATCCATGATTTTTATTAATGTTAAAAAAAAATAATATTTTTAACCATATTTTATATAAAATAAATGGCAAATATTGCAAAAAATAATAATAAACTAATTTACAGCTACTTTTAACTTTTATATTAGTAAAAGAGGCAAAATATTTATTAAAAAACGGAAAATTTTAAATGCTATCTGATATCAGTAAGGTAGCGTTTTTTATATTGCTTATGTGTTAAAAGTAAAAACTCAATCATTAATAAAATCAGATCACCAAAAAATAGCATAAAATATTTCTATTTAAAGAATAAAAATGAATTTGTATAATACTTAGAAATTGAATATATATTTAATTAATTATTGTTATTGTTAAAGCGTAATTAAATAAAAAGGCAAAACAAAATATTAATTAGTTTTCTTAAATTTTATCTAAGTAATCAAGTTATTTGTCAATTCGATGAATAATTTAAAAATAATTTCTTCTTATTAATTAATAAATTTAAATTAAGCTAACAGAAGAAAAAAATTATTTTAAGTATTTTTTTTTTCTAATTTAAAATAAATAAATAAATAAATAATATTTAGAAATTTAATAAATTTTATTTTTTACAATTCATAAACAATTTAAAATAATATTTCTTTATTTTAGGTAATATTTTTGAGTTAAAAATTTTTATATTGCTATTTTAAAGATGATAAGATTTTTTATTTATATTTTCAAAGCAATATTTTGAAAGAGAAATAAATTATTAAAAATAAAAATAAAAAATTTCACATTATAATTTTAGTCAAAGAGAAATTTAAAATAATTATAAATTTTTATTGTATTTGCTTCTAATTTTTTATAGTTTAAAAATTATAATTAAACTTTTTTATAAGTTTAAAGGATTTTGGAAATATTTTAAACTTATTTATTTATTTCAAATTATTATTAGTAAATTGTTAAATTTAATATAACTAATTTCAAATATTAAATAAAACAGATAAAGGTTGTCAAAAATAAATTTATTATTTCTTAATAGTTAACATAAAAATTTCAATATTTAGTTTTAACCTTAGGAGAGTCTATAAATTAGACATAAAATATTTTTAACTTGTTTTTTGTATATGATATTTTCTTGCTTGTTAATAATAATTATGGAGGGAAAAATTAAAATAAATTCTATATAAAGTATCACAACAAAATTTTAAGAATTTAAAATGTTTACATTCAAATCTATGAGACGCTACATTTCTGAGATTTTTAATTAGATTACGTCAGGAATTATTTGAAAATTTATTCAAAAATTTTAATAATTTTTTGATGTATCTATTATTGATAAATAAATTAGAAGATCTTGCGTATTTTATTATATGAATTTAAAATATTCTATTGAAATAAATGATGACTTAGGTAATGAATTGATATATCAAATAGAGAAAGAGAGAAGAAAGTTATTAATTGGTATATTTATCAAGAAATGATGAAAAAAAATATGTTTGTATTTGGTTAATTGATTTATATGTATATATTAGATCTAAAAGTAGAAAATGAAGAAGAAATTGATTAGCTGACATAATAAAATAAATGAAAAAAAGCAAGAGGAGAAAACAATGCTGCAGGTAACATGAAAAAGAAATAAACCATTTACAAAAAATATACACTTAAAATTTTTACATTTTAAAAATAAATATATTTAATTAATTAAAAATATAAATTTTTATATCAAGCAAACTATCAATCAATATCTAAAAAAATACCCATCAAAAATTCAAACAAAATCTTTTAGTCAAAGCAATGGAATCCGTTATTCACATTACTAATTTAACTCCTGAAATCACTATTGATGAGATCAAGGAAACATATGCTAAGAGTGGTACAATCAACAAGATAATTTTAGGTCGTAACGAAGCTCTTGTTTTCTTCAGCGATGAAGATGAAGCCGAAAGTGCTTTAGTTTTTACTAACATTGGAGAAATTGAAGTTGAAGTTAACTAAGCCACCACTCTCACTTTGAATGATGTTGTATAAACTTGTAAGAAATAATTCATTAAATATTGCAAATAATTTATAGGAAGCAGAAATCTTAATATGATTTTACATTATGAAAGGATTTCTTTTTTACTTTTCCTAATTAATAATTAAGATAAGCAAATTCGGATTAACAAATAATTATTTTTTCAAACAAAAAAAAATAGTTGACCACAATGAGACCTAAGAATCTACAAAAGAAGCTGGTTAATCTAATATCTCTTCTTCAGTTAATGATTATGAAGTTATAACTCATAGCTAAATCAAATAAGAGACTGTTGTTGAATAGCTAATAGCTCCTTAAGTTGAAGTAAGAAATGAAGTTGAAGCAAGAAATGAAGCTGAAACCCTAAAAACTGAATAGGTTCGCTAAGTTGTAGTAGAAGAAGCTAAGGATTAAGTGAATAAAATTTAAGAACAAGCAGAAATTAAGGTTGAATAAGTATAAGAGAAATTAGCTTAATGGACTGAAAATATTGAAAGATAACCTCTTTAAGTTCAACATGATTAATAAGCTGTAGTAGAAGAGTATAAGCCTGTTGTTGTTGAATAACCTAAGACAGTTATAGTCGAACAACCTAAATAGGTCTAAGTTGAAGAAATTAGACAAGTTGTCGTAGAAGAGCCAAAGAGAGAAGTTGTTGAATAACCTAGAAAAATTGTAGAAGAGCCTTAAATTACTAAAGTTGAAGAACCTAAGCACGTAGAACAAATCAGATAAGTCGAAGTTTAAGTCCCTGTTGCTCAATCCATTTAAGCAAAAGCTGAAGAAAAAACTCAAGTATGCCCTCCTGAATCAAAGCCTTAAGTTTGCCCATACGCTGCTGGATCATGCTCTACATCTAGTACTAATTCTACTATAAATTCAGTTTAACTCCTCAATGCTTTAAAAAATACTTCTCTTCCTGAAAGAAGCAAGCCTGTTGCATCAGATGTTTTCTAAAATGTCTTCAATCCTAATTTCCTTTCTGGCTTAGTTGGCTTATTGATTGCTATCACTATATTCTCATAAATATTTTGAATTTATTTATTTATAAATTAAAAATAAATAAAAATATGGATAAAATAAATAAATAATTAAAAAATAAATCAATAAATACTTGTTTTTTATTTTAATATTTCATAATTAATTAAATAAATTAAGTTGATATCATCTCTATCAAAAGCTCTCATCTCTAATAATATATGTCTGTTTATCTAAATTATTTCATTTTTAGTTATTATTTTTTATAAATAAAATATAGAATATTTTTAACTTTAAAAAACTATAAAAAATGAACAAGGAATTATTATTAACATTTTTCTCGAGTTTGATTCAATAATTTTTATTATTTTTTATTTTATTAGTGGGCAGCTAACTATTTGATTACATTTTATCTAATTAAAATCTAAATTATATTTTAAAATGTAATTAGTGTATAATCAATTAAATTTTATAAGGTGGGCTCTTTTCAATATACAAACACCATATTAAATATATAACCAACCAATAATTTAAAATTTATCAACTCAATCAAAATAAATTTGAAAATGTAAAATAGCAAGCTGGTTGAGATCTTTTAGATTATAAACAAAGTCTATTTCATAAAGTATGTTACAAGTATATTTAAATATTTTATTTATTAAGAATAATAACAAGCTTTATTCATCAAAATTTCTCTTGAATTAATTAATCAAGAATTTTCATATAATTCTATTAATAAAAAAAAAAACGAAGCGACTCTATCTAAAATAGAAATAAAGTTATTGCTTAAATATTTTCTATTTATTACTATTAAAGAATCTCAAGTACCGTACTGAACAAAATTAATTCAAAAAATATAGCTATTATTGCTGTTCCTGCATTTGAAATATCATGAACCATGATATCATGATTTTTGATATTTCAAAAAATAATTATATTGATTATGAATATTTTTTTTTTCTAAATCTTAATTATTTTCTTTATATTTGATTTTAAAATGCTTACTAAAATTAATCAAAATTCAGAAAACTTTTTTTTTTAAAAAAATTGGTCTTAATTATTGAAGATTTGTTAAAGCTTATTTTTTTTTATGATTTTGTTGCTTAAAATTAAATTTATTGATTTTTTTGAAAGTAATATTGTTTGTAATAATATTTAGTAATTTTGAGAAATAATGCAAAAATTAACACAAGTAGAGTAAATATTTGATGATTGAATTTACATTTTAATAATTATTTAAATTAGTTTAATATTATTTTTAGAATTAAAAAGTTTTTTTTGGTTTGTGTAACTAAGAATATTTTAAACTAGTTTCCATAAGCCTATCTAGATGGTGAGTATCTATCTTAATTTATAAATTTAGTATTATTGATAAAGTATTTTTCAGTAACTTATAGCTTGGATGATAGTGATAATTATATTTTAAGTATTTTTGGTTATTTTATATTAAATATTTAAGGGATAAGCTTTAAACCTCTTAAGTATAAACATGACTTCAATTTACTAGAAATAAATGCTAATTTATTGATATTTTTATAATTTTATTGTTTGTTTATTTATTTATTTTATTATGAGAAACCAGGAATGAGAACATAAGAATTTTAAGAAAATCTTTTTATTTGTATTTAATTTTTAAAATATAATGAATGATTGAATGATTGATTGATTGAGTGAATTTAGTAGTTCAGATTAAAATCTTGAACTTAGTCTAGTCTTTTAGTATTTGCTGACTAGCTACACTAACTAAAATAATTGATTATTAAACCATATTTTATTTATTAATATATTTAGGTTTATTATATATCTCTAATAAATAGCTTCTTTAATTTCATTAAGGGAATTAATTTAAAATTACAGATTTAAGGGAATATTTTTCCCTCATAGAAGATTTGGATCATTGTAAAATTGTTCATCTAATGTACCTTTTTTAAATTTTAGCTTATTTTCTTCTTTTGATTAGGGTACTGCATCCTTTGCTTTATTTTTTTTTGCTTAATTTTATAATTAACCTTATTAATTATTTTGATTGCTGGAAGTTTACTGTTCAGCCTCTTTACTAGTTTCGTCTTAATTTTCTATTTAATTTAGGTGTTCAAATTAGTCACTACTGGCCCTAGAACGTTCAAAATCGATTTTAAATTTAGAAGGTGACTTAGTTCGACCTTCAGCACCATTTGGATTTAGTAAATTATTTTAATGTGCTGGATCTAGAGAATCTTCTACAGATTGAGCTCTATATCGAACTTAATTATTTTAATCTTTCTACTTATTTGTATTTTAGTGTGCTTTCATTTTTAAAGAAAAATTAGAGGTCAAACTTTCTTGTCTGCATATAGAAGTCTCAGAAGCTGCAAATGAAGGACTTCTCATATCATTTTCAAAGCTGCTCTATGAGATGAACTGCTTACTAATATAACCATATACATTTTAATTTTTATTGACATAGTTTAATTCAGAATCATTAATGCTTTCCTTATGCTTAAAATTAGAATATTGAGATCTACTTTCATAATCAGAATGAGTAGATTCCTGCATTGCTGCCATATTAGGCGAGTTTAAGTTAGATACCATGCTTGTATTGCTTAAATATTACATATTACTGGTGGGTGGTTACATTTAGTTGCTATTGTTGTTATTGCTTAATGTATTAAGCATTTATAGGCTCTTTTATGATGTATTTGAAAGACATGTTGATTGCTCTTGAGATTATTACTTCATTTATTATCTTAAAGAACTGTTAATCAAAGAATTAATTCTTGACATATCAAACGTGCTACATTTAAAAAATATCATTAAAATTACATATATTATAACTAAACTAATTAGTACTACTCTGATTAAAATTTTTTTATGACTGATTCTATTTAGGTAGGGGTATCTTCAGGCACCACTAAATCTTCTTCAAAATTTGAGTCCAAATTTTTAAAATAAGGGTGCTTCAAAGCAGATTTAGGGTCTATTCTCAATGTTGGATCTTTTTCCAACATTTTTTTCATTAAATCAATTGCTTTTAATGTTATTTTTTTTTTTTATTTGATTAAATTTATAAAGTATTAAATAGTTACCATTCTTATCACAGTCTTTAAGTTCTGGAATATTATAGTTGACTTCACATTTTTTGTTTAGTTCGATAGTCTCTCTTGTCGTTTATCCCAAGAAAAGAGGTTTAAGTGATAACCTATTATTATAAATTTAGAGGTTATTTAAAGAGATTTAATTCATAAATAAAATATTAAACTGAATAGAAAACTATAAATAAATAATCTCTTACATAAAATAAAAGGTTGCTCCTATTGAAAACATATCACATTAAGTTGTATATCTTGCCTGTAATTTATAAGCTTAAATTAACTGTCTTTGAATATTAAATAATGAATTTTAATTACTTTTGTTAAATCTCCTTTCAAATTGATAATTTCAGGCGCAACATAACCAGGAGTTCCACATTTTGGGAATAAATATTCTTTTATATCTTATTAAGTACCTAATCCAAAATCTACGATAATTGCTTCAAATTTATATTACTTAGGTTATTGGATAGTATTAGCAGAGAGATGTTAAGATTTAGGTGTTTTAAGATTTTAAAAAACAGGAACTTTTCTAAGAAGAATATTATCTGGTTTTATATCTCTATGCATAATTTTTCTTTCTTTTAAATGCAACAGACCAGAAGTTAGCTATTTGATATATGATCTAATTTCATTTTCTGTAAAAGCTCCACTATCTTTTTCCTTTTCTAGACCTTTTTTTTTTGCTCTCTTCGCTAAGCTAATACGATCCATTAAAGATCCTCCATTTGCTAACTCAATTACATAATAAAAACTGTGCATACTTTCCCAGACTTCATACAATTTTAGTAAATGTGGATGATTTATTTGTTTCATTAAGTTTATTTCATTGAAAAACGCTTCCTTTATTTTTATTTTATTATTTTTTAATTTAATTTTTGCTAATCTTTCTCAAATCTGAATAATTTTTAATTCAGTCTGTCTAAATATTATGAATTAAATTTTACTGATCCTTTATCTTCTTAGTAAAGTTTTTCTTTGAGAAAAGCTTTTATTGCAAGTTATTTTCCAGTTTCTCTATGATTAACAAGATAAACCTATTATTTTTATTATAAAAATGATTTCCTATTATTATTTTATATGGTTATTTTTTGAGAATAATATTCTTAATACAGAATTAAGCATGTACACAATTTTTTTCGTGTAAAACCTATTAGTCAATAATAGTAAATAATTTTTGTAAATATGATACAAGTTTGTTTGTCATGTGGGGGAAATTTATATTTAAAAAATAAATAATAAAAAAGATTATAAGAAAATTTCAATTTTTTGTTTGTTTGATTGATTGATTGATCACTTGACAACAAGTAAATGCTATTTAAGGTAATGTTAAAAATTTATATATCAATTTTTGATAAATTTCTAAATTCTTTTGTTCTAATATTTTTTTCTATCTATAATTTATTGAAATTATATTTATCATTCAATTTATCTATTTATTTCTTTATTGACAAATTAATTTGCTTTGTTTTTTTTTCCCATTTAATGAGGCTTAGCATAAAATTTTAATTAATTACAGATGCAAACGAGCCTTTACCAAGCTTTTTTACAGCTTTGTAGTGGTCATGAAACTACTTCATGATAACACGAGGTGCGAAGTAATTGTAAACTTTTTTGAGAAGTATTGGTTCTTTTAAAAATATCTCTATTATTATTTGTCTAAATTAATCATTCTATTCTATGTTTTTTTGTTATTCTTCTAATGTTGTCGTTGTAGAATTCTTTTTACTTTCGCCATTTGCTTATCCTTATTTGGCTTCTTTGCTTTGTTATTATGAATTAAATAAATGAAGCGGGTCAATTGAAGCAGCATCTTTTTCTAGTGCTGCTTTTGCCCTTTAATAAATATCATCTTTTTCTATTCTGAACCCTTCACATCTATCAAATGCATTTGTTCCGTCTGGACCTTCTTTTACCAACCACTCTACTCTTATCATATCTGATATTACTACAACTCCCATTGTTTAATTTCCGCTTTTATGTTCTAATACCTTTTTTATATTTAAAATATTTAAGTCTATTTCATACAACATGCACTTCATATTGTACTAATCAATTGATATAATTAACTTTCTTGCTTTATATAAATATTATTTTAAACTAATACTTAGCTTTTTGTTAATATGTCATAAAAAAATCATATTATGTTCTACCTTAAGATAAGAGTTAAAGAACTGCAGATTTATTATCTTTTTGTCTTAATTAACAAATATGAAGCATTCAACCTAAAAGAGCATAGCTTCCTTTTGCTTCGATTTAGAAATTTCTTTCTATAACAGCATTTGCTCTTCTTAAATAAATGTAATTATGAATGTATATCTACTTTTGATTTTTATTGGCTTAAATGCTTAAGAGCCTAATCAAAGCTTTTTAATTTTTACTGTTTGTTATGAATAGAGTTTTAATACGCTTTAATATCAATCTACTAATTAATTAATAATAAATTTTCCTTTATTTTTCTTGAATCAATTAAAAACTAATAAAGATAAATAGTTTTTTTAATGATTATTTTTATAACCAATATTACTTATTTATAAAAATAAATTTGTGATAAGAGGTACGCAGACAGCTCATTCACTAATTGATTTATTCAATCACTCATAAAATCAATTATTTAATCAGTCAATTTTTATTATCAAAAATAATTAACAGATACAATATAAATTATTCTGATAATTTTTTATGAATTAATCTAAATACTAATTATTTTATTAATATTAAAATATTTAATATTGAAAAAATAAATTTATTTTACTTTAGCTAGTGTATTCAAAATCAAAACACTAATAATTAAATAATAATTAAAGAAAAGGTAGTATTTTTTTATACTTTTTAGTTTTAAAAGCAGTAATCAATCCGAATGTTAAACTATAACGAAAAAATAATTTTTTGAATAATTTTATTTATTATTTAACATTTATATTCAGTATATTTATAAATATTAGAGTAAATTATCTGAAAAGAGATTTTTATTTATAAATTTAATTTTTCATGAAATCATAAAACAGATTTTGAACTACTTAATTTTATTATAAATATATTTTTTTTAATCTTTTAAAATAAAATATTCATTTTTTTAAATCTAAAAAAAATCTTGATAATTTCTCTAAAATCACAAAAAAAGAAATAAAAATAGACAAAAGTATAAGTATAGTCAATGAATTACCATCATAATTTAGCTGTAATTAGTCTTTATTTTACTTGAAAAATAAGAAAATTGGTAAAGTCAAAAAATATACATTATTCAATAGCTACTGAACACTTTTTTTATTCAATTTAAAAAAGCTAGTTCATTAACTTTAATTTTATAGAAAGTAATTTTTTTTAATAAAAAATTTTAGATCAAAAATATAAGAATAAATTTTATACAAACAAATTGGAATATAAATTGCTTTCCTATTTTAAAAGTCAAAAATAAAATTTTTTCATTTAAAAACCATATTTTGCAAAATTTTATCTTGTAAATTTTATTAAAATTTTAAAAAATCTATTTTTGATAATTAATATTTTATGTTTTAAAAAATTAAAATAATTTCATTTTTTTTAAATTTGATTTATTAATTTGTGCATTTTTTGGAAAGATATTAAAGTAAATCTGATATTTGCTTGTTATTTAACTATCAGTGTAGACTGAAATTTAGTAAAATTTTAAAAAGGGTAGTTTTTATTTTTCATAAATAATGGAATTCTTGTAATCTTATTTTTTGAATTTTGGTTTTAATTCATTCAATCAATCTTAAATAAATAATAATTTCAACTATTTTATCTTTTAAAAAATAATGTAAAATCCATATTTTACTACCGCTAAAAGCAATTAAGCAAATGAAACTGGGCCTGGTAGCTTAAAATATGATTTAAAAAATAAATATGCTTCTACTGCCATTAAGCGTGATGGAACAACCAATGAAAATAATACAAATATATTTGCTTCTTAGCCAGCTAATCAGTAGCCATTATAATAAATGAATAAGGATAACTCAATATTTTAAGGATAGAAATAATTTTAATCCTAAATAAATCAAAGTTAAAGACAATCAAACTAACCATAATACAGTAAAATATTTAGTGCGAATAACTCAATTCCTGCTTCGCCTCATTTAGACCGTCCTTCTGATCGTTTACCAACTCATAACTAATCTTATCTAAATACTAATAATCCTGTAGGAATCCAAATACCTTAACAATATAATTCTATATTTAACTAAAATCCAAATAAAAACTAACCTTCCTTTAGCTATTAGAGATCTGTTCATGGAGCTGACTCCTTTAAGTAGAGTAATAATAATAGCTTTTTGAATTAGAGTGCTCTAAACAATACATAGGCATAAAACTATCATGTTATAGCTCAGTAGAAAGGCTATTAATAATTAGAAGATGCAAAAATATTTAACAGTGATCCTCTCATTTCTAAAGCTGAAAAAACGATAGAATAAATTAAAGAAAACTCAAATATTTTATAAAATATTGTAGAAAAAAGAAGAAAAATATTTTATGATTACGACAGCTGTCTAGATAAAATAGATATTTAAAAAAAGAAACTTAATTAATGTTCTAAAAGTGATTCTAAGCAGTTCTTTCAGCAAAAGACATCACACGAGCTTCTACTATTTAAGTAAATTTAATTATTCGTTAAATTTGCAAAAAAAATTAAAAAAGCTAAAAAATATATAAATATAAATGTGCATTTAAATCGAATTTTAAAATGAAAAAGTTAAAATATTGCCTTAAATAAATTACTATTTTAAATCTATAAAGAGATAAAAAGCAGGAATTAGTGAAGATCAAAGATGAATGCTTGGAGATGATAGGATATTATGAAAAACTAAAACAAAAAGGACTAGCTCTGAGATTGTAAAAGTACTAAAACACTTAAGAGATAAATTATTAACAAGATGTATTTGAATTTGAAAGTATGTACTTAAGAATTCAAGATGAATATTAGAGTAAGACGACTCTGCTAGAAGAGTTAGTTGAAAATTATAAAAAACATTTCAAATTTGATAAGACGAGTGAAAAATTTACTGAAAAATAGCAATAGCTTTCAATGTAGGTCAAAGAAATTGAGAATAGTGATACTATCAATTCAAACTTAAGCATGCTTATTGATGATTTTCTTATTACTTTGAAAGCCTTAATTGAAGAAGTGGAAGAAAATATAGAATTTAATGAAATTCTACTTTCTAGCTATTAAGAAAGCTTCAATTATGTTTAATAAATATTATTTTACAGAAATGAAAAAATTCCTGAGTTAGATAACAAGATTAAAAATATTAGAAATAATATACAACAATATTTAAATAATAGGACAAACCGTTCATAGTAAGCTTCTGGTTATATATAACTAGCATAAAAGGAATCATAAGAAGTTAGGGAATAGTTTAAAAAAATTAAAAAGTAAGCAAAGCAAACTCATTCGTCTTAAAACAGTATGTTCTTTATATAGTTAAGAAGTAAACAAATAACGAAATTAGTAAGCACTATTAATGATATTTATTCAAAAACATTAGATGAGGTGGATAAGCTGGTCAACTATATATCATAAGGATAGCTTGCTAATGATGAGTTATACTGTTAAAATATCATTAATAATGGAAAATAATTACTACTTACTCTCAACGTATAATAATCCCCAGAACAAGGCAAAGTAATGTTATAAAAAACTCAAGTTTAGTTATCTTTACTTCTTGAGTTATAGGATAGACTTTAAAATCTATCTTAATAATCTGAATTTAGTCTAATTAATCCAATTATCTCATAAATGAGCTTGCTTTTATCTTAGTAAATAGCTGAAATCAAAACAGAACAACAAAAAATATTCCCTTTGATAAAATACGAAAATGAAACTAGAGAGTTTAGAATGAAAAGATAAGAAATTCAGTAAACTTTAGAGAAAGCTAAAGAAATCATCAATTTTTAAAAACAAAATTTTATGCTATCTTTTTAATTTGAAGATAATTAGAAGTAATTCTTAAGCATTTTGCAAGTTAATTTGAAATTGCAATAATACTAAAAATTACTGAACCAACTCCTTTAATTTTTTTAAAACTCTCGGTAAGCATCCTACTCACCTTTTGATCCCTAAACAATTACTTAAAACTCATAAGATATCCATCAGCTATTATCAGCCATAGATTACAATAAGACAAACATACATCTTATAACTACTCTACTAGAATCTTGTAATAGTGTATCTCCAACTAGCATAGGAAATTTAAATTTTTAAGTAGATTCAGAAAAAAATAAGCTCTCATCAAATATAAATACTTGTCTATAATTAATTTATAAGTCATATAATAATCTTGAAAGTAAAATTTTTTTTATTCTTCAATTTTTGGCACCTAATTTTTTAATGATAAATTAGCATCCATTTTAAATAAATTCGTTCATGTTTTAAATAATTAAAACCTATTTTTTATTGGATTAAATTAGATCTGAGATAGGAATATAACAGACCAAACTACATGAACAAAGTAGAGTAAGTTTTACTAAAAAAATTAATTTCCATGTAGTCAATTCTTGTGTAAGTTTAAAATATCTTTGTTTATTGGCTAAAGAGTGGAGATGAAATTACATCAAAAGTAATCCACCTCAGAAAAAACTATGAAAATTACTAGCATCAGTATATTGATCAACGTTTATATGATATTATCTAAGATAATCTTGAAGAACTTGATTTAATGATTTAAGAAACAAGCATCGCCCCTGAGCTATAAGACTGCTTTAAATTTAATATCAAGTCTTACACAGAGTGTCTTGTAAGATATGCTGTTTAATTGGAAAGAAAAGTATTAAACCCATATTCAGCAAATTACTTGATAAATTGGTTGGAAAAAAATTATTAGAATGCTCTTTCTTCTATTACGTATCTATTTGATATGGATGATTTAATTTGGTAATCAATTAATTTTTAAAATTTCTTTTATTTTAGTAAATATTATTTATTAGGTACTAGTAGGGTAATGATAATGATGATATTGGAATTCAGTTGAAATTGCTAAGGAGTAGGTTAACAGAATCTTTACTTCAATAGCAAAGTTTGGGTTTATTATTTAATCAATAAAATATTATTGCAAATATTAAGCTGGATCTACTACTTTAAGTAGTACTCAAGGATAGCATTCTTTATGATTACAGGGCTATTGAATAGCTACTAAGTATTGGGAAGTTATTTAATTTGCATGTGAGACAAAGCTTTGAAATAAGAAGAGTGCTTGAAGAAAAATATTAGAACACACTTAGTTTAAGATAAAATTAAAATGATTTAGATTAGCTTGTAAGAATTCTATCAAAATATTAAAAAACAGTGGCATTTAATCTTGAAAGAAGAGAGATTATTTTAAAAAGCTAAGTTATGAGTGATGAACTTAAAAGACAAGTCTTAATTTAGGCTGACAAAAATCAAAGCATGCTAATGAATATTTTAAATATTGATTAAAATTTACCTGATAGCATTATGTAAATGTACAACTTTTTAAAATCATACGTTAAAATCTTACCTTTTTTGAATAATGACTCGATTGGCCATGCTTTCTAAGAAGATTATCTGTTTGATTATATCTTTAATTCAAGTAGTAATATTAGTTTACGTCAAGCTCTTGAGTAACATAAATAAGCTGTAGAAATCTTACTTGATGGTAATTTTATTGAAACAGTAAGATAGATTTATTTCAGAGAAAAAGAAATTGTTGATCGAATTAAGCTAGATAAAAAATTAGGATTGTTTGAATACGTTTAAGATTGTTAAATTATAAAAGATTTACGTAGCAATATAGATCTAATTAAATGGAGAGAGATCATTTAAAAATCTATCAATTTATTAACTTAGGATGTCATTAATTCCATCTAAGCATAATAAATTTAATAAGAATTCTCCAGAATAAACTAACTCAATAGAAAATAACAAATATTCGTTAACAAATTCATTATGTCCCAAACATAAAAATGAATACATGCATAAAGAAAAATATCTTTAAACCCTACCCTCTACTTTCATATATAAAATTCAGACCATCAATTAATTTTTCTTCTATAAATTATTTTAAAATTTTTTCCCACTTTTATTTTATTTTTGTTGTTCTATTATTTTAAAAATTGTATTACTCTTAACTATGTTAGAATTAAAAAATATTTATTTATTTATAAATGAATGAATGAATTAAAAAGTTTAACTGCAACAATAAATATTCCAATAATAAATTACTCTTTATCTAATAAAAAATTAAATAATTATTATTTACATTCAAAAAAAAATTTTAAGTAATAAATAATATGATCGTTATAATAAGTACTGAAAGATAATAAATTTTACAAATTATCAATCAGTAAAAAATTATTGATATCTGGTAATATTACGTTTTTAACACAAATCAAATGAATTTATTTTATAAAGTGGTAAAAACAAAAATAAAAAAAATAAAGATATTCAGCGAATAGATTTTATATTTTTATATTATACAATAAAATATATAACTACCATTATTTGATTATTTAAAAGGATATTTAGTGTACATCTAATATTTTAAAATAAATTATTCTTTATTTAGTTTAAACCATTTGAATTTATTTAAAAACTCCTGAATAATCTACTTCATATTTTAGTTGATTTTCAAAAATCCATTTTTACTTCGGATTTAATTAATTAAGAAGCTTTTTATATTTTTCTTTCAAATCTTTTTTTTAATTTGATTCCATAGACATCGTTGTTGTACAAGTAAATTGTAAATATAATGAGACTTTATGACTTTGATAAAGCAACTAAAAAATCAGATGCACCCTTTTCGCCAATATTATTGTTGTTTAACATGATGTGCAATATTTCGATACTATTTGACTTTGCCAAAGCTTAACCCAGTAGTAATGCACCCTCTTACCCCAATTAATTATTCATTATATCGATGTTTAAATTTTTGAGTTTAGTTAGATTTGCTAGAGAAGTGCCCAAGCTAAATATACTCTATGCGTTTAATTTATTGTAGCATAAACTAAGTGAGAATTTTTAGAGATTTTTTAAGTTATCTAAAAAAGTACCAAAAGTAGATGAATTCTCATTCCCAATATGATTTATCATTAACTAAAGATGTAAAGTTTAGAGGTTAGTTAAGTTTGTAAAACCTTAACTTAAACCAGCCATTCCAGCTGTGCCTATCTTATTGGAGAATAATTCAATATTCATATCTTATAGCTAAGTTAAATTTGCTAAAGCAGAGCCTAAACCAGATGCTCCCTAAGCTTATATATTATTACTATATAAAGGAAGATTCAAAATTTTGAGCTTTGTTAAGTTTTTAAAATGAGATACTAAATCAGAAAGTCCATCTTCAATTTAATTGTCATTTATTTGAAGTGTCAATTTTGTAAGGTTAGTTAACTTTCCTAATTCAGAGCCTAAATATTAAGCACTCTAACTACGTATTCCATTTTTCTGTAAATTAAATTTAAAATCTTGGAGATTAGTTAAATGCTCTAGAGGAGAGAATAAATCAGATGGAAAATTTTGACCAATATTATTATTGGAAAAATCGATGTTTAAAGCTTATATCTTAATCAACTTTGCAAAATTAGAGATGAAACCAGATAAACCTTATCCACTTAATTAATTCCCTATAAATCTGACTACTAAACTTGATATGTTAACTAAGTTTGATATAGTAGAGCCTAGATTTATGACATCTTAATCGCTAATATTACAATAATCTATTGTAAGTTCTAAAGTTGATAGGTCAGTTAAATTTAATAAACTAGAATTTAAAGCAGAAGCACCCTTTGAACCAATTTTATTCCAAGATATATCAAGCACAAAATTTTATAATTTAGTTAAGTTTGCTAAAGCTGAACAAAAAGCAGAACCACCTTCTTCATCAATACTATTTGAATAAAGATAAACTTTAAGTTCTATTAGATTACTTAACTTTGATAATCCAGAACCTAATGCAGAAGCGCCTTTTGAGCGAAGAGAAAAAGAACATAGTTAGAGTGTCAAATGTGTCAGGCTAGATACTTTTCCTAAAGATTAAAATAAGTCAAATGCTCCCTTTTCACATATAGGACTACTTTACAAATCAAGATTCAAAGAATTTAGTTAAGTTAAGTTTTCTAAAGCAGATCCTAAAACAGAAAAACCCCTATCCCTTATGTCATTTTTAGATAAACTGAGTTTCAAAGCTGAAAGGGTTTTTAAATTTGCTAAAGCACAGCTTAAACCAGAAGCCGCATTATCACCTTCGCCATCTTTAATTTTTGATATTTCACAACCATCCTCATCGTAAGTATCATAGAAGGTAGGTCTTAATAAAACTTATAAGCTTGAAAGGCTATTTAAGTTTTCCAAAAAAGAATTTAATTCAATTATACCTTTCTCTCCAAAAAGATTTGCTTTCAAATCAATTTCTACTTTTTAATAATCTTAATTATTAGGGAGATTATTAATATCTGTGATTTTCAACATAAATACTTCTTTTTTTCTCAATTACAAAAAATTTGTTTTTTTTATTTATTTATTTATTATTTTCCTTTCACCAAATGGAAAATATCTTTTTTTTTAAAAAATTACCAAATTTTACTGGGCCTATTTTGTAATCTAATGTAACGCTCTGATCAGACGTTCAATTAATTATATTTTTTCTAAAGATATTAATGAGCCTCTTCTTTCTAATTATAAAAGATTTTTGGAATTTCAAAATTTTCAAAAATTAAAATGAATTATTTTGAGATGTGACTCCATTTTTTAATAAGAAAAATAAATTATTATAAAGAATGGTTTAAAATCAAAGATAATGTTTATGGTTTTTGTTTGGATAAAAAACAAATTTTATAATAATTACCAAATTAAAAATAATAATTAATTCCTAATTTTTAATGCTTCCTTATATACATCATAAAAGGATTATTTTTGATGATAATTCTTAACAGCTTTCAGCTAAAGCCTAATAGTCTCCTTAATTTTTTTTATAAAATAATGAAAGATAAAATACACCGATCAAATAAAGGGAAAATAAAAGTTTAGACAAAAGAGAAAATAATAAAAAGAGATCACATCGAATGAAAAGTGAGGTTAGCAGTCCTATTGATTAAAATATGCCTCAAATTATAAATTAACATCTTCCAGGACCTGGACATTATAGTGTCAAGTATGAATTAGTTTAACCTAAAGCTCCTACAGCTAAGATATATACAGAGCCCTCAACTATTAATACAAATGAAACACTAAGCAAATACTTAACAACTGAACTTATTAACAAAAAAATGTTAAATAGACGAAAATCTATTGTTGATGGACAGAATTTGAGTCCAGGACCAGCTAAATATATTAATGATAATTATCTATAAAAGAAAGGTATATCCTTTAAATTTGCTCAGTCGAAGAGAGACGAATCTTTTTTAAATGCATAAAACCTTAAATATCCTTAAAACTCTCATAGCAATAATGAAAGTCCTTCGCTAGAATTTGTAGATCCAAAGTTTGGGAATTAAAGTAAATCTAGGCAGAGAGGAAATACACTTTATGAAATAGATATAAATAGAATGTTTGCTAAATAAGATTTTAGTTTGATATCTATTCCAAATACATAACAAAATTATAAAGGAAGAAGTTTTTCAAGAAGTCCTAAAAAGCTATCGCCAAGGTATTTAGAAGATGATAAATTCATTAATGAAAATAACTATGATGATATTCAAAATGAAAACCCAGGACCAGGCCATTATGAAATAATAGGCAATTTTGATCCAAAACCAAAAAAGAATGAAACCAATAAATTGATTAAATTAAAAAATCCATCTTAATACGATAAAAAGCAAAAAATGCTTCTGAGACCGTTGTAACCTCCAAGACAATTATATTCTCCTACAGAAGCTCACCGATAAGAGTTTAATTCTTATATGTAATAACTAAAATAAAATGTACAAATCTCATAAACACCTTAGCCTTAAAGCGATCAAGATTACTACTAGATATCACCAACAACTGGAAATGTCTAAAGTTAAAACTCTTCTAAAAAACATTATTAAAAAATGTAATAAAAATATCTTGAAAATGGAGTTCACTTACTTCAACAATAACAAAATTGTCAAAAAAACTAATAAAATATTTAATAACACTTTATTTTTCCTCACGATTTTGTGAAGTACGATGATTAAATTTATATAAATTACTGATCTATCAATTTCTATTACTATTTCAATATCATATCTAAATAAGTAAATTAATTATATCTCTTGTGTAAATAAAATATTTTTTAAGGTACTATTATTAATTGAGTTGATTATAATTAAAATTTAAATAGGCCTTTATTTCTTTATTTATTAATGTAAAAAATAGATTCACTATAATTAATTATTTCAAGCATTAGTAGATATTAGCATCTAATTAATGTGTACATATATTATTATTTTCATTAAAAATTAATATTTGAAATTTTTAGTAATTAATATAATTTCGATTCTTTTGATCAAACACAAATTTCGATACCAATTATTACCAAATATTAATTTTTTATCAAAGCATGAAACTGTCTAATTTTTGATAAGATTTAAAAAGCAAAACGATAATAAATATAAATTACAATTTAATTGGTTTTTTAAATGAAAGAATAATCAATCAATTAATCAATAATTTGAATAATTTAAAAAAGATCCAAAATGTATCTACTAATTGGTAGTTGATCATCCTTTATTAATTATTACTATTTACTATTCCAGCCAAAAAGTTAGTTTATTATTAATTAATTCATAGTTAATAAAGTTATCAAAGTTCAATAAAAATAGGATTTTAGCTTTAAATCAAGTACTAAGTATATTTATTTTCAATCTGCATTTCAAATTAGAAGAAATGAGGTAATCTTAAGCCAATCCTAAGACACCTAAACTTAATACAGAAAAAGAGGGAAGGAACATAAATAAATAAGACTCTGATGCTTAAAGGCTTTCAGAAAAGTAAACTCTTGAAGTCAGCGATTTAAAATTGATTGAAATAGATCAGCTTTGGGTAATTACAAACAATAGCTCAATACCTAAGGCTTAAATAATGTTTTTGTGTGACTTTCTAGAAATTAATTCAGATAAAATAATGGAAATGTATCATGCAGGATAATATAGAGTACATCAGTTCTAAACTCACGATTTCTACAATTACTTTTACTCCAATAGTGAATAAAAAAAATTAGCAATAGAAACTTTAAAGCAACTTTCAAATGAAGGGTCATATACTGCAAGCTTACTCATGAAGGCCTTATAAAAAGATAGAAATTAAGAAATTAAATTCACTGAAAAGGATGATGATATCATTTCATCTTTAATGCACAATTTATGTTTGGTTGTTTAGGGAAATTTAGTAGATGCGTTTTATGCTTCTCTAAAAAATATAATGAATTTTGGGTTTAATCATTGCCCTCATAATTTACCTATGATACCAAAGATAGGAGGGATGTAAATATTAATAGGCTTGTTTGACTGCTTTGGTTAATCTCATGGAGATTTTATGGAAGATTTATTGAGAAAGGATTTATATTTCGGAGGAGAAAACCTTATTAATTTTGTTCACTATTATTATGATCCTGATAGGAAGTATATGATAAACGTTAAAAGCGACATGCAAAGCGATATAAATAAATAGAGATAAGAAGATAGAGAAAATAAAGATTAATTGACCAATATCCTAAATAAAATTATTGAGAGACTAAAGAATATGAAAGTAAGTGGTATTCGCCACAGTATTTTTTTATATAATGAGATGGTTAAATTCTATTAAAAAATTCACAACAAGTAGACTCTAATTGATGAAAGTGATAATGATTTAGTCTTTGCTTCTGAAATTACAGTTAAGGAGAAAGATTAGCTTTATCATTTAACCCCTTTAGATATTAGAAAGAACTAGGAATGGTTAGCAATAAAAAGTTGTATTATTAACAATGAAATTTTAACAAAAAAACAAGAATAGAACTGGATAAATTTTGCTTTCAAAGTACTATGCATTTTTTTATTATATTTTTAAATTTATGGTATAATAATTTGAAATTCTAACTTATAAATTATTTATTAAATTAAGCTAACTTTAATAAATATAGGAGCTTTATTATGATTCAATATAGATGTTAGGAGAAAAAAGTATTATCATAGATCAAAACACTGTTTTAGGGCTCAGATGCTATAATTTATTGCTGCTGTTAGGCGAGAAAAAATCTATTCAAATACTTTATAGTCTTTTATGCTATAATGGATTGTACAAAGATATTTTGAATTTGCTGCAACCAAGTTTATAAGAGAAACATAAAAAGCCCTATTTAGCTGTCATGGTAATTTAGTGCTAGATAAGACACTCCAAGGTGAAGGAGAGTCTAGAAGAATTAAAAGAAATAGCTAAAAGTAGAATAGAAGCATATGATTTGTATCTTTTATCTAAATGTGTCTTTACATAAGAAGAAAAAGATTATTTTGGTGCCCTTTGTGTATTCACTATAATCTCAAATATTTCACAAAGTTAATTTAAGCTTTTTGATAATCTTATTTTAGCTAAATTATTGTTTAGAGGAGGTGTTTTTCTTCAAAAGAATGTTTTATAGTCATATTCTCTCTTAAAAGTCCTTTTAAAGCACGGATACTATGAGTTAATGAGAGACTATTTATGCAAGCTTTTTATAAAAAAAAATTTAGATAAAGTATCAGAATAGGTAACAAAGGAATAAAAAAGGGTAGCAAAAGCATTGGTAAAGAATTCATTGCCTCCTTAATTCACTAAAAAAGCTGAAGTTTACACACTACAAGAAAGTTAAGGAAATATTATTAAGATTAAAAAGAGAAAGAAAAATTAGCATGAAACAGAGTAAACAGATTAAAATTTATTTTCAAAGTAGTTGTATCAGCAATTACTTCAGCTTTAAACGAGAGATGTTAAAACTAGCATTTTAGCAAAAATTTATTTATTTAAAGAGAAATCTCAAATGTAATACATAACATCTACTCTTAAGCAACACTACGAAGATTTAGTTCATATAGGATACAACATCCTTTTTCCACCAGGAAAAAATTACTCTATAGGAAACTGTATTAGTAATTATGATTTTTTTAAAAGGAAGAATTTGCTAAAAATGTCCATTTAATCAGCCGCTAGTACTCCATTAGATGTGCAGTCTTTGAGACTCTTGATTGTTAAAAATTAAAATATCCTTAAAGCTACATAAATATTCTCTTTGGAAAAAATTAACTACAATATCCTAAAGTATTTTTATATGAAAAAAACAGAAGAAATACAAAGAGAAAAGTAGCTTCAAGATCAAGAAAGAGCTAATCGCTAAGGTTAAATCGAATTAGAAGCTATGCAGGGATAAAATGATTTGTAGAGATAATATTATATTCGTGTTTAGAAATAACTAGAACAGATTGAAGAAAAATCGGAACATTCCTTGCAGTACACTAAAAACAAATTATCAATGCAATCTGTTGGTGAAGTTAAAGTAACTTCTCACTCCAATCAGAGATATCCTACATAATCTGAAAATTAGTTAGAATCTGTAAATGACTTTTAAATGAATTCTCATTCTAAGTCTATAGTGTAGAGCAGTAGTAGATTTGATAAGAAATAAGAGCAATCATCATAATATATTTCTATTTAGGAAAATGATCATTATTTAAAAGAAGGCTCTTAGAGTTAGATTTAGACATAATAAAACTTACAAAGTGATTAAACAAATAATTAAAATAATTTGAGCAAATAGGAAGATGCTAATAATATATCTTACCCAAAAGATTCAAAAGAAATTTTGCCAAATAAAAAAGAAGAGAATATACTTTAATAATATTTTTACATGAAATTAGATAAATAATATAATATATCTTTGAAAGGTAAGTTTATGCAAGATGAAATTCTTGTATTCACAAATGAAGATTTGGTTTTTACAGGTGAAAACAAAGATTCGATTGATAACACCAATGAAGGTTCGAGATAATAAAATGGAAACTCATTTTTTAATGGTTAAAATGGATATGGCTACTTTAAATTTAATACTAGCTAAAAATTTTAAATTACAAAAATTCCTAACGTTGAAAAAATATTTAGTGATGATTTCTATCCTCTTATTAAGAGAAGCAGCTCATTTTGTTTAAAATACTATGGTTTTTATATGAATGAATAGGTTTGGTATGTACTTTCAGAGACATATGATGAAAAACTTACTTTGAATTCTGATTTAACATTTATAGAGATATATCAGCTATACCAGATAGCACTAGCATTGCATTTGAATGAATAATTTGGGTTGATCAACTATTGGGGAACTAATATACTTTATAGGAAAGGAGGAAAAATTTATCTACCTAATATTATTACACTGATTTAATTGTATCACTATGATTTTTCAATTTCAAATGTTGTATCATTAGATATAACTGAGATAAATGAACAAATCATTTAAAAATAAAAACATCATTAAAATTCTAATTAAACTATAAATCGTAACGAATATGCGCCAGAAGTATTTGTAGGAAACATGGAAATGCAAAGAGCTAAATGTGATATCTGGGCTTTAGGCTCAATCCTATTCCATACAATATTTAAGAAACCTCTTATAAACCTAGTTAATAATAGTGATTATATTTAAGAATTGGCAAAATTAAAAAATCCTTACTATCTTTCTACAATCCTAAATAAAGAGAAAGAAGAATATTTACAAAAGAGTAATTAGAGTTCTTATCAAAATTTAGAAAACAGCGAAGCATCAATTACTAAAATAAAAATACCTCCAGATATTTTAGATGTAAGTTATTTTATAATTAATTTTATTTAATTTATTTTATTTAACAAGATTTACTTGAAAATTATTTAAATGAGCATAGTCTATGATTCTGAAATAAGAAGCTCTAGTGAAGAAATTGCAAGCTTTTTACTTCAACAGTTGAAATTAAATACAAAAATTGCAGCAGGTATAGATAATTATGAGAAGCTTTTGGAATATTCTGATAATCTGGTTTTAGATATCTCTTCAGAAATAGAAAAATGTCAAAGAGAAGGAACTAATGAAAGTATTTTTATAACAGGAAGTAATACATTTGTTTGGGTGAATTATAAAGATTGTATTGTCTATTATAGAGATAGCTATAAGAATAGCTACATACTTCACAATCCGGAGCTTAATATAACTCATTTTAGTTTAAAAGACGTGATTAAAGGTGAAGGTATATTAATAAACCCAAGTAATGATATAATACTAGGATACTTCTCTTCCAATTGTGTTCCATAAAATGTAAAAATCTTAAAAAAATGTTTGTTTTTTTTTGATAAAATATATTTTTTATTAGATTGAAGTTATTGATACTATTTCTGGAAACCCCTACTCATAAATTTCATATGATGAGAGAGGAGCTCCTATAAATAGCTCAATAGAAAGTTTATTAGAAAAAGATGTGATAACACAGATAAAGAATGTGAAGCAACAATAGTAAGAATAAATGGAAGGAGCATTTTTAAAGAGGATTGAGGAATCAAAAAGTCTCAACTATTTAGCTCTCATTTAATAATTTTTAACTTACTGGAAAAGCTAAAAGAAAATGTATGAAGATTTGTTTGGAAATAAAGTTACAGGGTTCTTTGATAATGATTAAGGAACTATTTGTGCAGCTGATAATATCCCCATAGTAATATAAAATTCAAAACAAAAGACTATTTATATTCTCAATGACACTTGTGTTGTTTTAGATCATTCTGTTTTTTCAATTCAATTTTTTCATCCTCTAGAGCTATTTAATTCTTAAGACAAAACAATAGGAAATTATTTAAACGAAATATTTTGTAAAGATTAACCATACAATACAACTTTTATGTTGTCAGGCCTTTGTTTTGTGGGAAATTTTAGGTGTAGTCGCTTCGAAGATGGTTTCCTTATTTTTAAGAAAACTAACTCCCTTACAATAAAATATCACCCTGATCCAACAGTCCCATACTTTACAAAGATAAATTATAATAGTTAACATTTTTATGAAGGCTACATACATCAAGGAATGTATAACGGGATAGGTGAATATTCAAATAAAAAGTAAGTTCTATATCGAGGAAACTTTGAAAATAATTTCCTTACACATGGTTAGATATTTTTTGATGGTCATCCTACCTATCTTTCTTATGAAGGAGAAGTTATTTACGATTTAGAAACATAAACGTAAATACTTTTATAAATTTTTACAATAAACTGAAAACTGATAGATATTTCAAAAAATTTAATGAAAACACTTATATATTTTCTAATTACCTTTTTAATAATAAAAATAATATTAAAAATTAAATGAAAAAAAATTAGATATGTAATGCACGGATAGGGTAGATGCATCTTAAAAAATAAATCAGTGTTTGAAGGGTAGTTTGATAGAAATGAATTTAATGGAAAAGGTAAATTGACATACAACAAAAATAAGGGTGTTTATGAAGGATTCTTCAGAAATGGTATAAGAGAGGGACCAGGTGTCTTTAAAAGCAAAAAAATATAATTTTAGGGTGAATATAGAAAAGGTTTAAAATATAACTATGGTAAGCAAGTAAGAAAAAATGGTAAAGAAATATATGAAGGAGAATTCAGAAATGATAAAAGAAATGGGGTTGGTGTTCTAAGATATCCATTTTCATCAGATATAATTTTTTATTAAGGTGAATTTTTTGATGATAAAAAACATGGCCATGGTATTGAAATAACTAGAAGCAAGCAAAAATTCCTTGTAAAATACTATAAAGATTAGCGTATTAGAAGAAAATAAGTTAGATTAGATACTGAAGAGTGTCTTTTTCACTTTTAAAATGAAGAACAATAAAAATAAATAGACAAAGAATATATAAAATCTCTAGAGATGTAGGGTAGTAAAGATTAAAATCAAGACTACCCTATTTAGTACTATACAGAAGTAAATGATTAAGTTGGTATATAGGAGTAAGAATAGGATTTTGTTGAATAAATAGAGAAAGTTAATGCCATTTCTCCTATAGCTAGAATACAAAATGATACTCCAGAACATATAGCAACATTTGAGCTGGAATAGAAACCTCAAAATCCAACATAAAATCCACAAAAAATATATTCTATTTTTTGACATATTTAACAATGTTTTTTTACATTCTTATTATAAAATATTTTTAATACTAAATTTTCTGCTAAATATAAATATAAATCTTTAAACAAATTTATATCTTATAAACAAATAAACTACTAAATTATATGTATTAAAGTAAATTAAAAATATTTAGTTTTAAAAATTTATAAATTTTATGAATTTCAAATAAAATAAATAAATAATTGATTAATAAAGGGGTTACTATTATTTTTTACTGTTAATATATTTTTTTTGCTAATATATAAAAGTAATTAAATTAATCTTTCTTAAATTAATTAATTATTAAAATTAAAATTGAGAGTGAAAATAAGTAAAACAACTAGATTGATTTAGCTTAATTTTTAATTTTATAATAAGTATTATTATAAACAAATAAGCATTAATAATTTTTATTTAAAGCATTAAATAAATTATGTTAAAACGATAATAGTTTTTTAAATAAATTGATGAACCTAAGTGAATCATTTTGTATTTAAATTAATATATTTTTTATTTATTGAAGTTTTTAAGATTTAAAATAATAACATTCATTTTTTTAAATTCAATATATTATTTGAACAAATCTGAATAAATCATGTTAAATGATATAATTTATTTTTTAAGTTAATAAATGTAATAATAATAATTAATACATTTTTTTAAACTTAAAATATTTTTAAATTGAAAAATATAATAATGATAAATTCAAAAAGAAATTTGTAAGATTCAATAATTTTAATTATAAAACATATAATATTAATGATTTTTTAACTAGCTTGCTAATTCTATGATAAATGTGACAAAAATAGCAATAAATTTTTTTAATTTTTATGATAAAATGTAAATCTTATAACTCTTGTTTAAATGAAGAGTTGTTTTTTTTAAAAAAAAACTTAATTTTCAATTTAGTTTTGAATATATTCTATTTTTAAATATATTTATCTCTTTATTTATTTTATTAATTTCCTAAGACTTATCTTTTTGATAATACTTTGAAAAGAAGTGGTTTTTTATGTTTTCAATTAAGTGCTTAGACATTGCTTATTTGTGAATTGTTAAATTTTGTTTTTATTTAAGTCTGTCCATTTTGTCTTAGTCTCTATCTTAGTAATCTTTTTCGATTGTACTATCAAGATTCTTAATAGCAAGAGAAGTGTCATCAACTGCTTTGAAACTATCACAGTTTTTCACATGTTCCAATTCAACCCTAAATAAGTTCCATTAGCACCTAAACAAATAAATTTTAAATATCTAATAAGATAATCTTTAAAAAATGTTTACCTTCTAAACATTTCTAAAAGCCCAATAACAAAGTTAAACAAATCTTTATTTGGGATAAAACTAACCTGGAAACCTGGTGATATATTGAATACCCAAGCAAGACGGAGTATAAAGTTGCTTATAAAGACTGCATAGTATATGTTAGGGTTTTTGTAGACCAAATGATCTCTGTTTTATTAAAATGAATGAATAAATAAATAAATTCTTTTAAAATTTAATATTTCACCTCAACCATTTATTCTTAGATTTGGTCAAGAAACCCCAATCTTTTTTTAAATCCCAATAATAACTGTAAAGAGTAGAAACAGCAGAACTGATTATCCAAACAACAAGGAAAGGAGTTTAGTAAGAATCCCATTTATTAAATTTAATTAGAGAGAGCATAAAACTTAAAATACTTGTTAATAAAGAACTTTGATACTTAAGTAAATTATAAAAATTATTTGTTCCGAAATATTTTTTTTCATCGTACATTGCTCTACAACATTAAATACTTCTCATTATTGAAGGGATAGTTGCCATAACAAAGCCTGTTAAGATTATCTATTAAATACTGCTTGTTCCTATATAAATTGTTAAACTGATATAGCCTCAATTTTAAGAATTAAAATATAACTTACTATCTGAAGCTATTTTGTTAGAACTAAAATCACAAGTGTAGAAAAGTATAGCTGTAACAATATCCTTTAAAGGAGTAATAAAAGAAACTAACTGATCTGTTGCCCAGCCTATTCTGAACTCCATTTTCCTGAAAGGCATACAAAGGATTAATTTTAGGAGTTTATAGAAATACTTTCTACCTTAAGGATTAAACCATTTCTCAGAAGGGAAAAAGATGTAACCTAAAAATGCCACCCATACCAACAAGGGTAATATTCCTTATAATGTAGGTTATTCATGCTATTTTACTAAGGTAAAGGCAAAAAATGATAACAAAAAAAGAAATGTAAATATAGCAGCCCTCTACAGAATCTGAGATACTGTGCTGAAGTGATGATTAAACTTGAAAATCAATTTATAGTTAACTTAATACTTCTCCCAAATGTATACATTCCACCCAATTAACCACTGATACCTAATGTTAAGTATCAAAAGAGATAAATTCAATTAATAAATACAGCATCATAATTATTTTACAAAATGATCAGACCGATTCCACGATAAATTGGAAATATTAAACTAAAAGCATCTGTACCTGAACTCGTCTCATCTTAGGATACCCCATAAAAAATTAAACAAACAAGCAAAATAGCAAGCCCAGTAAAGATACCAAACATAAAAAGATTGCTTGAATCTCCTTAAAAATTATATGCCTTTTCTAGTTCTTCTTTACCTCTTTTTCGATTAAATCTTGTGTAAAAAAAGCTAAGATAAACTGCTTCTACTTCACTTATTAAAGTATTCAGTTTTTCTTCATTTCTTTAAAGAAATCCATCTCTGATTTTAAACTAAATTCTAATTAAAATAATAGAAATAATTTTTAAAAGATAAAAAGATTTTTTTAATTTAATTTTTAGATTCACAAATAAAACAATTTTTATATTAAAATCAATTGACATTTAATCAGTTCAAATATGTCATTTTTTTTGAAAAAATCTTTTAAATAGGAATTATTCAACTTTTCTTATATAATTGAGAGTAAAACTAAAATCTAAACGAATATATTCTTGCAAACTAAAAAGATTTATTCTTTAGCAATTTAAATATTAATCGAAAAATTCATACTTTTCAACTAGATCATCGCTTGTGATAATATATCTTGTATATTTCTTGTATTTCTTTAAAATTTTCCTTACACCATCTTTATTTATATCAGCATAACCTCTAAGCAGTCTTATCTATCTGTAATATGCATGGAAGGCTGTTTTTAAGTTTTTGTATTACTTATCAAAATCAGACTCTAGTTTTTTTCTTTTGCAATTTATATGTAAGTATGATTCATATAATCCTTTCCAAATATGAATTACATTTAGTAATTTGAATTGGAAAAATTAATTTATCTTATCAATTTCAGATATCAAATTACTTTCGAACATTTCTTTAAATTTTTAGAATTGTTGATCATCTTACTTCATTCCTACAAGGTTTATTGATTCTTCTCCCTTATAAAACTTAGTTTTAACACATAATTTTTAAGTGAGCTTAAAAGGTATTAATGTTTTCTTTAACAATTAATAGTCTAAATATGATTTTTTCCATTCGGGAACAGTTTTTGAAGAAATTAATTGAGCAAATTTCATTCAGATTATTATTTGATCAAATAATAAAATAATTAAATTATAGACTATTATAAATATTTATATTTGCGTATGTCCTTCTAATCTATTTATTTCCTAACAATACAAATTGGTATGACTTTATTATCAAAAACTATTAATTATTATATTTTGAATGTATTATTATATTTATTTTAGCTTTTTCTATTCAATTTGGTATTAACCTATCATCTACTACTAAAAAATTGTGTATATTCTGTCAGAAAAATATCATATATTTAATCTTGTACTATTAAATACTTTATTTATTAATTTTCAATATTTTTTAGTATCAAAAATGTAAGCAAAGCTAAAATTAATTATTTTATAAAAGCCATTATGTGAATTATTTTTATTTAAACATGAGATTATATTTTTCTTTCTCAAAAAGAGTAAAAAAATTGTATAAATCATTAAAATGTATTCAAAAAATTTCACCATATAGATTTGAGTTAAGATATTAAAATTAGTTTAGTTTATTTATAATAAACCCATTTTATAAGAATTTAATTAATAGCTTAAAATTATTTTAGTTGGCTTTTCTATTCCATTCGATATAAACCTATCATATTCTTTTGTAAAATAGAGTGTATATTCTTTCAGAAATATATCATCATATATTTAATTTTAAATTATAAATGCATTATATATTAATATTCATAAATTTTTTTATCAAAAATGTAAGAGAAGCAAAAATAATTATTTTATCATAGTTATCATGTGAATTATTTTTATTAAAATATGGAATTGATTTTACTTTCTCAAAAATTTTTTTAAATATGTGAAAATAATTAAAATATATCTGAGTATTTTATCAAATAGTAAAGAGTTAATTAGATATTCATTTTAATTTATTTTATTTAAAATAAACCCAATTTATTTAAATATATTTTATAATTTAAATTAAATGCTTAAATCATTTTTTATATGAAAATTAAATTTAAAGCTCCTTCGCCAAAAATTCTAATAAAGTCAGACTTAGCCATTTATTTTATTAATAAACATATGACTTATTTGAGTATTTAATACTTTAAACCTTTAAATTAACATGGAAATTGATACATAATGCTATTTTTATAAATATAATTTCAGCTCTCATCAATTTCTTTTAATTATATTTTTTTTAAGAATTTATTAATTACAGCAATATTTATATGTGATTCATCACTCTACTCATATAAATTTAGAGATTTCTCAAACCAATATTTAGAATCAGCAATTTTTTTAGAATACAAGTAAATACAGCCAATATTATAGCAAAGATCAGCTTTTTTGAATAAATCACTATCAATTTAATCATGAATTTCCAATGATTTCTTGAAATATTCTATAGATTTTTCGTACAGCTTTTGCATATTATATAAGACACCTAAAGTAGAATAGGTTTGCCATAATATATTTTAATTATTGCTATTTTTTAACACATCTTCACTCTTTAAAAGGTAATATAAAGATCTATCAAAGTCTTAAAGATTTTAGTAAGATATTCCCATTAAATTATATATTTCTCCTAATTGATGGTATTATTCACCATAATATTTGATGCATAAAGATTCGGCAATTTGATAATAATTGATAGATTTAAGCTATCTATCTTTAATTTCTTAGTCCTATTCCTCAGACCTTCTTTGCTCAGAAAGTAATGTACCTAAATTTATATAAATACTTATAAGCCTGTAGTTATCTTCCCCTTCGTGTTTGATAACCAAATCTAAAGCAGTTTTTAAACACAATTCAGACTAAGTAAACTTCCCTTATTCTAAATAGACCATCTTTTTAATTTAAAATAATTTATAAAGCTATCTTGAAAAAATAATTAAGAAAGTATATTTTGTAATTAAAAAATATTAATGATTTTACAGAGAGATTATTAAGAATTTCAAAGGACTAAAATTCTAAATTGATTGCTTTCAAGATAGATATAGCTTATTCAAAATTCTGTGATGACTTTGAATATTATTTTAAGCTGAAATATACTGTACCTAAGTTATTATACATATTTGCTATAATAATATGGTTTTATCCATATATATTGAGTGCAATTTAAAGACTCTATTCATAATAATTTTTAGATTCTTACTAATTTCCAAGCTTATTATAAGCTATTCCCAAAGCATTTAAAATCTCACCTTTTCATTTAATTGTAAAAATAAATTTTATAATTCAATATTTTTATCAAATACCTATTCTTCTGCTATCAGGTTTATAAATCTTCTTTCTAAAATAGTAGCATTGCTAATAAAATTCTAAGCTCTTTATAAACTGTCCAAGTTTTTCATAGCATCTTCCTACATTATATAAAGCTCTTGATCTGATAGTCTTTGTATTCATGTAAATGGTAGCTAATAAAATTGATTAAATGTTTAAATGGTTTAAATATTTATTTAAATAATTTTAGAATAATCTTATCAAAAATTGGATAAAATTATTGATAAGATCCTCAAAAAATTTGGTCTGTGAATGTAAAGATAAAAATTAAAGAATGTTCAACTGAAGATAGAATAAATTTAACAGAATGTAAGAAGCTAGACATCAAAAAAATAATTAGAAATACCTTAGAGAACTTGTTAATATGCTTCTATTGCTCTCTCAAATTTAAGAATCTTTTCATAACCTTCTGCTATAATAAATAATTTTTTAGCCTTTTAGTATTGAGACATGACTTTAGAATTTTCTCTTTGGTTTTCAATTTCAAGTGAGATATCTTTGTCTTGTTAGAGAATTACCTAAGATAGATCTATTTCTAACTCGTATGATTTTAAGATGCTTTCGAAGGATTTCCTATTTTCTGGAGACTCGTTTAAAAGGCTAAGTATAAGCTAGCATACTTTTGGATATGTATTCTTCTAAATGCACGCTGTCAAATAGGCTTACATTTATGTCATATAATTACTATTGTTTTTTGACTTATTTCCATTCACAACTTTGGTTTGAAATTTTACTTCATTCAAAGAAACTAAGTCTGTGAATAAAACTCCCAGAGAATATAAATCACTCAAGTATGGATCATAAGCACAAACATCTTCAACATTCTTTAGAGCTGTGCTGAGCTCAGGAGATAAATATTTCCATGTCCCTCTAAAACTGTGAAGCATTTAATCTTCCTTGGACTATTCTTATTAACTATTTTACAAGAATTTACCTTCACTAAAATCTCCAATTTTATATTTTATATCTTTTGCACTAAAAAGGATATTCTACATTTTTAAATCTCTGTGGCATATCCTCTTGTCTTGAAGTAACTTAAGTCCTTCAAGCATCTGCTTAAAAATGAACATCAATTCTTCTTCTTTCCAATATAGTCTGTTGTCTTTCCTATAATTAATTATCTCCATTAGATTGCATTAGCAATAATCCATAACTAAAATTAATGTTTTTTCTATTTTTAAATGTAAAAAAAAATAAATAAATATATTTAGCAGTTTAATGTATTTTAATAAAAGTTTTATTACAGTTAGTTCTCTCTAATCCAAAAACATCTTGAAGCTAAATAAAAGGTTGATGACCTCTTAGAAATTTCAGTAAGCAAATTTCGTTAATCACATCCAAAGCTTGGTCACTTTCAAAGTCATCTAAATTGATCATTTTTAGAGCAAAATTACGAACTTGCTTTTAGCAAAAGGCTTTATAAACTCTTCCTTGTGAGCCTGCACCTAACATGACATCATTAATTTTCCAGTCATACCTACCACCACCAGTGTCGTCTTAAAATATATCTATAATAAATTACTACTAGTTTTAAGTATTTTGAACCATAATTTTTTTCTCTTATACATTATAGTAAGTTTTTATATATTGTAGTCTTTAAACATAGTTTGATGTGTTCTTTTGTAATTTTAATAATCTTTTAGTCTCTTAAACTGTAAATGTCTTAAGGATTCCTTTATTTTTCTATTTCTCTATAATTTGTTACTGAACTTATTTTTTGTAGCTTATAGTAGCTCCATCATCATCACCTTCATTTTCATTGTTATGATTACCTTCATTACCATTCTAATTATCCTAAATATCTTCTTAGCTTAATTGATTTTTAAAATTTTAAACTTTTTCGATAATTTATGGTTCATTATATGTAAGTTAAGGTGAATTTTCTTAATACTAATCAATACCAGCTTCATCTTAATCTTAATCCTCTTTTTTTTAGCCAGCTTACTACTAATTCATTTCATCATTAAATTCATTTAATCTTTCTTCCATTTCAAAACTGTCTTCATTTTCATCAGAAATTCCTTCATCGAACTCAGAAAAACATTTGTTCAAACTATTTTATTCATATGACGATTTAACCTTTGAAAACGTTGAGCTCTCCATAGGTTAAGTTGGTTTTCTAGAAAGTACTTAATTCACTTCAAGATTAAGTATATCTTAAACAGTAGATTAAGTTTTTTATGTTTGTTAAATTTCTGTAGATGATAAACTTATACTTTCTTATTTTTTATTTTTTAAAATACTCTGTATTTCTTCAATTTATTTCTTGCTCCCTTTTTCTTCAACTCCACAAAAACTAGAAATTTTATTTGAATCTTTGCTTAAGTTATCGACACCAAATTTAACTCCTTTTGTTTATGAATTTTTTGAGAGATTAACCATCAGTTTTTATGAACCTTTTTATATGGTTATATCATCAATATCTTAATCAATAGTGCATTCAGTTTATGATCTAACTTATATTTAATCTTTTTCTTGCTTTACAGAAATATTTTAAATTTAATTTGAATGGTTTCTTTCGCTATCACAATTACTTTTATTAGAATCTACTTTTTTTACTTGAATTACTGAATTGGAAATATTATTTAATGATAAATTTTAACCTTATTTTTCTTTATTTTAGTTAGAACTTCTACTAAAAGTTTTGTTGTTAAGCTTCTAATTACTTTATTTAAAGCTATTTGCATTCAAAGCATTTTAAGAAGAAACAACTAATACGCTATGATTATTATTATTTAACTAATTTTCAATTTATTATCTTTGTTGTATCTCTGAATTTTTTTTTGCTATTTAAGGAGACATAAATTATGCTTTAAAGTTTTCTTGTAAAGCCTTTTATTTTTATTAATTTAAAGTTCCATTAATTTGAAGGCTAAGTGAATTTTGTTAAACTTATATTTCCTACATTTTAGTAGTAAAAGGCACATAGTTTGATTAAATTTAAGAGGCATTTTCGTATAATCGTTTTTTTATTAGCTAATTTTATTTCATAACTTTCTATTTATATATATTACTATATTATTCAGACTATTTATATATTTGCTATTAAGCAGGACAATTAAGATCATTATTTAATTTAGTTTGGCCATTTATACTTTTTGATTTAATTTATGCATTTACTTAGATGTCTTCAAATTTATTTTAAAAGCTACTTCCTTTTATTTGAGGTAGTATTATTTACTCTTCAGACTTATTATTTTGACTACTAACTTATTTGCCTGATATAAATATATAATAGAATTAATAAATAAAAATAAGATAATGATATTCCTCATATTAATTTGAATTAAAATATCAACCTCTACCTAGTGACCTAAAGTTATTGGTTTCTTTGCTATAATATTTTTTATAATCTATTTATGGTTACATACTATTCTTGCCTTAACTATTTAAAGAAATTTGATGAATATTTTAACTTTATTACAAACCTGCTGTTGAAAAAGAATCCCCTATACCAACTACTGATGGTTTAAGGTAGAGATTTTTATATATGCTTTAGGATTACTTTTATTATTCTTTCATTTTTTTATTTATATAAATGAGTACGCTATTTGTAATAAATTTGCAATACTTATATTATTCTTTCAAGAGATCAAATATCACTATATAAATAAATAAAATTTCTATTATTTTTAGTGAATTAATTTAAAAATGTTATTATCAAGTAATTTAAATACATACAGTAAGCAGCTAACATTGTTATTACAAATTTTCTCTTGTAAACATATCTTAAATAAATCATTATACATAATAAAGATTTTAAAAATTATTAATGCATGCATAAATCCAACAAAGATAAAAGAATAATAGTAAATAAAATTATATTAATTTCTCTTTTACCTTTTAACTCAAGTAATAAATAATAAAATACTTTAGTAATTTTAAAATAAAAAATTAAGGAGGTTTAAATGTATTGTTAAGAGGATTTAATAATTTTTTAAATTTTGAGTTTCTCAATAAAATCTAAAAATCATTCTATTAACAAAAAATTGAACACAAATTTTAGATAATTAAATTTAACTTATATATTTTGTAGAATATTTGTATTAATATATAAGGTAGATTTAATTTAGAAATTATTTAAATAAGATTTTTATCTACAAAAAGAATAAGAAGATAGACAGAGCATGTTAATAGGAGCTTTATTGGTTTTTTTGAGTAAAGAAAATAAGAAAAGAAATGAGTCTCATTTAAATTAATATTTAATAAAGTAGAACTAAATTATTAGTTTATTACTTACTTATTTAAAATATTCCAAGTCTATCTAAGCAAAATCAGTAATTTTTATTATCTATAGAATTTAATCAGCTACAGTTTTTTTGAAACTAAAATAATCAAATATCTTAGAAATCTGATTGTTTTCTAAAGAAAGAAACTACATAAGGATTTTCAATGAGAGCTTCAATATGGATTATGCTTATTAGAAATTTTGTTTTGTTTACAGATTTTGATAGAAATCTTGAGAAATAGGATAGGCCGAAACCAAATATTAATATTGTTATCAAAAGTTGATAATAAAAGAGATAAAGCTAGATAGATTGTAAGTATGAGTAAAATTAATTACCATTATACATTTGATATTGAATAGTAATATAAAACCACTATTCTATCTAATCAAAAAGTTTATCCATTTCTTGTAAATTAACTCCTTCATCCCAGCTTTACAATTTTGTTTGAAAATTTTGGTTATTAGTATTTTATGAAATATTTATGAACTCTTAAAATATTGTAAAAATAGTTTTTAAAGTTATTAGTGCACCACTTTGCATTATGCCATTATAGGTTGTTTGGCATTTATTCAAATCAAAGTTGTTAGTGACGTTGGCTGTGCTAAAAACTGGTAAATTGCTCTAAATGGCTTGGCAAATATCATTTTAAATAGGATTTATTATAATATTTGAATATTGGTTCCAGTTATATCTGCTACTACTTTAAGTAGAATTCTAGATGTTCACCAAATCATCAAGTACCTATTGATTTCTTGTTAAAATATCCTATTTATAAAATAATAAAATATAAAGCTAGATTATCCTTACATTAATTGACTAATTAATTATGCTATATTTTTTTGAAAAAATCATATAAATTTACTTGAATATTTAATTAGATTTGCAATTAAATAAAACTATTAGCTTCTGTGTATATAGTAGGATGAGAAATTTAGTTTATTTGGACATACATCGTTGTGTAGGATTATGCTATTTATAGGGCACTCCTACAGAAAAGTACTAATTCATACAGGTTATTTTAAAATTAAACAGCTTACTGAACAACTAGAGTGTAGCTCAAAATAGGATAAATTGATATAATGATAATTATAATAATCACTAGTAATACTATTGAGCAATTTATTTTAGGAAGAGCTTCAATATTTGAAGATCTTTTCTTTTTGTTAGCTAAAACCACAGGCTATTAAATATATTATGATATACTTTGTTAGTTTGTGCTTCCAATAAATTACAATACATCATTAGTTTCAAAAACCATGTCTGCTTCCTCATACAATTCAAACAGTTTTACAATCTTATCTCCATTAAAGCTTGTGAATAATTTAAGATAATTTTCTCTTTTCAACTAAGAGAAATAGTACAAAGGAAATATTAAAATAGCACATGCTTTTCAAATAAAAAATATTTTTATTAGTTATTAATTTAAATAAATAATTAAATTAAAATTTTTAATTTAAATTTGTAAAACTTGTTTCTAATTGATTCTCCATTTAATAAAAAAATAAATATTTTTTAATCTAATAGTAAATAAAAGATAAGACAAATTCATCATAATTTTTTACAATGATTAGGTTATTTATATCCAGAAATATTTTATTACTTTTTAATTAATAAATTTTTTTGTGTTTAATCCTAAATTAATATAATCGATTTAAATATTTTCTTTTAGGCTATTATAACAAAAGCTAAATATTGAAAAAAATTATGAGTAGGAAATTTTTAATTTGTTTGTGTTTGAAATGAGAATTTATTTATTTTCTTTGTTTATTAAAAATTAAAAATATTTAACTTAAGAAAAATGGCTTACAGTAATTTAAAATTATTTGCAAAATTATGTTGATTTGCATAGTGTTTTGATTGTTGTCTAAAATAGATTAGCACTCTATCTAGTTAATATCTGTACCATTTAGCTAAGAATTAAAAAAATTATAATAATTTGATAACGCGTCTAATCTTGGATCATTATTAAACCCTAACATTTAAGTATCCCTAATATTAATTAAATAACATTATTTAAATGCTATTTTTCTAAATTTATTTTACATCCATGCATTTTTCATAATATAATCAAAAAAAATTAATTATTTTGTTTATCTTTGAATTTAACTACCATTTAAGTATTAATATAATTCTGCATCTGAATATAAATAAAACCTTAATATTTAAATTTGAAAAAATTTTAAATATATTTTATTCCATATTATTTTAAAAAGAAAATGTACTTTTTTGCCTGTTCGTCATTATTATCTCTATAAACGCTAACTAAATATTGGTATAAAGTGTTAACTAACTAAAAAGCAAAATTTCTCTGCTAATTGTTTCTTTCTTATTACAAAGGATAAGCTAGATTTATTTAATTTTTAATTGTGTAAAGTAAGTATAATTCATTAATTCTAATCGCATTCGAAACATCAACCACTGCTAAAGGTTCTCTAAAAGTATTCCCAAAGTTAGTTAATAAAAGCTAGCTTTATGATTAACTAAACTAGTACACAACTAAAGAAGTTATAACAGATGAAGCAGCAGCAAATAGAGTTAATATTGTTGATTCTATAATTTTAATATTTTAATTTGTAATAAATTATAAAAAAATATTTGATAAATTTAAAATTTACTTATTAAAAATGATGGCATTTTTTGGCTCAAAATTGTATTTATATATCGCTTTTTTAACCCTGTTTGGCTTTCCTTTTAAGAATAAGAATTTACAGAATCAGGTTATTAAACCATTATTTCTTTGAGCTTTTAGGCTTACTAATAGTTTTCGATTTCAGAAACGCTTTTCATTTTCTTTGGAAATCCCAAACCTTTTTAAGCAAATTTCGAAGCTGTTTTATTTTTTTGACTATTATTAATTGAAATACCTTTTTTCAAAGTATTGAATTAAGATTTAGAAACATCTTTTCGATTTCCATTGTTATGTCTTGGTGTATTTTCTATTACTGAGTCATTCTTTATATTATTTGTATTTTCATATACACTACTTTCAGCAATAGTCCCTGACCTTGCTGTGTTTCTAAAAGACGAATAAATACTATTGTTTTCATCAACAGTTTGATTATATGGATCTTTAGGTTTGCTTTCAACATTATTTCTGACGAAAAACGATTATTGTTTGACTTTACCTATCCAAGCAATAGAGTTTTTAACTTTTCTAAACAATTTTTAAATTCTTTTTGCAAATTCTTATTATTTTTTTTGTTTATTATTCTCAGAATTATTCTGATTATTCTATGCTGAATTTAAATATCTGTTAGTATTTGGTTCCTTTGAGGTATCAAGTTGATCTCGCCCTGTTGCACTTTCTAATGGATAGCTGTAATTATTCTCATCAATACCTCTATTAGTATTTGATGTTATCTCCTAATTTCTTTCATCGTTATTGACATTAAAAGGATTGCTTTTTCGGTAATTATTTTACTGTAAACTTTTATTATAATTTTACTACATTTAAGTTTAATTATTAAAAGTTGATCTGTTAGTAAGATTAAATGATTCGGCTTCATTTTAATTAATATTATTTGTTTAATTTTAGCTTAAATTTAAAGCTGAAGCCTGCATATTTTATTGAATTTAATCTAAATTAGATGCATTAAATTAATAATTATCATAATTTTCTATAAATTACTACTTGTTAATGTCAAAAGAAATTTCTAAATTGTTTTCATCTGCTTAATTATTCTTAGCAATTTTATTATTTGATAAGATATTTAAGTCTTCTTAAAAAAGAGTTTTATTTTTTAACGAAAAAGTACTTAAATCGGTATGCTTAGAAATTACACTGATATCATTTTAAATCATGAAACTATTTAAAGGGGTATTCTAGTTATTCACTAGATAATTATTTTATGAAGTATCAAATACTGTATTTTTTTTATCAAAGGTGGCTTCATAGTTTGTACTAGGATTTTCTGCGTCATAAAAGTAATAACTGTATGAATTATCAACAACATTATCATAAATTTAATTTTAATTATTTTCATTTTCGTTATCAGTTATATCGTAATTGTAATAATTTTAAACATTGTAATTATCAATATCAACAAGGTCTTCATCACTTAATAATTATTTATTTTATTTTTCTTGAGTGTTTTAAGTGAGGCTAGCTTTCTTTTTCTAATTCTATTCTATTTGTTATAATATTGGCTAATTTTAATTGCTTAACTATTTTTTAACCTGCTTTACTTCAACTTCTTTTTCATCTTCCTCATCTTCTTTTTCATTTTCATTATCAAAATCTTCCTGAGAAAACCCATCATGATCATTTTAAGTTGTTGTGTATGTCCCATAAAATTTTTTGTATCTAGTTTCACTTTTCTTTTCAGTGAAGGTTTCCTCGTCTTCTTCTTCAATTTAGCAATAGCTGTTTTAAAAATTTTTTACAATTTCAGTAAATTTTGACTTCTTAAATGAATCATCCACTGAAGCCGGTGCTTATTCATTTGAATTAGTATTTTAAAATCCCTATTAAAGCTAGAGCTTATGAATTAAATTATCTCTATATGAATCATTGTTTGAAGCGCTTTAAAAAATAGAATTCTTCTTAAATGTTAATCCTTCTTGATAGTAGTAAGTTTCCTATTATTACTGCACGACATCTATGTCTTCAACTTAATCCATATTATTACGTATAACTCTCATTCTAAGAGTTAATCCCAAATACTTGTTTAACTTACCTGTCATAATGTTAATTAATTCAACCTATTATGCAATATTACAATAAAAATAAGATATTTAATCCAATTATAATTATGTGAATAATTACTTTGGAGGATAGTTTAACTATTCTTTTCATTTAAAAGATTTCTAAATAATTGAAATATATGGATTCTATCTTAGTCTCAATATAGTGAGGTATAAAAGTAACTTCGTACATCTAGTATTCGTTAATTTTTATATCCCTTAAATAATTTGATAGCTATTAGTAGTTATTCGCTTCAAGGTTAGTGTATTAACTTACAATTTAGTTAAAGGTACTTGCATTATTAGGTATAAGCATTATTTTCGTAGTACTTTAAAAATTTATTTTTCTGAAAATGGATCTTTAAGTTTTTTTCATAACTATGAGTCCAGGAAAAAGTAGTCCTATATTCATATTGCAAAGCTTTTTGACATCATCATTTAAGTACTTCTGGAAAACCTTCTAAAATAATTTTTAATTACAAGAATCTATCTTAAGAGTATCAATATCGAACAGAATATAATCATTTCCTGTATTTCCTTTTTTCAAATATCCACAAGCTCCTATTTATCAAAAATTAAAAATTTGAAAGTTTTACAAATAATTTTTATTATTTAAGAATAAATAAATAAATGTATTAATTACTGTATTATTCTTAATTTGAAGAGTCAAGTTTAACTCTAAGTTCAACAGGATTTAAAAAGCCTTGTATATCAATACAAAAGAAAAGTCTGTTTGAAATTGTATATACCTCCTTACTATCATAACAAAATTTGTTTAAAAATTTTCTGTGGTGGATTTGTATAATTTAAGGCATTATCATGTTTATATTTTTGCCTATCAGCTAATCTTTGGTGTATCCAATAATATTTTAAACGTTATTTGATACTTCTTAAATATTTCCGAGAGGTTCCAACAAATTAATGGATATGACAAAGCTGTCTTCATTAAATAAATTAATACCAAGATCTATATATTAAAAAATACGTTATTAAATAGAATATAAATATTAAGATTACCTTCCTACTTCAAATTTTATTTCATTAATTAATTAGAAAGTTAAATATACTATTTTAACTTTTATCTCTTAAAATCTATGTAATCTCCGAAAAATAAAGTAAGCTCAAAAAGAACAACATTATTGTTATTATAATCGAAAAGCTGTCTTATCATTTATTTGGTAACAGACTGTCTAGAAAACAAATCTTTAGCTAAGTTTCATTTAATATTTATTAAAATAAATATTTAAAAGGATTTATTTACAAAAATTTTATTTATTATTAAATTATTTCTATTTAAATTTTTACCTTTTTCCCTAATTTTTTCTAAGTTTAAAAAGTCATCTGATAGCATGGAAATAAATTTTTTCATATCATATATGTATTTTCTCATAAGGATATACAGCTTATCTATTCCTTAATCAAATTTAACAACACTTTCAATTTAAAGTCTTTAACTTTACAACTTTTAATTGTTAATAACACCCTCAAATTCTTCCCAAACTTATCTATTGAGCATTTCTATAGCCCATCTAATTTTGAAAGATTAATTTTCAGAATTGTTTTTTAAAGTTACCGCCTTTTAAATATTGTTATAAAAATATTTTAAGTATTGGATTTTAAAAAAATAACTAACTGTTTAACCTCAATAATAGCTAAATTTGGCTTTTTTACTACTTAGATAAGAAAACTCAAATAGCTTATCTTAAGTTTCATTATATCTTTGTTAAACTCTCCATTTTTTTAATTTTTTTTAAAAAAGCAATCAAAAGTTTCCATAATATAAGAAGACATGAACTCAGAGGTTTTTGTCTCAAAATTTTCATCTAAAATAGAAGCTAAATCAAATTATTTACAAAAGCAGTCTAATTAATAGTTTCATAAAAATAATTATTTTAAACTAAATTTTTAATAATTATAATAAATACTTTAAATTGTGCATGTTTAGATATGAGTAAAGAAGAAGTTTTCTATCAATAATCCATTATCTTCCTAAAGATATTTGCTTACTGATACTCTTTAAAAAAAATACAGCTAACGTATATATAAGTCAGTTATTATCTCATTATGTAAATTTTCTCTGTTAAGCTAAGGAATCCGTTTAATTAAAGAAATCCACACAAGTTAACCTAAATATTAATAAAATTGTTGATAAATAATAAATTTTGCTTTCATTTTTGAATTAAACTTTTAAATTTAATATAAAAATAAATAGCTATCTGATTTGAAAAATTTTATTACCTATCCTAAAAGTTATTGTTATAGCTATTATTATTAAGACTGGAACATTAGCTATTGATTAGAAATTTGTAAGGATCGCGATCGATACAACAATTACTATAAAAAAGTGAGAGATAGCAAAAGAAAAATTGAGTTTAGATATGCTATGAGCATAAAATGGAAAATTTTTTATTATTTCTGCAATTTTATTGATTCCATAAAGAAATTATAGCGAGAGCAATGCTTTAAAACCTTTGTAAGAGTATATAAAACTTATTATTGAAAGTAGAAATACTTCTATTAAATAAGTAATACTGTCACTTTTAGCACCAAAATCTTCTACTATAAAACAAAAATCAAAGTCATGCATTGATACAAAAATAGCTATAATAAATGTAAGAAAAAACCCACTAATTCCTATTGTAAGATTGCCATCATAAATGCAAGACGCTTGCACAATAAAGAAAGGTACCAAGCACACATAATTATAAATAGAAAATAGAGCACTACTAAATTGTCCTATCATTCTTGAATCTACTAGAAACTAACAAATTATTAATCCTAAAAAGGCTACATTAAAAGCTAAGCAAAAATAGCCAATTAGTAAACTATTCTATGAAAATATAGGCAAAATTTAAAAATATTAAAAAAACTAAGCTAGAGTATTTGTCATATCTTGAGCTACTCGCGTGTTTCCCAAAGCATTATTAATTTCTGAATTGAACATTAAACTAAATATTTAACAATATTAAAAAACTATCAATAGCTGCATCAAAATCTCTCCTCTCTTGAACTGCTTTAAGGCAAATTCTAATTTTGTGTAATAAAACTTTTTTATTAATTTAAATATGAAATTCCAAAGCTCCTTTGGGTCCATTAACTGCTTTAATCTATCCATTTTTATAAAATTTACTAAAATATTTGAAAAGCTTCTACTTATTAATTTCTGCAGTAATTAACTTCTAAATAATAAAGACTTAATTAATTAATTTATTTATTTTGCGTATTTATTATTTAATAATATTTTCAAAAATAATTATGTTGTATGCAATTAATTCTTTAAATTAATTGAATTTACCAAGAAAGAATTTTTATTTAGTTATAATTAAACAAAATTTGCGATTTATCAATTTTAAGTTAAATACAAATTGATGTATGTATATTTATATCCATATAACGTATATGGTAATTTATTTAAATTTCCTTTACATCTTAATAGGTGTTCTTCTACTAAATTCTTCACTTAATAAAAACGGAGCTAATTAATTTTATATTTAATTATTATTTTCATTTTTAAAAATGATTATAGTATTTTATATCATACAAGAACTTCTTTAAATACCTATAAAAATAAAAAATGGTATTTATTTAATGAAAATAGATTTATTTTCAAAAATTTTAAATTATATTACTTGATGAAAAATATAAATTTTATTTTGTAAAATTTTAATCTTTAATTATTCATATTAACTATGAGATTAAAAAATTAATAAAAAATGCCTTCACTCGGGATCGAACCGAGGACCGTAAGATCTTCAGTCTTACGCTCTCCCAACTGAGCTATAAAGGCTTAATAACTTATAAAAAAAGTATTTTTTGAGTGATCATTAGTATTAATTTTATATAATTAAATTAAAACAGGCACTTAATTTGTTTTATTGATATAATAATTATTATGTTTTTAAATTAGAAAATATCCAACTTTAAATGTTTAAGGATTGATTATTTTAAGAAAAAGAAAAAAGCATAAAATAAATAATATATTAATGAGAACTCATTTAAAATTAACTCAAATAAAATAATTAAATATATTTAATTCCAAAAATTATAAGCATTAGCCAGCTCATAATTTATTAAAATTGAATATATTAAATAAATTTAAAATAGAAAATTATTTTATTAAAAATTAAAATAAAAAACTAATTTTTATAATTTATTGAAAATAAACTTAATAAAAAATTAACCCTTAGCCTTACAAATTATACAGTTTTATAAAAGAAATTATTGGTAATAATTAAATCCTAAATATACTAAATAAAATAAGTTTTCAAGTTTCTTAATCAGCTTTCTGTTTTAGTTTTTTAATTTTTAACACTTAAAGTAAATTATTTAAATTCATTAAAAAGAGCCTCTTTGGTATGGTGCTTTAATATTTTTGGAATGAAATTTAATTTTGTTTAGGAATTCGATATCTATGAAGCATAATATTTGAGAGGTAAAAAGCTACTTCTTGATATTAAATTAGGTGAACTTAGTTTTCTATGATTCTAAAAAGATATTTATTACTAATTTTAGATTTTTTGTTAATCACCTTTTTAAGATGACATGATATTATGGGTCTAGCTAAATACTTCTTTTGTGTTACTATTTGAAACTCTGTTTTCATCAAAATTACTATAGCTCAGTTAATTTTCGAATTTAAATTTATTTTGAGTTTTAGATTATAGTACAACACTTTAGCTAATAGTTTTATTTTATGGTTTAAAACTTAATAAAGTTTGGGAGGTTTTTATAGTATTATTTTCATTATTTATTTTATTTTGTGTTTTAGGCTTACTATATTAGAAGAACTTTGATCTATCATTTTAATCAAATTAGCTTAGGCTTTTTGGGGAAAGCAGTGATGTGACAGTCTTTGGTGAATCAAGCCCTTTTAATAAAAAATAATTTTTGAGTTTTTGAAATTAATTTTTGATGCTATTATAAAAATTTACCTTAAATATATTCTTGACTATCTGCTTTTAAGATTGGTTGAGCATAAAAAGATTTTGGAGAATTAGTATTATTTGAATTAAAAGAATCCATTTTCTGAAGTTAGGCAAATTTCTTTTTGATGGGATTTTAATTTTGGAAAATATTTTCATGATTATGATGAGAATGAATTGAGGAATTTATATTTTATTATATTATTTGCTCTTGGGGAGACTGAAGAACCTTTTACAGACTGTTATTTTATTACTGCAATTCAAATTTATATTCAATTTAGTTATTACTTTTTCTAAATTAACGTATAGGGAATTTATCTACACTAAATATCCTTTATTAACTATTTGATGGAGACTTTACTGGACTTAAATCTTCGTTACTACTTTGCTGAGCTTTTTAATTAATTTTTTTCCCAAAAGCAATTAATTAATCTAAACTGTGTTTGCTTTTCTCTTCCTCAACTTATAAGTGAGCTAAAGAAGAGTTTGATTCTAAATTCGCTAGGGAATACTTTGATTTTGGAAGCTATGAGCTAATTTGACTCTCTGAAATTATTTATTTTAAATTTTTTAGTGAATCATTATTTGTCAGGCTCTTTTTTTCAGCTTTTTGAATTAGCTGAGCTTCTGATGAAGACTAAGTGGAAAGTATGACTACAGTATTAGACTTTTTTTTAGATGCTCTCTAGTATTTTTTGTTATTTTCATCTTATTTTTCTATTTAATCCTTTGAAATACTTTCTTACTTACCCATTTCTTGTTTTTCAATTCTGGCTACTATTTCACTTACTTTGTAATGATTTTTTTTCTTTTTCTTTTGAGTAATAACAGAAGATAAGAGTAGGATTTTTTCTGATTTAGGATGGGTATTAGATTTTTGCTTGTTATCAGATAAATTTATTTTATTGCTTTCATCAGGGTATACGATACGTTTCTCTATTTTAAATTCATTAAAATCATAATTTCTCAAAACATTTTTATCTGAATCTTTTATCTCTTCTTCTTCCTCGGTATTTAGATATAAATTTTTAGCAACATTCAATTCTTATGGAGTCCTATGCTTTTGCTTTTTAATTAAATTAACTTAGTTTTCTGAGCTTAAAATCTTTTATTTAAGAGATTTTAGCAGCATTGGAAGAAGTTCTTCACTTTTTGCAATCTTTTAGAATATGTCTTTAACATGTATCACATATAAGACACCTGTAACACTAGAACAAGATGCTGTTAGTTATCTTTTTTGAACCAAACTTGATTAGAAAGACTGCCTTTGCTCTGGATCTATTAATAATGATAAAAATTCTTCTGCTCCAAATGTCTCACCTTGAGAGATAATTTTTATTTTTTTAAGCTCGCCTTTCTTAATCCTTTTCTTCCTAATTTAATCCTCAAAAGTAATTTCTGTAGGGCTGTCTTAGGGATCAATGCTTTTTAATTACTTCTCTATAGCTGTAAGATGTGACTCTTAATTTTTCAATAAATATCTCTTTTTATTTTATTGTTAGATATTATGAATCATGGATTAAATTTCTTTTTTTTCAGCCTCCTTAACTTCATCTATTGCCTCTATAACCTTCTAAAGAACAAATTCACCTTCCTTAACTAAGTATAGATAGTTGCTCTCATCACCATCTTTGTATACTACATTATTTATAGCATATTGTTTTTCAAAAAAACAATCTTGAATCATCCTAATTTAGTTTTTGTTCCACCCTTTGAATAAGTTCATCTGCGAAAGTTCCTCAAAGAATTTAATCCTATGTAACATTAAAATGATAAAATAAATATTTTTAAATAATTTTGAGTATAAGAAAGATATTCGAGGCAGACATTAATATAAAAATAATGATAAAAAGAAATCTTAAAAGAATACTTCCTTCCTTTTAAGAAAGAATCGTTATTAATTTAAGAAAGATTGTTTTATTAGTATTTTGATAATATATATATTTAAGGAGATTTTTATAACTTTTTGCATAAGAAAATATAAAAATTATTTGGTAGGGGAGAAGTCAATAAATATTTTTTTACTGACTAATTTAATTTTTAGATTATAAAAATTATTTAGTTGATTACAAATCTTCAAATAAATATATGATAATCATTTGTGTCAATAATTTCTCTATAGATTATTTTAGAATATAGTTAATTTACCTTTGCTTGAAGTCTGACATTATTTTATCTAAATTGTCTTTCTATAAAATCAAATACGAGCATTCTGTTTAGCAAATTAAAGAATTTTGATGAACTTCTTCATTTTCAATATCAATTTTAATCTGTAGTTCTCCTTATTTTGAGTTTCTCTTAAAATTAGCTCCCCTCAAAGGTAATTCTACTATGGAGCCTTATCCTAAGCTATTCAATTATTCTTAATTGAATTAGCTTTAATTATCAGAATCCTAAACAATCTAAGCTTCACCACTTAGTATCATAATAAAGCATTTCTTTGGCTATCCTTGCATAAAAATATACTCCCCTTTCTTTGAGATTTTAACTTAATATTTTCTACAAATTTCGTAGACTGCCACTTATCCGTCCTACTGTAATATTATTTCCTTGATAAACTTCTAGTTTTTTGTCATCATAATCAAATATTTTAACTCACTTGTAGTCCTTAAATAAGGTTTTTTTTCTAAGATGTAATGGGTAGTTAGATAAAGGTCTTATTTAGCAAATGTAGATACTGAATTCTCATTATGTTCGCTCTACTTTATAATTTTTTAAAATAAGTCTATCTGCTCAAAAGTAAAAGGCATTGTTGTTTTTTTAGTACTTTTGTGCTACTTTGAGAAGATTAATAATTATTATTACTTTTGATTATTAAAAATTTACAAATAATTTGCTTGCTAAATTAATTAATTTAATATTCGGGGCAAATAGAAAATTTTTAAAGTAAATAATAATATTAATTATTTTTCACCATTTATTTGATAGATATCCAATAACATTACACTTTTTTGCTTTACTCTTATAATATTTTTTGATAGAAAGCTATTTAGTTTTTTAAAAGTTACTTATAATACCTTCAAGTATTTGAAGCTAAATTTAGATGTTATTTTTAAATAATTTGATTTAAATTATATATTTTTTTATAAATTAGTTAAAATAACAAGAAAAACCATAAAATAGAAATCTTCAAATAGCTTGTTACATTTGGTTATATCATTAAAAAAATACTCTTTATATTATTTATATAAGAAATAATTATTTCTAAGAGTTTATTATTGCCATTAGTAAATAATTATTTAAATAAATCTTTAATAGTCAAAATAGCTTTATTTAGCAACTATTTTTAGAGCATACATCTTTTTAATAGAAATAATTTTTTTTGAAATAAACTCAAAATAAAATATTAGGTAATAAACCAAATCTTTAAAAATATTAACAAAATTAGTAAATTAATAATATTTTATTTAATGAAGAAGATTGATTTCTATTCAAAAAATTTTATTTCAAAATATTTAATTGATCTCATAAAAAAAAAAAGAAATTATTACTTAATTAATTAAATTTTTACAAAAAAAAGAAAAGATCTATTTTTTCATTACAATTTTTTTGAAAATTTAATAGCATTTTCACTTTTTCTAAATCGAACACAATTATCTATTTCAAAGAATTTTTTAAGGGGTTATTTGTTATCATCCCCAAATAGAAAAACTCTTATTAGCATTTTAATTAGCTAATTTAATAATTTTTCTAATTTATTTATAAAAAGAAATTGTGAATACTAATTAATAAATAGAAGATTAAGCGTTTTTTCTACTTATTTATTAATAAACTTAAATAAAATTAAATTATTTTAATTTTAAAATTTAAAAGATTAAATTATTATCTTACTCGATAAGATAGCATTAAGAAGATTAATTTGTAAAAGAATATTAAATTTCATAAGACAAAAATACATAATAATATTTAACTAAATTTATTAATTTTTTTCAATATTGCGGGGATCTTTTGATATTTTTTAAAAGGAAAACAAAATTTTTATTTTGGTATTGTAGAAATTATTTATTACTTCTTTGTAATGCTAAACTAATAAGTGCTACTTAACTAATAAATATAATAAGTTTTTTACATTTTATTATAAATATTCTGAATTTTTATAGGTTTTAGTTTTTTAAGATTAAATATTAAATTTTTAAAGGCAATTATTTCTATAAAAATAAAAATTAAGATAATTTAAAATAATTATTTTTATTTTATAGTTTGATTGAAGTAGGAATTATTAATTTTAGGATATCTAAAGACAAAATTAATTGAAAATAGTTGATTATGCTTACTTTTAATGTGTTATTTTTGATCTCATTTAAAACCATCAAAAATAATTGATTTTTTTTTGAATGCAAATTTTACTATCAGATATTAATTTAGATGAAAATTAAAATTAATTGCTTACTTTTTATAGCTTATATTATTATCTTTTTTAGATACGTATCATATACCCTTAATATTTAATATTTAGATTGAATAATTTACTTTATCGCCATCGAAATGATTTAAGAAATTTTATTAAAAATTGAAATAAAATATCACTTTTTCTGAAAGTATTAGCTATTCTCAATTATTAAAATAAATTATAAAAAAGATTTGTAATTCACAATTCACAAAGAGTATTAGAACAATTACTAAGTTTAGGGATTATAAAGTAAATTAAAGGGAAATAGATAGACATTCATATTTAGATGAAAAGATTTGAAGTTTAGAATCAGAGAATAGCAGAAGTCGTATAAATTGATGAGGAGCGTTCTCTTTTGCATAAGGAAATGAGATTAAACAAGAAATCATTACTCGCAAAGGCTCTCATACATATAAAGCTTATGATGCAAAAGAATTTCTTGATTATGAAAAAAAACTAAAAAACAACTCTCTTTTAATTGAGTTCTCCTCTCATAGTTTGCATTTTACTTACTATTTGGTAAACTCTAGCAAATAACCTTACTAAAATTACTATGATTGAAAACTAAATTGAGACAGTTGGAAGTCTCCCAAAATGTATTTAAGGAAAAGGGTAATTAGAGGAGTGCATTACAATAGCTTATGGTGTTGTAGGAGAGAAGGAGTAATGGATAGATCATACTCTAGATTATTTAGCATTACAAAATGATTTAGATAGAAAAAGTGACATTATTGAGTTGAACATTACTGCACCACAAGATTTTAGCAATTTCATAAAAGCATATCCTAATCGTACACAAGTAGGAATAGTATTTTGTACATCAAATTACTCAATTACAGGAGATTTATCATTTCCATGTAATAAAGTATCAGATGTAAAAGGTTACGAATATCTTGGATAGGATAAAAGGATGATTTTTTATAATATATTCTATAATTGGACACTTTTCTACCGCTCACCTTACTTATAAGGTAGCATTGGATAAAATACTCATAAGGATTGGTTTTTGACTAGGTTAAAAATAAATTTAGACAATGGTATCATTGATTACTTTTCTAAAACTCCTGAATAGCAACAGGTTAAATTAACAAAAAATACATTAAATCAAAGAGTTCAAATAGTATAGCAAGATTACCCTATTTCTCCAAGCAGGTAAAAAATTTTATTAATTTATTTATCACTTATCAAAGTTAAAAATATTTTTGAAAACTCTAGATTTACAACAGGGTATGATGTGGTGACCAGCAACGGCGCCTTTTACTTCTTTGTTCCAATTATGATAAATTTTATTACCACCATAAATGAAATTTTGAGAGAAAAATAGAAGAAGCTGAGACAAGGTAAATTGGGATAATTTTAATATTTATTTATTTGATAAAATTTTAGATAAAACAGATAATTCATCAAAAATATTAAATTTATCTTAATGATTTATTGTAAAAGATTTTTCAAGTTTTGATATCAAATCATATTTGAAAATTATTAATTTCTAAAACATAGTAAATTAATCAACTAATTCTTATCTATCTAAATAGGTATCACTGTAATGGGTATGACCAATTTTAGTTATTGGGTTAGCTGGATTCTCACTGCTTTAGTCGTAAACTCCTCAACCTCTTTTATTTAAATTGTTTGTGGACGACTCTTTGGATTTGACATATTTGTCAAAACTCCATTAATCGTTTTATTTAGCTTTTTGGTTGCTTTTGGAATGAGTGTTACTTTTATAGGATTTTTGATCACAAACATATGTAGCGATACTTCAAACGGGTATATATATATATTATAAATAGATAAATAATTGCTTTTGATTTTTATAATAAATTTTCTTAATTCAAAATATTAATTTAAAACCATTTTATTTGTTTATATTAAGAATAAATTTTAAGAATTATTTTGTAATTAAGCAATTAATTTATTTTCTTTTTGATAACATTAAATTTTAATATTTAATATTAGATATACATTTGCTTACGGATTTCTTTTGATGGCTTTAGTTATGGAGTTCTTCTTAACTAGTGGATTTTTTATATATTATTTGCATAGATTAGATGCTGAATTCTTTGTTGCTGCTATTAAAAGAGTATTCAGCTTATATCCAGCTTTCCATTATTCTAAAATGTATGGCGATATCGCTTTTAAAAGTGGAAAACATTATTCTGTGGCTGACAGCAGGTATTTTTAATGAGATTAAAAATATTTTTTCAAAAAAATTATATTACTTAGGTGGATAGAAGGAGTAGGATACAAGTATTCTGATCTCTTTGAACCAATTAAAGGTAAATTTACTATTCCAAAGGAGTCTTTTTATGAATGTCCAACTACTTTTGAAAGCTTCATCCACTTAAACCTTGTATCAACTCTTTACTTCTTGCTTGCTATTTATTGCGACATAGTTTTCCCAAATGTATCTCTATTTTATTTAATTGATTTTTAATTTACCTTCTTTAACAGAATAGAGGTACTTAGGAGTCTCCCTTGTTCTTCTTGAGTTTCGAGTACTGGTATAAAATTTTAGGATTAAAGTAAAAGTAAGAAGAAAAGCGTTAGCTAAGAAAAACTTCATTTGAATTGAGATAGCAATAAAAGGAATACAATTACAGTGATATGAATCTCTATAACACAGTAAGTAGAGAAAGATCAAGAGTTCAAGGTAACGATAAAGGAGGTGCAGGTAAATAATAATATTTTTTAATAATTTATAATTAACTCTTAATTTATTTTTTAAATCAAATTAGAGGTTAAAGGAATGCGTGTTATCGGACTTGGCAAAACTTTCCATAAATATCCTTTTGGAATTAAATCTAGCAAGGATAAAATAGCTCTAAAAGATGTTTACTTTGAAGTAAATAAATAAATTAATTAATTAAATAAATAAATTTAAGTTTATTTATTTTAATATTTTAAAAGGTTGATGGAGGTGAATTAATAGCTATTTTAGGTCACAATGGTGCAGGAAAAAGTACTATGATTAATATATTAACTGGCTTACTCTCTGCTTCAACAGGTACTGCAAATATGCTTGGATTTGATATAAATACTTAAATGGCTGAAATTTAAAGTATTATGGGTGTATGTCCATAATTTGATATCCTTTGGGATGAGCTTACTGCTGAAGAGCATTTGCAGATGTATTGCATGCTTAAAGGTATTCCAGTTGGTATGATCCCTAAAGAAATAAACACAAGATTATAAGAAGTTGGGCTTTTCCATGTAAAGAAAGCTTCTGTTGGAACATACTCGGGTGGTATGAAAAGAAGAGTTTCACTTGCTATTTCAGCTATTGGTAGAAAATATATCCACCTTATTTAATTAGTATTAAAATTTTTTTATATTTAGGTAATCCAAAAATTATTTTTATGGATGAGCCTACTACAGGTATGGATCCAAAGACAAGGAGAGAAATATGGGAAATGGTCAAGAATTTAAAAAGAGATAAGGCAATTGTATTGACTACACATGCTATGGAAGAAGCTGAAGCACTTTCAGATAGAATCATAGTGGTTGCTGGAGGTTAGCTTAAATGCATAGGTAAATATTATATTATTTATATAATTTTTAATTTAAAATTTAATAATTTAGGTACTTCTCTTTATCTAAAAAATCATTACAGTGATGGTTATAGATTAAGTGTAGTCACAGAGCCATAATATGTCGATTATGCACGTATCGAGCTTAAAAAGCTACTTCCTTCATGTAAAATTTAAGATAGCAGTGGAGGTAGTATAGTAGCATGTGTACCTGTTCTCAACTTAAATGAACTAGGAAATTTCTTTAAAATTATGGAATCTGATGGAAATTAAATTGAAGTTATGGATTAGAGGTCAATAAATTTTAAGAAATATGTTAAAGATTGGGGGCTTTCACATTCTACTTTAGAGGAAGTATTCTTAAAAATAACTAAATCAAAATCTTATTTGGTTTGAAAAATTTTACAAATACATCAATAAAAGAGCATAATTTTCAATGAAAATTGGTTCATTTAACATACTGATTATCTCTCTCAAAAATAAATAAATAACTTAATAATTACAAATTATATTTCAAAAATTTAATAAATTAAACTAATATTTAAAGTTAAAGTAAAATACACTAAATAAATAAATAATTATTTTTGCTTAATTTATGTTTTATAAATAAATATTAAAATTAAATTAATGTATTATTTATTTAATTCTACTATTAAAGTTATTCATGTATTCTTTATCATCAAAATACTATAAATATATTTTTATAAAACAATCACATCAAAAAATAATTAATTAATTATATTTTCAATAACTTTTTAAATTATGATAAAAAAACATTATTTGATTCTACTATAGAGGAAATAATAACTAAATCAAAATCTTATTTGGTTTGAAAAAGTTTACTAATACGTCAATAAAGAGCGTAATTTTCAATGAAAATTGGTTCATTTAATATACTGATTATCTCTCTCAAAAATAAATAACTAAATAAATAAATAATTACAAATTCTATTTCAAAAATTTAATAAATTAAACTATTTAAAGTTAAAGTAAAATACACTAAATAATAAATAATTATTTTTGCTTAATTTATGTTTTATAAATAAATATTTATTTTTAACATTTAATTAATCTTTTATTTAATTATACTATTAAAATTATTCATGTATTCCTCATTATCAAAATAACAATAAATATATTTTATAAAACAACCACATCAAAAAATAAATATTAATTATATTTTCAATACCTTTTTTAATTTAGATAAAAATTATTTAATGACATAAATTATTCAAAAATAAAAATTCTCTTTTTTTAAATTGATGAATCTTGCTGCCACTCTCTTCAAAAAAGTAATTTTTCGTTAATTTTTTTGTTGTTGCATTTTATATTATTAGCTGCTCTTTAAGTTTAAACATCAAACTTATGCTTATTTTGAATCTAATTATGATTATTGTTATTAATCTTAAGATTTCTATTCTTTACTTTAGTATCTATTGCTACTTTTATGAGTATTTGTTGATTGAGAATTTATTGATTTTTTTCCAGCTAAATTTTCAGAAGAAGCTCTATTGAATTTTTATTCATCGCTAAATGTATATTATTTTATAGCTTACGAATTCTCAAGGCCATAATTTTACTGAGGTTTAGTGTTCATTAATGATGAGTTTTAAAAGCAATTCTATTTATCATTATATAATCTTTAAGAACCTATTTGCTATAAATCGTCATTGATTTAATTTTAGTTAAATATAATGCTTTGCTAAAAATTGCCAAATAATGGTGCTTAAACTTCCTTTAAAATTTTAGGTGACTGCTCACATCTGGTTGCATTAATTTGGACAACTTAATCATTGTTTTCAAATTTTTGTTCGTAATCTCTGTTGATATAATTATTTTTAAAAGTTTAATCAATTTATCTTTTTTCATCATCGTAAATTTAATTATGAATATTTTATTAATTTTGTTTAGAACTACTTTATAAAAATTGTTGATATGGGTTTTCTTTTTTTAAAATACCATTTTCAATATCTTAATGTATTTTCTATAAACAAGTGTTGTTTATTTAAGTTCTGCTATTTGTTAAGGGTGAGCTAATCTCTTAAATAAAGGCAGAATTTTTAGTTTGATTTCTCCATAATGTTTCAAAATTATTCATATATTGAATTACATCATCTGCTATCTATTAATAATATTATTGAGATTACTAGAACTCTTTATTAATGAGATCCTGATGCACAATTTCTAAGGAGTTTTACCTACGATCTAAGCTATTTAACATTTAGCTATTATTTTTTTCATTTTTCTTGGAAATTTTAAATTGATTTTTAGCCTATTCAAGGATAAAAATGTTTTCTTTTTACTTGTTCATTCCAAAATTTCTGAACTTCTACATAAATTAAATGTGTGAATGATAGCTTTATTTTATGTTTTAAATTTTACAATCTATTGATTTATTGAATTCTTTTAGGGATTTATCAATCAATTATGTAATTTTTTGTTTTTGCTTATTCATTCTTTGCTAGTAATCTTCTTTTAGAAACTTAAGTTTATTCAGCTAAAAGTTAAATTCATTACTTACTACAGATAGATTAAATCTACTCTCGATGTTCTCAATGAGATCTTACAAATGAATGCAAGATTAAATATGATCTTGATGAGTATCTCTACAGTTATAGCATATTAGAGAGTTTTCAGAGCATTCTTTTTCTAGACAAACAGCATCAATTAATTTATTTTTATGGATACTGCAGTATATCTCGTTTTCCATTTTTATTAGTTGTCTAATAGGTGAAGGTAGAAATAAATCTTTTTTAATTTATAAATTAATTAAAAATATTATTAAAAATCAATTTTGCAATACTATTAATTAGCCAGCTAAGATTTCTTTTTGAAAAAATGATATTAAATTTAAAGCAAATTTCAGTAAATTAGTTAGTAAATTAGATGATAGATTTTAGGCTATAAATAGAATTTGATTAAATAAAAATACACGAAAATCAAAATATCTAAAACGATGTTTTAGACAAATAACTCAATTAAATTATTTCTGATCGAATTAGCTTTGCAGATTTTTAATTACATAAATCTCCCGAGGAGATTGAAATATTAATAATATAAATTTTTCATTTAATAAAAATTTTAGTAATTAAATACAAGTTGTTGTAAAAAGATATTCTAATAAGATAGGAAATAAAATAAATATATAAATTCAAGTATGCATCTAAATAAGCAGATAAAAGACTACAGCATTTATTCTAGAAAAGAAGACTCTATTTTAGCAGAAAATTACTATGGTTACAATACTAAGAATGGTAAAGATGTCTTTATAAAAATAATTAACCAAAAGAAAATCCCTGATGGCTCACTAATTAGAATAAATTTAGAAAACGAAATAATTATTCATCAGTAGCTAAAGTAAAAGAATGCCAAAAATGTTATGGCTTTAATAGATGTGGCATATACTTAGAACAACATTTATCTTATTTACTAAAATAATAAATATGATACCTTAAAAAACTATTTGAATTACAAGTAGATGCTTTCTGAAAAAGAATGCATCAACTATTTTATTTAGATATATTATGGATATTTTGAATCATACTCTCAAAAAGTAAAATAATAAAAATTGTTTTTATAAATGTTAGGTGTATAAAAATAAAGCAAATTTAATATTAATCCTTAAAAATAAACATTCGCAAAGAATATTGAAGCACTTTCCTTTATTTTATAAATGATATTTATTTAATATTTATCTTAATTAGGTTAAATACAGAGATATTACTTTAAATAATATTTTGATTGGAGAGGAAGAAGCTATTAGAGTAGATGATTTTGGTTTATTCAAAACTCTATTCTATTAGAAGAATAGCTCCCTGTAATATAGAATTAATGAAGCGCCAGAAACATAATAAGATAGAAAATCTTATAATAGAGAAAAATCAGATAGCTGGAGTTTAGGAATCCTTTTGTTTTAACTTCTGTTTTTGTCTGAGCCTTCATTTTAGCTTGGATAGTTAGTCATACCTTCAACTAGAATTATTTCTAGCTAAATGGCTCAACTATTATTCTCTTTGTTGTAAATTGACCCTGCTAAAAGAATTAATTGGGTACAAATACTAAGCCACGATTGCATCAAAAATTATATTTTAGGATAGAAATAAAAATAAGACTGGAATCTGTAATTATCTTCATTTTTGAATCCCTCTACTGCAAATTTAGCAGAAAGGTATCCTTAACTAGCGCTTACTGGCAACTTTAATGATCAAAGTGGATAGAATCAAGCTTAGTTGTAATAACTAACAAACAAAAATTAGAATTAATTGTAGCAATATCCAACATAAAACTCTCTTAATTACGATTCATTAAATTCTTCAAAGTAAATTCAATCAAATCAGGATATGTATGGTTCAAAATAAAATGTAAAATATCCCACCTTGAGCGTTTAACCCTTATTTAATTAGTCTGCTTAATTTAAGCAGCCAATTGAGCACATGATGCCAGGTTAAGGCGATTACAATGGTGACTGTCTTGCAGCTAATTTTGATTAATTTTTAATAACAGCTAATGAAAGTATCTTAAGATAATCAGTTTTGAGTTCTTAAAGAGAACCAAATTAGCTTGCTAACAAAAACTAGCAATAAATTTAAAAGCAATAAAATTAAAATGCTATAGATTAAAAGTATCCTTAAATGCAAAGATAAAATTTGGCACCAACTAATATAAATGCACCATAAAAAGAAGATATGAACTGTTCTTAATAAAAATACCCAAGATTTGGTGCTGATGTAAATATGAATAGAAATTAGTAAAATTTACCCTATCATAATCAATAGCTTGAATAGTAAGAACAATAAAAATAAGCTCTCTAATATCAGTAATATTAGCAACAAAATCCATAGTTATTTCAATAAAATACAACTAATAGTATTTCACAGAATAAATAAAATAGCTATTCTTAGAATATGCAAGGAATGAATATGTCTGTACAAAATTAGTTTATTTAACAATAGAATAATTTAAATCAATAAAATAAGTATCCTGCAATGAATACAAATAATAACATCAACCCAGGTAATACTTAATAAAAATATCCTTAGAATATAAACTTAAATAATAATTATAACAACAACACTGTAAATCAAAATACTAGATTGGAAAATAATTAGCTAAATTATTAAACTCAGTAGTAAAGTTAATTAAAGCAGTAAAACTAAATCTAACAATAAAATTTTACTAATAACCAACTGAGTTAATAAAATTATGTTTAGAATAATTAAAATTCAGATTAAAACAAAGTAAATACTTAAAAATAACAGTATCCTTAGGTTAATATGATATAGTAGAACTAATAAAATTAATAGCAACCTTAAGCTAATCTTAATATAAAAGGATATTAGTAAGATTCAACTTCATTGAACTCTATTTCTACAAATTAATCATAGGAATGGTCAATTATAAGAGGTTAAAATGACCAGGTTTAATCTTTGTAACAAATAGCATAAGAAGATGAAGTAGATGATTTTAATTTGATCCAAGATATGAATGATAATAATTTAAATAACAAATCAATATTCTTGGTCAAGAAAAAATAAAAAATTGATTTTATTTCAAAACAAAAGAAAAGTTTGAAAAATAGCATTTAAAAAAGCCAAAAATCTGAAGAAGCTTAAAAAGTTGAAGAAAAAAAGTAAAATGATTTTATCGAATAGTAGATTGTACAAGAAAATTTAAGATTATCTATAACCAATTAAAATAAAAATCCTCAACAACAGTAAATTGTTGAATAAATGGATGTTTCCAAAAAGATTCCTTAATAGATTAGTCAAAATAAACCAGTAAATAATATAGGTATTTATTAATTAAAAAAACGATCAAGTTTAATTTTTGTAATCAAAAATAATAGGTGAGTAGTAAATTGATTTAAAACAGTAGTAGTAGTAAAATTAGCATGAGCCAGTAATGTAAGTTTCTCGTTTAAGAGCTGATAATGAAAATCAATAAGATGAATTCAAAAGTCTCATAAACGACAAATAAATATTTGACACAAATGTCAGAATTCTGTAAGAGGAATTAGATAAATTTAATGTGTTGGCTCAGACTGTTGAGAGAGCTGAAGATGTAACTTTAATAAAAAATAAATATTTGATAAAATTTATATTTTATATATTATAAATTAGATCTTATAGGCTAAAAGTAACTTTTGGGTAGTTGTAAGCTTTTTCATTTTGAAAAAGTTATACTTAATCAGAAAAGAATTAGAAGAGTAACTCGATGCTTATGTAAAAGTTGATGAATCCTTAGATCGTTGGGAAGTATTTTGCTTATCTCCTGAGTATTCAAAATTCATGGAAAAGTTGAGAAAATAGAATGACATGATTTTTAATTCTGTTTCATCTCTTTAAAAATTGACCATAAAGAGGCTACAAAGGCTTAATCCTTAAGTTTCGAACGAGTTAAAAAAGCACGTACCTATTGAAGATACTCCTAATTATTCAGCAAACTTCTATGTTCATCTTCATTTTCACATTATTTCTTTGCAAGAATCCTTAAGTAAATAAATGAAAGAAGCTCAAATTGAGCTTTTAAGACATATTACTTAATTATAAGACTGTTTGTTGATAGTTGAATAGGGTTTATTTGTTAATAATGAAGATTTTTTTAGTATTTAATAACACAATGCTATCTAAATGACTCCAAGTCTAGAAATGTTATAATCTTACAGCAATCAAAAACAAGAAAAGCTCTAAATGTTTTTAATGTACTACCGCTCTATGGGATATGACCTTTGATTTTGGTTTATCAAAAACACAATTTTTTATTATAATTTATTAAACTATGAGTAAAAATAAAAGAAGCACTAAAAAATGATTGATCCATCTATTTGCATTTAATTACATATTTTGTTTTTTTTAATTATATGTTTTTAATTAGTACCTTTAATAACTACATATTGATAATTATTTTCTTTTTTAAATATACTTGGTTACTGGTAATAAATGAGTGATTCAGTAAATATTTTTTTTTATAAAAAATGAATTTGTTTATTAATCTATATTAGATATCAATATTAATAATTATAATTAATCATTCTTAAAATAGATTTTAAATGTGGGTATTCAAAAAAATTTAATAAAAATAATAAAAACTCTTTTCAAAGTTTAGATATTTTTAATTTCAGAATAAAAAAACTTAAATTTTAAAATATTCTAACTTTTATTAAATTGCATTCAAATAAAAAATAAATAGCTAATTTTTATTTTGCAAATATATTTTTGAAATTTAAAAAAGAAAATTTAATCAAAATTCGAACAGGTATAATTTAAAAATACTTTAATAATGAAATCAATTTTGTAATCAGAAAGATATTTCTGTAAATTTAAATACCAATAATTTAATAATGCAATTGAAAAATAATTATTCAAAAAATAATCCAAATTATCTACCAGTGCTTATTATGTTAAAAAATGTAATATCCCTAAGTTTTGTTTCTCGAATATTAGTAATATAAAATAGTTTTCTGATATTCCTTCTAATGCAAACTAAAATAATTACTAAGAATAAGTGAAAGTTGATTATGAGAAGGAGTTATTGCTTAGTGGAGGTGGTTGCGCAATAAGTTATCAGGCTGGCTATATGCATGGGTTATCAGAGTTTATTCCTAAGAAAATTCTAAAGGAATATAGGGTTGGAGGAGTTTCATCAGGTAGCTGTATAGCTAGCTTTTTTGTTTGCTCAGTTTATTCTGATAAAGATATGAAATATTGGTATGAAAAATATATAAGAGAGAGTCTAAAGTCAATTAATAATGAAAAGCTTGGTTTTTTTAATGCTACTAAATATGTAAAAGAACAAGCAGTTAAAGCATATTTGGAAGCTAAAAGCTTAAATGTTCCTTTTAATGGCACACTTCATCTATATATATCACCTAGAAAATATGTTGTAGGTATAACAAAATAATTAATCGATAACTTTACAGACTCTTAGGAGTTTGGTGAAGCAATTTCTTGCTCATGTGCAATACCATTTGTTACAACAGGCAGGTTTTCTGATTATTATCAAGGAATTTCAGCTGTAGATGGTGGTTTTACAATGGCACTTCCATTTAGAAATTAAGACTCAGATTGTATTTTTTTAAATGTACTACCTAAAATTTGTAGCGAGTTTCCAGTAGTGAGAGTGAGACCAGATTTTTTAAGTGTGATTCATATTGATCCAGATGAAACTTTGAAATTTCCTATTGATTACTTTAATTTTAGTCATGAAATTGCTGATGAATACTTTTTAAGAGGCTATTTATCTTCTCATAAGCAATAATAAAAGCTTCTAAGAGCATTTAAAATGGCATGAAATATTTTTTAAACAATCTATGACTTTATAGAGTATTTTATTGATAACAAAAATAATTTTTCTAATACTCAAAAGTAAACAAAAGTGAATGAAAAAAGCAATATTTAATAGTTATTTACTAAGTAAGATAAGCGATATTTACACTTAACTTAAAATAAGTAATAAAATTATGAATGCTCATTAAAATCAACACCAAAAATAGCTTTTATTATTATCCCTAAGTGGAAATTTATTAAATATTATAAATGTATTTTACAAAAAAATAACTAAAATAATAGATTTAAAAATTGCTTAAAATATTTAAAAATTATTTAAATTAATAAATATATCAATCCATGCCTTAATTTTGAACAATAATTATTATTTAAATAATTTTATTTATAAATTGTATGCATCTTGGTCAATTTTTTTTCAACTGATAAAATTGTTTAAAAACTATTAAAAATTTTGACAATACAAATTAAGATTTTATTTTAAACAATGAGATAGATAGATATATATATGAATGAATAGCAAGACAAAATGATAGAATGCGATTATTTATTTATTTTATTAGTTATTTATTAATATATTTGAATATTTATAAGAGATAGACTTTGTTTTTTGGAAGATAACTTGAAATAGTTTATATTAAAAGAATATTATTTAAATATTGGCAAGCTAGATTATATAATTAGAAATATTTTTTTACTTATTAACTTACTTACTTACTTATTTACTCACTTGCTCTTTGGTTTTATTTTTTAATTTAATGAGTTGATGAATGATTTAAAATATATTTTATTGTTTTTTTATGGTTAATATTACGAATTATTATAAACTAGGCTAGCTAACAGATATACTGACAAAAAGACTCAGATTTATTAATCCTAAGTTGGCTCTTCCTAAGTCAACTCTTTGTTTTTTAATTTTTTTTACTTCTATCCGTTTTTACCCTCCTATTTAAGGAACTTACCATTTTTATCTCTTGGTTTTTTAGAGACAGCTATTTGTTGTTTCTTGTACTTAACTAATGAAGTTTATGCTCTTCTTTCTCTTTTTTCTCTGTATTTTTAAATTTTTTCTAATCTTTGTTAAAGAGTTAGAGTTCCTATGCGTTTTGTATTGGCAGTGATTATGTATTCAATTATCTTTTGAGATTTATTTTTTTAATTATCATCTTTGTCATCATTTTACTAGTTTGAAAGGAATTCATACAATTATTGCTTCTTTTCTGAATTAGCTTTTTGATAGAAATCTATGATTAAACTCATGTTTGCTGCATCCAAGTAACTACTGGGATTAATATTATTTTGAGGATTGTTTTTTTAGAGAATACTTAATATATTTTTATCTTTATCATCTTCGTTTGGAGTATTACCAGCCAATTTACCAGCTGAATCTATAATTCCACTTCCTAAATTCATCGTACTTTTTTTCTTTTCTGCAGAAAGGGCTTTATCAAAACTTGAAACTTTTCCATTATTATTATCTTTTTATGATACATCTAATTTTAAGTTGAATGGTTTTCCTTTCTAATCTTTTTTATCTATACTATTTTATTGTGGATTATTAACATCTATGCCTAATGCTTAATTTTATTGCTATAAAAACTACTATTATTGGCTATTTTATTGTTGTTGTTATTATTATTATTATTATTACTACTACTATTAGAATTATGATGATTATTGCTATTGAGCATGCTATTATTATTACTGTAAAGGGAATTAATTTTAATGCTGTTAAATATACTACTAACCATTAGGATGGTGGGGATTAGGAGTTTGTACTGCATACTATTATTGAATGAATTGAGTCTGTTAATCTGCGCTTGTAGGGAAGAAGAATGGCTATTTATTATAACCTGTATTTCCACCTGGAGTTAAAAGTTGGTATGAATCTGGTATTTAAGACATATTTGCTTGATTAAAGAAAAAGTTTTCAAATTGTTAATTAGGTCTTGCTGTAAATTGAGTGAATTGTGAAGATGGTGGAGCTCCATTTATAGTTTAAATGTTCATTGTCGGTGGCCCAATAGGAGTGAATGGGGCTAACCCTAAGCTATATTATTGTTATAAATAATAGCTATTTCCTTCAGTAGTGCTGAGAGGTCCATTCTAATTATTTTAAGAGTTATTTGCATTTGTAGGATTGGTTTATTATGGGTTCTAGTTGTTGTTATTTTGTGGTAATTGAATTTAAAGTTGTGGTTTTTTTCTTTCTGATGAATTTAGAGGAGCACCTAGTTATTAAGGATTTGGAGCTCCATTTTAAGCATTAGGTTATAGCTAATCTTAATATTATTAGTCGCTTGGTTAGTTGCTAAAATTGCATAATGCGTTATTTAAGTATTGATTTTTCTAAAAATTTTAAAACTATTGCTATTATTGAGTCTATTATTGCTATTAAGAAATCTATTATTGTTACTACCCCTATTAGCTTGATTGCTATGAGAACTATTGAGGTTGAGTGATGAATTAACCTTACTGGACTACCTAAAATAAATTAAAAATATATAATTAAATAAAGTAAAATAGCTTTTAGTTTTATTACTCCATTTTGACCTGGCTTGTTGTTAGCTCCAACACTAATAATAGCAGCCTAGGTGCTTAAACCATTACCATTTTAATTATTGATTGATTGCCCATTGAAATTTCCAAATTAAAAGGCCCCTTCCATTTAAAATGGTGTTTGAGCTTCTTCACTCATCTTTTAAGCTTGCAAGATGTTGATAGCACCATTCCCTGGAGCTTAATAATTCTATTGCTAAGCCTACATTAAAGGATTTGCAGCCACTGCAGCTTAAATATTATTACTATTGAAAGCATTATTTCCATACAAATTTAAATTGTCTCCGCATATTTATTAAAATTATTGCTAGGTTGCAGTAAAAGGAGCGCCATTAGGACCGTTGGGATTTCCAACGTTGTGAATTTATTAGATTGTATTTGAATCATCTATAGAAGTGTTTGGAAAATTAAAGTAGTTTTATCCCTTTCCTAAACTTGAATAAGGACCTCCAGTCATTATAGGAGTATAGGCAAAAGCTTTAGCTGAAAATATATTAGGACTATGCAAGGCACCTCCGTTTAAATTTGATTCCCATTCATATTTTTGGTTATCAGCTGTGTTAAATTGAGGAAGCTGAGGTTTTCCAGCAGTATTTGTAGTTACAGAATTCATATTTTTTATGGCCGCTGAATCAAAGTTAAACATAAAGTGATTTTGCTATTTTGCAGCAGAGGATATATTTCCATAAGCTGATAAAGGAAGAGGTGTAGTTGTATCCATAATTATGAAAATATAAGTTAAAGAAGAGTGAAACGCTAAATATATATACCAGCTATCTTATGCGTTTGATAATTAATCTACTTGTTGGATATTTGGCTAACTTGAAATGTAATCGAATTAAAAATGTGTATTTTTAAAGACTCGCTATACACCTGCTTTAATTATTTTAAGATTTTTTTGAGGTTTATTATTCTTTTTCTCAGTTATTTATTCAGCGCCAAGGAAATTAATTTATTGCCTGTCTTTATTTTCCTCTTCAAACAAGCAGATTATACTTTTTTCAAATTAGTCATATATTCTGATATTAACCCTATCTATATTAAAGAAGTAGCAAAAAAAGCAAGCAAATTATAAAAATTTCCATTCTTTATTTAGTTATTCTATCTAAGATTCTATACACAATGTATTATCTCTTTCTCACTTCCTCATAGCCATAACCATATATGATTTTATTCATACCAAATTGTTATTTTGAATACGCTGTTTACAAATTTCTTTATTGCCTATCATATTTTACTTTGATTTACTTTTGTATTATTACTGTTCAAGCTGTCATTCATTATTAACCATACAGCTTCTCTCAAATCAAATAATTATATATTTATTTTTATAATTTGTATACTTTTTCTCCCTCTCATATATTTATTTTCAAAATCATCTAGCTATTATTTTATAAATGTAGTTTGAGATTCAAATTTATTCAAATCATCATCAATTAGCTTAAGGTATTACCAATTAATTAATTAATTTTAATAACTTAACTTTTCCTCAGTTGGCTTTTTTTCTCATTAATATTAATTTATATATATATGATAAATATCTAGATACGAATTAATATCAATCTATATTTTGAGTTTAGATTAATATGCTTTTTTACTCAACAAAAATAAATTATCAAAAAAGAGAGAATATAAAAATCCAATTGACTGTCTTGAAATGTATGCTAATAAAGCTTGTTAGAAAAATCTATTAATAATTAATTAATTAATTTTTTTTATTCAAAATAATTTACTTTCTTTATTAAGATTTTATTGATAAGTAAATTTAATCTTAATTTATCCTTTAAATTTATTATGGTTATTATTAAATAAATTTAATATCAATTTACCTTTTAAATTTATTTTTGATTATTATTAAATAAATAATTAAAAGAAATTATTAGACGAGTTAAAATATTTTTATTTCTTTTCTTTAGAATGTTTAAGAAGGAATAAAAATTAATTTTCAACATAACTTATTAATCAGCATTCATTCATTCAATCATTTTTTACTTTATGTCAAATTAACTCTATGTAATAAATAATTTTTGAAAATGCTTGTATTTCTTCTTTCTATAAGCAAAATAAGACACCAATTTGAATTTTGCAAATCAAATATTTTTTCTGATAATATTATTAAAATAATAATAATTAAATAAATAAATATATTGAAAGAAAAATTTTACTACAATAAAGTAACTGAATACTTATCCTCTATTAAGATTATTGTTATTATACTTTGATATCATAAGCGAAGAAACAATTTACTTTTTTATTTTTTATTAAATCTAAAAATTAAAAATGTTAGAAACAAATATTAATTACTATAAAAGATTTTAGTATTATTTGTGCTTAAATGTTCATATTGATTAAAAATGGATTAGATATTAATTAGTTCTGATAAACATCTATACATAAATCAAATCTCGCTTATTTCTAATTATTCATTCTAATATAACTAATTAATATTTAATAATAGCCTGATTTCTTTGAATGTAATTTAAAAGAAAAATGACCATTTCAGGTAATTTTATAAATGAATATTGTAAATCAGGTAGCAAATGAAATTATTCTCTTTATCTTTTTCAAAAGCTTTCAAAAAATAGTAAGACTTACTTACTTACTTATCAGATAGAGAGTGTTAGTAAAATATTCTTAATCCATAAATAAAATAAAATTGCAGATTCTACATTTTTCTTAATTTAAACTTTCAAAAGACTTCTTCAGATGTAAATTTAATATACATTTTGTTATAGTAGAAGCTTTAATTTTTAACGACTACTTTAAAGAAAGGATATACAAATTTTTTAAATATATTATTTATGATTGTTTCTTATATCATTTGATGTTATTTGATTACAGATTACTTAATAAGTTCTAAATTTTTAATTTATATTCCAAATAATTTGAAAAATTAGCTTACATTTTATTTTTTAAATATTTTTTGTCTTAAAAAAATTAAATTTAAATTATTTATTTAACTAACTAACTAAGCAATTAATACTTAAACAACTATCTCGCTGAAATTGGCTAATTTATTCATTTATTTTTTATTTATTTGCTATATTGCTGCTATACAAATAAACAATTTTTGAATTAAAGATATGATTTAATGTTTGATGCAAATTTCAAAATACAAATCAATCTATTGCGCGAAAAATTATAAATTAATTTAATTGCTTGTATAGCTAGCCTATTAAAATTTTTTAACTTAGTAAATTAATAACAACAAACATTTAAATTATTATATCAATTAAGATACATAAGGGAGCTTTAAATTTTTTAATTTTGCTGAATAGCTTCTATTGTGCTAAAGGCATTAATCATTTTGGTTCTTGTTTAAAAAAATTTTTTTTGAGGCTAACTAATTTAAATGAATAAAAGTCACAAAGGTGGTAGATTACTTAAGAAAAAAATATTATAAGAAGTATAGGAAAAAGATGATTATTATGACGACGAAGATTTATTAACTAATGAAGAATTAAAAATGATGTAAGCAAATGCAAAAAATGCTAAGAATAAGATCTAAATTAGAGTTAAATCAGATAGTTTATTAAATGAATATTCGTACAAATAAAAAATGTTAGGAAAAACGAATAACTCCTTCTACTAAAATAGAAATGGCATTAATACAAAAAAAATGAACAATTAAACTACTTATAAATCTGATAAATTAATTTTGGATGAAGAAGAAGATGAAGAAGAAGAAAATGTATTAAGAGAATTAAACGTTATTGATGTTAAAGATATTTTAGAAGATGCACGTAGAAAATCAGAAGGTAATAATAACTAGTAAAAAAAGAACTAAGATGCTCTATGCTTAATATTAGCTCAAATGCTTCTTAAAAATGTATTTTTTTATTTATCAATTCATTCAGCCTTTATTTTTTATATATGGTAATTTAAAAAAAAAAATTAATAGAAAATAAACAAAGAAAATGCCTTCGAAATACCTCTTCCAGATGTTAAGAATATGTCTGATTTTGCAAGTATTTTTTGAAATTATTTTATTTGATTATGTTAAATTAACTCCTTTAAAAATACTTATAATGAATTTAAAAGAGGTAAGCGAAGCTTCTTGGTAGAAATTATCTAGCTCTATCGATTCTGGTTCGAAGATATATGGATATAGAGTAGATAGCTTGCACTAAGAATCATTTAAGATGCTTAGTGGTTTGATTAGATCTGAGTTTATTAACAAAGATGAAGATCATCATGGCAAATAAGAGCAAGACAGTGAAGACCTTATTAATAAAGAAAGGGAAAAGATATTTAAGAAAAATAAAAAGATAAATGAATCTACCATTGAAAAAAATTTATCTAACATTACATTGAATAAGTATGATATATAGTTTGAAGTAGATCCTTTATTCTGCAAAACTAGTGAAAAATTTGATGATAGCAGCTCTAAAGGAATTCTTTTAAATAATATAAAGGTAATTTTATTCAGAATTCTTTAATACAAATTTTTAAAAATTATTTAGATAGACTCTAATTTAAAATTATTAATTGATTCAGAAAATTTTGTACACAATCTACCTTAGGATTCAAGTGCAAGATAATCTTTAGATAAAGATTAGCAAAATACTCCTATGAAGAAAGTAATTAAATCTCTCTTTTAACTTGAAGTGAAATATTTATTTTTTTTTATTAATTTTATAGAAATCCGACAAAAAAAAAGTTAAAGGACTATATAAAAATGAGAAATTATCTCTCTAGAGTAAGTTAAACCAGAACGAATACAATTTAATTGCTTATTTTTACAAGATATTTAGATAAGAAGTGATTTATACGAGCTAGAGCTCTGTAGTGGTTTAGAAAATTTTGTAGGCAATATGCTAAACTTGGAAGATTCTAACAAGAAATTTAATAGAACTGTAATAGAAGAAAACGATGAAGAATATCAGTAAGATAATGATGATTTGAACTCCCATAAAAAATTAGTTGATGAACTAGTTATGAATTAAAATGAACAAGAATTAATTAATGATATTCAAATGATTTTAACTCAAACAGCTAAGAAAGGAAAAACTGCCATGAAAATGAGTTAAAAGAGCATATTAAACGAATCTCAAGACAGTGCATTTCATTAAGAAAACCAAATTATCTCAACAAATATGAGTCCTTTTTAAGATATATAATTTAACTCTTAAAATCAAAAAAGCGAATATTTAAGTGAAAAATTAAGATAAAGTTAATTTCTTAATAGTACCAATAATTAAATGGAAGTTATTAATGAAGGGATACTCTGTAATGATAACCCATAAGATTATTATTAGTAATGTGATGATGATGTCCCTAATTATAGCTCAAATTAATATAAATTATTGACAGATGATTTACCCAGCAAAGAATCATCAAATGGATTTACTAATTCATTTACTAACACAATAGGTGATTTTGAGTAACCAGAGGACAGATTATTTTCTTTATAAAATATGGCTATTAGAATGACTTAAATTGGAAGTGGATTATTCTTTAATCAAATTGAGTAAATTAAATTAATTTCTTTATTTTGTTTGATAAAATTAATTAATTTTGATATTTATTATAGAAAAGATAAAACTTAATGGATGAATCCTATTGACTGGAAAATTTGTAAAATAGCTTATTTGTGTTTTTTTATGAATTATTTTATAAATAATTTTAAGTAAATTAAAAGAAAAATAATATCATGGTTGCTGAAATTCCATAAACAGAAAGGAATAGAACAAAAAGAAAAAATAATTAAAAAGATTCTGAATTTAGATTTGATTTCTTTGATGAGCAAGAGTACAAAATCGAAGAAGTAAAAGGAAAAAATAAAAAATAAAGATCTGCATTTAAGATTTTTGATACAGAAATCACACATTTACAATTATTGAGCATAGACTACCATTACAAACCATAATGGTAAAGAAAACGATTTAAATGAATATTTATATTTTTTTGTATAAAGGCTTTTCAAGACAAGTTATTTTGACTTGAAAGAAATTGAAGAATAAGAAAGACTTGCTTAATAAAGATTGTAAGAAGAGGAAGAGTAATACAAAGGATTCAATGGTGACGATGAGTATGATATAATAAACTAAATTGATGAATATACATTATTAGGAGCAACTCCGTTTAGAAATACCTAAATGGAGGTTATGAATGACAATTACGATTGCACTAATACTTAAGCTAATAATAATTTATCTCAATAAAATGTAAATACATAGATTACAAGTTAATATGAGCACACTCAAAGTTATCCAGAAAGCAAAAATCAATAAAGAAAAAGTAAGAAATTTTTTAAGATAAAAGCTTTTTTATATTTCCTTAAAAAAAATAAATAGAATAAAATGTTAGAAAAATGAAAATATAAGAACTTAAATAGAGAATTTGGATAAATTTATAGGACAAGATTTAAGACCAAGTTGAGGTAATCCAAACTTTTAATTTAAAATTTAGTTTCTTATTTTAATAAATTAAAGATATCTTATACTGACTTGATTAATCAGCTTTAACTTCAAAAGTAAGAATAGGCCTCTATCTAAAGTTGTCTTGTTGCTATACTACACTTGTGCAATGAAAATAATCTGCAATTATATAATAATACCTAAGATAATTTTCTCATCAAAAGAAATACTATCTAAGAATAACAATTGCAAGAAATGTCTTAAGATTGATAATCATTCAAAAAAAAATTTCATAATTAACCAAAACAAACTAAAAAATTTTAATTAAATTTGTAAATAAAAAAATTTTGAAAAATAAACTAAATATAACTTAAATAATTAATTAGCTAACTAATATTTTGTAAAAATTATTGCTTATTCACATTTAAAAAGTAAATTTTAAAATTAAACGAATAACTACAAAAATATCAAAAAACTTTTAATTTGTTGATTAATTTTATTTATTTCTCATTTATCAATTTTATGTCATTCGAAATAGTTGAACAAAAATCAGACAGAAAAATAATTTAACACTATCACCATTTTCATAGAAAAATTTAATATATTTTTGAAAAATAATTTGAGCATAATTTAATTTATTTATTATTTAATGAACAAATTTTTAATAAAAATTAATGATTGTATAAATTTAGAAAATTAAATTTTAATCCTAAAAATTATTTATTTACTTGAAATATTAATTTTCATCATTAAACTTTGATTTATTTATTTAATATTTATTTGTTTTATGTTTTTCATATTATTAAAAATTTACGAGAATAAAATAAGATAGAAAAAAAATATTTATGATAAATTTACTAAAAAATTAAATTCTTTAAATTTCCAAAAATATAAATTTTGGAAAAAAAAACAAAAAAATATAAATATGATTAAATTGATTTAATTAAATTATAAATTATTTATGTCTTAAAAGCAAATTTTAGAAACTAGAATTCTTATTTCCTTAAAATATTAATTTCTAGTTATGATTATACATTTATTAATTCATATTTTTTTAGTTGTACTACTTGAAGTCTATGAGTATAAAATCAGATAGATAAAAAATATAATTTGAAGATTAAAAACTTAAATTTATTTATTATTTTAGAGAATTTGGTTTAAATTTACTTTACATTTATTTCAATGAAAATTATAAATTTTAAGTTTTATATTTATTTATTTTTACATCCACAAATAACAAAATTAGAAAAATAATTTGTGGATTTAAGCAAAAAAGGATGCAATTTAATAAAGTATTTGTGTTATTTATTGATTTAAGAGTAAATATTAATTAAATAATAAGATTGATATTAACCAGCTAAATTGCTCATATTAAATATTTTAATTAATTTTTTAATATAATAAATAGTTGATATTGATTACAATTACTTTTTACCAAATATCAATAAAATGAATAATTTACAATTAAAATAATTAGAAGTATAAAAAAGTCATTTAAGTACACCTTAAAAATTATAAAATTAAGAAATACTTAATGATAGATTGATTATTTAGGGAAATAAAACTATAAATCAACCATAGGAACAAGTTATTAATTAGTAAAATTATATTAGAAGTAGAATTCTCTCAGTTAGTAATGAGGTTTAGGATGCAAAAAATATAATGTAAAATGCATAAATAAGAATGCTAATGCAAGAGTATGATATGAAATTCAATCCTAAAAATAAAAGAATAAGACCTACTATTCGTGATCCCTATCTTTCTAAATCATAGTCATCATTAATATCTTCAATAGGAGCTACTTTAAATTCATAATCTTAATAAATGGTAATAGAATAAAAGGGAGGAGACTTAAAAAATGATTAAGATATTTTTATAGATAGGCTTTAAGAATTAGTTACAGATTATCAATAAAGCTCAGAAGAAAATAAGGATAAATAATTGAATTTACCAACAATTTCTTCAAAAATTGTTCACAAAATCAGTAATCAAATCAATAAAATAAACCAAAACATGCAATATTAATCTAAAGAATCTCTTTATACAGCACAAAAGGCATTCACTCAATCAACTATGAATACTGATTAGAGTTATCAAAAATAGAAAAGTATATTTTAAACTGAACTTAAGTAAACAAAATAAAGGAGATAATCTCTTAAGACAAGAAGCTTTTCTGAGAAGAAATTAAGAAGAGGTGATAGCTCTGATATATATGAAAACGATAAACAGATTTTAGAAAAGGAGACAAATATTTCAATTAATTTTACTTAGCTAAATGATACAACTGCTGCTCATATTTTAACTTCTCCATCCGAAAAAAAGCTGACAAGCCCAAAAAAAATAGCCTAAAAACCTAAAAATCTGGATTTTATATAAAGTCTAAGCAACTATTCTTAGTAAAATTGGACAGAGCTTCTTCATCAAAGAATAAATAAGTAATAGAAAAATACTAATTTTTATTTGAGATTAAATAGAAAACCAAAATGTATTTATTTTATCTTTCTTTTTTAAAAAAGTTTAGATTATTAGAACGCTAGTAAGGATACTACTGCAAGAGGAAGATAGCTTATTTAGTTATTTGAAAGTTTTATCATAAATGAAATAAATTAATGCTCTTAAGAGGAAATAGCTATGTCAAACAGCCTCATTTTAAATGAAGTCTGCAAGCATTTAGAAGATATGCAATTCTACAATGACACTCTACTTAAAAAGGTTAAAGATAATAGAAAAGAGAAAGAAGAACTTGAAGTTATAGAGTTGTTTGGATTTTGTATGAAATTTAATAACCCAGAACATTCTGATGAATTTATTTAAGAGCTCAAGTCATTTTTTGAAAGAAAATATTTAAATTTAATAAAAAAGCTTCGTATGAATGGTAATACTTCTACATAGCTATTTATTGATACTTTACAAAACTTTGAAGTATTTTTCAAGCTTTATAAAGATAAGTTGAGTCTCACTAGATAAAAAGTAGATTCTCTGTCTTAAGAATTAGAAGAATCTCATAAACTAATAAAAGCCTTAGAAGAAAGAGCATAAACTCAACACTTAGCTAGAGATAGAATAGAAATAGAATACAGAGTAAAAAGCAGAGAAGATTTAGCAGAAATCTAAAATCGTTATGAATTATTGTACAACCAAAGAGTTGAAGAAAGTAAAAATTAAATAAAAAAGTTAGAGTAAAATATTGAAAGTTTGAAAGATCAAATCAAACAAAAAGATGCCGAGTTAGATAAAAAATAAACTGAAATAGAAAATTATGAGAAACGTTTAAATAAAAAAAAAGTAGATGCATCAACTCAAATACAGTTGCATATAATGCCTTATGTTTAAAATTAGTAGCCAAAAGTAACTCCTTAATAAGATATTCTTCCATAAAATGTTTCTCAGTAACAAAGCAGTAAATTTTTTATTTTCTTATTTATTTATTTTGTATTTTTGTTAATTATGGATGTATAATGTGAACTGCTCAAATAATCACAAAAAAATACAAAATTAAATAGCTTTTAACTTAAAATTATATATTTTGATTTAAAAATAATCTTTGAAAAATAGAAAGAAAAATTATTTTATTATTTTATTAGGCAATCCTTTTTCTTCTTTTGGCAATGAATTTATGTCTCCGTTTACATTTAGTAAAAGTTGCAGTGGAGCTTTTATCAGTTAGATTCTTACAGAATGCGTTTTTCATGATTTTTCTCTTTTTTATAGGCATAAGTTTTGCTCTTTTTATGCTAATCAAAATTATAATCATTTAGTAAATTTTTCCCATCATTTCTTTATCACAAAATTTGGGAATAAAGTTATTGGTGAAATATTTTTAAAAAATTTTGTTTTATCATTACAAGAGTATTCTTAAGAAGGTATTCTTAGGTTTATTATTTTTTCTCAGCTTACAGGTTTAGATATTTAACAATAACCTCAAACTACATAAAATCAGTTGACTAAAAACAATCTTAATCGATCTACTATGTCTTCTATTTCTATGTCTTCCTAGCAGAATGCTTAATAATCATTTTCCTAGTTTGTAAAAAAAATATTTTGGGAGAGTAAACAGAGTTATATTATATATATTAAGGTAGCTATCCTTTTTAGGAAAAGTTTGCTCAAAAATACAAATAGTCAGTAGCATATTATGTCAGGAATATATAGTCTATTCGATAATACAGAATTGCTTAACAAAGCTGGATAAACAGAGGGTTATGAAAATGCAACTATTCTTATTACTAGGGCTCAGCCAATCATATAAGAAATAGTTTCAGATCATTTATCTAAATCTGAAAGCATTTTAGAAGTTTTTAAAGTATTTTAGACTTATATAAAGCAACAAGTAAATAAATAAAAATAAAAATCTCCTTACAAATAAGTTCAAGAAGAAGATGGTGAAGTTGATGAAAAATTTGAACAGAACTCATCTTCAACAATCAAAATTATTAAAAATAGTAATAAAAATTTAAATTAAAACAAATAAAGCACTTCTGGTTTAAGAGTAAATATGGACCAAATAGCCTTTTTTATCATAGATTATTTAGCAGATTTAAAAAATAAACAACTAGATCACTTTATGGCAAGTATTAAGAGTATTCAAAACCAAAAAAGGACTTAAAATATATCAATTAAAGATTTCACTAATTCATTTAATTAATATTTTGCATATGCTCCATTTATTTCAGATTCGCAATCATACACTGATGATTTATTTACTAAGTTTACTGTGAACTCAACAACAGCTCTAAGTGGTGGAGAAGATCAAAGAAAATTAGCTTTAAAACCATTTTTGATGGCTTTATTTGATGAATATAATGAGTATGATAGCTCAAATTTGAGTTTTTATCTATCAACAGAGTATTTAAGTCAATAAGCTTAGTAAAATTTTGAAAAAGTGCAATCGTCTAATAAATCATAATAATCACTTGTAGCACCTAAAGTTCATACATCTTAATCGAATAGACTCAATAAAACATAAGATGGTAAAAGATCAAACTCAAATAATAACAAAAAATAAACAGATGGAATTTCAGCTAGTCAAAAAAATTTGTTAAATGAGATTGTTATTTAATAAACAGTTGAACAATAAGTGATATAAATATTGCAAGAAGATATCTTTGATGTTCCTAATAATATAATTACTATATTTGAGAGCTATGAATAAATAAGGCCTTTAATTAAAAGCGAAGAAACTCTAGACGAAAGAATAAAATTGGAAAATGAAAAATTCAAATCTCTTTTACAATAATTAAATAAAATAAAATACGAATTAAAATAATCATCTGAAAATAATCCGACAATATCTTACTAACCAAGAAAATCCTATATAGATACAATTAAATCTGTTTAGCAAAACCTCAACAATCTGATGCTTTTAGCAACTTCAAAGCTTAAATTAAGTGTAAATTTTTGAAATAAAAATTTTGAAAGAGAAGAAATTAAAAAAAATACTTTTTTAGATAATTTTTAAAAATAAAAATTTTTAATAAACAAAATTCAAATATTTAAATTAAAAAATTGTTTTTTTACTATTATAAACATAACTTAATCTATATTAATATCATGTATAGTAACAAAATTCATCATCATAAATTAGGTAAGTCACTTTTTTATTTTTTTAATTGTATGATTTTAATTCATTTTTAATATTTATCCTAGATTTAATTTATTTTAATTTACATAAGAGAATTTCTATAAATAATTTCAAAATAAAAATACAAATAATAAAGTGATTGTTAATAATTTCATATAATTGTATGCTATAATTAAAATATTTGATGAAGAAGTCTAATTTTTTGGACTTTCAGGATTTTAAGTTGGATCTGGTTAAATATTACTAAGTACTTTGTTATACATAAAGTATTAATCTATGTAGTATTATTTACCTTATGTTTTTGTATTTAATTCAAATTCTGCTTTATTTTAGTTATTTTCAGTATATTCTCTGTAGCTAGTAAGAAAACTATAAGAAAAAATTCCTTTGATATCAGTTACTGAAAAGCCACCACTTTATACTGATTTTTAAGTTGAACTATATTTTGTAGGAAAAACTATTAAAGTTCCATCACATTTATCTCCTACTTATTCACCAGTGAATTTAAAGTACTTTATTGATGTTTGATCGTATGATACACTAAGTTTTACATTTCCTTTAAAACAGCAAACAGTTGGATCTAACTCTCTACATGCATCAAATCTTCTAGCATAGAGTACCATTCCATCTAACTCAGTTAGCTGTAGTTCTTAACAATTATATAATGTAAAGAGTAAAGCAATTATATATAAAGTGATTTTCATTCTTATTAAGTAGTTTATTTAGTTTTATAATTATTGTTCTTTCTTAAAAAATTATAGATTTCTATATAAAATTAATTGCCAATTATAAATATACTTTGGTAGAACCAATAAATGTTAAATTATTAAATTTTTAATTTTAAGTTAGTAGAGTAAAGTCAGTAAGAATTTAATAGATTAATTTACTATAATTTAAGATAATCAAAATGTTAATAAATTGATTAAATCTTAAATAAGTGAATTTGAATTACTTTGATTTACGTCGGCAACACCCTGATCAAATAGGTTAGTGACTGGATATTCAATTAATAAAATAAATTTTACAATCAAGTATGACATCGATAAATTTATCTATATTTACTTTATTTTTTAAATATAAGGCTAGCAAAAAATCAAATAAATCAAAGATGATAAAACAAATACGCTAGCTAAATTTGATTATTTTTTATATTATACTTTTTTAATATGCTAAATATAAATAAAACAAAAATCAAAGAAATAAAAGCAAATAGAGTTGAAAAATAAATAAAATTATTTATTTTTTTTTAAAATTTATCTATCATAATATTTTAAAATTATAGAATTTTTTTGATCAATAAATTTTTTCTTTCTTACTTACTTTCTATTTTATTATTATTTGAAATTTAAATGAGTTTAAATTTAATGAAGAGATGTACTAAATTTTTAATCTATAGACTTTGAATCAAAAAATTAGTATTATTTTTGTTAATTTACATTCATATTTTTAAATTTATAATTTTCTTTTATAAATTTAGGGAGAAAATTTGTCAAACCTATTTTTGTCATATCCTTAATTTATCTTGATAGCTTTACAGATTGTTTATTTTCATATTGACAGTCAAATATGTTTATAAGTATGGTAAATGAGTTTCGATTGCTCTAAAATGAATTTTTAATTTTAGATAGAATAAAATAGGTTTAATTTATAATTAGACTAAAATCAAAGCAAAATAATAAAATTTAGATATAAATCCTAATTATTATTGAATTTTATAGATTTGTTACAGATTCATTTTTTTCGCTTTTCTAGTTAAAAACTATTTAAAATATAACTTTTATATAAATTGCCTAATGAAAACAAAATTATGTCTATTAGTCTAAATAATTTTTAAATTATTTATTGTGTCATGCTGTTTTTATTAGATGCTAATTCTCCAAATCAATAAAATAATTTAATAATTTTATTATAGAAAATATTTTCTCAAAAATTTGGAATCAACTCAATCTAAATAAATAAATAAAAATTAATTTTTACAAAAAATATCTTCTATCAAAAAATGCTTTTTGTAATTATTTTTAATATAAAAGATGTTACAATAGAGAATGCAAAAGAATAAAATATAGGAGAAATTTTTTTTTTGATATAAGATAATATAAGTCATTTTAAAATTATTATAAGAGAGTGAGTTATTTACGAATTATTTATATGAAATATCAAATTTTGTTAACTAAGTGTGCATCATTAAAAGCTAACATTTATTTGTTTGGGATATATGAATTTTAATTCGCAGAATTAATCCTAGCTTCATTTATCATCAATTAATTTAGCTTCAAGGAACGCTATGCAGCTTAATATTTTTTGTTATAGTTTATTTCTTCTGTTTTTGTCATATTTGCTTGCTGAATTTTCATTCTATTTGAATCTATACCAGCTAGCTCCTTTTACATAGAGTTGTTAATGTTATTAGTTTAATTTCTGTTTAATCTCGTAAAAGTGAGCATGAGAGGATCTTAACCTGAAGGCTCCTTTACCTATACATAAGTCCCCTTCTGCAGAGAGTTGCTTCTTAAAGTATTTCTTGCAAGATTAGCAAAGTCAGAAGTATGTTAATTTTATTATTGAATTTGCTAAAGCTGAATCTTTTTTTATGAAGGATTTTTGCCTAAAAGCTACAAAGGAGATGCTAAGTTCTTGATCAAAGATGAAGAATTATCAACTTAATTCGAAGAGGATTAATCATCCTTGATAGGAATTAGTTTTGTTTAAGCAATTTTTATTACTTTTTAGTTCTATTGCATAAACCCATTTGTACTTGAGTTGATTATATCAAAAGACTATGCATTTATCACGTCTGACTAGTTAGACACAATAAACTCAGTATTATTTGCATTAGTGAAATACACTTCAAGCTTTTAATTGTTTAGCTGAGTGTTATATCTTTTAGGAGAAGAGCTTTGATTTTTATTGTTTTCGTCAGGTTACGTATTATTATTACTTCCTATAAATGATTAATCTGTTTTATTGACTTAACTTGAGTCTTTATTTGATGCAGAATAATTATTTCTTACATGTTAACTTAAAGGTTTATTTGTGCTTCTTACTAAGTGTCTATCGATGAATTTTTATTTGTTAATTTTAGCTTATTAAAACTATTTTGATTAAAAAGTTGTTGAAAAATTATCTTCCAATTAGTTATTACTTGCAACTTAGGTATTATTATTGTTACCTTAGTTACTTTATAAGAATGATAATCCATTCTATCTTTCAGTTTGAGTTTACAGAGAATGTTAGTATTTTAAAGGTGATTAGTTAGGCTCATCAAATTCTTTTGTATTGGCTCTTTTTTACATGCCTAATAGTTGAACTTTTTAAATAAGCGACTAATATCCAACGTTAACAAGTCTGTTATTTGAATAATTACTGCTCCCAACCTATGAACTTGTATTATTTTATTATTACTACTATTGAAATTAGCTATTTGAAATTGCATTGCCCAAATTATTATTATTAATAAAATTACTATTATTTTGTATCACTGACATATTATTTCCCATTAGTGCTTTGTTTCTTAAATAAAGCTACATTTCGATGTTGGCGGGTTGTGTTTAATGAGTAGTTGAGCTTTTTGTTCTTAGATCTTGCTTTTTTATCCCTACAGCACCACCGTTAATGTTTCGTTATTTAATCTAAAACGATGGGTTTGGTGAATTTTTAATCTTTATAGCTTAATTATTAGATTAATCCCCACTTGTATTTTATATAATTATACTATTATTAGTCGCCCTATTATTTAATAAAGTTTTGTTAAAAATAAATAAATAAAAAAATGAAATTTTGAAAAATGATGAAATTTACAAATTTTATTCTGTAGTTTGCTTATTAGCAGTCGTGTTTTATATGTTATTGCCTGAAATTTAAAAAGTTTATTTATTGTTTTGACCTTATTAGTTATTATAATTTTAGTTGGATTAGTAATTGTTGATAACTATATTGCTATTATTATTTAATTAAACTGTGTTAGATTCTGAGTTATTTGGTTAAGTGTTAAATTAATTGGCCTAAATAAAAATGTTAGTTCCATTATTTGATAAGCTAGCAGAATTTAATGTGGTCTGAAAAGCGATATGCAAATTTTGTTAATTTTATAAGCTTTAAATAGTAGTAATTTATTGGCGTAAAATATCAGAAGTATGTCTACTTCTTATAGGTGTTTCAGTTTATTATTTAGTACCATTATTTGATAGAGGAGAATTAGCAATTTATTAATCATAACTCCTTTAACTTACATGCTAAGTAGTCCTTTACTTGTCCACTTAACTATCGTTTAGTTGAGATGGCTTTATTTTATTTTTCTCAGTAATGAAAAGAATGCTTGGATCTTTTAATGTATTAAGAGTGATTGTCTATTAAGGTTGCTGAGCACTCGTATTAGGGTTTTAAGAAGGACTTAAACAACTTTAAATTGGAGTTGAGGTTTTAGCTACACTTGGCTATATCAAATTACTTGTATTAGTTGAGTTAAAAATAATTACTTTTTTGGTATTGCTATTGCTTTATATTACTTAGTGGGGTTAATTAATTAATTCGGGGTTATTAATAATCACAATAGACGTAGAAGCTTAAATATTTTGACTTTCATTATTACTTGCAGAAAAAGGAGTAGTTTCAATATTATTCACATTTACCGTTTTTGTGTTTTCTTCTGTAGTTAAATAGGTAATTCCATTATAATTTAGCACATTAGATCTATTTTCGCTCTAACCTCTATAAAATTTTGATTTTTATTTGTTTTAAAATTTATGAGCTTATGAATCAGAAAAGAGTAAGCTGTTTCTTTTTTTAAGAGAAGAAGCCACTTAAGTCCCCATAAGACTTTAAGAGAAATCCTAAGCATTATTATTTTTAGCTTTACCTGTAGAATTGGAAGCTGCTTAAGAATCTTTTTATGGAGAATTTACTGCTTAGCTATTTAATGGCAAAGTTTATAGCTGCTAAAAAATAATTTATTACCCATTTTATATGATATTCTTTTGATTTCCAATTGATTTTTTTTTTTATTTTTTATTTTTATCCTTAACAGAATTATTCATCCCATTCACTTGTTAGATAATTGAAGAAATTTTATCACTTTGCTTAGTTTTTAATTCGAATCCTAACTTCTTAGCTATTTTAATAGGTATGATAGATCCTAATTTCTCATCAATATTTAATTCATCAGCTAGAGGATCAGAATCACTACCACTATCCTTAGATTCTTTTTCAACAAATTATTGAATATCTTCATTCATTTTGTCAATTATTTCTTGTCTATTAATATTAGGATACAATTCCTTATCTTCTCCCTTATGATTAATATAAACTGACTTAAGCAGATCTTCTCCTAGCTCAAGCAAATCAGATATCAAAAAATGTTCATTCTTTTTACCAATTTTATAACCAAAAAAACTAGTCTCTACAGTAAAGATGTTAAAGCATTCAAAAAATTACTCTCTTATCTTATTTATTTCATTCCACATCACAATTCTAGCAGCACTTTCTTTATACTATTCTAAACTAAATGTACAGTCTTTGAATTAAAAGATTGACGAAATCTTTGAGTATATAACAGGAAAAACTCTACATGATACTAAATCTTCATCTTTTCTACAAGCATATATGAAGCTGTTCATTCTTTTAATCCAAAAAAAAATGTTAACCCATATTTACATTTCAAGATTTCATAAAAGTTAATTTATTTAAAACATATTTTTAAAATTTTTGTATTTTGACTTTCTAAGAAAATTAGTTTTGAAATCAGCTAACAAAATAAAAATACTTTTTTGAATGTCCATGCAAATCTATAAAGTATTCCAGTCTTAAGCCCTCTTCTCTTGATGTAGCTATCATTTTTTTAGCATGATAAACAGAAGGATGGAGTATCTAAAAAGTAAAAAAAATGTTATTTATTTTTGTTATTTTTTGATTTAATCAACTTACTCTAGAAGGCTATTGCCATTAACGATTAATATCTACTCCTGATATATTACATCTAAAATTTCCATAAATTACTCCATCTGGGTTCATCATTGGAATTATTTTAAATATAAATTATTGCCTTAAGTATTAAGCCTCTGGTTCATTACTAATCAAGAAGTTAATAACACCCTCCATTTTATAGCTGCAAACTGTCTCACCTGGATGCTATCTCGCTATAATAACAATTAACTTTTTATTTTTATTTTTGAGCTACTCTTTGCTTGATTCTCCTCCTGAAGGTGATTTTTCTGTAATCGATAACAAAGGCACTGCATTATTACTGACACTGTAGCATAAGATATCTTTTTTTATTATTCTAATTAACATAAATAAAAAATGACAATATTAAAAAATAAAATAAATTACATGTTTGGCTATTCTTTTAGTGATTTATTAATCGCATAATCTAAATGTTTAGTCATTTTAGTATAAGAATATGGAGGGTTCATGGCAAAATAGATCTCATCATCCTCATGTTTAAATCTGTAGGTAAAGGAAAGAGTGTAGTAATATTAATTAGGATCTTATTCCTTTATTCGAATAATGAATGTTAAAAATATAATTTTGATAATTAATTTTATAAATTACTTTGATAATTTTATTTTTAAAATATTAAATATCTTTTCCTTTTCTCATCCAGCCATTATTTTTTAACTTATTTTCTTTTAATGAAAAAACTGAAATTTTCATACCCTACTTAAAAGGTAAAGAAGGTTTTGCGATGTTAACTATGTTGAATTTGACAGTTAATCCTTTGAATTTGTAATTTGAAACTTTGAAAAAAAACCACTATGTATATCCCTTTGTATTTATATCGTTCTACAAAAGTAAATCGTATTCTTTATTAGGACTTTTTGTGTAAACTTAATACAAATTTCCACATTCGAATCTACTGTCAAATGAAATCTGCTCTTGCTTGGATGAGAATTCTTCCTTTTTTCCTTGGTCAATACGGTTATAAAGATCAAATTCGTAATTATATTCTGGCCTATTCATCTTGTTTTCCTGAAAGGTATTAAACATAGTGCTTCCAAAGTCCATAACATAGCTTAAATTTATATAATAGCCTGCAAAACTCTTGACTTACTCTTCAATACTTTTTTCTTGCTTGTATTTGCAATATACTTTTTCATATTTCTTAGATAGTTCATATTTTTGATACAAACTTTAACTTATTTTTTCATCATCTTACTGTACACCTTATATTTCTTCTTCTTGCTAATATATTACAAATTTTTAAACTATTATAATAAGTACTAAGATTCTAAAAAAAAGATTTTTATATATATATCTTATGCCATTACTTAAATAGTTGTTGAAGGAGTATCTTGAACAATTTAATCTTCTTAATCAGAATCATGTCTATTTTTATACTTAGTATCCACATTATTATGTAAAATGTAAGGCAAATCCCTATTTTTCAATAGTATTTAAAGTTTATTTACTAAATTTGTCTTAGCTTTAAAAGAAATTAATATGTTAATTTACATATATTAGTAATCTTTGATCAGTATTCTAGGTTTAAAATCCGTTGGTTTAGATGAGCTTAGCAGAGGATTAGCCTCTGGTAATTCATTATTCTTTTAAGATATTTCAATTTTATCTTCTTCATTGGCTTTTATGTGAATTTTATGCTCTAATATGCTAGAATTTATTCTTTTGTGTAAAGTGCTCCCTTTTTAATTTTTATCGTGGCTCGCATCAAACTCATCATGATCAGCGCCTTCAAATCCTTCATTATCTTAAACAAAGAAATCCTCCAAATACTTAGATGCTAGAAAAATACAAATTTAAATGATTTTTAAAGTATATTTTATTTGTAATAGGTTTAAAAATGCTAAAAATTAATTAATTACACTTAATCATGAAAATATTTGATGTCCACTTAACTATATATTATTTTATTTTTCTTTTGTTATCGTAAAAAAAATACAAATTCCTATTTATCAATATTTTAATTTATAAAGAGTGTTGTAATCAAATCACTAATTAACAAATAAATATCACGCCAATTTAAGTAATCTTAGATTAATACAAAACACTAGTGGTTTTAAAAGCACCAAAACTTAATTATTTTTATCTAATCAACCTATATCAATCTTTTATTTAATAGTAAAAATAATATGTGCTTTTAGATTCTCTTTAAGCTAAATTAAAATATCTTCAATGCAACAAAGATCATTTTACAAACCTAATTTTGTTCGTTATTTTTTAAATTTATTAATCTTTTATGTTAGTAAAATGACTCTCCAATTTAATAACAAAATACCACTAAAGAAGCATTAATAATTAATTGAATCTAAAATTATTTATTTTTAACTGCATTATCAAATTAAAAATGCCAAATCTTTTACTTATTTTGTAGATTAAATTAAATATTTATTTTTAGCTTTCAAGCTTACTCTTGATAATTAAAAATTTAAATTTAAAAAGCTTAAAATAATTATTTTTTAATCTAAAAATCAAATACTCAAAATAATTTGCAAAAGCTAAAAAATATATTTAAAAATGTGCAAATATCTAAATCTATTGAATAATTTTTAATAAAATTAGAATAAATTGAATTATTTACTTTCTTCTTATAAATTATAGTTAATGAAAAAATACCTTTTTTAAAAAAAAATTTCCATTTTAAAATCTAAATTGGAGATAAATAGAAAAATAATTTTTTTGATTGTTATTCATTTATTCATTTGTTACTTTAAACTTATATTTGCCCAAAGTAAGTTTAATATATTGTTACTGAAAAAATTTATTTTTCTCAGGAGTTAATTAGTACTAAAACTTATCTAAATTAATATCTTATTGGATATTATAGCATAAAAGAAATAAATGACGATGAAAGTAATTTCATAATTAAAATTATATTCTTTTTATAACTTAATATCATACATATATATTATTTTAATAAAATGTTTCCATTTTGTAGAAAGATTAATTTTTTAATGCTTTTTATGTCTAATATCTTTAATAAAGATTTAATTAATATTAATAGTTAAAATATTTGTATAACAGAATTCATTAATTTGTTAATTATTTTTCTTACTTTACTTTATTTACATGGTTTAATTTTTTATTTATCAAATTTAAAAAATTGTATTTTCTATATTCTTATAGTTTTATGACTTATTTTGTAAACAAAAGATTTAGTTTTACTAATTTAAACAAACACACTTTACATACGTGCTAATAGATGGTTGTTCTATCTTAAATTAAGTGCTGTCAGAAAATAATTAAATTATAGTTAATTAGAATTAAATAGAAATAAATAATTCTAATTAAAAAATAATCAATTCATATAAAAAGAAAAGAAACAAATATTTCTACTTTAGAAGGCAACACGTTTAAAATAAATAATTTATTATGTATGATCTTATTAAATTAAACAAATTAAAAACATACTTCAACCCTCCTTATTATTAATCATTCAATTTATTAATGAATTATTAAATAAATAATTTAAATCAATTATATTAAAAAGTAAAAAAATCTTTGAACTAATTTCTAGATAAAGATAAAGTATTACAAACAAGTTCTCTGAAGTATTACAAAGAAAATAAAATAATACATAATAGCTAATAGGGTTATATTAAGTTATAAAATGAATCAATCACATTCAATTTTTCAAACAACTATAGGTAAAATAATACTTTATAAAATCAATTTAATTAAGAGAAACATTAGATGCGTTTAAAAAACAAGAAATTTATATCTTTTATTTTAAGCAAAATATTATTAACGTTTTTCAATTACATATCAAAAATAGTTCGTGCATAAGATGGCTTAGTTTTTTGCGAGTACACTACTGAAGGTGCTCATATTTAACCTGAGATATCAGGCTAGCTAAAAAAATTCATTAAAAATGACTCTCTTTTCAAACAAAATTAAGATTTTAGGCTTGTTGAATTTGGAAACTACACAATTGGGTATATATTTATATATTATAAATAAATTTAAAAAAGAATCAATATCCAGCAATAAATGAGAATCTTATTATTTTTTACAGTTATTTAGTTTAAGATGATGTCGTTTTTATAGCCTTGGTTAGCTCTACTTATGATGTAAAGTTGTGCAGATAGTACGTTAAAGATATTTAATAGGGTTTCACAGAAGTAATTAAATATATTTAGACATAATTACAGCATTAATTTGGTTTAAATTAGTAAAAATTTATTTTTAAACAAACTCAAAATAGGAATTGAAAAATACTTTTGGTACAACAGGTGTTAATTATTATTCAAAGTTATCTACCATAGAAACTCCTTACAGTTTCATTAAATTTGGTAAAATTTATTATTTTATTTATTTTTAAATATGACAAATTAAAAAGAAGAAATATATATATCTTTGATCAGAAAATAGCAAATTAAATAAATAAATAAACAAACAAACACCACCTTCAAAATTTATTTACAATAAACTTTTATTTTATAGATAGATATATCAAAAGAAAATGCAAAGAATTTTCTGATTAGAGATCTCAAGCAAATATAGATAGAATTAAAAACGATATGACAGATATCCATGAAATCATGACACAAGTATTTTCTAAAGTCATGGACAGAACTAAAAACCTCAACGGTATAAAAAATATTAATTTCATATACAAGCAAAAAATAAATTCTAATAGAATTTAGATTCTCAAATAATTTTATGAATTTGAAATGAAGAATAAAATAATTAAAATATACCTTCTTTAGACATTTTATTAATATTTAATCGATATATTTTTTAATTTATAAAACTAGAGTTAAACGAAAATGCTGCTGGATTAAAAGATTTTTCTAAGATTGTAAATAATAATTATTTAATTTTTTAATATTTAATTTTTAATTATTTTAATTAATTTAATTAGTATGTCAACAAAACCAAAAACTTAGCATGGCAAATGTGGTTAAAAAAGAATGCAGTTTACTTTATTTTAATAATTTTATTATGTTTGTTTATATTATTTAAAATTATTTGAAAGCTTATATATAATATTATTTAAATTCAAAAATTTAAGAGTACTATTTATATTTTTCTATTTGTTAGTAAAATAAATTTAATTAAAACAAAAAAACAAACAATTGTTTTCCACATAAATTTCTCATATTTATTATTTGCTGTTTTCATTAAATAAAATTAATTGTTATTAATCTTTTTTTTTTATTTTGAAACAAGATAGAATGCTTAAAATTATTAAAATCAAATATTAATAATAAATATATATTTGAATTTAAAAATTTTATTTTAAGAAAAGTAAGGAATTTTACTTTCTATTAAATGGTCTATTGTTTTCTAATTATTTAGATCAATAAAAACAAAAATGGAATAAAAAACATTGATATTTAAGCTCTAAAAATTTTATTGTATTTGAAATATAGTTAAAATAATTATAAATTTTATTTACAAAACTAAAATTATGCTTTTAAGATTCTTGAATCAATAAAAAGTATCAACATTTAACAATAAAATGAAATTAGAAAATTCAATTTATTTAAGGATATACTATTTAAGATCACTTTGTTAAAATATTTCAATAACTAAAAGAAAAATGAAAATTAAAAAATTAAAACTGCATGCTTACGTCAAATAGATTTTAGAAATGCTTAGCCAATGAAATAATAATTTTTTAAAGGAAAATTTTTAACCTTTAAATATTTATTTTTGCTTTTAATTTGAATATTTCAAAAAACACACTATCATTTATTTATTGTTTTAAAAATATGGTCAAAATGTTAATTTATATCTCAAAAAATTTTATTTTTTTGATTTTTCAATTATTTAACAACTTTCGACAATAAATTTTCTTTATGATTAAACAGAAAATTAATAACCACTATAAGGTTTTTAGGTTTGAATAATTTTAAATATAACAGTAAAGTTATTTTTAATATTAATAAATTTATTACATTCAATCATACTTACTAATTTTATTTATGTTTTAACAAAATCTATCAAAAATAAACTTATCATCAAATCAGTTATAAATTTAACTAAAATATTATTTTAAATATAAAGTAATAAAATGGATATTATGAGTTTCAAATTATTTTTTATTATATTTGTTTAATATTTATTACTTTCGTTTATTCGTTTGCTCTTTAAAATTTGAGATATATCTTTTGTGATTATCTTTTTTGACATCTATATATATGTTTAAGATAAAAAAATCAATAAAATTCATAGCTTTTAATTCATCATTTGTAGCTTTAAAGTATGCTCAGTTGAAAATAAATAAATAAATAATTTATTTGTTATAAAAATATTGTATAAATATTATATCAGATTGATTATCAACAAACAAAATTAACACTAAATAAAAAGCAATAAAAGTTAGTAGGAATGAGCGCTGCAGACATTGCATACAAATCCAAAAAGGAAGCATTGATGAACAAAATCACAAAAAGAAAATATGAAGAACTTGAATTCACTTGCGAAGACGAAGAAGCAAACGAAGTATTTAGAAAGCTTATTATTAAGGAAAAGGAAGGATATCCTGAAGAATTTTACCAAATATACACTTTGCGCCATAAGGAGTAAATTGAAAAGTCGAATCTATGGAAATATTTCTACAAAATGCCAAAAGGTTCAATCCTCCATCTTCATTTCGATACTTGCAACGATATTGAGTGGGTAAGCATTTTAAACATTGTCTTTTAAAGCATTTAAAAACACATATTCATAAATATCTTTAGATTTTTGTCTAGTCTTCTCATATTTAAATCGTTTTTTAACTTAAAGAAATTGTTAAATGATTAATTCTAAATAATTCTTTAAAATACATACAGTTCTTTGAGACACTTGCATTTTTGGATACTACATTTTTCAATCCTGAAACAAATACCTTCAAATACTTTAAAAGTAAAGAGGCAGCAGAAAAAGGATTCGAGAGGCTCTCAGAGATAAGAGATAAACAGGTAAACATTTTATTGCAGTTTTTTATAATTGGAATTCATTTTAGGCAAGTCCATAAATGTAGACATTGACAATTTCATGAATTGTAAACAATAGCATGCAAAATACTTTTAAATTATAAAAAGGAAAACAAAGAAGAATGGTTGAAGAACATTAAGACCAGATTAATTGTGATCGAGGATGAAGTAACAGACATGACCAGACATACATGGGATATATTTGAAACAAAAATTTAGGCAATGTGGTAATTAATTCTACACAAAGATTACTTCAAGTAATACCTCTATAGAACATTTGAGCATTTCATTAAAGAAGGAATCTATCGTATAGAAGCTAGAGCTTTCCTCTAGTCTTTATTTGATGATGACCATAAGCAAATTCCATTAGAAGAAGAATACGCCATCTTTTAAGAAGTTATTAATAAGGCCAGAAAAAATTTAAACCCTAACTTTTCTTATAGCATAATTATTTAAGGCTTAAAGTGTTGGGATAATTAATAAGTTGAAAACTACATGGCATAAGCTATTAAGGCAAAGAAGTAATACCCTGACTTTTATATTGGCTTCGACCTTGTATAGGAAGAAGATGGATACAGAATGATGGATTCTTTTGCTCCTGCTTTATTAAAGAAAAAGGAAATTGAAAAAGAATATGGAGTAGAATTACCTTTCTTATTCCATGGTAATAAAATAGAATTCAATTATAATATAGTTTTGTGAGATCAAAGTTAGTAATTAATTAATTTAATATTAAAAAAAAGGTGGAGAAAGTTTGAATTTCTAAGAAAATAGTAATTTAGTTGATTTATTATTGTTGGAAACAAAGAGAATAGGTCACGGCATTAATCTTATTCATCACGCTTACTTGATGGATTATATTAAGAATGATAAGATCTGCATCGAAGTTAATCCCCTCTCAAATCAAATTTTGCGTTACATTTCTGATCTAAGACTCCATCCTGCTAAAACATTTTTGAACTATGGAATTAAGATCTGCATTAATCCTGATGATCCAGGATTTTTCGGTATTAATGGAATCACTTATGATTTCTATACTCTTACATTAGCTTAAGAATTTGGTACTATTTGTTATATTTAGATTATGATTATAAACTAATTAATATCTTTTAATTTATTAGATCTTAAGGATTTGAAGTTATGCTGTTTTAATAGTATTTAATATAGCTTGCTAGAAGAATAACAAAAGCAAAAATTATTGAAATACTGGAACGAAGAATGGGATTCTTTTGTTAAATAATTTTTAGTAGAATAAGCAGAATAAAAAGTATGAAAGCATTAATAATTTAGCTATTTAAATAAATAAAATTATAAATTTTTAAATTATATAATCATAATAAATAAATATACAAAGTTTTATAAGAAAATAATTTTATATTCCAAAATATAATTAATTAATTAATTAATTAATTAATTCATTTTTTAATTTATTAGATAAAAGTTATTTATATTATTTCTTTATCATTTATTTTACAAATTATTTAGTTTCTTTTAACTTGTTTGCAATATTTTATCTTATTTCAAATATCTTCTATTTTAATATACTTTCGCAAGTATTTATGTGTTGTGTTTTTATATTTTGCTCTTTTCGTCTAAGAAGCTCATAGCATTTGTTTGGATGATATAAAAAAATTACATTAATAAAACTTTTATTTTCTTTCTCTAACAAAAAAGTTTTGTTTAAAAAATATTATTGAAATAAAAATTCATTTTGCTAAAAAATTAAGTAAACAATTTTGTAGTATATCATGATGCATTAATTAAATGAAATAAATTTTCAAAAATATATTGTGCATTGCTTTTCGAAATCAGTCTCCCACAAATTGAGTTAAAAATCTTCGTATTTAAATCCATCTTCCTAGCTAATATCAGATTCATAAAAAATTCTCATGACTAGAGAAGTTATTTCATTATCTGTTAGTTTACATTCCTTAAGATTATGGTCAGAATACATCATTTTTATCCCTTAAAATATATCTTTAAATAGAAGTACACCATCATTGTCAAAATCAAAAATTTTAAACATAACTATTCATAATGAAATTAATAATTTTAATAGTTTCAATTTTAAATAGATTTAAAATAATTTTTACATTTTGTTTTAATTCCAGTTGATGCTTAAGGAGAAAATACATTCAAAACCATAACAAATAATTTAAAATCTATAAACTTAATATCTAGTTAATTAATATTATTTTTAAAGCTACTGTAGCTACTTTAAAGCATTACAGTGCTGTTGTCTATTATAACTTTTTTTTACTCTCTACTCTTTAAACTTTCTTTTTTTTGTAATTTTTCTTTGTTTTAACCTTGATTTTGTTGCTTTTCAGTAGGAGTATTTTTAGAATTTTCTATGTCTTATTTATAAAGGAAGGCCTCTAATTAATATTTTAAGTCAAGACCATCTGGTAGGCGTGGCATAAATGGACAATTAATTAATTCTTCTAATCTCATGAATTCATATATTGATAGATTTGACTATGTAATTAGAATATTTTATATCTTAAAGAGAAGAATTTTATCAATATTTACTTCTCTAGGGGTGCCCAAATTAGCAAATTTTTAGTAAAGTGAGTAAAGCTCTTCAGGGGTAACTTTCATTTATCAAAATTTAAATAATTGTTTATCAGTAATCTGAAAATTTTACATGAAGTTTAAACCTATAAGTAATTTATATCATCTAAGTTTACTTTATTTAATGATAACTTTCTTATTTCTAAAAGATAGTCTTTACTATTTGAGCTTAAAAGCTATCCCATTAACAAAAAATGGATTTATTCAAGCAATATTAATTTTACTAAGTGTTAAATAAGTAGAAATTAAGTTTTTTATATAAATTAAATTAAGAATTTCATGTTTTCAAATAATAAATAAGTACTAATTATAATATATTAAACAATATTATAGATACTAGGAATTAGGTGAAAAAAGGAATCTATTGATTTTATTATCTTTGAAATTTATATAAAGAATAATTAATTATTTTTATGTGAAAGGAACTGAACTACCTTTTACTTTAAATATTTTTTGAATATTAAACATATTTTTTAAGCTTTTTTCATATTCTTAAATAATAAAAATAAATCAATGATAAATTTCACTTTATGTTTTAAAGAAAAATTATATTGTAAAAATAAAAATATAAAGTTTTAATTTCTAAATGAATTGATTTTCATATTAAGTGAAAATTTAAAACAAATAAAATTAAAAATTATAGATTTTTCTAGTTTTTATTAATAAAATAATTTCTTTCATTAAATTTAAATAAATTTTTAAAATTTTAGAGTTATTCACTTTAAAGATCTTTATTTATTTTTTTAATTTACCTCAATTTTTAATCTACTAGTTCTTTTATTAATTTTTGCTATAAATTAATTGCATTTCTACTTTATAATATATATTTAAATTAATTTTATTGAAGAGGAATTAGCTTGTATTATTTAAAAATACAATGATTTAATTTAAAGAGAGAGTGAATAAAACAAATACTAAACAAAAAGTATTTTTAAAGTATTACTTGATTCTTGTTTTTGGTATATTTTTTATTTATTTTAATTAAAAAAATATTTGATAAATATATATGCTAATTTCACCCACAAAACAATAATCGAATGCTATTTTTTTATTATTATGGATTAAAATTTACTGTTTTAAGAATAATTTAAAAAAAAAATTCAATTGTTAATTTATTATCACTCTCTATGATGATAATTTTGATTTTATAATTTACTGGATTTTTTTCCTAGAAATTAACTGGGGTTGAAATAAAATTGTGATAGTAAATTTAAAATACAGAAATTAATAATAATTCATTTTTTGATATTATTTTTGTAAGAATTGATAATTTGAAATAAAATAGTAACAAACTAAATATAAAAATTACAAAATGCATCATCACAATACAATTTAGAATATTTCTCAATCGTTTTTAGAAAAGATTGATATATTTGGTATTGGAATAGCAATTAGGTTTAATCATTAACCTACTCATAATACTAAATTTGGAGGTTTTGTTAGTTTAATGATACTAGCAATAATCTTTTTCCAAGTTACTAATGTTTTGATAGGACTTTTTATGTAAAAAAATCCATAAGTTATATAATCTGATGATTATGTTTTCTAGCCAGAACCATTCTAAATAACACCAAAATCATTTAATATTGCTATGGGACTACAAGATGTAAACTTTAATTAGTTTATGGATGAAACAGTTTACAAAATCAAAGCTACACAATAAAATTTGGTTAGATTTTTAAACTAAACAACAAACAAAATGGATTAAAAGTGGACCTATAAAGATTTAAAAATGTCTCCTTGTACTAAACAAAACTTTTAAATAGATGGTATTTAAAATTACTTTCTAGACTTAAATTTTCCGATCATGTATTGTTTTGATACTAATGAAGAGGAAGCCATCATAGAAGGTGAATTTTCTGCTAATGTTTATAGAGGTATTGTGATTGAATTCGAGGAATGTATAGGAGAAGGTTGTGCCTCTAAAGAAAAAAAATCTGAATTCTTGAATAATCCTACTCTGGGAATTTTTTTTTCAAACTCAATCATACAAGTTCAAAACAAAGATAAACCATTTTTGCCAGTCGGAAAGAATCTTTACTGGCTTAATGGTCCAGATTTTCAAAAGTATTTAACATTAAATTTGATGAATACATATGTGAACACTGATTCTTCCTACTATGGCTCATCTTTTAAAAAAGAAAGAATTGTCAATTTCAGCTCTTCTGATGAGCAGGTGATCCCTAAGACTGACAAAGTTATGTTTAGGCTGACTATAGTTTATGAAAAAAACAGAGAAGTCAATTTCTACAGAAAATATATTAAAATAGATGAAGTAAATTTTCAATATAAATTTTAAATTATTTATCTTCAATAATTTATCATAAAATAAAAACCTTAAAATCAGCCAGCTTTGATTAAACCTGACTTTTATTTTCCCAATATATTTTATTTGTAAGTGGTTTTTTACTTTAATAAGTTGATTTCTTATTAATTATTACTAAAATTTTATTTAATCAAAAGACTTACTATTTTCTTGATTAAGCTAATGCTATTTCATCAAAAATTTAAAAAATAAAGTAAAAAGTAATCAAGCATAACCAAGCGGATTAAATTTTTAACTTTAATTATTTTTATGAGTATATTAATATCATTAATATCAAAATATAAAGGCATTTTCATAGCTTGGTGGTATGTTTAACGCCCTTTTATCCATAGGATATATTATCTGCTCTCCTATTTCTTAGCTTGAATTGAATAGAAAATTGCTCAATTCTATATTCAACATTACAGATGGGAAAAATTAAGAAGATAAAAACAAAAAAAATACTAAAAAAAGATTACCTTCCTAAACTAAAAAGGTGAGAGAAATTCTAAGCCCAACATCTTCAAACAATACTTTTAGTATGAACACTCCTAGAAAATAAAATTTACATGATATGATATCAACTGTTTAAAAAAATAATTTACCATAAAATAAATCTCATTCAATCAAAGACGCAGCAAGAGATTTTTTCAAAACACAATTTTCTGAGCTATAGGTCAAGTTTAAAGACTATATTTTTTATTATTTTAGATACTTTAAAAGTTTCTAAACCACTAAATAGAAAATAATTACTTATGGAACTAATAAGTTATATAATCACTTAGATATATTTTATATAGTAAATAAACTGATAGAAGTTGAGAAGTTGAAATACTTATTGCTTAATGAAAATTAAATAAAGCTATTTCAATACCTTCCTCGTCCTGAACTTAAAATTGAAGAAATCGACCTTGACGAAAATATAGACCTGAGTTAAAAAAATGCTTTAATGGAAGAGTAAAATTAGTAGACAACTAATTTTTTTAATTAATTATAATAATCATCTCCAACATCTCAATAATCTACAAGGATAAAATAAAAAACAAATAAAAAACAGAATCAAAATACAAAATTTTCATTTTTTGGCTAAGAGGAAAAGAGTTAACAAGAAAAAGCTTATGAGGCTCAAAAAGCTTTCAACTCTATATACGAAGGGTAAAATAAATCAAATTTAGATGAAAAAATTATTAAAATGCTCGATATAAAGTTAGTAAATCTTTTTAAAGAAAATTCTTTTGATCTAGCAAGTAATAGACAGTAATTTTAGTTGAATCAATTTGAATATAGGCAAGAAGAAAATGATTTATTAAGTCTAAATAGAACTTTAAAAAAATGTTAAACTCAATTTAGTAATCAGACAGATAGATTTGATTTAGATGATATAATAAAGTTATAAAAATCTAATTCAAACACATTAAATAATAGTTTTAGAATTCAAAACCCATCGTCCAAAACTTAAGACTAAAAGGAAAATGAGGAATCTGATAAGATGGATTATATCAAAGAAAGTAATTTAGATTAAATAGAAGACTTAAAATCAATTTAGTAAACAGATCAATAATATTTTCCTTCGCATATAGAAAAATAGCATAGGATTTAAGCAAAAAATTTAGATGAAGATGATACATGAAAATAATATTTATTTTTATATTTAATATGAAATATATTTCTGAAAAAATTTTTAAAATGATAATGAATTTGTATTAACAATATTTTATTATATTTTTATGCAATAAATTTTTTTTTTTTTCATTTAATTATTATTTTTACCTTTATTTCTTTGATACAATTTAAGTGAACACTTTTATTTTGAATTATTATTAAAACAGAAAACATAAAACTTACTTGATTATTTATTTTTATTTCTTATTTTAATTAAGTCATAAAATTTAATCAAAAAATGTAATAAAAATATATTTGTTATTTAGGTTTAATTGAGTGACTTATTTAATGAGATATATTTTATTTATTTTAAAATGAAGATAGATTTATCTTTTTAAATCGATTATAATTTAAATTAAAAAATTTTTTATTTAAAAACCAAAAGTTTTTTTTTAAAAAAAATCTTCTTAATGACATATTTAATGTGGAAATTAGTATTAAAGTTTCAAATTCGTAATAAATAAATTATATTTAATTATCTTTATTTACTTGAAGGATTCTTTAGCATCAAATAAAACAATAATTTATAAATAAAAAATATCATAAAATATTAGCTAAAGATTTAGATGATTATAAAATATGAAAATTTCATTTATTTTTAAATTTAATATGAAATATTTTACCAAAATTTTTTAAAAATAATGAAGTATTTTTATCAATTTTGTTTGTTAGATTTGATGAAAATAATATTTTATATTCCTTTAATTATTATTTATAAATTAAAAAATATTTTTATCAAATTTAAGCAACAAAAATATTCCTTTTGGTTCATAAAAGCCACCTTAATTTCAGTTTAAATACCTTATTTAATTGGAATTTTTTGCATATGTTATATGTAAACCCATTTTTATTAGGTGTTTATTTTATTTATAAATATTTTTTTTCAAAAATACTTTTAAATTAAATAGTAAAATTTAATTAATATTTAATAAAAAACTGTTTTTATACATATTTATACAAAATTTTTTTATTCAAGATAATAATAAATATCTATTAGATATTGAACAAATAATAATGATTTTATAAAAAAGGAATATGTTTAAGAAATTAGATAAATTTTTTATTTTTTGAGTCATAATTTATATTAATTTTGTTTAATATTATTAAGTATCTTACAAATGTAGTAAAGTCATTGGTTTTAGAGAGAAATTTAGCTTAAATAAAAAGGAAGAGGTTGTCATCTAATTACAGATGAAATTAAAAATCAAATAAAAGAGATTTAAAACTTCAAAATCGGTAATGCAACATTATTTTTAAAACATACAAGTGCTTCTATTAGCTTGAATGAAAATTTTGATCCTGATGTAAGATTAGACATGGAAGATACTTTGAATAGAATCGTCCCAGAAGGTAACAAATTATACAGACATTCTTCTGAAGGAAAAGATGATATGCCTGCTCATGTAAAATCTTAACTAATAGGTGTTTCTTTAACTATTCCAATTACTGATGGAGACTTTAACTTAGGAAGTAATCTAATTTTATTTTATAAAAGTATTTATTCCATAAATATATTTAATTAATTAAAAAGCATGGTAAGGAATATATTTAAATGAGCATAGAGATGGAAAACACTCTAGAACATTAGTAGTAACTATAAATGGTTAGCCAAAATGATATTATAATATTTGGTTTATACTTAAAATATATTTAAAATGTTAATAGTCAACTCTTTAAAAAATTAGCTAGTTCTATCTATTTATACATATAATTTTAGCAACCTGTTTTTAAAGCAATTATAGTTATTTTTTATAAGTGATAATCTAATAGCCATCTATAAAATAAGTAGAAATATATTAAATGCAAAAATACAAATTTTATTCTATAAAAATTTTAAAATTAAAAAAAATATTTTGAAATTAATATTTGAATTTATTCACATTAAATATTATGTTAAACATAATCATAATTTAATTTATAAATATAAAAAGTAGGAAAAAAAATAGCATGAACACCATGTTTAAATTTCATTATATTTTTCAATTATTTTAATTATTATTAAATATTTAAAATTATTTTAATGCTATGACAAGTCAATTTGAATTTTTAAACAAATTTGAATGATAAAAATATATATCATTTTTATTCAATAATTTTCATTATTTAATTAAAACAAATAAAAACTATTCTTTATTTGAAATATTTATTTTATTAACTCTTTTTTAATATATTTCAATAAATTATAAATTACTGAAATAAATAATAAAATATAAATAAACAAAATAATTTTAAATATATTTATTTTACTTTTATATTATTCTAAATTATTATTAAAGCTTATATTTTTTTGAAATTTTAGATTTATTAGAATTACAAAAGATAAATAAATATCATTGATTATAAACAATTTTTTATTAATTCCAAATCAAAAAGAAAAATCAATACCCATCACAGAATTATTTTAATTTTTTAAATTTAATTCTTTGAAAGATTTTATTAAAAAAATAATTCTTAATTATATTTAACAATCAATATAAGAATTAAAAATTAAAATTTTATTTTTAATTAAGTAATTTATCATTTTCATTCTAATTAAAGTTAAGAATATTAGAAATTTTTTTTATGAAGATTTAAAATAAGTAAAATAGTATTTAATGGGTTTTGAATATAGATAAATTAGATAAAATATTTGATAGTTTATTGATAGAACCAATCTATTTTATTGATAAATATATTTACTAATTTAACTTTAATATTGGTTGATTTTTCATTCTTTAGTTATTAAAAATAGAATAGTAGTAGCTTTTCAAAAAAAATTAGAGCATCATAATATTATTGATAAATTAATAAATAATTAGCTTACTTCAAAAAATAATAATTATAAATTAGTTTTCAGAATGATTTCTTAAAAGACTTTAATATTAACATTAGCTATTATAGCGATTTAAGTTTTAGCAGCATCAAATGATACTAGCCTTATATGTGGAGGAGCTACTGACACTAACTCTTATAATAGAGTAATTTAATTATAATTAAAATGACATATTTGCTTGTTTAAAATAACAAATGATTAATTGATTGATTATCTTTTAAATAAAGGGAGATACTGCTATTATTTGCGTATAAATCAAAGGTTTAGGCAAAAAAATTCCATTTTAAGTGACAGTCGATTAATATGCTGGTTTAAATCTTAAAGGAAGTAAATAAATTTAACATAAAATTTAGTGATTGATAGTAATTTATTTATAAATTTGTAAAAGCTTATAATACAATAAAAAGCTTAGCTAACTTTAGTACTTAAGCATAAACAGCTAATGGATTCTAGCTAGTTGTTTAATCTTTTTAAAATTCAATTTAAAGTGATGCACTTGTAATTAATTATTTAGATTTTAAAATAATCATTCATTTTGGTTTATAATATTGGAAATGTAAATATAATATAGACATATATTAGATAAGATACACCAACTGCTGGTTCAACAACTACACCCTATGTATTCCCTATATTTTCAGCTGTTATTTAAATTACAAATGGTAAAATAACTGGAATAGATTGGGATAATGGTTGCTGGAATGGATCAAGTCCAGTAAAATTTATTTTTATGAAACTTTTTTATTTTAGCTTTTGACTATTAGTAAAATATAATTATTTTTGAAAATATTTTAGACTGTTTGCAAATAACTCACTGTAAGTACACTTGATTCTAAAGGTAATTAAACCACTTATAGCGAATCTAATAACTATATTACAGACTGTACAAATAATTCAACAGACGGTTCTTGTGATCCTAAGGTATTCAATCATTTATGATAATTTAATAAAAATCTATTATATCTTAACACTTTTTGGCTTACATTTAACAATTTGTGTTTAAAATTGATATTTTTTTGTAAAGGTATATATATCCTGGATGGGTACAGATTCTAACGGTAACTACATGACATCAGCTGGACTAAGAATGTCAAGATTTTAATCATATTCAGTAGGAGAATTTTATCAAAGCTCAAAATCAGCTTTCAGTGGAATATCTATTTGATTAATAAAATGCTTAAATAATCAATAAAATTTAAAAATAATAGAGTATTGTTCCTAATTAATTTATAAGTTTATGTATTTTATCCATTAAGAATTGTTTATTTATAAGTTAATAATACTTATTTTTTTAATAAAAAAAAAAAATTAAATTTCAATTTTAAGATTGAATTTATTCTCTTTATTTAACCAAATAAAATAAATGAAATATGGTAACTAAAATCATATGCTGGACTAAGAATGTCAAGATTTTAATAATATTCAGTAGGAGAATTTTATCAAAGATCAAAATCAGCTTTCAGTGGAATATCTATTTGATTATTAAAAATGCTTAAATAATCAATAAAATTTAAAAATAAAAGAGTATTGTTCCTAATTAATTTATAAGTTTATGTATTTTATCCATTAAGAATTGTTTATTTATAAGTTAATAATACTTATTTTTTTAATAAAAAAAATAAAATTTTAATTTTAAGATTGAATTTATTCTCATTATTTAACCAAATAAAATAAATGAAACAAAAATAATAATTTTTTTAATTAAATACTTTTCAGCTCAAAAAATAGAATTTATTTTTTAAGTTTATTTTAAAAAAATAAATCAATCAATTATCTTTTAATTTAAAACATTATAAAACAAAAAATTTAGTAGATTGAATCAATAGCAATTAAAAGGAGCGAAACTAACTAGGTGAAAATTAAAAGAAAGATAAATTAATAGTTATTTTCCAGAAGAAAAAAATGTATTTCTAAAATTAGTTTAAAATAATTATCTTTTCTTCACTTCAAGTAGAATTTGGTTTAGTTGGTTAAATTTTATTATCTCTCTTAACTTATTGAAAGAGTGATATTTTATTTTTAATATTTAAAATAATTAAATAAATCAAAAACAAACTAAATTGTGGTGGGTTTTTTAAATTTTCAGATAAATTTAAATAAAAGTCAAAAGTACTATATTTTAACATTAAAAACTGCGAATTTTATTTGTGTTTTATATAATTAATTAAATCTAAGGCGTTGGAATAAAGAATTGTTTTCGAGGCAAACAAAAAAAGTTCTCCTCTTTGCAGAGGAGAGCTTCGACTTTTGTCGATAACTCAAAACCTTGGGGAAAGTCCTCCTGACTCTGATAGAAAGTATCAGTTTTAACTAACGGGGGATTTCATCTTTCTGTCGAAGAGGGTTTTTACCCAAAAAGTAAACACCTGAGACTTAAGAGAGATGAGGTCTTCTTATCAATAGCAAAGTTATACAATTCTAAGAACACAAGGAGGCTCACTTTATTCCAACGCCTTAGATTTCACTTCATTCTTGATTTGTCTTTGATGGCTTCTAAGAACACACTCCTTCAGCAGAGTCTTCTCAATACTTTGAACCTAAGATATGCATTTAATAAAACTATAATGAAGAAATGAAAAAATCTATTCCTTATCCCCAGCAAAATGTGCTTTCATTCTAATACCCACCCCCTCCCACCCCTCCTGAGAGCATCTTTTGCTGGGGTTTGGAAATTTTTTTTCATTTCTAAAAAAGTTAAAATCTTTGCATGTAAGAACCTTTATTTTATTTTTTTTAATTGATTTAAAATGCAGCCAAAAGCATGGATAATTGGATTTCAGCAAATATTCGTGAAGATTTCTGCAGAAATTGAAGTAAATAGCAGTTTATGAATTAAACGACATTCATGATGTTTAAATCACTGGCCTGCGCTTACATTTTTCTATTTATCAATCAATCATTTATAATGATTTCTTTGTCATACTGAATTTATTAATTTTATTTTCTAAAAAAAGATATTATCTTCTTTGGTTGACGAGACCCTATTGAATACTTTTTGGTTGCCTATAAGACGATTCTGGATTTTTAAAGTTAAGGTAAACAAACAAACATAAACTTTTTAAACAAAATAATACACTAAAGCAAATTACACTCTGGATAATTTTATACTATATCATTATCCCTTTTTGAGTTTGCAATAGAAAAAGAGGATATCCAAGATTTGAACATTAAATTGTTCAAAATAACTTCACCCCTCTAACACCTATTTCAAAATAAATAATCAAAGAAAAAAATTGATTAATTAATTTGTATTTTTATTAATAATTAGAGATTAAATTCATGGGAAACTAATGTAAAATTTAGAAGAAAAAAAATGCTCAATCTTCCTCAAATGCCATAAATCATAGGTAATTAGCTAACTTCATTAATTATCTTTAAAAATATATGTGTCTAAAATAAATCTAACATCTAAATCAAATCCGATGATGACAAAAATGCACCATTCATAAATTAAGTTGTTGAGAACTTTAAAACCCAAAACCTGTCTGATTCATTTATATAAAAATGTGTGAGATAGATGATTAGCAAATATCAATTATTTATTAGTTTAATTTGATATTTCAACATATTAATAATTATTTTTAAAATAAAAGATTGATGATAAATTAGAATAGTTTCATTAAATTAGCTGTGCTCTTCATCATTTAGCTAATAATAATAAAAATATTTTATTTATCAAACTCAATATTTATGGTTATACATTTTTACATATTTTCCTTTGTTTCTACTGTTAATTTTAAAAAATGAAATTAATTGATCATATTCTTCTTTATATTTTTAATTTTAAAATAAAAACTAATAAATAAAACAATTAAATATGAAATATACATATCACAAAAATTGCATTCTTCAATACATTTTTTTAGTTTTAGAGAAGAATTATTTTTTTATAAAGCCAAAATTTTTATCTATATTTTAAGTAGTTTCTGATTTTAAAATCTTATTAATTAAATAAGTATTATAAGCACAAATGAGTTGTAATTATTTAATTGTGTTTAAAGTATAGATAGTGCTTTTTAATTTTATAACATAAATATTGGATAAATATCTTTAGAAATATCTGATATGAATGAGTTCTTACTTTTTTTATCATAGTAAAAATTATATTAAGATACCAGATATACAAAAATAAGATTTTAAAATGTATAAAAATTATGAAAAAAAATCTAAATAGTATCTAAAATTTAAGTTGTTAAAATAAATAAATTAGATTGAAATAGTAACAAGCAAAATGGTGTATTCATTTTAATTTATAAATAAATACATAAAGATTAGTTGACATTTAAATATCATATATTCTAAAATGAAAATATTTTCCAAATAAATTTATTTACTAATTAAAAAAATATTTGTTGAATTAAATTAAATTTTAACCTCATTTCAAGTTTTTTATTTTAATTTGAATTAAATTTTTAAAAATTAATAGAAGAAGAAACTATAATTAGTTATATTCATAATTTAATAGAATGCTTATTCATAATAAATTAGCACAAAATATATTTTTTAATCAATAAAGAAAGATCAAAAATTATTTTTGTTTCTAATTATTAATTTTATTAATATAAACAATACTTTATATTTCAAATAATTTTAAGAATCACCTCTATTAATATTCTTCTTCTTTAAGAGTATTTGCATATTCTCCTTGGATTTGTTTATATAATAATATTCTGTTTTAATATAAATTAAAAATTATTTCATCAATTTTAAAAAAGAAAAATATTTTAGTTTTTATTTTAATTTCAAATAAAAAAAGTAGATGATACTAATAAAAAGATATTTGTTAATATATGAATGAATATTTGATTATTAGTATTATTTAGAAAGATCTTTTGGAAATAATCCAAATTTTTTGAGATACTATTTTTATTAATATTTTTATCAGGAAAAGATTATAAAATAGAACATAAAATGTCGATTAAAAGAGGCATGCAAAGAGCATGGCACAAATTCTTATAAACTAACTTTAATGTGTTCATGAGAAGTGGATAGAACTTAGATAAATAGAGAAAGTATTAACACATTGAAATTCAGCAACAATTTTAAGATATGGAAAATGAGAGAAAGAAATAAAGATTACTTTTGATTGAATACAAGAAAAAAATGAAAAAGAAATTAATTGAGCAATAATTAGATTATTTGAATAAGCAAAAAGAATTGGGAATTATCAATTCAAAGGGTTATAGTGAAGAATAGAAGTAGTTATTAGAGGAAACTAAAAAATTAGAAGGTATTAAAACTGCCGAATAATTTGATTCAGTTGAGTAATATGCTAAGGAGATGATGAAAAAATAGCTTGAACTAAAGAATGAAAATGCTTAAACAATTTATAAGATAACATCAGACAAAGATGAAGAAGATTTAAAAGAAGAATTAATGATTGCACTCTCAAAAATTAATAGTGAACTAGAGCAAATAAAAGTTACAAAATAGGAATTAGAGCAAGTTAATACAAAGATTGAAGAATTAGAACCTGATTATATTTTAATTACAGGAATGAAAAAACAATTAGTACTCAATCAAATCGCTTATTATGAATTCTAGTCTAGAAATCTTTAAGGTTTTAATTTACACCCTGAAACAATGAAAGCTATTGAAAAAATACATTATGATGTTGATCATAATATTCCTGTCAAAAGAGAAGTAATTTAATTATAATAAACACAAATTTTGATATGATCAAATTAATACTTCATAGATAGCTATTTATATTGCTTTTATATATTAAATAAATAAATAAATTATTTAAAAAGTTGTTATTTGAAGTATGTCCAGAACTTTTTGAAGCAGAACTTGAGACAATGGAAAAAATTGAACGTGATAAAATTTTAGCTAAAAGACCTAGACTTGATAGTGTAAAATTTAAGTACAAAGTTTAAATATTTTAATCAATCTTTTATATATTTTAAAGAACGATTCTTCAGTCATTAAGGTTACTGAAAAGTATCCTAAGCATGATGAATTACCAAAGCCTTTGCATCGTAAGATATTTTCATATAAAATATGTTGAATGCTTTAATTGTATTTTTATTAATTAGCTCTTGAATAAATCAAAGTTGATGAGTACGAGATGAGAGATTTTGTTTATAGAAAATGTGGTTAATTTGCTTAAAAATGGGCTGAACATATTTATATTGTAATTAATTAATCATCATTGCTTTAATTTCCAACAAATTATTTAAAAAATAATAAAAATAGAAAAGAGAAGCTGGATTTGCTAATGTTCATTTAGTTTTGGAAAACATTGAATTGAAACCTGAAGAAAAATTAACAGAAGAAGAGAAAGAATTGAAAAAAGATTTGTAAGAATTGAAAAAAATAAATTAAGATTTTGCTCATTTCTGTGAGCTTCTCAAGGAAAAAGCAATTCAAGAACAAAAGAAATTATGTAAATTCTAAGATTGATATTTAAATATTTATTCAAATTTTTTATCAAAATTTAATAGAAATTCCTGAATTTGTCAAGTAAAATAAAAAACTTGAAGCTGCTTGGATTGAGAAATGGGAAACTTTAGTTGGAAATTCATATGAATTTAGTGAAGTAAAAAAAATTTATTTCATTAATTAGAATAAATTATATTTTATTTTGAATTAATTAATAGAGTTTGTTAATTCCTGACAACTCAAACACTAACGAAAATTAATTTGATCACATACTACAAGAATACAGAAGAGCTGATATTAAATCACTTATTGAATAATGTAAGTTTTAATGATTATCAGAAAAATAAGATAAAAATATCTGTTTTTTTAATTTAAAGCAAACGAAGAATATAAAAAAATTGTTGGTGGTGATGAACCAGTAAGAGCTAGAGACCCCAAAGAAAAAAATGTTAATTTGATATAGAAGCTTAATATTTTATCTGAGGTAATGAATTAATTACCAGAAAGAGAAGAAAGAAAGCTTATTCCTCAATTTGTTGGTTAAGTTACCTATTCAGATCATCCTGAAGAAAAAAGAATTTTACTCACTGAAATGACAAAAATTTTATTCTTAAACAATTAAAATCCTAAGAAAGTAAAAATTTTAATAAAAATTATAAATATTTAAATCTTATAAAATAATACAATAAAAACTAGTATAATGTTGAGTTTTGGGCTAATCATTTCAATTTAGAGCCTCAAAAGCTAAGAAACATATTCAATTATATCTCTTATGCAATTCCCGATGTAACAAATGAAAAAGAAACTGGAAAAGTCTTCCGTTTTATTTATGAAAGTTGATGGCTCACTCAATTTACCTTACCCATTTCAAGTTTATTAGAATATACTATTAAAAATGTATAATCTTAGTATTTTATATTCTGTAAATTATACCAATATTCAAAATAATTTAAAATATAAAATATTAAACAAACAATCTTTTTGTGCTCTGAAATAAGTTAAATTTTCAGATAAATAAAAACTAAATTCTAGTAATATTTTTTCTCAATTTTATTTAACTTCATGCTAGTTCATTGAATTTTTACAAAAATTAGTAATAAATAAATATGTATCGATAATTTATTAAATTGTGTTGCTTAATTAATAGTGTAGCAAAAATCTACTTTTTATTAAAAACTATGTTTCAGCAAAAAATTAATTAAACTAAAAAATTGAGTGAATTTTTCAAAATATTATTAAATTTTTAACAAAAAATAATTTAAATCAACAAAAGTCAATTTTTTCTGGAAAAATTTTTCTAATTTATTTGTATTTTTAATTTAGTTTTAGATTAAAACTGTTTTTATAAAGTTAAATTTACATCAAATTAAAAATATTTAATTTCAATTAATATTTATTACTTTAAATTACTTACTTAGATGTTTTTACTATGAAATTAAATAATTAGGTTAAAAAATTAAGTTTTATTAAACATTCTTTACTTCTTAAAAACGTGTTTCATAAATGGGAATCCTAAATTTGACTTTTAAATTTTAAATTATCAAAATTAAACAGTCAACTTAATCAGTAATTTGCTAATTAGCAATTATTTATGTATAGACTTTATAATAGTGCCTACACGTGGTTTTTTTTTGTTATATTCTATATTATGCAAAATAAATTTATTTTTATAAATTATGAAGTTTTTATTTCTTTTTGGAGATTTTAAATAATATAAATATTTAAAATAAACTATTGATGAATAAAGAAAAGCTTTTTGGGATTATTTTATTTTCTCTCTGCTTAATTTGGATTATTATTGATGCAATACTCAAAGATGATCTATTTAGATGGAATTACACTTTTACTTATTCTCTTCAACAAGGATAATCTAATCCTTAGCTTCCAAAATATGTATTTTTTAATATAATGTCTTTTATTGGTGAAGGAGAAATCACGCTGTTAATTCCTCTACTTGGATATATATTTTTCCCTAATAAAATTTAATCTTTAAAATTTTTAATAACTTTATACATGTCTAGTTTTATTATGAGCTTATTAAAAATATGGTATCATGAACCTCGTCCTTACTTTATTTATACTGATTTGATAAGTATTGGCTGCGAACAAGAATTTGCTAAGCCTTCAGGACACACATTAGGATCTACAGTTTTTTACTATCTAGTTTTTGATTCACTTATTAACAGAAAATTTTTTATTGTTTCTAAACAATCAGAAAAATCATAAGAAATCATGAATTTACCTAAACTCTATCAATAAAAACTAAATAGTAATAATCCTTAAAATTCATAACAAATTATTGATGAAGAAAAAAACATTAAGTAAATTTAAATTAATTTTATAGTAAAAAATATTTTTTTTTAAATTCATTTATAAAATTTTAGATAAACTATTAACGATGGAAATTGCACTCTAATTGTAGGCAATGAGTAACAGAATAATGATATAGGAAAAGAAAGATTTATAAATAGTTTTATATATCTGCCTATTTATTTGATAGTTGTCTTTTTAATAGGATTTAGCAGAATAATGCTAGGTGCTCATTCCTTTGGTTAAGTTATTATTGCTTGGGTTTACGCTACAATATTTCTTATACTCTACAGATGGAAACTTGAAATAATTTTAGATAATATTCTGAATGATGTCACATATAAAATTTTTTTTAAAAAATAAGAATTGATAATTTACTTTTTGAAAATAAGCTTAATCTACATAACTTTACTTTTAATAGGAATTTTATCATACTATTTTATAAATGCCTCAATATCTGATTATGACAGAAATAAGTACAAATAAAACTTATTAAAGAATCCTAATTGCACGAAATCTTTTGAAGGATATAGATTTTTAACTAATGGATGCCTATTGGATTTATCTTGTATAACATTCTCTTACAGTCTGATTATTAATGCACTATTGACTTAAGGAAGATACAAGCCTGAACTCTGGACTTAATCATACAAACCTCTCAGATTTTTTAAAAAAGTAAGCTTATTTTAAATTTATGAAATAAATTCAGTTTATGCAATTAACAAAAAATTAAAAATAAATAAATGTATTTAGGTTTTTAGAATAATATTAACATTACTTCTTTTTGGAATTCCTTATTATTGCTTTAGATACTATTAAATTGGAAACTTATATCTTGATTTATTCTTTAGAGACAACTTAAAAAACTTCTTTATACCTTTATTTATAATCAAATTGTAACCTTATTTATTTAATATTTTGCATCTTGAGATTGATGGAGATTATCTGAAAACCCTACCAAAATATGATTTGCTGCATTTTTCCTTAGTTTCTTTTCAAGGAATTAAAGAAAAAAATTGAAATATTCATAATATAAAATATAAATATTAAAAATGTATATAATAATTATTAATTAGTTATGAATATTCTGAGTGTATATATCTTTAATGATTAAAAGGTTTTAATAAATATTATTCTATTTCTATAATTAATATTATAATTAAAATACTTCTGTTGAATTTAAGAAATTTATAAATTCTAAAAAAAATATCTCAAAGTAAAACATACTAACGAATTATTTCATTCAAAATTAAAAAATCCTGAAATCAAAAATAATTTATAACTCTTTATTTTAAAAGAATATTTATTTTGAATATATTTAATCTTTAAATCTCTTTTATTAATATAACATCATTATCTAAGCAAATTTAAAACGAAGTTCGAAGTTAGTTATAGAATAATTTAACTACTACGTTTGTATGCTTTGCTTTATTCTATTACATTTAATTTAAAATATCTTTCAAACGTATCTAGTTAGCATTTTCTAACTCATAACTTATAACTAATTAATTAATATGTAAGTCAACATAAAATTTCATTTACAAATTTACAGAATAATTGAATATTCAGATTAATATAATGTTTCATTTAAAAATGGTTAAAAGTTTAAAATATTAATTTAATAATTGATAAACATTATTTTTAATACTTTATTTTGGATTCTTTATTCTATTACACTTAATTTTTAAAAAATTAAAAAGTATCTTTTTTAATAACATTTTCTGACTCATAACTTATAACTTGTATTTACGTTAATATAAAATTTTATTAACTCTTGGGCAAATTAATTTAATAATTTACTTTAAAAATGGGTAAAAGTTTAAACAATTAATTTAATAATCAACAAAACAAATTCATTTAATTTTAGAATCCTGATTTTTTTGAAAACCAATAATAGTCAATGAAATTTAAAGTATTATAATATGCCCTTGCGATCTGCAGTATAGTTTGGATTATATTAGATGCTATTTATGGTGAATAATTTTTTAAGTGGAATTACTCATTTGCTTATTCGATGCAAAATGGAGATTCTGATCCTTCTCTTCCAAAATATAAAATATTTACAATTATTTCTTATCTAGGACAGGAAGAGCTAATCGCTATCTTTGTTTTATTCGGATTTATATTTTTTGCAAACAAGATTTAGGCTCTTAAAATCTTAATAGGAACTATGATTACAGTCTATTTAATATGTCTTCTCAAGTTATGGTATAAAGATCCACGTCCCTATTTTGTTTACCCTGATTTGCAGGGTATAGGATGTGATCCTGAATTTGGTAAACCATCAGGCCATGCTTTCATAACATCTGTTTTATTTTATTTGATGTTTGATTCGTTTGTTAATAAAAAAATAATCAACCCTACTAATGCCTAAATAGATGATTAATAAATATATAAAGAAACTAAAGTTGTTGATATTGAGATGATACCACAAGATTCGTAAATATTTCTTATTATCGACCAAACAAAAATATAATTATTACAAATTTTTACTTTTAATTAATTTTTATCGTCAAGAATATATTAAGATAAATTATCATTATAAATTAGCAATAATTCTCCACAATTGTAAGGCCAGAGTTTAGGAAGCAAGAAAATTGTATATTAAGAAAGATTTCTAAACAGCTTTATATACTTTCCAATATATCTGATTTTAATTTTCCTTGTAGGATTTGCAAGAGTTATTTTAGGTGTACACTCTTTTAACTAAGTTTTACTTGGATGGGCTTATAGTTTATTATATATTTTATTTTATAGATTAAAATTGGAAATATTTATTGAGAACAGCCTCTAAGTAGTTATTGAAAAAAAATTTAATAATGACAAATAAAAACTTAAATATTTATTTTTTATCACAGTCATTTATATTATTTCGATTGCTTTGGCAATGATCTTTTATTATATAGCTGATAATTAGCTTACTTAAAACTAAAAAAATGAATACAAAGCTAACTTTATGAGTCACTCATATTGTTAAGACTCTTTTGATGCCCATACATTTTTAGCTGGAGAATGTATTTTAGACTGTGCTGTACTTTCTTTAATTTATGGAGTGTATGTTAGCTGCATTTCTCTAAAGGGAACATACTAACCAGAATTATGGAACTAAAGCTACAAAAATCTAAAGCTTTCTAAAAAAGTAAATAATTTTTAAAAATTTTTTATTGAATTAAAAAATTATTTATTTAAATCAGATTATAAGAGTAATTATAACTTTGGTCTTAGTTGCTATTCCTTATATTTTATTCTCCCTTTATAAAATTGATAATTAATATCTATATTTCCTTTTCAGAAGTAACTTGAAATATTTGTTCGTAGGATTATTTCTTATTAGATTACAACCTTTTGCATTTAAGATAACAAAACTAGAAATCGATGGTGATTTGCTAAAACTCTTACCTAATTCAAACTGATTGATAATAATAATTTTGGAATCAATTAATGATATATATTGTAATTTGAAATATATATTGAAATAGCTTATTTTCAATTAATTGACTACTAATGATTTTAATCTAAAAAAAAACACAAAAAATAATTCTGATAAAATATTAAATAATAGATACTGAAATAATAAATTCTCTTGCTTTTTATATTAAATTTATGCTAAATTATTAAATTCTAAAATAATAGCACAGTTTAACTTTAATGTAAAATTGCAAAGAAAAAATTGTTTCTGTGATTTTTTGATTTACAGTATAATTTTAGATTAAATTCAAACATGTATCTATATATTTTTGAGTTCTTATTATTGGATTAAATAAGGTTATTATTAGTATTTTTAATTTTATTTCTTATAAATTATAATGGAAAGAACAGAATACTAATAAATATTAATTTTATCCAGTATTTTGAACAGTTAAAATAAAATTTTATTGTTATTTAATTATAGATTAACATATCAATCTTAGTCTTGATCAGTTAAATATTAATTTTCTTTAATAATTTATAAAATGGCCGAATATTTCTAAGCCTTTTTAAATTTGAAATTAAAATAAATGAAATGTTTTTTAAAAACTTAAGCTTTTTATTTTAATCATATTATAAATGAAATATAGATTCTTGGTTTATTTAGATATCTGATTATTTATTAAATATAAATTCAGACTTTGTTCTATTAAAATAAAAGATTGATAAAGAATAGTCTAAGAATTTCTTACAGTTTTAATAGGTATTAATACTATCTCTGCAACTTTAAAGATTTTAAAATCAATTATCTTTTAGATACCCTATATTTGAAAGTAATATTTAAATGAATCCAAATAGTCATCCTTAATTTTAAAAACCTCCTGCTTCTATGAGTTAACAGAAAGTCAAGCTAAATTAATCTGTCTCATTTTATAGATTTATTATTGGAGGTTTAGGATATGGAGGAATAGATTTTATAAGTAAACAAATATTTGGAGAAGGAAAGCACTATGAAAGTCTTAAAAAATATGAGTAATAAACAAATGATAAACTTAAAAATGTAGAATTTTCTAAAGAAAAATTGCTTGAAAAACTAGATTAACATGAGTAGCTTAAAGTTTTGTAAGAATAGCTTTAAGAATCTCAAAATTCTAGCACCATTTTAAAGAACTTTATTTATGGATTTTTAGCAACTAATCTAGGATCAATTTTTCATGCTAAGCTAAATAACCATTTTAAAACAAAAGGCTATTCATCTAACAAAAAGATGTTTTTATCTCCCTTCTCATTTTTGCCTTATTACCTTTTTTGTGGTATTTACGATAAACTACCATTAGAAGAATTAGGATCTAGAATAGCTAAAGATTTTCTACCTTTGTTTGTAATTCGCTTAACAGGAGATATTATCAGATATAAAATCTTTTCAAAATATGAGTAGTAAGCAATAGCTTCTGGAAATTAATTTATTAATAATCCTAGACTTTTTGGATACCATATGCTACTAAGAGGAGTTTATATCTTATCAATGGACACATTTTATCATTAAAGAGTGCAAATTTTTTGAATCTTTAATTATAATTAGATTTTATTTATAAATTTCGTTTAATATTCATTTTTATATTATTGGTTTTAATTGGTATTACTTTATTTTGCTTTTGAAATTAATATTTTGCTAAATACTAGATAGACATAAATCTAATTTTTATTTTAATATCTAAAAATATAAAATTATATTATCTGTATTTAGTAATAAATAATTCTCATTTACAAAATTATTTTTATTTTTTTATTTTTAAAACTTTTAAAATTTTTTATTTTTGTCAAATATAAATGATATTTTATCGCTAAATAAATAAGATTAAATGGTAAATATAAAAAATATATAAATTAACAAAGTTTTATTTAACTAGATTGCTTATTGCTAGAAAATTGTAATAATCAATAAAAAATAATTTATAATAGAGTAATTAAAAAAGATAGTTTATGGTATCGTTAAAGGATTTAGTGTATTAAATATAATAATATATATTTTAAAATTATTTTCTCTATTTAATTCCTTAGTAGATTCATATATTTTAATTGAAAAATAAATAAAAGATGAAGGTGAAATTGCATTAATTTTGTTTGAATTATGTTTGATTTGAAAAAAATACAATCTAGAAAAAAATTGTTTTGGATAAACTATTATCAAAAATTATAAGAAAATATATGAACCCTCAAAAATAGATAAGCATTTAATTATATGATAAAATAAGTAACTTCTAATCAAGCAAACAAGATAAATAAAATGCAATTTGATTTAAAAGAATAAATTTGGGTTTTCTAATAAAAAAAGAATCATGAATGAATGAATTATTAAATTCGATAGATGAGTGAATATCTTTAATTTTATTTGATAGAAGTCTATGATTAAAATATCTGACGGAATTGAAATAGATAATTTGATTTTTAAAAATTGATAAGTTAGTTAACATTTATCTATTATTTACATATTTTCGCACTTTAATATGCAAGATATTTAATTGATATAATAAAAATAGATCTCACTTTAAATTATTGAACAAATTTTGTTTAATTTGATTTATAGATAAGCAAATAAATAAAAGTTGAATTAATATATTAAGCAAGTAGTTAATAGCATGGGTTTATAATTCAAAGCAGAATATATCATTTTAGTTATTTGTGCAGTATGGATAGTTATAGATGCTATAATTGCACACACTTTATTCGAAGCTAACCATCATGTAGCTAAATACCTTTAAGGTGGAGTTTAAAATATTTCTGCACCAAGATTTATGGTTTTTAGAATAATTACTTAATTTGGATATGCTCATATAGTAGGAATATTTATAGCAGGTGGCTTTTTCTTGTTCCCAAATAAAATATAAGCATTAAAAGTTCTTATTTATACACTTTTTTCTTCTTATATTCTTTCCTTGCTAAAATTGATCTATCATGAACCACGCCCTTACTTTGTCTACCCTGATTTATAAGGAATAGGATGCGATACTGAATTTGGTAAACCATCTGGCCATGCAATGGTTACCTCAGTTATGTATTTTATACTTATTGACTCTTTTCTAAACAGAAAATTCTTTGATTTTACTAATTCTATCAATTTTGTTTCTGGAAAGAGAAGCTCAGGCCATGTAGAGTTAGTTGAAGTAGTTATTATCGACAAGTAAAATATTATGTTTAAACTTATTTGTTTTTTGGTAGCAGTTATTATGATGTAAAAGAGATTTAAAATATATAAGTCTTTTCTTTCTCAAAATGTATTTTTTTTACATTTAACTAATTATGAAAAATATTTAAAAAGGTAAAATCCTTAAAGCGACACCATCCTCAATCAGTAAGTTTAGGAAGATAAATTTCTTGGAAATAGCTTAGCATTTGTTTTATATCTCATTTGGATCTTTTTGATTGGATTTAGTCGCGTTATCTTAGGAGCTCATAGTTTCAGTCAAGTTATACTTGGATGGACTTATGGAACAATTTGCATTATTCTCTACAGATTAGTATTAGAAAAATAATTAGAGAACGTTTTATTAACTGCTGCTCATAAAGGATTTACAAACATGAGTCATTTCTATAAATATGCTATAAGCAGCCTATTACTCTATGCGATTTTAATTACAATAAATATAGTTATTTATAATGTTGTCAATAAGTCTATAAAGCTAGAAGATAGAGAAAAATATGCAAATAATATTAAGTCAAAGACATATTGTGTTGCAAAATTCAATCCAGATAATTTCACTTTCTTAGCAGACAAATGTATGATGGATTCGGTTACTTTAGCTGTTTGTTTTGGCGTTATAATTACAACTTTATTCACCAAAGGATCTTACAAACCAGAAAGATGGAATGAAAATTTTAAGAATCTCTCTATTACCAAAAAGGTAAAAAAAACCTTAAAAAACTTTATTGATATTTATATTTTTTATATATAAAACAAAAGATAGCAAGAATCATAGTTACAGCGATTGTTTGTGCTATTCCAGTAGGAATGACAATATTCTTAAAATTCAATAATATTTACTTCCATTATTTCTTTAAAGCAGCATTACAAGCATTCTTAGTTTCCTTCTGTTTAATTAAAGTAGCTCCATGGGCAATTAAAAAAGTTAATATGGATATTGAAGGTGACTTTTTATAGTTTGATGATAATAATTCTTTCTTTGATTCTTCATTTACTGAAAAAGAATTTATATAATCATACAATAAATGAAAGAAGGATCTTAAAAAATATAAAATTAACTTATTTTTCTTTATAAAATACTTAAAAACAAAATTTAATTATTTTTATTTTAAATATTAATCAGCATTAATCTATAAATTATTTTTTTGAAAATACTAACAAAAAACTCAAATTTTTTTTGTAGATTTAAATTTTTATATGCTTCTTATATGATAATATTAAATTAAAATTATGATAATTATAAATATTTAATGAATAAAAATATTAAAATTTTAATTTTAATTAGTTAATTTATGATTTTTAAAATAATTTTAATTTAAAATAATAATTGTTAAATAAATAAAGTGCTTCCTTTTTAAAATAAATAAATAAATGAAAAAATAAAAGGTCAGAAGGAACAATTGTTTTTAATCATAAGTCATACTGACGTGCTGTTTTTCATCATTAAACTGAATTTTGTTTTATTTTAAATTATATATAATTTTACAATATTGAATTTATAAATATGTATTTATTAAATCTTATATCAACTTACTTTTTATTATGTTTTAGTTTATGGGTTCTGTCTGATTTTAAGCGCAAAATTTATCTTAATAAACTATACTGTGTGTTTTTATTTTTTGCTTTCAAAAAATTTAAATAGGATGCATTAATTTAATAAAAAAAATAATAGCAATAATACTAATTCAATTTATACATTTGAAATCAAATTTTTAAAATTAGTTTTTAGTAAATTAAAGATAAATGAATTATTCTTATAATCCAAGCGCAATAAGCTAAAATAATGCTGATATAGAGGAAGCTAAAGAAACTCTAGAAAGTATTTTCAATTACAGATATTTTTTTTTCATTAGTTGAAATAAAAATTAACTTAATAATAATATAGTCTTATATGATATAAATTAAATATTAAATTGCGGTTTAGATAGATAATAGCTTTCTGTGCTTATCAGTTTGTGCGAAAATGGAATAAATCCTGAAGCCTTAGCTGCTGTTGTGAAAGAATTAAGAAAAGAGGCTGCTGCTTTAAAAGTAATTTAAAATAATTCTTAAAATTGATATTAAAAGAAAGAAATTTATAATAAATTAGAATTCCACATAATGAATAAATAAAGGCAAGTAGCTTAGGTTCATATTGATTGTCAAATAAAAATAAAAAATCTCATTTTTAAAATTGAAAAAATAATTAAAAGCAATAAAATGTATATAAATTAAAACTAATTTTATAATAAAACTAGCATATTATAATTAAAATTTTGTTTAGTGTTACTGTATTTTTATAATATATTAGAGTTTTACTTTTTTCAAAATTTTAAATAAAATAAGCTAAATGGAAAAAGTAGTTAAATGTGTTAAAGAAATATTAATAGCAAACAAATCTTTTGTAGAGCGAAATTTATTTTAAATGAGAGATATTATAATAAATAAAGAACATTTAATTATTTATAAATGAATAAAATTACTTTAATTATTATAATTAGAATTAATGAAATACTTTAAAATTACTATTTGATGAATAGTATAAAGTAGGAGTTATTGTAAAACACAACCAAAGATATTTCTAATTATTAGTTTTTATCAATGTTATTTATGCTTATATTTTAAAGAGAATTTTAGATTTGAAGATTGATAATAATAAAGGTTTGTTTATTAACTAATTAAAAGTTATGGAAAATTGTTTGTTTAAGTAATTTCTACAAGAATTCTAGAAATGCGTCAAATAGATATTAAATTATTTATATATCTTTGGTTAACAGCATAATTAATTAATCCTTAATATTTATTTAGAATTTAATCTCTATTTGTTAAAACTAACAGTGCAAACTAAAAAGTTAAAAATAATTTTAGAAAGATAGCATCAAAAAAAAATATATATAATTTATTTATTAGCAATAACATACATAAAATAATAAGACAATGAGTGATAGCCGCTAAAAAGTTGAAACAGTTACTAAATTTCCTGAAGGTGATTTGTATAATAATTATGACCCAAATGATAATCCTGAGAAATTTGAATATCTGAAAGCAAAATATGTATTCCGTTTTCCCTTCACTATCACCTCAATTAAATGGGGATTAGCTTTAGGATCTATATTCGGTATTCACAACTATATTAAAACAAGTAACAAAGATTAATTTATATATAAATAATTTAATATCAATAAAATGTTCATTAATAAATCTGAAATTTCTTTATTACAAATAGGAAAAGCATAAAACGCAGCTTACTGGTTTGTTTGGGGTAGTGTTTTAACTGCTCTCCCAATATGGTAATTAATGATTAATTTAATAGTTACAATAAATAGTAAATTTTATTTTAAAAATGCAAACTAGGGGTTTCTTCATGTTTAAGTACTCGTTCTATACTATGACTTTAAGAAAATTTGAAGTTGATTAATATCAAAATATAGAGGATTCTCATTTAATAAAGGAATATATGATGTATAAAACTGGAACTTATGATCCTACTATTAAAGACGAATAGTTGGTTAAAAAGTTAGAAAAAATTTCATAATAAGCCTACAAAAAGCACAGTTAGCTTGATGATTTATTGTAAAACATGAATGATGAAGAATTTGAACTAGTTCCTGTTTAAAAAGCTGATTCAGTTTAAACAGATAATAATATAAATAATAATTTGGAAAGCACTAATACCAGCAAATTATAAAAATAATGAATCATAAATATTATTAGTTAGTCAGTAAGTATTAAAAATGATTGTTTAATCCAATATAAAATGTATATCATATTATTTATATTTTCAGTTTATAAATTAATTTTCATATATTAGTTAGCATTTATTTTAAATTCATTCATTGTATTTTTACATTTTACAAATAATAAAAGAAGATTTATTTTATTTTATGCATAAATAAGTGCTAATATTAAATATAAATTAATCAACTAATCTCTACTTGGTTCTCGAATTTTCGAACTTATTTAGTTTTTTATAAATTAATTAATTTTTTATAAAAAAATAATAATAAATAAATTTGGATCTCATTTTTTTCTATAATATTACTACAGAAAAACCTTACTAGTATTTTGATATTAAGTTAAATTAAATTTTTATTGGTTTACTTTTTAAAGTGTAATAAAAATACTACTGGATAAAATAACTGAGAGCAATATTTTGAGATATTCTAGTTTAGGTAATTTTTTTGATACTTAAAATAATTAAAAATAATATAATAATGTCTTATTTAAATAATATATTGGAAAATATAAATTCATTTTAAACTTATTTTTTTATTTTTGTGAGTATTCTAACATTTAATTCAATTTTTTTTTTTTAAATTTAAAAATAGATTGATGATGTAAAAATATTTAATTTAAATATTTTATATCTACCCACATAAATGATATATAAAAACATTTTTTTGGTTTATATTTACTTAGATAATTTTTTTAATTTTGAAGTTTTATTTTTAATATTTAAAATAAATCTAGAATTTTATGAATTTACAGTTTATTTATTTATTATTTATTTATTTGTTAATTAAATTAAATTTTACTTATTTTAATATAAATAAATTCGTTATGTTTGTTATTCCTTTTTTTCAAAAGCTTTAGAAAATTGGAATAAGCTGAATTATTGCTAAATAGATACCAATACCAACAATTGTTAAATAAAATGCTCCTCTAACATAGATGTTTCTTTCAGTAATATTATGATTTCCACAAGAAAATGTATTCACAGAAGATGTAGTTGAATAATCGTTGTTAATAAGTAATTATTCATTTTAGCTATTTTTATTGGCTTGTGAGTTTTTAATTATGCATTTCATATGAATCAAAATAGGGAGCAAGTAAACAATAGCAAATCCAACAACAGCACCAGTTATACCAATGACTATACCGGGGCTTATATTAAGCAAAACCATCAAAAAGCAGCATCCACCAAAGAAAAAGTTATATACCATAACAGCTAGAGGTGAAGGTACAGAAGTGGGCATTATAAGGTTAAAGAATTATGTTTTAGAGATGTAGCAGAATAAAGGATAAGCAGTAATTAAGTGACCTGAGAAGAAAAGATTAATAATAAATGGTGGAACACTATCACTATCAAAGTATTAGGTAATTGTTGAAGCATTATCAGGGTGAGATCTACCAACAATTCCATAAGTTCCAAAAATACCAATAATAGCATAAATAGTTGCAGCTAAGAGATAGCCAATAGACATATCCCTATTATTCTTTTCAGGACGAGCATTTTAACTCATAATTTAGGCTATGGCATTATGAACCATGAAAGCAAGAGCAAAATTACCTCCAACAGCAGCAATGTCACCAGTGAAAAATTTAACATCTGAGGCATGTTCTGCTAAATTTCCATTAGCAGCATTATCTATAAATGCATATAAAATGAAAATGACATACATTCCAATAGCAAAGAAACCTAGATAATTTAAAAATAATTAATATACTAAAAAATTCACAAAAACATTTCATTTTAATTTTTACTTGAATTTAAATGCAAAAAAAATAGCAACTTCATAAAAAATTAAAAGAAAATTTGAAATTTGAAAATAAACATTTACCTCCATGAGCAAGCTTCATGATAAATTTCATATTTTTAATTAGGAAGAGAGGGAATACACAAACAATAATTATAACACTCAACCATTAAATAGAAAATTTACTGAATACCATTTCATCGTTCATATGATCTTGAGAAACGTAGGAATCAGGATTTGCATTAGCTTTGGTTAAAATAAAACATAACATAGGATAAGCAGTATTATTAATTAATATGAAATAGATAGTTCCTACTAAAAACATCAGTAAAGAGCTCGAGAAGTTAAACAAAATAGCATATTTTTTACCAAGAGTTCTCATGATCAACTTTTTTTCAAATAATTTAAATTAATATTTAATTGAATTTAGAGAAAATTTTAAACAAGATTTCATATTAATTGATATTAAACATAATTAAATGTTGCAAAAAGTAAATTTTTTCAATATTGTCAAATAAATAAACAAACAAAGAAAGAATGTTTGGATGCATGTAATATTGATAGTTTCAAAGAAATAAAAAAATAGAATTAATAAATTCTTAATTAAAATACTTACATCTGATAAATCAACTTCTCCTTCTCTCAAATGAGCCAAATACAATTAACTTGTCTTCATATTAATCAGACCAATTAAAAACATGATTAAAATACTCATTATTATACCAGTCTATGCAAAAGTCTTTTTATAATTTTAATTACATTATTTATAAATTAATTAATTCACTTTTTTTAAAATTTTATGTAAAAATAAACAAAAATTTCATTAAGAACAAGTGAATGTTTGTAGAATTTTAACTAAAATTGTGTTATTTTTAACAAAATGGATTTTTTCATTTGAATTAAAGTAATATTTACGATTGGAATGAGCAAACAAACTGAACCAACCATAGAATTAGTTAATGCAAATATAGTATTTAATGAAGTCGCAGTTCTGTGAGAGCTAAATGATTGCTTTAATTTGTTGATTTCATTTTAAGTTTCTTCTCTTGTTGACCCTCTACGATTCATATTATATTTAACGCTTTCTATTTATTGCTCATATTCAACTAAATCCTCACCAGGAGCGCGGACAAAGCTTCCCCTTTTCTTTGATGCCATTTCTTACTTTGCTATATGTTATTTATTAGAAATAGTTATGACTTTTTTAATGAACTTTATACTTAATTTATCTATATTTTTTAATTTAAATATGTTATTGTTGGAACATAGATTTTTGGCTTTTGTACTGAGCAAACAATATAACCAAATAATAGATACAATCAATATATATTAATTAATTTCAATCTGTGGCTACAATAAAAGAATTTTTTTTTACATGATGAGTAATATGATTAATTAATTCTGTTTTCATCGCTTTTACTTAAATGAAAATTCTTGATTGATACATTCGTTTTTCTTTTATAATTACATTGTTTCATTTAAGATTTTTGATTAAAATGAAAGTATTTTTAACTCATAAAAGGAATTAAAATTAGTAATATTAAAAGAAAGGCCATTTTTTACTTTGTTTGTTTATATCTTTTTTGAGCTTTATGTCATTTATGCATTAACCCTATTTATATTACGACAGAAGCAAAATTAGAAGTTATCTGGAATAAATTAATTATAATCATAAGTATAAGCGTGTTTTATATAAATATTCAAAAATATGACTAACTATAAGAAAGATAAACAATTATTTATACGATTTATTAAACATCAATTTATCTTTTACATTATTTCAAAAAATATTATCTTTTATAATAACGTCAGCTAAAGATTATAAGAAACTATCCCCTACACATTAGATTGAAATTGTTAAAAAATAGACAATAAGAATAAATAAATTTCTCCTCAAATGAATGTCCTTTCATATTTAAATATACAATGTTCATAGCTATATTATATCAACTTCGTTTAATATGTCATAAGTAATAGTACTATTTTAAAATTTCAGATTCTTCTTAAGATTCTTTGATCTTAGTTAAATTTATATCATCATAATTTATACCATTATTTATTGAGAATTTATTTTAATAAAACACTTTAAATATTAATATATTTTTTTGGATATTTTTATGAAAAAATAAAATAGCTTAATATTTATTTTTAGTAACTCAAAAGAATTAAAATCCAATTTTTCTTTATTTAAATTTATCTACATTTAAATAAAAATTCAACATCAAGATTAATCAGTTTAATCTTATTTACTTTATGACTGTAATAAAATTAAAAGTTTTTTAGGATAAATTTATAATTATCTCTCTAAGTATGTTAGATAAAAATATTCAAATATATGATTTACTATAAGATATATAAAAAATTATTTTTATTAATTATGTACAATCAATTTTCACTTACATAAATAATATTTAATCTTTTTAGAATAAATACATTTATTCTCAAATAAATATTATTTCATATTTAAATAAATAAACAACATACTTAAATATATTATATAATTTTAGTTTAAATTGTAACAATTAATAATAATATTTTAATTATTGCTGATTTTTTTCTATGCTTCTTTGATCTTAGTTAAACTTTTTCATCATAGTTAATTTATTCCATAATTGATAGATAAAAATTTTTATAAATTTTTGGTTACTATTAAACAAATGAAAAATTAAAAAGCTTAATATTTATTTTTAATAACACTCAAGTATTAAAACCACATTTTTCAATATTTTAATTTATCTAAATTTAATATTAGGATTAATAAGATTAAACTTATTTACATTATGAATGTAACAATATAAAAAGTTGAATAAGTTTTATCACCTTCTGCTTAAGCATATTAGATATATATATGATTAACTATATGAAATATAAATAATGATTTTTATTAATTAAGAAACATCAATTTATCATTTACATTATTTCAAAAAAAAATAATCTTTTATTAAAATCTCAATTGCAGATAATAAGAAACTAACTATCCACTTTACATTTGATCGGAAAAGTTAAAAAATATGTCACAAGAATAAATATATTTCATTCATATCACTTTCGTTTAAAATTTAATAATTAATAATGCTATTTTGATATTTCAGACTTTATATACGCTTCTTTGATTTTAATCAAATTTAAATCTTCATAATTAATACCATTATTTTTAGACATACAATTTACTTTAATAAAACATATAAAACATTTTAAAAATTAAAATTTTAATTTTTAGATTTATTTAAATCAAAAATAAAAAAACTTAATATTTATTTTTAATAAAAATTAAGTATTTAAACTCTACTTCTCAATGTGTAAATTTATCAATGTACTTTTGAGTGTTTAAATAAAAATTTAAGAGCTTTTTTGGTTACTGAATTATATATTGTCTGATTTCAGAGGAAAAATCAAAACTAATTTCCACAAAAATGGATCTATTAAGTTTTAACTCAGAATATTTTCAATAAACAAAATTAATTTAAATACTTCAAAAGTTCAAAGTGAAATAAAATTGATGGCAACCTTACATTGTATAATAAAAAAAAACTTTATTTTAATTACTTTTTGCCAAAGTATTAAACCATATTTCTTAATATTTAAATTTATTTATGTATTTTTGAGTATTTAAATAAAAAATTAAAAACTTTCTTTGGTTACTGAAATATATATAGTCTGATTTCAGAGGAAAAATCAAAACTAATTTCCACAAAAATTGATCTATTAAGTTTTAATTCAGTATTTTCAATAAACAAAATTAATTAATTAAAATATTTGAAAAGTTCAAAGTGAAATAAAATTGATGACAACCCTTTTTTGTAAAAAAAAATATAAAACCTTATAATTATTTTTTTGTTTCAATTATCTCTTTGCCAATTAAAAAGTAAAATTTTAAAGTTATTTTAAAAAACTAATTGCTAGTATTTTTGAAATTGTAAAAAAAAAATACTTATTACTTTTAAATAGTGCCAAATTATTTAAACCATATTACTTAATATTTAAATTTATTTCTGTATTTTTGAGTATTTAAATAAAAAATTGAGAGCTGTTTTTGTTACTAAATTAATTATATATTGTCAGATTTCAGAGGAAAAATCAAAATCAATTAGAATAAAAATGGATCTATTAAAATTTAACCTAAAATATTATCAATAAACAAAATCATTTAACTAAAATTTTTGAATAGTGAAAAAAGTTGAACAAAAACAAATTAAAATATGTGAATACAAAAATTAATCAAAATTCTAATAAATAACCAAAATTGGAAACAAAAATTTAGAAAAGTTTATTGTTGTATTTTGAAAATTTGAATGGTTTAGGATAGCATATCATTCATTCATTTAAGCAAACTAAGAATCAATATAAATCTAATTTTTCAATGCAGCCTATTACTTTATCAATACAATCACCTTTATTTATACATTACTTGTGAACAAATTTTATATCACCATTTTTTTCCTCACATGCTTTTATTTGTTAACTCAGATTGCTTTTCATTATTCTTAGATTTAAGGAATATTTACTTTTTATCATCTCTTTCAATTCAAGGTAACTCTGTTTTTTTTGATGATTTATTAGCTGATTCTTGTATGTAAGCTCCTTCTCTTTATTTTTATGTCATAAAATGATAATAGTTTTAAAAAAAATTGTTTACCAAAAACTTGCTCTGTAATGTCAACTAATTAATTGGAAAATTGATCTATCTGTACTTTCTGCATCATCATTATCCATTCTTCTAGCCTTGTATTTAAATCCAAAATATTATCTAAAAACTATTTATCATGGATTATACTAGATTAAGCTATCTATTTATCTTTTGATTTACTATCTCCCTGTGCTATTTTAGATTCTTCTTTAGATATGATTGTATGGTTATTAGATATACTAGGAAGCTGCTATTCGCGTACTGAATCTGCAATATTATTTGTTTGCTGATTGTTGTTTTATTATGGAATAGTATTTATTTGACTTTAATTAGTATTCTATTTATTTTAAATAAGATGTAGATGTTTATAATGTATTCTCAAATATCTCTAAAGCAGTAAGGCTGCACTATATTCTTTGAAAGAAGTATTTTCAATATCTATTAATTTTTTTAGTTTTTTATTATAATTTACATTTTTTTCTATCACTTTAATGCAATACTTCTCTGACTTATACTTTACTAAATTTTACAAATTTTCTGATAGGTTCTTAAAAAGGAAATTTAACGTTTCTCCTGTTTATAGCTCGTATTTTTATTATTCATTCCAGTTTTCTTTGATAAACATTTCTTCTTCAATACTACTTTGATTCATGATTTATTTTTAAACTTTAATTTTCTTAAATTTTTACTACTGATAATTCTGTTATGATTGCGAACGAAGTATTTTTTTCTCTTTGTTAAGCGATTCAGTGAAGCTTTCTTATTGCTTTGTAGCATTTCCAGATGATTACTAGTCAAAAACGCTATTTTACTTTAATACACTTTTTTTATGAGTAGTCGTTTAGCTGTAATGATGAGCTAGGATTGATTATTAATTTTAGTGTGATGATCCGTTTTGGAAAGAATTTTAATTATCATTGGATTTTGCTTCATCCTTGTAATTAATGAAATTATAACTTTTCATTATTTGAAAGTAGGTAGGCAATTAAATAAAGCTAAAAGGTTAATCATATTTTTCCGCATCTCTAATAAACTCTTGAGACATCTATTCCAATTTTTAGATATTATCTTGGCTTTCCCTAATTGTACTTATACGATTTTAAAAGATATTTCTTTAGAGTATTTAATTCTTGGTTTCAATTTTAGGTAAAGATACGTAGCTCTCGGAGGCACTTACTTCTACAGCACTTTTCATACCTTGTAAATTAAAAATACTGAATTATAAAATGATAAATAATAGTTCTATTTCAACACTAATTATAAATTAATTAATTAATTAATTTATTATTATTCAATATAAATAAAAAAACTTAAAATTAACAACTACTGTATTGATTTAAATGATGATAGTAAATTTAAAAGTACTTCACTCATTCATTAAATGCATTTTTAATAAATTATTTAAATAGTAAGATTAATTATATTTAAACATTAAATAACCATAAATTATAAATTAATCTTTTTTTTCTCTCTTTATTTATTTTTTATTGATTAAATGGTCATTTTAATCATATTTTTTGAAGTTAAAATATAATATTTTTCTATCATAAATTTAAAAATTTTTAATTTCATATTTAGTTTACATTTTTTCCATTTTAATTTTTATAAATTAATTAAAATGTAAGATTGAATTTAAATTTTAGATGACCATAAAAAATATACAAAGTTTTTAGAGTTTTCTATTCATCTAATTTTTTTTTATTCATTAAACTCTAATATTAATTATAATATTTTAAAAATAAAAAAATATTTTTTTTAATGTTCCATAAATTTAAAAGTTTTTAATCTCATATTTTGTTTATATTTTTTCGTTTATTATCAGATAAAACATACTCAATTAATTAATATGGTTTGAATCATCATTTTTGCTTCAAACTATTTATTTTCTTTAAAGATATTTATATTAAAAAATTTTAATTTTATTAAATATAATTAAATATAAAACTAATTTAGCAAAAATCTAATTTTCAAATATTTTTTAAATAATATTTTTTTTAATAAAAAATTCACAATTTATTAAATAAATATATTTAGCATTTTAATTAATTAATTCATAGTTAAATGCTTAATTTTTTCATGTAATTCTATTTTTAAAAATAATAAGAAATATCTTTTTTCTATAAATTTACAATTTAATAATTAAAAAATTCAACAACATTTTTTGGAATTAAATTAATTAATTGCGTTTTTTAAATTTAAAAAAAATGAATTCTAACTCAAATTAAAAACCTGATGGTCAAATACTAAAAAAGTAAGCAACTCTACAAAGATTAAATTCTCGAATAAATGAATAATTCATTAAAAGCAAGCTCCTTTAAATGAAAAACGATTATAAACAAAAGAAATTTCATAATTAGATACCCTCAAGATCAATTTTAATATGCCAAGACGAATAAGATAATCTACGCTCATTTTTTGTATAAAATTCAGCTAATATAGATAATAAAATTGAAGAAAAAGAAAAATATGTAGGGGAAATTTAGAATTTTATTAGTGTAGATGATAAAAAGTAACTAAAATTATATTTAGATACTAATTTTTGTATTCTAATTTGATCAAAATATATTTATTTTTTATAGTAATGAAGAATACGAAGAAGATATTTCTGACGTTGAAAGCAACAAAGATGATAACTAAGATGATTTTATTTAAGAAAGCCAATTAATATCTGATAAAGCTGAAAAGGAATACTTAGAAGAATGTTAGCTTGGTTAAATTAAATTAAAGCAAATAGAATCTGTAGCGTTGAATGAAAAAATATATGATAATAACAAAGAAAAAGAAACTGATTAACTAACAAATAACGAAAAATCTTTATAATTGAGAAATAAGTTAAGTGGTAGTAAGACTAATATTATATAAAAATAGTAACATAATGATGAGCAAAATATTCAATTACCTCAGTAAAATAATTTATCTTAAACAAAATAATAATAATCAGGTCAAATGAAAAACTCTACAATCAATTAAAAAAAATTAATTGAATTTAATATAAAAATTATCATGAAAAATTAAAAATAGGATAAAAATTTAATCTTAGAATATGGTGATTTCCTTGATTTGATTGAAGAAGTAACATTCGAGAATATAAGGACAATAAATGTATTCAAGATATTAAAAGTATTTTAAAGAATAAAGATTTTGAGAGTTGTTTATTCAATATTCGATATCAATAGCTGCAGATAGTATATATTTGATTGTAAAAATTATTTAGAAAATATATTCTTTTTGAGATCTAGTCCAGCTGTATTTTCTAGTAGAATTTTCAAAAAAGCAGGTATTTTATTTATCATTTTAAAAATTAAAATTTATATAAATAAATTATAGATTAGATAGAAAATATAACCAGAGAATCAGCGATGTTTATAATGTTTTAACAAGATTATTTAAAAATCTAATATATTGAATAGATTGATTAAATAGTCTTAGATTTGTTAGAGTTAAATACTTTTTAATCAGTAAGAATTATCTAAAATTACAATCCTCTCATATTAGTAGATTATTAGTAATTACTTGGTGAATATAGATAACTTATTTTATAAAATACTAATGAGGTAATAGTTAACACTTTAAGAATTTTTAATTTTTTATAGTTTTTTAATTTTGATATATCCATTAATATAAATTGAGCTAAAACAATTAAAATTTATTATTTTATTTTACAAATTTTATTTATTAGTAAATTAATTAATTACATTAAATCTCTTATTTAATAAATCTATTTTAATACTTAAAATTTAATTTTAGGAAGACCAAAAGTCTAAAAATACTTTATAAGATTTTGAAGAGGATTAATATTTATCCAGATTAGAAGAAGGAACAGCTGATTTTTATAATTACCTGTTTCTAGATATTAAAAACGAAGAATCTTTAAATGACGAAGAAAAAAATTAACTTAAATAAATAAAATTTTATAAAAGTGTCTCTAGTATAGAGTAAGACATTTTTAGGAAAAAGAAATTCGATAGCTTTGTAATAGAGAAGCGTTTTTCGAGTAAGAAGAATCCAAAAAAAGTAAAAACAAGAATAGAACTTATAATAAATAAATTTCATTTTGAAGACATACCATCCTTTATTTACTTGACTACTATAATAGACTAGTATTCTAGTATAATTACGTCTATTAAGTTTATGAGATTAGGAAGGATTAAAGATAATCTCTTTTCTATGCTTTTTTAAAAACTTAGAGATCTTGATAGAATTTAAGTTCTTCTCTTTTATGACACTGCTCTTTATCCATAAAATTTAGAAGAAATTAAATTATTCATGAATTGGCAACTTGGAAAAGTTAAAAAGATAGGATTTGTCTAAAACTTTTTGAATCAGCTAGACTTGAACTTCTTATTTGATACATCTCTCACTAAATACCCTAGAAATAACTAATAATTAAACGATATTTATTTTTTAAAATACTTTAACTCAAATTTAGTTAAGAGTTACTCATTAATCATGATAGATCAAAATTATATCTCATAAAACCTTTAATCACTCGTTTAACAAAATTTAAAACCTGTAATTAATTTTATAATTTATATTTTTTTAATTTCTAATTAAATTTTTGTAGATTTCATAAAAGGGAATATACTACAACCCAAATTTAGGGTATGATTTTAAATTCAATTAAGCAAAGTTAGAAACATTGGATTTAAAAACTTAATGGCTAAGCATAAAACATTCTATTGAAAATGATCAAATTGAGGACTTATAGATTGAATATTATAATGATTTTTTAATCGATAATAAGAATGAGGTAGGACATAATTTTGATTTAACTATTTACTCAAGAAAATCTTTAAAAGACATAGATATTAACCTAATATATTTCAGTAATTCATTTTTTAAATATTTATTATTTAGATAAAAAAAATTAGTTGAAAAATTATTTAATATTCATGAAATTAAAAATAAATTCCTTAAATTAAAATTTGTAAAAATAATAAAATTAAAAATAAATCCTAGATATTAATCAAGTTGAAAGAGTACTCTCTTTAAGAAATAAAATTGGGATGTATTGTCTTAAGATTTTATCTAACATAGATAATTATTTAAAAAATTTAAAGCTTAGAGATTTGTTGGTATAAAAGTATGTTGGCTCAACTCTTACTATTGTAAATTTAGATATTTTATTTGTTCCTACTCTCGAAAATATTTCTCTGTTTTTATAGTCCGAAATAGCTCAGCTAAGCTAAGGATTGAATAAATGTGCTCCGTATTTAAAAAGATTTAAAATTTCTGGAGATGTAGGATAACTTATACCTATGAATAATTTATTAAAAGGAGTAGATTGGAGTAAATTCAAGTAATTATAAAAAATCATATTTTCAAGATGTAATTTTGATGAGGAAAGCTTATTTGAATTATTTAATTCACTAAATGATACAAGCTTAGAAAAAATTAAATTAGTAAGTATCAAATGTAGTGAGAAATTCTTATATGCAATCGATTGGAAAAGATTCAAACAAATTAATTTCATAGAATTAACATCAGTAATTTTTAACATAAAAAATGATAATAAAAGCTTTTATGTAACTGATATTTGCGAACCTATAGCTCATTAACTCAAAACACTTAATTTTAACCGTATAAATATACCTTAGCATTACTTGGGTGCATTTAATCCATCAAAATATACAAATCTTACAAGTTTTAAAGCCAGTAAATTTTTCTAAAACTATCAAAATATGCTATAAATGGTAAATATCAAATAGCTTTAATAGAGTAATTTTAATTTATTTACTTTAAATTAATATTTTCAATTTTTATGGAAGCTCTTATAAGTTCTTAAATTTTAATGAACTGTCCTATTAATAAGGCAAAATATTTTAAATATTGCTTCAACGAAATAAAATTATTGATTTACTTTAATTAGATATTCATACTCTAATTATCGAATATGAAGCAATGAAAAATAAATATTTTAAATTAAATTAAAAAATATTTTCTAAATTTTAATTATTTTTTTCTTGTTTTATTGAAATTTTTATGATTATTTTATTACTTCAAAATTATTACTATTAATTTTAAATTAAAATTACTTAAAGAAAATGATAATGGTGAAAAATAAAAAAAAGATGAAAATGCTAATCAAAAAAAAAATATAGAATTGAGTAATTAAAACAATACTTAAAAAAATGATACAAATAATCAAGAAGGCAATGAAGAAGAAGAAGAGGTTTTAGACCATGAATAAAAAACAGCAAAGATTTATCAAAAAATATAAAATCAGATAATAAAAGATGCTATTAAAGAAGATGATAAAAAATAATTGTTTGTTTAAAAGTAAGACGAACTTACAGATTAAATTGTTTATAAATCATTTGATAGAATTAGCATAAAGCTTAACTCTGATTATATCTTTAGTCAATATAATTGTGAAAATGTAGATTTAAAATACTTAGACATGTGTGTAAAATCAATCAATTTAACCACCTTATCTCCTTCATAGCTTACTAATTATGATTAAAAAATAATATTTAGTAAACTATAAAATGTTGAAGAAATATTTTGCTGGTAAAATTTCAATGATAAAGAAGCAAAAAAACATAATTCATAACTGGAAAGTATTATTAATTAATTATCCAACTAATTAAAAGTGTTAGATTTAAGAAGGAGTAGTATAAGTTTAGTAAAAATTTTTGACTCTTAAAATCAAAAATAATTTTCGCAATTAAAAATTTTAAAAGTAACAAGATCGTTCTTCTTTTCGTTCAAACGAATTTAAGCTTTCATTGATAGAATATCTTCAACTATTGAATGTATAGAAATATTAAATATTACAGAAAGCTAATAAAATTAAACTAAGAAAGATAATTAAATCATTGATTTTTCTAAATTAGTCAATCTTCGAACTTTCATTATTCATGATTCTATTAACAATTAGGTTTAAAAACCTTTATAAACCTTACCAAAATAAATTTAAAACTTAAAACTGTTTTCTCTAAAATAAAATTTAGATTTTTTGTAAATAAATGAATTTAAATAGCTTACAAATTTAACAATTTCTAACAATCAAAATCTTATATAAAAAAATAAATCCTTTTTTGATTAAAAAAATAAATCTATTAAGTTTTTGTGTCTAAAAAATAATTCTCTAAGAATGTAATAGTTAGAAAATCTTAAAATTAATAATTTAGAAAATCTAGAGACTCTTATTTTAAATCATAATCCACTTTACAAAGATAATTTAGATAATTATGCAAGCTTTTTTAACTCTGAAGAAAGCTTCGATTCATTAAAACAAGAGGAAATTTTTTAAGGTGAAAATTAGTATGCCAGTGATTAAGAAGAGGAAGAAAGTAATACTGATGAAGATGAAGAAGAAGACGATGATGATGATCATGATGAATAAGAAGAAGACGATGATGATGATGAAGAAGAAGAAGAAGAGGATAGTGAAAATGAAGAGAATGAAAGCTAATATGAAGATTCGGAAATTAATAGTGATGAAGAAAATAGTGAGGAAGATGAAGAAAGAAGTGGAGAGGATAGTTCATAAGATTTAAGCATTAAAAAAAAAAAGAAAGTATAGAAAAAATAAAATAAATAAAAAAAATTAAAAAAAATGAAAATCAGTAAATAAAATAAAAATGTTAATCCAAAAAAGAGTGGTTTTAAATTTTTTTAAATACTAGAATCATTTAAAAGTAGTTTGATAAATTTATGCATGAGAAATTGTAATATAACTGAAGAAATATTTGATAAAGTAGATTTTACAAATTTTAAGCAACTCTCAAAGCTTGATATTTCAAGAAACAATAACTTTTTCTTGTAAAATAAGCAAATATTTAAAAATATGCTAAACTAAATATCTTGGAACTTGTAAGAACTAAATGTTGGCCAAACAAATATTTGTCTTGAAAATAATCTATCTAATTTCGATTTTACAAAATTATAGAAGTTATCTATTTTTAAGGCTAAATGGGCTTTAAAAATATTTAAATCATCTTAAAGCAACTAGACATTTTAATCAAAAGAAGCTTTATTATTTATGAATGCTATAATATCTTAATTATCTCAAATTTAGTTAACTGAATTAGTTATTGGAGCAAACTGGCAGTAGGCTAGTAAGCTAAAATTTTTAGATATCAGTAATATGAATTTAGAAAAATTCTTAGAAGTTTAGAGAAGAGATTAAGTAATCGAACTATAAAAGTTAATTTAAAATGTAGGGAAAAGATTAGAAGTTTTAAATATGAATTAATTAATGATACAAGCTTAAGAATTAGAGATGATAAATTGGCAAAACCTTATTAATTTGAAATTATTAAATATATCAAATATCGATTGTTTTGAATAGAATTTTCATATTATTGGAAAAATTACTGAAAAAATGATTAAATTAGAGCAGATGATTTTAAAAGACGAAGGTATTGAAGAATAAATACTTACTTTACCATGGAAAAATTTTTCTAATATAAGAAAGGTTATTTTGGAAAAGGATTAATAAACAAATATTTATTATTATTCATTTTAGAATAACATTTTTAAGAGTTACTTGAAAAACGATTATAGTTTTGCCATGATGCCTCTTTAATTATTTAATGCTAGAATTTTGAATCCTTCTCACGCTTATTACTAATAATATTTAAAATTATAGAACGAAAAAGAAGACTTTTCAAATAAAAATCACTTGAATAGATTAGAATAAAATTAATAAAAAACTTTGATTTTAGATAGAATCAAATACAATTTTCCATTTTAACCTCTTTCAGAAATAGACGAGAAATATGCTTCGCAAATGTCTTATTCCACTTATGGGATGGTTATGTGGAATTTGGTTCGATTTGACATTCTTTTGAAAGCTGATTTAAATTAGCTTTAAAAAATTCTTTCTCAATAAGCATTTAATTAAAAAATAATATATTTTAATAATATAAATTGCTATTTGTTTTTTATTTTCTCTAAAATAAATGATGAAAGCTTTTTAGGTTTGATTTTAAACTCTTACCTACTTGAATCAAATCAAATAGAAACAGTATTTATTTAACAATTGAATGACGATAAATTTTTTTATTCAGGAAGCATAAATATTTCTGTTATCTATAAGCTAATGGATATTTTTTTCAATAGACCAACAAAAAGGATAATTCTTAGCTATTCCCTAAATTTAAACAGAAATTAGATTATGAATGAATTAACTTCCTCCTCTTAAAAAGAAAGTCTTTACGAAGAAGAATAATTCAGCTCTTCTTTTTAAGAAAATTTAGACCAAAACTCATAAAAATTTGATAAAATTGTAGAGCTTAACAGAAATCTGAATTTTATAAATGAATATACTATGCTAGACTTTTTGAATTTTGCTCCATCACAAGAATTAAATCTATCAAATTACAGTATTTAATTTTTTAAATATCTCTATCTCATATAAATGTATTCTCCTTACAGCTATAAGACCACCATAAACTATTCGATGTAAGTTTAATTCAAATAATATGATCTATCTATTTTTTATATTTAAAATTCATAAAAAATAAATTAGTGATTCATTGTCAAATAATAGTATTTCGGCCAGGTTGTTAAAAATTTTGTACTAAAGAGGAAAAAATGGAAAACTCTACAAATTTTTAAACTTATTTTATTAGGACACAACTTTTTACAAATTCGATGAATCTGTTATTTTACTAAATACAAAGCTTTCTTTATCGAAAGAAAATATATTTTTAAAATAATTAATGCTCTTTATGATTCCTATTTATTATTTTATTTGCATATTCGGTCCTTTATATTTCACTTATAGGTAAGATTTAATAGATTCATGTGGTAAAGGTCTGTCATGGCACTCTTACTATGTTTATCTTGCCTTTGCAATAATCAGTTTTTTGATGGAATATTCTTTGTATTCTAAAATATTAAGCACAACTTCTCATTTAATCCCTGCGGCTTCAATAACTCCTTCTACTTCTTTAATAGGAATTTTATTAAGTGAAATTAAAAAAGTGATAAATCAGAATAGAAGCTATCTCTATATTTTTTCTCTAGCAAGCTCTTAGATTACAAGGTATTTAATTTTTTATATACTTTTTACTGAATTTTGGATTTTATTTTTAAATTTAAAAAGATACAATTACTTCACAGACATAGGTTTCATTGTTAGTTGCTATTAATGCCAAAGACCTAAACTAATGATTGCATCAATAGTTTTTGTAGGATTACATACTCTGATAAATTTAATATATTATATCCTACTGCTTTTCTAAAAGTCAAAAAAATTTTTAATTCCAACTTCTGAAATTGATAAATTTTATCAAATTTCAACATTACTTGAATTTCACGCTGTCTCAGATACACTAGATTTAATATCACCTTCTAATGTTGTTGTATTTCCTGTTTTTTTAAGAAAAATCAGTTTATTCAGATTGAGAGTAAATTAATTTTAAAACTCTTTATTAAAGTTGTCATCAAAACTATTTAATTAAAAAGACTATAGCAGGGATAGCTTTTAACGGAAGAATTTATAATGCAATACAAAGATTTTTACTCGAAGATTTTCCATAGCTTATAATTTAGATAATATTTCTTATTTTAGAAAATAAGGCAAATATTAACATTATACTTTCATTTGTAGCTACCATAGTTACTTTGCTTATATCAATGTAAATTAAATTTTTTAACTAATAAATATAATAATATTTCTAAAAATAAAGGTATAAGTTCCTTTCAATTAGACCATCTACAATAAATTAGCTTGATTTTGATTTTTTGAACTAAACAAAAAAAGAAAATTCATGGAAATTTGAAAAAAAGATACACCAACTCTCAAAAAAAACAAATTAAAATATAATCGATAATATCAAAAAACTTAATAGAAATACAGAATATTCATAAATACTAAATGATTTCTATAAATTTAATTAATTAGATTGATTTATTTATAATTGTTATTCTAAAATAAAATAATTAAAAAAGCATTTTTTTGTAAGCTCCTATTTTATCATTTATTTTCTAAATTAATACTTTTTATTATCTATTTCTAATTTGAAAATTTTATTTGATAGAAATAAATAAAATAATTAATATCTTTTAGAATCAAATAAAAATATTATTTATAAAGATTTAATTATGTTAAAATAATAAATCATTCTTTACTATAAATTTAATTAATTAGATTGATTGATTTATTTATAATTGTTATTCTAAATTAAAATAATTAAAAAAGCATTTTTTTTGTAAGCTCTTATTTTATCATTTATTTTCTAAATTAATACTTTTTATTATCTATTTCTAATTTTAAAATTTTATTTGATTTAAATAAAATTATTCATCTTTTAGAATCAAATAAAAATATTATTTATAAAGATTCAATTATGTTAAAATAATAAATCATTCTTTAAACAAATTCTAAAATGGATTTTTTTTATTAATTTTTTATTTCCAAAATTAAAATTTAATTCGATATTTTTATGAAAATATCATTTTTAATGAAATACAAATAAAATATATAATTAAAATATTTACACACGAAAACTAAAATTTTATTTATATTCTATCAGTCAAACTCATGAAGGTCATACATAACTCTGAAGAAGGAAAAATCATTTTTAAATAGTTTATTAAAACAAAGAAGGCTTAAAGTAGCTGCAAATTTTTAGTTAACTAAATTAAATTTCTATAACTTGTTGTATTGCTTATTATTTTTTTTGAGATAAATAAGCATATTTGAATTAATGATACTCCTTAGGCTAATATTAATTGGAGTAGTTATTGTAATTAGGTTTATCTATTCAAATTAGAATTTTTGTAATGATTTTAATAATTACTCCATAGGAGATTATCTGTCAACGTATAAGTCTATTTATTTTATAAACTTTTCATTTTAATTTTTAAAGTTTATCATTGAATAAATTTCATATTAGATGATTAGGCTTTACAAGTAATTTTGCAGTTCTATTTCTATTCTCTTTTCAGTATTCTGTGATAAGTTACCAAAAATTTCTAGTTTTTAAGAAGATATGTTTGAAAAAAATGTGTTAATTTTTTCGCATGAAATTGTTTGTCTTTATCCTTTTGTTTTACAGCTACATTTTACTTATTATTATAAATTCAAATTAAAGTGATCAAATACAAGGAAAATATTCTATTTAGTCAACTCATTATTTATTAAATTAAGTGTGTTATTTGCTAAACTAGCGCATTTGTTGCAAAAACTTCTTGAAAAAGCTTCTAAGTTAGTGGCAGATCCATTTAAAAATACTTTGTTTTAAATCTGCTTAATAAAGAAGGGTGAAATTATCTCAGACTAAAATGATTTTTCATCTAATAAATCTAAAACTAATTAATCATATGATTCTTTAATTTTTTCTAATTAAGTAATAAATAATTTTTGATCTTTCTTTTCTTATTGGTTATGGTAATTAATATCACGCTCTATTTATTAATCGAAATTTTATAAATAATTTTCGCTTTCAGAAGAAAATGAATCTGATTCTTCAGAATATTAGCTGTTTGAACTTTCAATTTGATGCTACTCATCAATCTCTTATTCATCTTAATTATTTACTTCTACTTTATTCTATTGATATTACAAAAACTAAAGAGCCGTAGAAATTAACTCAATCTATTAGTCAATCACTCGAGTCAGATTTTTTTATGAAAAAATAAAAATTTTTATCAAGTCATTTTTCTTTGAAGAAATTTATTGATCATTTAAATATAAATGCTACTGATCTTGATATTTGATCAAGCATTTTTCTTATTTTTTTAACTCGTTTACAATATCAATATTTTAACTCATAAGAATATTTAAAAAGAATTTATTAATTTAATTATTAAAACATAATTCTGAACAAAAATCTTAATTAATAATTAAATATCATTAATTATATATCCAGGCAAAAATAGCAAAAGACTTAATTTTTTTGATATAAAAACTTTTAAAGTATTATTATTAAAAATATCATTAAAATTAATAATTTTATTCATAGAGATTAGTATAGATACATATTAGAATAAATAATGTATTAAATAGCAAATATTAATTTTAATTGCTGACATAAATATTTTAAGAAACCAAAAGCAAAAAAAATTATAAATAAACCAAGATATATTTTGTTCAAGAATTTTTATAAGGTCAAAAAAGTAGAATTACTTTTTTTATTTGAGAATATTTTGTTGGTTCTGATTAAGCATTTTGAAAATTCTAATATACTTATATCAGCTTTGCTTTGATTAATTTTTAACTTTGATAATTATCTATGGTAGTTTAAGGTAATAGCTCTTTATTTTTAAATCATTAGGTTTTTAAAACATATTTTATGGTTTATTTTTTCTTAAAATTATTTAAGTTGGTAAAAATGTAGGAAAAAATTTTTATTAATTCAATTTATTATTAATTCATGCTTTATTTAGATGTTGCTATTTATATAAATTAACTCTTAATGTAAATATAATAAATTTATTAAAAAATTAACAGTTTATTAACATTATTATTATTTGGAAGGTAAATAGTATAAAATAATCTCAAAATTTATTTTTTATTTTATTTTAAAATAATTCAACAAATTACTTAAATTCTCATGGTATATTTATTTTTTTTGATATGCTTTATATAAATTTAAAATAAAAGCTATTTAATGCCAAAAAATAATTTTTGATTTGAGTGAAAATAAAAAAATTTCTCATTTATTGTTTTTCTTACTATATAAAATTTATAGGATGATTACAATAAATAAGAGTTAACATAAAATATTTTAAAAAATAAGTATAGGTAATACCATTTTTTTAAAAAAAACTCTACAGCCCTTTACTTAACATTATTAATTAATTAGGATATATGCATAAAAAAGGTATGAGTTATTTAATAAATTAAAAAAAAAATTTAAAGACATAAAAAAAAAAAAGAATATTTTAAAAATTTATTAAGTTATTGTCTAATTATTATCTATCAATAATTTTTAGCAGGATTCGAAGCATCTAGTAGTAAAATAAATAAATAATTGATATTATTTAAAAGGTATTTTACTTATTAAATAAACAAATCTTCAATTTAATTAATTAACCAAAATAGGAAAGCAATACGTTTTAAAAGAAAATGAGTTCTGCTTTAGCTGAAAATAAATTTATGAAATTAATCCCTAAGACTCTATCTAACTAGCTTAACTTAATCAAAAAAGATAAAGAAATTGATGAACAGAAAATATAAAAAATGTAACATGAAGATTGTACATTAGCCAGTGATAGAATTCTATTAAGTTAATAAAAGAGAAGAGATATCAGTCCAAAGCGCAATTAAAAATAGAGTGATGATGAAGATAGTAATGATAAATGGTAAAAATTTCCTCCTAAGCAAAAGTAAATTAAAAAAATATCGTTAAGTTCAGTGAGAGATAGCTCATAAAAATGGTAAAAGAATCCTGAAGTAGTTCCTGTAGTCGCTAAGCCAAAAAAGAAAATAACAATTTAGCGCGATGAAAATGGAAAAGCATATTTTGAGGAGGAGATAATTTAACCATCAAATTCTTCAGGTAACAATAATAGATCTAATATTACTTACTAATAAAACTAACACTCGCACCATGATAACAGAATAGAATAAGAATATGATAGCTTAGAAGACTCTTATGAAAACAAGCACAATGAAGAAAACATAAATAGGTAATCTTCTTCCAACTCTAATGGAGGAAGAAGACTTAGCATCAAAAAGAATGCTTCAAAATACGGATATATTTAAGCAGATAATTTACCAAAACAAATAGACAATGAATTTTTGAAAGATTTATTAAAAAAAGAGAAAGATAACATCATTGAATCATATGTAAAATTTATAAATTAAGTTTGTTTTGTTCATTAACTCCGCTTCCTATTAAAAATTTGCTTTTTTTTTGAATGCATTTCATAGCATTAACATAACAAATTTTCCTAATTAATTGAAAGAGGATATCCAACAAAATTAATACTATAGTTAATAGGATAGCATTATAGTAGATACAAAGCTTATAATAAATTTAGAATTAAAAATTTCTAATGAAATTCTATATTATAAATAAAAATAAATGTATAAATCTCACTTTTTAAACAAAAGAAATCAGATAACTTTGGAAGGGTGAAATTTAATTCAAAAGAAGCTGCTGAAAGAGCTATAAGTAAAATCTAAAAAATATTCTATCATTTTGTAATTTACATTTTTTAATTGAAGCTATTTTGAACAAACGTATTTTATATGGATCACAAATTAACTCTTATGAAATTAACTCTGAGGATTATGAAAAACAAGGCTAGCATTAGAATAATAACGAAGATAGAAGTTAGTTATCAAGTCGTATTCAAAGCAAACATAGGAAATGATTAATTTTTTAGCTAAGTTTTTAATTTATTATTAATGAACAATCAATAAACGAATGGATGAATAAATCAGATAGTCAAATATATTCATTTAAAACGAAGTTTACTTTTCTAAAATATTGTTTAGTTGTTTAGTAAATGTTATAAAATAAATAAAACCTAAATAAATAAATTAAATATAATAAATACATCAGATATTATTAAATAAAATAAATTTGAAAATGTAAAGATTAAATTGCTCCATGATATATTGATATAAATAACTTAATTGAATAAAAACTATCTATCTATAACTAATTCATAATAATTATAATTCTAAACTAATATTCAAATTCTATAGCAATTAGTAATTAACTATTCATAAACTTATTAAATATTTATGTTCTTATGCGTTCACTTAGATAAATTATAATTACTTATTATCTATTATTTTATTTTGTTGCTTATTTATTAAATACCTTTTTATCCATAACAAAAGCAGCTTAAAAGATAATTTTTACATATATGCAAATATAAAAATAACTATAAATTTTATTTAATATAATTATTGAATAAAATTTATCTTTTTTATGAAAAACTTTGCTTGTTAAATAATTAGAAAAGCGCATTCAATTATTAATTAATTCATCATACTTTTTAAAAATTTATTTAAATAACTTTTTTAAAATCTTTTTTTATAAAACTTAAAGTAATAATATAAAACGTAAAAATAAATAAATAGGAGTTAATATTTTTATCATTGAGTTTAAATTGAGTAATTAATAGAGATTTGATTGATTATGGTTTATAAAATGCAAAAATATATTAATAAAGAATTTAAAATCAATTAAACAAAGGATCACTCACTCATTTCTATATTTATTAATTTACATAAGTAAATATTACGACTCTTAAATTTTTAATAAATAAAAACTGCCTTAATTTATAAATAATATTTAGATAGATTTAACAATACTTATTTACTTTCACATTAATTCACATGAATAGTTCAGAATTATAACTGAGAAACTCTTAAATTTATGAGTCTTCTTTAAATTTATCAGTGATTCATAAAGATGAAAAAATCAACTTAAATGAAGAGGGCGAACTAATGAGCGAAGAAGACTTGACAAAGAACAAAGTTAAAAAAGCAATTATAGAAACAATGTTATAAAATTCAAAAAAACTTCTTAATACACAAGCAAATGATGTAATTAAAATATCTCATTATTTGGCGCACTTTTTAAGATTACATTTATTATATTTAACTAAATAGGAAGTTAAATAGTAAATGGGATTAATAGAATAAAGAGTATACTGGAGAGCAACTTAGGATTCAAATATTTACTTCCATAATTTATTTCAATAGCTTAAGCAGAATCATCCTAATATGCCAGTAGAATAATTTATATAACCTATTAGATGATATTTATAATTATGCAAGACAAGCATTTTATTTTTAGAAATTCCAAAAATACTTGTTATATTATCGATAAAGGCTAATTTTAATAAATATGAAATAGGAAGTTTAGTAAAAAATCAATGACCTTAACAGTAAAATTATAAAAAAAATAAAAGAAGGAGGCATTAAAATTTAAAAAAAGGTAAATTCTTTCAATGAAGGTTTCAACAGTTTTATAAATATATATTGTTATGATTTTAAAAGAATCAAATTTTGAATAAAACGGAACTGTATGTTTTAGAGAGTTCATTTTATAAAAGGAGATTAAGCAACTAGAAGCTTTCTTTAGAACATAAAATTGACAATTTAGATAATCACATTGACTATCTTAAGTCTTTAAGATAGCCAAATGGCTAGTTAGATAAATCTCTTACAACTAGAGCTCTATACAGGAGTGTTCACGAATTTAATCCTGAAGAATTCGCTTTACAATCTGAAAAAACGCAAACTGCAAAATAATTCCTAAAGAAAATTAAAAAAGAGTAAGAAAATGCTAAAACTTAGTTGGAAGAAATGAAAAAGAAGGTAATTAATTAATTGACTTACTTACTTACTTTGCAAAGTATTAGAATGTATGAAATATTTTAAAATTTTTTATTTTATAGGAAGAAGAAAAAAAAAAGAAACAAGAAGAGAAGTAAGAGTTAGAAAAATTAAATGAAAAAAAAAAGAAGCATGAGGAGTTAATAAATTCTTTGTAGTAGTAAAAGGAGAACTAAAAAACTAGACAGGAATTTATTACAAAAAATTAAGAAGAATTTAAACAATTTTATAAAAATTATAAAACTAAGAAACCCCTCTACGAAATAATGGAAGAATCATATAAACAGAAAGCAGAAATAGAAGTTTAGCAAGAAAAGCTTACTAAATTAAGAGAGTTATACAGACCTCATCGTTTGGAAGACTTCGAGGAACATTATAGAAGATATAAGTAAAAAAATACTTTATGAATAGGGTTCTAATAATAAAATTATTTTTAAAAAAGAGAGTTCAAATAATCAGAAGTAGATAGACTATCATTAAAAAAAAGTGCATATAAATCAACTATGAGCTTGCATAGTAATTCTTCAATGTGGAGAGGTAGAATACATGAAATTTTAGAGGAAGAAATGAAAAATCAATTAAGGTAGAGTGCCTCAGAAGATAAAAAAATTAGAATGGACAGATAAAAGTAGTATGCAAGCATGGTAAAATAAAATCATGTTCCAAAAAAAGATGAAGAAAAAAATGAAGAAATTATAAAGAGAATAACAAACTTAAATTAACCAAAAAATCTTATTTAATTATAAATATAAAAATAAGAAATATAAACTGAACCAAATGCATATAGGATAGGTATTTTAAAATAGTCTATTTTAATGTATATTAAAATTTTTAATTATTAGGAAAGGATTACTTTGAGTTTGCTAAAAAATATAACAGGGATCATAAAAAGTAAGAGGACGAAAAGGCTAAAGAATAAAAATTATAGCAATAATCAGACGATACTAATGTAAAGGCAAGTTAATAAAAGGCATTTTATAAAAATTATATGAAAGAAGAAAGAGTTAAATAGGTTTTAAAGAAAGAAGATCCTAACAAAAATTGGGATTAGTAAGTTTAGCGCTTGCAAGGTACTGAAAAAGTAGAAAAAGTATTAATGGCAGCTCAAATGCTAGATGTCTAAGCTCGTCGTAAAGAATAAATACTAAAGTACAATAAAACTAATGATTCTTCTGTAGCAGAAGACTTAGATGATTGTTATTTTAGTTCAATTAAAGCTAAAATTGCTTTACTTAAAGACTTTCATTAAATAACAAAATGATTGATTGTAAATAAATTCATACCTACCTAATTAATTTGTTTATAAAGCTTAATTTTTCTTGAAATGTTTTAATTCTTTACTCAATAAAATTTATCAATAAACTCAAAATAAATTTAAAACTAAGTAAGTTTATCATAATTTATTCATTTATTAATAACTTTAGCTATTAATAGGAGCTATTAATGAATTATGTAGATACATTCCTATGTAGTTTTAGGATAGAAATTTAAAAAGTTATTAATAGTTTTACTTGAATAATATAATTTTTGTTTTATTTTTTAAGTAGTTATTTAGTTTAACTTTATTTTGGTTAACAGAATAAGTCGTTTATTATCTTTTTTTTAAAATTTAATGAATCAATCAAGATTCCACTTCAGAAAATTTTTTTATGATCAAATTTAAACTAAAATTTACATTAAGTTTATGTTTTTAATTTAAGTATTATTTATGTAAAATTAAAAATTGTTATTATAATAAAAAATAATTTTAATATAATGAATAATGAATGAATGCTTAATTAAATTCAAAGTTTCAATAATTTTAGTATTTCTAAGCAGCTTTTATAGTTATTAATTCATATAAATTCATACTTAGTTTAACGATATATAATATTTATTTGAGTTTATTTCAGTAATAATTATGTGAAGCAATTATTGATTTACATCTTTCTAGTACAGCACGATTGTGCTATTCATTAGATGAAATAACATTATCACAATAATTTTAATGTGAAATAACTGGTTTGGGAGGAGATGTATATATAGATTAACTCAATTTAGCTGGAGAGTTAATTTAGGATCTTGAATATGGTACACCTTTATCTTATAGTTAAGCTTGCAATCTAACTTTCAAATCATAATTTTCTCTTCTTAAATCTTCAATTTCTCTTTAAAGCTAAAGCATTCTATTTGATGACTATATACCAACACCTTCAGAATTTATTTATCCATTCAAATTAGCAGAAAATTAAGTTCCATTTTACTGTAATTATCTTCTAAGATCTTCGTTTTCACGAATTACTGAACCATATTAGTGCTAAAAGTTAGGATTTGTTTAAAACAAATATGATTCCAACTCTTTACATCTTAAATAGAGAGCCTTGTTATCGTTTAACACTTTATCAAATTGCTATTGATATTTAAAATTTTCATCTCTATAAAAATTTGCCTCTCTGATCAAATTTTCATTGTTATTCTCTATATTGCTTAATTTTTAAATTGTTTAGTACTCTAAAGCTTTATACAAAGATTCATAATCCCTCTTTAATCCAGTAGGACCTGCATAAAGATAATCCATATTATATTTATTACTTGAGAGAGGATTAGGTTTACTTTTATTCTCACTATCTCTTAAATATGTCTCCATTTTATTTATCCTTTTATAGTATATTTATTTTACTAATTAATAATTAATTTTTCAGTAACTTAAAATCATAATAATAAATTTTACAGATATACTTTTGAAAATCTTAATTAATCAACTAATTTATTATAGATTCACTCACTCATTTACAAATAATTTTTATTTAAAAATCTTCAATTTAAAAGTTAAAATAATTAATTCATTTGCTTCAACATATTCAAAATAAATAATATAATAAAATATAGATATATAAGACTTTAACAGAAAATATATAAGCTAAAATAATATTTAAAATAAAATAAAATTTTATAGATAAATAAACAAAAATTGAGTATTATTCAAATAAGTCTGTTTAATAAATTAATCAGCAGTAAAAATCAGCAAATTTTGTTCTTTTGAGCTCACTACAGTTACTGCTTCATTATGTTATTTTAATTCATAGCAAAGAGTAAAATCTAACTAAATTAAAAATTGTTTACTATGCAATTAATTTAATTATCGAAATGCTCAAAAAAATTAAATAAAAATAGTTTAAGATATCCCTAAAAGACTAAACCTTAGTTTTTGGGGGTTAATCTAAAATATTGATGTTAGATATCTTAAAATACTCTTTTAATAACTTTGCATTATGGCAGGAGCATTATCTTATTAAAAGATAGATCCTTAGATTAAGAGTTTTATTTTATTTGAGAAATTTTCTTTTATGATTTATAGATTCGCCTTACTATTTAGTTTCCCATCATTAATATTAATTTAATTGGTCATGTTGAGTTAATTAGACCCCTTACCATAATTTCTTTTCTGAATCTTTTTTAAAGTAAGTGTATATTGCTAATCCAGGTATTAAAATAGGGTGAACTGGATAGCATTAATATTAACAAGACTATGTTTAAAATGAAATATTTATGAAAAAGTAATTAAAATTATTATTTAATAAAATTCTTAAATTGAATATAATATATCAATATTTAGTATAAAAAGAGTTCAAATACAATATTCAATATTTTTTCAAATTTTTGGCAGTTTTCATTATCTCCATGAATGAAAAATTCAAAATTTTAGATTATACTGTTTCATTCATTATTTTTATCAAAACACTAAAAAAATTAAAACTCAGAGTTTCTTTAAATTTGGTTTCAACTTAAGGTTAATATATTCACACTAGTACTTCTGTATAGTTCATTTTTATATGTTAAATACATAATTCTATAATAATCACCTGATTTATCTTATGAATCATTTCAATTAATTATTATTTTTATTATTATAATTTGTTCATAGTATTTAAAAATTTTTTATTTAACATCTTTCTTTATAATTATTCATAACTTTAATTCTATTATTATACCTAATTAAACAACAGTAATGTATTGCTATTTAAATTAATTTAAATTTTAGTTTAAAAAAATTAGAACTTATTAATACTCTATACATAAATATAGATAGATAAAAATACCTCTAGTTTTTATAATTTTAAAATAAAATAAGACTTTTATTTTTAGTTTAAAATACTAATTACATTTTAAGTTTTTATAAAGTTATATTTTCATTCTTAAATATTAACTTTTTTCTCTTCATTTTGTTATTATTTTATTTAAGGAATCATTTTCTTAGGTTTAAATAATATAAAATCTACCTCAGTGTATGCTACTTCTATTAAAATTTAATGAAAGATATTAAAAACAAAGAAAATGTTTTATGATATTACCTTTTTTGTGATATTTATTAAATCTCTTTGGAAGAGGAAACTTTATTTCTTAAAGAACTGTAAATTCATAACCACACTATTCAGCTTTCTTTTACAAGAACTTTATTTTAAAGTATATTTATTATAATTTAATCTATTCCTATTTCTTTTATTTAAAAATTTTACTTTTCTTGTTGATGATTTATGCATAGAATATACATTTCCTGAGCATGTTTCTTTTATTAAATTAGAAATATATTTTTTTAATTCTTAAATTAAATTTACAAAATGCTTTTTCAAGAAAAACGACATCTATTCCTTCATCTTTTGTTCCAAATGGAGGATTCATAACAACAGTATCAAATAATTTTCCATTCAATGTTGGAGGTTACCAATGTTTAACGTTGATATTTATAATATCATACATGCTAGGATCTTCGAATTTGTCTTCCAAAGTATCCAAAGTAATTTACGCATACTTAGAGTCTAATTCCAAGCCAATAACTTGCCTAACTTATAATAAACGTTTTAAAATTTAACTTAAAAAGATATCATTTATCTTATTTAATTAAAATCTCCATCTTCATAATTAAGTTGAATTTTAAGAAATATGTTTAATCTATAAATTTATACCCTGCACCAACACAGAGCATACCACAAGATAACATTCCTGTACCGCATCCAAAATCTCCAACTATTTAATCTTCCAAATTTTCCTCAATCTATTAGTATATTTCAAACATGATTATTTTTTACATTACGATTGAATATGCATTTTAATAACAAGTTTAAACCATATTCTATCCCAATAAAAAAACTAAAATCCTACTTCTGCAACCATGGAGACACATAGTGCTGCTACATTTGCTGGAGTCATATGCTACTCTAATTTTAACTTGCTAAACTCTCCTTATTCGAAGTTATCTAAGTCTGATAAGAAAGACTCAATATGTTTAAGTTTAACTTATTTGCCTCCTTTTCCTTACATTTTCAATATCTTTACTTGTTTGCTATTTGGATAATTTTAATCGAGTATATATATTTTATAAAGTCTGATTAGTATCCAAAAAATTAATAAATATTCTTTCTTCTTACTTGTAGAAATATCAAAATATTGCTTTTCATTCAAAAATATAATCCTACAGCCAGCCATTCATCAAAATATAAAATTTTTATCATATTTGAAAATATTAAAAAAATTTTTTTTGGAAAGTAAAATTATATTTTACTAAATTTAATAAAATATTGCATAATTATAAATAAATATTTTTTTAAAATAAGATCCTTTCTGTTAAATAAATTAACAATTTATTAGGAATATTTAAAATTTTAACGATTACTAAATAAAAATAGGTAACGATTTTTTAACGTGTAGCTAAAATTTAAATAAAATCGTATCATTAAATGCATATGAGTAATAAATATATTTTTAATTAAAAATTTATCGCCTACTTAAACATAAAAGATTTTAAATATTAATTTGTTTTTTGTACAAATAAAATCAAAAAATAACATCTGTAAATAAATAAGCCATAAAAAGGAAATAAATTTATGCTGATTTTATTGAAGAATAATTGAGAACAAAAGAAATAATGATAAAATCTCTTTTAAATTTTAATAATTTTATTTTATAAAAAGTTGTAAAAATATAATTTGTATATTCTTTTTTTTTAATGAATTCTTAACACTTTTATGAATGATTTATGAGTGGCAGAGGACAAAGTATTTAAATTGAATGGTTTTGTTTTTTTTAATATTAAAAGAAATGTTTTTTTAGTGGTTCAAAAATGAATGATTATTTTGATATGAAAAAGATTATTGTGAAATAAATTAATATTGATAATTTTGAGAAATATATATATTTAAGAGTAAAGTTATTGCTTGCTTTTATAATTAGTTGATAAATGTTTTTGCTTAGTAAAATTATGTTTTGAATAAATTATTTCAATAAGTTATTAAGGTTAGATTAATAAATAATTTATTAAATTCTTTGAAATAAAGCATTATTTTTAATTAACAAAATTTAATAGATAGTTAATTTAGTAGGTATTTCAAAAAGCAATGTAAAATTACTATTAGAATTCTTCGACTTCTTCTAATAGGTTTATGAATTTTGGATTATCCAGGCATTAGAGCGTAAGCAATTCATACGCATAAGAAGATAATATTCCTACTACTTAAAGAAATTTTTTGAATTATTATAATTAAAATGCAGACATTTCATAGAACTAGTTGCACACTACTAACAATAACATTTACGCAAACTTACGTAATAATGCAAATAATTTGAGTATAAGTTAGGCATATTAAACTGATAGATTTGGCAGAGAAATATTTGGTTAATATGTTAGAAGGTCTGGGAGAAAAAATCATGACAATTCAAACGAAGAAGAAGACTACTCAGATGAAGAAAATCGCAACTAGTAAGTTAACATCCGTCAACAAAGATCAAGAAATAGGGTTAATTAATAAGATAGCATTCATTAATAGCTTCATTAACAACAATAATAGCTGTTTTAAAACTCTCCTTAGTAGGAATAAAAATTATAGCGTAATCAGCTTGCAAACATATTCAATAATAATGACTTAAACTATAACGTAGCTGATTTAATTAACAAGAATGAGTAGGAAAAGGACGAAGCTGCATAAAAATAAGAAGAAGAAAATTTAGAAAAAATAAAAAGTAGTCCCTATTATATAGATGCAAATTTGATTATGAAAAGCACATGCTTCAACTAAATTTCATTTTAAATTTTCTTTCTATTCTACTTATCCAACGTACTATGGAATTTTAATGCATTATATAACTTTCTCTTCCTTTGGTTTGTTGATGTAGTGTAATTCGCCATGACTTATAAGCGCATATCACTAAAGTAGATCATTATTTATTTAAGATTTTTATCATAATTTGATTTAAGAATTGCAATAAGCAGTGATTAAACTTAATAAATATACATTCATTTGAATAAACACAAATATGCATGTATATATGCAAATTCAAGCTATAAATTTATAAAGAATTTTTTTTTCAAAGAATGCTTGGATGATTTTTTATAATTTAAGAAGCATGTTATTTAATTCAATCTAAAAAACAAATTTGAATTCATTAAAATTTTATATCTTAGTTAATTTACTTCTAAAAATCCTACAAACGAACTTTATAAGACTTACTGTAACAATACAAATTCATTCACTAATTAATTGATTGATTTATTTAAATATTAAATTTATTTTTATAAATTAAAAAGCAAGTTATTTCTGGAGACCTATTAAAACTAAAAATAAAAATTATCTTATGGATTGCTTGAATACTTAGAAATAATTTATTTTATAATTTTTAAGGTAATGAATAATGTTTGTTTATTTCTCTTACTGACATCATTTTTTAAACTAGAAACAATAAATTAAAATACTTCAATACGAATTTGCTAGTATTTTAAGGTTAAATTTAATCAGTTAATGCTTTATTTCTTAAAACCCCAAATGCCATAATATTAAATCTATGTTTTAATAACATTTTTTATAAATAGATTATACTATTTATTAGACTATACTTCATCAAGTTTGATTTCTTTTATATACCTTTAGTTTTTCTAATTTATGTTTCGTCTCGAGCAACTTACATCATGAGGAAAAAAGTCAAATAAAACTAATCGATTCTTACAGATATAGTACCTACTAATTAGCATATAAAAAATATAATTTATTTTTATTTTTAAAATATAGTTTATTTGGACATTTAAAATATTTCTTTCTGTCTAGATTCTTTTGATATCTTTAAAATTTGAGAATTAAATAAATTGGAAATGGAGAGATGTTTTTTGGGCATATTGGGTATTTTTTTCTATCATGGTTGGCATTAATATTGGATTTATAATTATATTATTTTCTAAATGCTATTCTAAGTGTTCAGAAGATGATGTAGAAATCTATGAATGTAAAGATTTATTTTATATTTATTGATTAATAAAATTACTATTATTTAAAAGTAAAGGGATTGTTTTGGCTTTTTATACTATCAAATTCACTAACTGTAAATATCACAATATATATAACTTCACTAATATCATATTATGATGATGGAGATAAGTAAGGAGTGTATTTTGGATTTTAATATGGATTGGCATTTACTGTTTTTCTAACAGTATATTCCATGTCATCACGAGAGAGCATCTAGTAATAACTATTTGTTTGTATGTTATAAAGCAAATTTTAATGCGTTTTTTAAAAATAGTCTATTTTTATTTAAAATCACTAAAGATGATGAGCTTTCTTAAGAAAACATAAACTTGCAAAATGAAATAAATGAAAATTACCAAAACTAATCTAATTCACGCTAACAGTAATAGGATATGAGCTAAAATAATAGAAGAAGAAATTAGAATTAAGATGACGTACAAGATTAAGAAGTTGAGGAATCTCAAGATGAAAGCTCTAATCAAAGCTAAAGATAATAAAATATTTAAAACGAAAATGTAGCAAATCCATAAAATACAAAATAATAGAAGAAAATTAAAATTGTTAAACAATAAGAATTAAACACAGGTTTTCCATTAATTTTAGTAATAACTAACTAACTAATTAATTATTTTTCAAAATTAAATATTAACCATTTAATTATATTTGACTTGAAAATCTAACTAAATATAACCTTTAAGAATAAGCAAAACCAGTTTTTTTTATTTGATTTTTAATATTGAAGATAGATTCTCTTCAAAATGAATAGATAAAAATTATTTTTTGACGATTTTTTATCATTAAATTATTAAAATTCCTAAAAAGTGCCATTAAAAATTCATCATCAGACGATTTTGATGATTTTATTAAAAATCCTAATCATAACATCATATTAATTAATTATTGATAAATTAGAATATTTTTTTTATCAGATTTTAATTACTATTTTTAATTTTTTTTTAAATAACAGTAAAAACTTTCATCAACGTACTTTAAAATATTTAAAGCTGTATCTTAAGGATCTAGAAATAGTATTTCTAAGTAAAATAATAAAAAGAAATAGCCATAACCTAGCAAAGAAGAAATTCAAAAAAATATTATAATTAACTGCAGTAATAAATAAATAAACGGTTTTAAATGAATTATTTCTAATTTTATTTTTTATAAAATTGAATAGAAAGCCATAGTTTTGTTAGCCCAAGAGAAGTATTAAGCTAAAATAATTTTAATTTTAAGGACTTGAACTAAGAATTAAGGCTATAGCTATCTACTAAGAGAAGCAGAGTTTTACAAACAAAAATGGAACTATCTACGAGAAGTGTAGCTAAAAGCATCTTGTTACCATTACAAGACCCTTAACTTAAAAAAATGGCTTAAGATACTGATAAAAAATATTAAAATTTTTTGTAAAGCGAAAAAGGAGTTGAAATACAGAAAATAATTTATGAATAAAATCTTAATCAAGAAGTTAATGATAACTAAAAAAATATAAATTTTTCCCTAGAGGAAATCCCTAAGTAGCATTTTAATATAGATGGACCTGTAAATGATTCTTAGATACAAAAAGATTAATAGGGAGAACAGTCAAATATAGAGAGTAATAACCAAGATATAACTCTAAAAAGCCATAATAACAACAAAAATGAAAATCAGAGCAATTATCAATCACAGTAATCTTCGAATGTCATTCATGATGAGACAAATAAAAGCAATAATATAACAAAAACAGGCAAAAATATAAAGCAGTATACCTGCGACTAAGATAATTTATAAGTGACTAAGCAAGAAAATTCTATAGGAAATACATGTGTTGTTTGCTTCGATAAAACTCCTGATACTTTGTATATGCCTTGTGGACATGGAGGTAATTTACTAACAACTAATTCTTTATTAATTTTTTATTTCTGATTAAAATGTTTAATTTGTATTATTATTTTGTTTGACGTCACATATTTGGATTTTAATTTCCTGACGAAATATTGATTTTTTTACGAACTACTTTTATCTTATACTTTATCCATGAGTAGAAATGTTAATACATGAAATAAATTACATTTTTCGTATTCAGAACTAAGTTTTTAAGTTTATTTTTAATTAATTACTAGGCTTATGTTACGACTGTGCAATAGATATCCTAAAGAAGACTGGAGAGTGCTATCTTTGTAGAGTGGTAATAACTATTTTTTAGTTTTATTAAAATCAACCTTTATAATTTTAAAAAATATTTTGAAGTACTTTTTACTAGTAAAATTTCTGATTGAATTTTTTCTATTTGTCGTATTTGACATAAGCTCAAAAACCCAAAAATATCTTTGGTTTATCAAATTTTATTATCCGCCCACTTATTAATTGATTGATTACAAATCAATTGCCAAAAAGATATTTTTTGTTAGAATTTAAACCAATTAAACAGAAATTATTTAATTTTTATATCTAAATATATTAATAAATTCCTTGTTTTCTTACTTATTAAATTAGGAAATAACAGAAATTTATTAGCTGGACATCAAATAGAAGAAAGGTAAAAATTACAAAGTATTGGCCATTACTTAAGTGCTTGAAGATGTCTCAAATTTAAGCTAATCTTAGAATGAAAATCGTAATACAAATCAGATGATACCTTTCGAATAAATTAATTAACAACTTTAAGAGCGCTTATAGCAATTGCCTCAATAAAATGAAATGATGTCTGCTAGCTTCCATATGGGAAGATAGGTTAATTCTCCAAGTAATAATAACACAGCCAATCGAAACTTCGTTTTTTAATAAGGAGCCTAATAAACATAAATAGGCTAGCTAATCTAAATAGAATAAATATAATTATAAAATAATGGCAACTTCTAAATCTCTGATAAATATCTAGCTGAGGATATAGAAAAGTCATTTTAAGATTAATATAAATTACCTAATACTTTAAACATTCATTAAAATTACTTTATTCAAAATGAGGAAATCTAATTTGAAAGTAATTAAAATAATGTAATTCTTGATCAATTAAATGGATAAATTTTAATGAGACCAACCTAAACAAGTTCACAAAGTCCATAAAATTTAAAAGACAATGCTTCTAATTTTTTAATAAAATTTGATTCAATTGAGGAAAATACTTTAAAAAAAGAATAACCTGAATAATAGGAAAACGAGGATTTTGAAATCTGTAGCAGCAATGAATCTCCTCAGTTAAACATGAATTTGTTTACGTAAAATCTTTAATAAAAAAATAGCACCTTATTGAATTAGATTAAGACACAACAAGATTAATTTCTGATCCCGTAGAATCAAAGCAACGAAACTATGCAAGTATAAGAAGATGAAACAAATACAACTGAAAAATCTGTCTAAAATATTTAAAATAAAGAAAATTTAATAAAAAACTCCACTAAAAACAATACATTAGCTGAAGCTCCTCTCAATTAAATTCAAAAAAGTTCACAAGAAGAGGAAATACAACTCCCAACAGAAAATTCTTGAATCTTCTGTAAGTAGAGATATATATTTTTATATTTCAAATTTATTAATTAAATTAAATTACACAGAAGATGAAAGTCATGGATGAAATCAATTAATTAATAAAAAAATGTATATAAGAAGGAATAGCGAACTAGAATTGAAAAAAATAGTTGCTTGTGCATATATTTAAGTTTTAAAAAGAATTTGATATGAAAGAGATTCATAAATAAATACTTTAGACTTGTTTTACTAAATATTGAAAAGTAAATATCCTAGGTTATAGAGTTTAAATGACAATAACTTTAAATCAATATTCACATATAAAATCACTATTTTTGAAAATATGGATAAATCGATTAATTAAAGTGAAATATGATATATTAAATGAGGTTTTGATTGCATCATAATTAGAACCAGTTAATTTTTAATGACTCGAAAATAAACAATTAATTTGTTTGAGTATACTTAATTAATTTATTTACATCTATAATAAATGCAAGAATATAAAATAAATAAACAAACAAACTCGCATTCATAAACAAAACACATTTATATTTTTATATACATTCATATATTTACAATATAAACCGATATCTTCTTATTTATTCTATCTAGTCTATAAAACTTTTTTGTCAGCCAATACTCACTAACTAACTAACTAAATTAATAACTCACTCTTCTCTTTAATTAAATTTTTTTTCAAATTAATATTTTTTTATTATTTTTCGTCATTTCAAATTTGTTTGAATTAATAAATGCCAAAATAAATAAAATGAAGGTAATGCATAGTATAATACTTAATTATGTAGATGAAAGAATATTCATATGCAATTTTATCCTTATTTTATTTAAATGGACGTCTTTTAGTATGTATTAATAAAAATTAACACTAGGAACCTCAATAAATTTAGTATAGAAAAGTAGCCTTTGTTAGTTAATGTATTTTTTAATGAATATTCAATTAATTAATTAATAATTTAATTAATTGCCGTAGATTAAGATTTTAAAAAGCAAAAAGATACTTTTTTCTTTCATAAAAATTTAATATCTCTAAAAATAAGATAAAAGTACAAAAAAAGTATTAAAAATTTTAAAAAGCTAAATCACATTTAAATTTACATATATACAATGGAACTTTTAAAATTATCAGACGAAGCCCTTATCAACGAACTTCATAGACGTTTCAAGTGCCGTCACATTAAGGATTCAAAGAGATTAGTATTTATTGGTAATACATTCATTTTAAGCATATTAAAAGAACCCATCCAAGTTGCATAAAGAGCACTTCTATCTCTCTTTATTACTCATAAATATTTCCAGAAAGATATGTTTTTTAAAATCATAAATTCACATATACTTAGCTTTTTGAAAAACTTGGAAAAAGGAATACATAGCATAATAACATTAACCCTTTACTCTTTCTAATAATAGGTGCTCCTGGTGCTGGTAAAGGTACTCACTCATACAAATTGTAAAATACCTTCTGCTTATGCTAAATTTCTACTGGTGATTTGTTAAGAAACGAAATTCGTACCGGAACTCAATTGGGTAAGTAAGCTAAGACTATTATGGAAAAGGGTGGCTTAGTCCCTGATGAGATAGTCATTAACATGGTCAAGAACAGTTTGATGAAGTAATTATAAAAATATTTTATTTAATTTAAAAGATTTTATCTAAATTTTTTTAAATGTAAATAGGCCTGATTGTGCTAAGGGTGCTATTTTAGATGGTTTCCCCAGAACTATTTAATAAGCTTAAAAATTCGATGAAATCTTGAAGAACGAAGGTTTAAGTCTCTTCAAGGCTATCTACTTCAAGGTAGAAGACGATGTCATCTTGGAAAGGTAACTTAATATTATTTTCTATTTATCTATCATCTGTATATTTAAAGCATAAGTTAAGATCAACTATTATTAGTAGCTCAATAATTTAGTATAGAGTTTACCTATTTGGTATCTCTATTCATTCTTTTACTTGTGATAATATAAAAATATTAGGAGATCTAATTCTCTGATCAATAAATATAAGAAATTAATAATTTATTTAGCCAATATAAATAGTTTTGGTTACCGTTTTAATTAAATCTTTTTTGAAAATAATTATAGATTAGGTGGCAGACTAGTTCACTTACCTTCTGGTAGATCTTATCATACTAAATACAATCCTCCAAAAATTCCTGGAAAGGATGATGTAATGAACTCTTTTTTTTTATTGTTTGAAGTTTTTTATGACTTAGCGTTATTTGAGAAAATCAGAAAATTAAGAATAGATGAAATAAATGCGACAGACAAATCCAAAATTTTTTTATCAAATCAATAATAAATTAATTAAATTAATAAAAAAATTTTTTTGGATATTAGATTAATAATTTTAGCTGAAAAAAAAAAAAAAATCAATTATTTAAAAAAACAAAGAAGATAAAAAATATTAATCAACAGATAGATAGATTGATAGACAAATAAACAAACAAACTAACAAACATATATAAAATTTAATTAAAAAATAAATAAAATTTTCTAGTTTTCTCTCTAAGTCAAATAAATTAGAATAAGAATGATCAAAATTGCAATGCAATATTAACTATTTATAATAATATATACAGATTACTGGTGAAGATTTATCTCAAAGACCTGATGATGTTCCTCAAACAATCAAGACCAGATTAGAAAACTTCCACTCTCAAACTAAGCCTATGTTGGACTACTATGAGAAGCAAGGTTTATTAGCCACTATTAATGCTCAAGCTTCTATTACAAATGTTTGGAGACAAATAAAGGATGTCTTTAAAAGTGGAAAACAAACCAGCGAATGAATAAACACTTGATTAATCTACTTTTTATTAGTCTTAATATAGTTAAATATATAAATAGTAATGAAGAGAAAAGTAAAATTATAATTTAAATATATTTGGTGAAAACGAAGTATGGAAGGATAAAATAAGCAACGATTTATAGAAAGCAGTGATAAAAATTAATTTAACAATAAAGAACGAATTATCTATCAATAAACTGTCAATATAAATTAATAACATATTTTAATTTGCAAATTGATTTATTTTTATTTTATATGTAACACTATTTCATACTAAATGTACACTGAATTGCTTTTCTTCTAACCAATTTCTTATCTGTCTCATCTTACCTTTAATTATATTCACTAAATCTTTCACTTTTATTTAATTCTCAAATTAAATTTTATTAATGATCAAAAAATTTTTTAATTATGGATATTTATTTATAAATATGTTGAATAATTTATCTGTAAAAGCAATGTGCTCCTTTATATTTGTTACTATATAATCTTTTGATTTCTTACTAAAAATTTAAAATCTAAATTACCACAAAATGTTCCAATCAAACTCATAATTTTAATAGATCACATCAAAAAATTTTAAAAATAGATTTTATAAGATTTTCTAATTTTCAATAAAAGTTTTAAAAAATTTTCTTTCATATTAATATATCCAATGAAATAAAAATCATTATTTTAGATTTTCTTCTAATTAATAAAAAAGAAATGAGTAATTTAATATTTTAACATAAATATGTTTAATTTAATAAAATTATTAAAATACTCTTTTTGAAATCTATTATTTTTATTCTAATTGATAGAGAATTAATCATCAAAAATTTTCAATTTAATTTTATCCGAAATTCAGCTTTCGGATAAATGGCTGTATTTTTTATTATCCTATTCAAATATGGTTTCTTAAAATTTATAAAGCAAATAAATATCTTTTTGTTTCTGTAAAATAAACTTTAAAAAAAAAAAATTAAAGTATTTAATTTAAATGTAAATAAAATGAATGTGAATATAAAATTTATAATCCTTTACATTTTAAATTCTAATAAAATAAAAGTAGTTTCTTTACAACTTTTTACTTATCTAAAATCAACTTTTTAAATGTAATAATTTAGATTTTTTTCTAACCCAAAAAATTTTAATTAAATAAAAATTAAATTAATTTTTCACTTGAAATTTTTGTAAAACAGATAATACTTTGTAATCTACTCATTCCATAATAAGAATGACTTATATTGTAAAATTCAAAAAAAGCTATGCAATTAATTTTTTCAGTAGAAAGTAGAAATAAGTTTAGAATAGATTAATCGAAGGTTTATTTGAACCATCAAGAAAATTAAAATTTTTGAATTTATTATTTAATATTTAATCATATTAGTCTATCTGAATATTTGAAGGGTTGGTAAAAATATTTACTGTTTTTATCAAAAAAAATAAATTAAAGTCATAAAAATATAAAGATTTAGATATTCAAATAATTATTTAAAATAAAGAATCTTTATAATTAACTAAAAAATAAAAAAGGATAAATTTTAAATTGATACAATTATGGGATCTATTAAGAATTAAGAAGAAATGAGTCAAGTTAATCCAATAGATACAACTTCTACAGTAGCAAGAATACCAGAGAATGAATTAAATAAAGGAAAAGTTACTTATTTGGGTATTTTTTTTATGATTCTTCTTTGCAGTTTAAACAGCTATTTCTAGTATTCATCTTTGGTATTTAATTAAATGAGCTACTCGAAATTGGGTATGCTTTCTGTAGCTACATTTTTTATTTCTAGCGCTGGAGGAACTATTTATGCCCCATGGTTTAGCAGAACATACTTTCATAGCTATTCTAAAAAGTTTTTAGTTGCAGGTGTCCCTCATTGTATTCTTTTGTTTGTTGGCATAATAGCTTCACGTTGTTCTGATAATCGTGAAGAGGAATGTTCAGGAATATTTCTTTATTTAATTGTCTTAGTATCTTCTTGCATTTGCGGTTTAGGAAATGCACTTCTTTGGGTATTATAAGGTGCTTACATTACTGACTGTACAAGTGAAAGGTAATAAATTTGAGTATTTGTATTTTCATTAAAGTATGATTAGAATATGAATAATGGCATTCTAAGCATATAGAATTCAAAATATGTTGAATAAAATATTAGCAATAGTAGTTTTAAAAAGTAAAATATTTATCTAAGCAAAATACTTTTTAAGTAGAGCATAAATTCTCTCCTTAAATATTAACTAAAATTTAAAAAAATATCAAATTATGTTTGAATTAGGCCAAGTAATTTAAAAAAATATTTTTATAATTTTAGAAATAAAGGTGAATTCTTTGGAATCTTTTTCTAGTATTCTCAAGTGAGCAATATATTTGGTCCTTTATTGAGTTCTTATTTGTTCAAGAATTATGGAACATCTGGTTACTTTTCGTTTATGTTCCTTCTTACGCTGGTTAGTAATCTTTTGTCATTCTTTATTAAGGAACCAATGGCTGTTTATTAGAATGGATAGGACTAATTGCGTTCCAGTGAATATGATTAAAATAGCAATATTTATTTTGAAAATTACAGAGAATTAAATGAAAAATTAATTTAAAGAAATAGCACTCTTCACCCTCCTACTAACGAAGATAAACTTGACTTAACCAGATTAAAATAATTCTTAGTAGAGAAGTATTAAATCAAGTTCTATTTTCCTCTATTCTTCTTAAATGGATTTTTTTTAGGTTATTACTGGAGTTAAATTGGTTTTTTAGCCTCTTCAAAAATGAAAAACGAAACTGTTGATGATAAAAATGAAAAATTAGGTATTATATTTCTTTTGATGGGTTTAATACAACCTATACTAGGAAGAAAGCTTGGAGCAAGTTTTGATTAAATGGAAGATAAAGTCCTTTACTATAAAAGAGTTATTTTTGTTTCCTTTGTATGCACTGTGTTAGTTATTATATTTTATTTCCTGAATTTTCTCTGGCCTTTTTATATTATAAGTGCAATGTTTGGTTTTGGAGAACTTCTAATAAAAGGATTTATAGGTGGTGCCTTAAGTATGAAATTTAATGACAACAGCTACGAATCTTTTGCAATGTATCGTTTAATCTCAAACATAGCAAGTTTTGTAGCTATGATTATATCTACAATTTTCACACCTGAAGTTCCATTAGTAATGATGTGTTGTCTTGCCTTTAATGTATACACCTGTATTATTTACACACCTAAAATTAAAACACATCTGAGTGGTGATGTTATGTTTGCTTCTGCACATTCTAACTATTGATCAACCATTTTCAATTCAAATTTAAGTTAAAAACATAGAAAAACATAAAATTAGTTCGTTAACTATAAAATCTTAAAATTAAATTTATAAAAATTAAATATATTTAGCTTTATTTATTTTGAATTTTATTGTAAAATTAATTAAAGTGAGCTAATAGTTTTAATAAAATAATAAAATGCATACCTTAAAATTATTTATATAAAATTAAATGCTTGTTTTAAAATTTTATTAACTAAGACAATATTCAAAAAATATAATAAATGAGGAAAAAATTCAAATAGATAAAAAAGGTGAAAAATATTTCATTTTTTTAAACTGAATCTTTGATAATTATTTAAATTTTGATTTCAATAAACAAATACAAATCAAATTTCTATTTGCTTTTAAAAAAATTGTTTTATTAAAACTTTTAATTCAATATGCCTTATTTGAAAAAAATCGATAATAAATAATCAGCTTTTAAGGTCATTGCTTAAAGAATCTTTCTATAAAATTGATAGATTTTAGAAAGTAGAAAAAGATCTAAAAAATTAAATTTACTTAAAAAACTATGCATTTTTAGAAGATATTTATTATTTATAAAATAATAAACACAAAATAAAAAAGACAAGAGCTATTTAAAATAAAATTGAAAATATTTAAGGTTAGATAGGAAAATAATTTAAGTAAATCAACGGTATAGATTTTGATAAAGTTAGAAAATGTTGGGATGAAATCAAAGTTCAAATAACAATAATTAAAAAATTAATTTAATTTGAAATACATATAAATATTTTGTTATAATATTTTGTAAGACTTCAAAGTAAATATTTATAGCGGAATTTGATTAGAATATAATCATATTATTTATTGTTCGTTTGTAAAAATTAATTAGAATCTTTATAAAAACAAATAAATTTAATTAATTAATTGCTGAAATCAAAAAAGAAAATCGATTAAAAACAATTAATCTAAAAAGAATCTGTTTTAATCGATTTGAAAATCACATATAAATTAATAGGTTTATAATCAGCTATTTAGAATGTAGTAGCAACTAAAAGTTTCTCCAGAAGAGATTATGCAGTATTGTTCAAACAATTTCAAAGCTATAATACCTGTTTAGAAGAATGAATTAGTGGATATGAATGCAAATTTGCAGCGGATAAATAGGATGAATTTAGAAGATGATGCATTTGCAAAAACTTCATTGATAATTTAATAAAATTAGGGAGGATCTATATTAGCATAATAATAAAAAAAAAATTAATACAGTAGCATTATAAATTCTCCTTTGATACAAGCAAATAGCTAAATAATATAACCACATTAATAGAATATGATTATGCCATAAAATGTTTCATAGAGTTAAAATCATTAAATTTAGGCTGTGGCAAATTAAAATCCATATTCAAACAATAAAATACTTAAAACATTTATTACTCCATTTGAGAAATATCACTTGCAGGAATTAGTAGAATAGACTGAGATCATGATATAACTTCTTATACAAAATATATTTTTGGCAAATACAGAAAGCACTTAGTTATAAACATACAATTTATTAACAAAATTAATTGAGAAAAGAGATTAAGTTTTAGGGAGAATAGGCCAAGATAATAAGCTCATTTCTTATGGTATCCCCTTCGAATTTTTTGTAATTATATTTTAACTATTAAATTTTTGATTGTTTTTTTTGTTTGTTTGTTTATTTGCTTGCTGGTTTACTAAAAAATTAGTATTAGCGCCTATTCAACTAAATATTAAAAATTTTTGTATCTTTTAAAAAGCTAAATGAAGAAACCAGAGCAAAAGATCAGCAGCTCTAAGTGGATTTTATACCTCAAATGTCAATATTTTAAAGCCCTTTGCTAAATATACTACCTCAAATGAAGAACTTGCTTAAATAGTAAAATCATTTTATGAGTTATTTAATTCTAACTGTATTTTATATTTTATAGAAAAAATAATTTGACTAAAGAATAAATTGTGGATTAATTAGGTTCTGATTATTCTCCTTTTATAAATAAACTCTACTTGCCTACATTCACTTCTAATTTTGGCAAAAATTCCTCTAGAAGCAAATTTACTCCTCTTGACGATAATCTTCTTTTATAAGGACTAACAAAATATGGCTCTTCATAGTAAATTACCTTTAAATTGTTGATTAATTTATAATTTTAAAAAATAATTAAATAATTAAAGAAATATGGAACAAATTAGAAGTATTTTTTTGCAGGAAAAACAAACTTAAGAAATAAAGCACAGATATAAAAATTTAATATGCTCAAAGGCACAGCCTAATCCAATTAAAACTTGGAAAAATAATTAGTATTCACCTTTATCAGAAGTAATATTTATATTATGATTTTTGAAGGAAACTAAAAAAATATATTTTAAACAATTAGTCCGAAATTAAATAATTTCTTAAGGGTCTTAAATGGTTTGGAACAGAGCATAAATTCAACACTATTAGTAAATACTTTTTTCAAAATAACAGAAGTGGCAATTTATTAGAGCAAGAATTCTACAATAAAGAGAAACTTAATAAAAAAAGAAAGAAACATAATTATGAGGTAACTAGTATAAAGTATAATTAATTACTCAAAGACTTTGAAATAACTGATGTTCTACTATAATGTTCTAAAATGTAAAACAGATATGTTAATAAATAAGATTCAAATACTTTCTCTGAGGTAATTAGTGAATTAAATAAATAAGAGAAAAGAAATCTAAGTCCAATTAATTAAGATTTTTCTAACTCCTCAGAAAAAAAACAGTCAGAATCTAACTTTAGACAAGATAATTAATACAAATAGAACCCATAAAAAAAAATAAAAACAGAATAATTTTACAATCAGCCATTATAATAATTTGAAAATAACTTTTAAGGTAGTAATTTATTATTAGATAGATCTTTTCATAATTAAAACTTTAATAACAATAATACCAATATATAAAACACTCAGTTTAATAACGAAGAAAACTTACAAAATGTAAACAATAAATTTAAAAATGATTTTAATCATAACAAAAATAACCTTTCACTCGACTTTTAGAGTTATAATAGTACTTCTGATTTTTATCTTAAAGAGAAAAGAACCTCTCCTAGCTAATATAATAATAACAACAATAATACTTGCTATTTCAGTTCAAGTAATAATAATAACAAAAGTGCATACCAATCATTCAATAATAACAATGTCAATGTTTTTAATAAGCCATCAAAATTCAAAATGATAAATAATGTCACTTACGAGTATGATGAAATTTGACTGAGGCGATGGAAATATTTTCAAAATTTGAAATTTGGTAAATAAAAAATAAATAGTTAAATTAAATTTACTTTATACTAAAATAAGATTTTTAATGCAATACTTAAATAAATATACTAAAATATAAATAAATTCTCATTAATAACCATTAACTATTCTAATATTAATTCATTTTCAATATAAAAATTATAAAGAAATGTTGTTTTTGTTTTTTGCAGTTTAATCTGCAAATATAGATTTTCTGTCTTTCAATTATTTAATATTAATAAAATAAACCCAAACATTAATTTCATTTCGTGTTTTTTTTGTAAAAAATTAATGATAATTCTAAAAAAATAAAAGGATAGATAATGTTCAATTCAAAAATTATACCATTTTAAAAATATTTAATAAAAAAATAAATTTTAAATAAAATAATTATCATCAAACATTAATTAATTTTAAAACTAATTTAGTTTCTTAAAATATAATAAAATATTTAAGATGTTTTCTTATTATTAAGCATATTTTAAACCATCATCGCATTTATTTTTTTCAAAAAAAAATGTATTGCATTTATTATAAAGTTGAAAATATGATTTTTAAAATTGAATGATATTTTCTTAATAGTAATAAAAATAATATTAATATTTTCTTTTTAATTTTATTTAAATTATTTGATTAAATGTATGTGATTTTTTTAGATTTATTTCTTTTTAGATTCTCTATTTATTTTTTCTCTTATTCTTTATTTATGTTTTTAATTTTCTTAAAGTTAATTTTTTTATTTTTCTGTTAATCTGTTTTTAAATTTAAATTTGAATTTTTCTTAATTATTAGGTTTTTGCTTATATGATAATTTTTTTTTTTTCTTTAATTTTTATCTATACTTTTTTTTTATTCTTTTAAAATGTTATTTATTTTTCTTTTTTATTGTGTCTCTTCATCTTCTTTTCGTAGCTAGGCCTAATAAAAAAATATTTTTATATATATTTGGAAAGAGAATTTTGTTGAATTTAATAGGCTTTTAGATTCAAGAGGGGATTCGACATTATTTTGTTTACATAGATTTTTTAAAAACTTAGGGTCTCAGGCGCATATTCAACACATTATTTTTTTGCCGATATTAAAAAAATTAAGAAATGCAAACAAAACTTTAGTTTTCCCACGTGCTCTTAGATCTAATTGCTTTCTCAACATTCAACAAGATATTTTTGAAAGACATTTTTTTTATTTGTTTTCCCAATATATCCTTTTTTATTTATTTATTTTTTTTGGATATTTATTTGATTTTTTTCTTTATTAATATTTATAAATTTTAATTTAATTTTCAATATTAAATATTGCTTATAATTAAAAGAAAAAATGTAGAGTCTAACTGCCAAAATAAATAAATCAATAAATTTATATACATATTAATACATACAAATATTAGTGAAAAATATTCAGGTTTTTTAATAATACATACAAATATTAGTGAAAAATATTCATGTTTTTTAAAATTTATAAATTAAATAAATTATTTTCTATTCATTTATTCTTTTTTTATTTTGTATTTTCAACAGGATGGTCATTAGCTCTAGACAAGGAATCGTAAATAGAGAGGAATACTTCATCATAATTTTTAGTAAATGGCTTAGTTGTTTTTTCTTCTTTATACTTTAAAAATTAAAATAATTGTTAAATATTTTTTTTTATTCAATAATATGCTTAATATTTTATTTAGAATTACTATTTGCTTTAGCTTTTTGAGAATGTATGGATATCTTCTATCAAAAGCACTCATAAATTTCTAGCTTTTTTCTTCATTCTCTCTAATTGTATTTTTTCTTTATAAATTTTGATTTGGCGATTTATGTAATTGAATACCTTCTATTGACTTTGCAATAGAGTATTAATTAGATTACTCAATAGAAGAGCCTTTTTTTAAGAATTGATTGATATGTTAGGAATTAAAATTAAATATTTTATCGTTATCTTGTTAAAATTTTATTTTTTGTTCATCTGACTTTATTTTTTGAGGTGAGATAGTATTGCTTTTACTAAACTACTATGAATGCCCATACATATTTTTCTAAGGAGAATTTACATCTTTAGAATTTGAGTGATGATAATCAGCCTTTTAATATTATAAGAATTAAGATATGGATGGAATATCCTCTAAATTCACACTTTCACCAAATTTTTTATAATCTTAGCTGAATATTCCTTTTTTCTTCATCGTTGGAGAAATACCAGGAGACTGATTTTAGCTCTTATTATTTAAAACAATAATTTTACTATAATTTTCTAAACTTAAATATTACTTTATTAGTATCATTTTTTTTTATAAACTACTAGTGATATATTTTTAAATTTTAGAAGTCCTTTTCTTACTAAGCCTTTGAATTTTTTTATTAAAGATATTAGTAGAATTTTGGGTATTTGCCAAAATTTTATCCATAATTATGTATTGAATCACTATATTCTATATTTTAAACTGAAAAGCAAAGTAGCTCATTTAGCTTTTATTTATGTTTATCAGTACTACATATACTTTCTTTTTTTTAAATAATATAATTTTAAATTAATTTTAGATATTATAAAAACATTTAACTATTCATAAAACTTTACTGGTCATTTAACTCTAAAAAAAGCAATTATAAATTCATTAAAGATAGAATATTATTCTAAAAAAAATAATTTTAAAAATATAAAATAAAGTAAAATAATAAAAATATTTATTTTGAAATAATTTTTTACCATCATCTGAAAGAGAGTGTTAAACACTTAATTAGTTTAAGGGTATTTGTAAGTTTGAATTTATAGTTTATGGCTATGCTGATGACTAATTTTCTTACTTATCACTTTAGATCTAAATATTAATGTAATTTTAATTATTTTTCTTTTATTGTTTTTCTATTAATCTAGAAATTCTATTCTCTTCTTCAATAATTTGACTTTATGTTTTAAGATCTTGTTACAGTTTATTTAAACAGTCTAATTTTTATCAAATATAAAAATATGTCATAATTATATTATAAGAATTTTTTTTTACCATCAAAACCTTCATTGAATTTTATAGGTACTGTATAGCCTTTTACTTAGTCAGATTTTAGATGTTAATAATCTCTTTATTTTTATAAAGATGATGCCATTTTACGTCTATCAGTTCCTGCAGTAGTAATTGAATTAAACGTACGATTAAGCTTTGACATGTTTGTACTAAAATGATTTTATGTGTTATTTAAAGAAAATTATCTAGAATCTTTTAAGTTCTCTAAGTACTGTTTTTCTGCCTTTTTAAGACGTTAGTGCTCTTGTAGTAAATAACCCCTCTTGTCCTAACTTTTGACCTTCATTTCAAGAATAGCTGGATGGTATTTAACGAAAGGACTAACCTTTATATCTTCCTCCTCACCATGAGGTTTTTTTTCTTTGGGAATCATCCAATCAGACTTTAAAATGACGCTCTAATGTTCTTCTTCAGATAAATCATTGATTTATTTTATCTGTGATGACTTTAGAAAATAATTTAATAAAATTCCTCAATATTAATTAAAGCTTATATTAATAAATGAAAATATCTTTTCTTTATATACTAATTTTCTAAAATATTTTACAAATCTGCTTATACTATCGTCTCTATATGACATGCTTCTAGATTTAAGAGGTGTAATATTATATGTTTGCTGTTTTAATTAAAAAAATGTAAAATTATCAAAATAAACAATGAAATTTAATTATCTCAATTTAGCTAATTACTTGAGATTATTACTTTTTATGCTCCTTTTTTCTTTCATTTTCTTTGTTTTTCTTATCATTTATTTGTTCCTTTGTTAATCCCAGAGTAGAAAATTTATTCATTTTAAGATTAGCTAGCGCTTTAGATTTCTCTTCTATGAGCTATCTTTTTTCTTTAGACAATCCTTTCATTTTATTTTAAGAAAGTTTGCGCAAAAAAAATTATTGTAGAAATTTATATTTTTGTTCGCTTGGCTATAATAAATTGCTTGTTTGTTTCTGTTGTAAATAAAATATAGGTCCAGATTAATTAATCAATAATCAATTATTAAATTAATTCTTTCTTATAGCAATAAATATAAATGATTAAAATTATGTTAATTTATCATTATTTTTATTAATTTGATGTTAAATACTTAAAAATAATTAATTTTGTTCATATTTACTTGGATATTATATATAATTGATCAGTAAACTTTCACATTTATAAAATTTACCTAGAAATATATTAATTCATCTTATTGTGTTAATATTTAAAATTTAAAGTGTTTTATGTCAACTAGACATTTAATAAAAATTAAAAATTGTTTTGATGCATTAATTTCAATTGGCTGAAAAAAGAAATTTCGATATCTTATGCAAAAAAAAAATTAAATAACAAAAGATCTATCAAAATCTTTTTATATTATTTGTTAATCACTTAGTTTATTAATTTAATTAGCATAAGGTTAAATCAATAGTAAAGTATTTTAAAATATTTGAAAAATATGATTTCAAGTTTAGTTTTGCTCTCAGGTACTGGCTTTTTATCTTATGGCTACTACAATTTATGGAAAGAAGGTAAAACTGCCAGACTATTTGACGAATGGATGAAGATAGAAACATACGACATTGATTTTGTTAGAGATCTATCTGAATTACCTTAAGATAAAGATATAGTTATATAAGGCACAATATTACACAATGACAAGAAGCTAACAGCCTCTACAGATAAAGAAATCAGCGTTGTTTACAAAGAATTTATGGAAGTTTTTCAATAAGTTGAAGAATCTGAAGGAGACTTCTACTACAAAAGTCGAATTTCTGAAAATCTTTAATTCAAAATTGGAGAACCAAGTGATCACAAAAAATAAATCTAACTTGATTTCATACCTAGCCAAATAAACTTTTATAATCCATATAAGGTAAAAGAAAATATTGACGCATCGCTCTACTCTGCTGAACTATCTCTTGCATAAAAGTTAAAATTGAAGTTATTTAGAAAGAAGTATAATTTGACTGAATTTGCACTTCTACCAAACTCTACATTCTCTTATATAGGAAGAATAACTCCTAACCAAATATAATAAGGAAATAATACTAATGCCCCTCTCTATCGCTTTATCCCTAAAGTAATAATGTCTGATAATAAAGATTATCTACTTTAACATTTAGACAGATACTTAGTCACTCTTAATGAAAAAGGGAAGCGTCATTTAAATGTTGGAATAGGTATTATGGCTTTGCATTTTGCTGTATCAAAGATTATTTTTGCCCCTGTAAAAGAGCAACTACCTGAATGATAAAATAAGATAATATACATCATGCATACCTTTCATAAAAATATCAAATTACAAAAAATAGTAATCCATCCTGTATATATGTAATTAATTTAAGTATAACACTCATAAAATACATTGACACTTTATATTGAAATTAATTTAAAATTTGTTTATTTTACAAAAAAGACATTTATTTTTAATGTTAAAAATGCACTCTTTAAATAGGATAAAAAAAACTAGTTTAAAAGTAAACTTGTGAATGTGCAAATCAAAATATTAATAGCTTTTTTAAAAGTTAAATCAAAATTTGAGAAATAATTAACAACATTTTATGAATGTCTTATCTAAACAAACAATCAACAATTATAGTAAGAAATTTTTTATATTTCTGAATTATTTTTATCATATGAAATCTTCATCATCATCAGGAGCATTTTTATTAGAAGTCATCATTTCTTTGTTTTCGTTCAAGTAATTATAGTTTTTAGATTGCTTTTCTAATAATTTTTATTTATTTTCTTCATCTTCCTTTTTTTATTATTCTTTAAATTCTTTGAATCTCTTTCTCTTTAATTCAAGGATGTGCTTTTCCTTTAAATCTCTGAAATCAGGCTTTTCTTCTTCTCTTTCAGTTTTTATGATTGCTTTCACAATATCTTTATCTCTTGTAATATCTCTAACTTTTTTTCTGAGATTTTCGCTGTGGAAACCAATAGCACCAACCTCCATGTTATTTGTCTTATGCAAATTACTCCAAGGAGTATAAACAATATCAACCTTATCTTTCTTTTTTCCTTGAATACTGTTTTCTTTAACTAATTGGCAACATTCTTGAATGAGCTTTTCATCTATATTAGTCCACTCTTCACCTTCATTTAATCTAAGGTAAACGTGAGCAGAACTTAAATCATCAACGTGGAACCAAATATCTTCATCCCAGCCGTATTTAATTAATTCTTCGTTTTCAAATTTGTCTCTACCCATGTAAAGAAGATGTCCGTCAGAACTAGTGTAATAAAAAACCATTTCGCTTATTTATATATTTATTCCCTTTTTTCAAATTTACTTTTTTATTCTAAATTAAAAAAACTAAATTATTAATTTTTTTGATATTCTTTTTTAATAGGTAACCACAGATAAAAAATATGTAGAAGCAGCAAATTTTCCCATTTTAATAATAATAGCTTAAGTTAATAAAATTTAAAAAAATAAATATTTAATAAATCATTAAATGGAAAATTCATTTTAATAAAAAAGTAATAATAAACATATGATCATAAAAAATTTACCTATTTTCCTTCTAATTTTTAATAGCTAGCTATGAAGGAGTTTATTATTAATTTAAGTGATCATCTTTTTATTTTTCAACAATTAGATCTAATTCAAAATATAAAATTTCATATTTAGTTGGATAAAATATCAAATTAAAATCATTAATTAATAAATTAGTTGAATTAAATATCTAATTAAAATCATTATTTAATAAATTAGTTGAAATTATATTTTCATTAGTTTATTAGTGATTAATGGTTGAATTTGTACTAAACAATTAGATAATATTTACCTTTATATTTTCAAGATATTTATGTGTATTTCTTTACTTATTGCTGTAATATTTTTCAATGAAAAGTTGAGAATTTATTCAATATAGAAAAATTTCATCAAAAAACGTTTCTATATATTTTATATACGAATATCATATTCTCTTAACACAAATCTTATTTCGAAGTAATGTATTTAGTGAGTGATTACTTATAATAATATAAAGTGCTAATTTTTTAAAGGAATTAAAAATCCATACTGTTATTGAATTTTACAAAACTAAATTTTTATATGCTAAATATGTTTAATAAGTGATTAAAAAATTCTGCAGCAAAATTTGTTAAATATACTTTAAGATATATTATATTAGTAAATTTAGTCTCAACAAACTTAACAATCCCTTACTAAACACACTCTAAAATAAATGTTTCATTATTGTAATAATTCTAGAATAAGAATCCAAATAAATAAAAATTTGATTATTCCTAACAAATATTTTTTTAAACCCTCTATGACCATTTTTTACACTACTTTAATCTTTTAAAATCATATAAAAACATATTAATTTTACTTGAATTAATAAATAAATATATTTTTAATATTTTTTGTTATTTATAAAATTTATTATTACTTTTGATAGTATTAGATATTAATAAAATATAAAAATTATATTTTTAAAAGATGTAATTTAATTTTTATTTGTTAATACAAAAATTTTTTGAGAGAATTTTATGTAACTCATAAAAATAATAAATTTACTCAAAAAAATTCTCAATAAATTAAAAAGGAAACTTCAATTTTACTTTTATAAATTTTGATAATAAATTAAACATTTTATTTAGTATTATTAATTTGTTGCACTCTACTAAAACTCATATTACAATATATATTACAATATTTATTTATTAAATTAATTGACCCTATTATATTAATTATCAAAAATGATTTATTTTTTATTGTTTATTATAATCACTCACAAATTCAACATAGTTAAATTAGACATCATTTTCTTATTATAATTATGGGTTTTTTAAACTATTTTTAAGCATAAAAACTTCTTTTTCATTATTTTTAAGCTAAAGAAATAGATAATTATTATTTAAATCATTATCAGATTATTAAAACATCATATCCAATCCTTTTTGGGGAAGTAATTTTATTTATTTCAACTGTTCTTATTCAGATTAGCAGCCATTTTCAAAGTACATAAATGGTTCTATTTACATCTCAGCTTATTATTATTGTAAATTTTGAGAAAATCCTAATTAATCTGACTAATCTATACTGGATATATCTTTTTTAAATTATATGCTTTGATCTTCAATATTTAAATTTTATTCTAAACTCTAAGAATATCCTAATCCTTAATTAATTCCCATTTCAATAAATTATTAATTTTCAACATTATTTAACTATTATTAAAAATTTTATTAAATGAGAATTTAAAAATTTTCAGGAGTGATTATTTTATTAATATTATTCTTTTAGGGTATTTATAAAAATGAAGATTTATTTCCCTAAATAGTGGACTTAGTTGAATCTTTCAAAGTGGTTGATTGATAGAGATTATTAAAGCTTATTTCTGATAAATCATCATTACAAAAAGAATTAGTTTGTTTTGATGAAACAGAAGTCACTACTTATAAATTATTTGTTTTTTAATTAACTTCATCAATATGTTAGTATTTACATCTTAAAAACTCGTTTGTAATTGCATCTGGATAGTATTTTTCAATGAAAATCTGAGAGTTCATTGAATATTCAAAAGTTTAATCACAACACAATTCTAACTCTTTATTTTATTCAATATAATACTTTCTTGCTCTTAATGTTAGCAATTATTGAAGCATTGTAATGCTAATATCATATTCCACTAATCCAAATCCAATCTCAAAAAAATTTATTTAATTAAAATTTTCAGGTAAGTAGTAACTTCTAATCTCTTTACAAGGAATTTAAAATCCATCATAGGAGAATATTACTGTGTCGGCAACTGATTTTTAAAAGATAACATCTTTACAAGCAAAGGGAAGTAATGAAATAGCAATTGCATTTAAAAAGGTATCTCCTGAGTAATAGTTAGAATCTCCTGAACGCAGAGTTATATTATTAAATTAATCTTAATCAGTTCCCAGCAAACTCAAAAAACCTTTACTAAAACCTACAGTTCTTTACTCTATATTCTCAGTTTCATAATTATAAAATATGAATCCAAATAAATAAAATTTTGATTAATCCAACTCATCCACTTTGTTTAAGCATTCTTTAATAAAACTCTAATACTCAGAATGATATTCTTCATAATTCTTTAACCTTTTATAAAAAGAATAATAGATTATTACAAAGTTTTAAATTTTAAATTTCAAAATTTGATTATTTTTAATTAATTTAGTAAGTGATAAAAGAATTTTTCTGATAAATTCTTAGAAATATTTTAAAATTTGAGATAAATAGAGTATTAAGATTTTGATTATCTCTATTTATCTATCAATCATTTATATTTGTTCTAGAATAAAGACTAATTAATCACAAATAAATATTCCCTAATCAGAAAAAAAGTGTATTAATTAAATCAACTAAATACATATATATATATATTTGTCAAGCTTGTCTATTTTTAATATAAAATATAAATAAATATACCTCATTGGAGCTAATAGCTAAGCCTATTTTTTCCAAATCTAAATATTATGTTAGAATTATTTAAGAACCTATGCAAGATTATAATAATCTTATTTCCCTTTATTCATGTAAATATTTATTAAAAAATCAAATTATTCTAGCCCTTTAAAGTTACACTAAAACTCTACAATGCTATAATTCTTCTTTTTTTCAATACTCTGTAAAGGTCTATAGCCTAGTTTAATGTTTTGTCTTTCTGCCCAGAGGTTTTTAGCTTCGTACGCAAAATCACAAGGCAAAAATAGTCCCCCATATAAGCAAAAAATCCTATTTTAATTTAACAATGAATAGGTGTTAGGCCTCACTAATATCTATTATTATCTCCTCTTTTTTTTAAAAATTCTCTTCTTTTTTATATTAAAAGCTACTTCAATTGCATCATTATATTATTTTAATATCATTTATTAGCATTTTTAATCAATTTCTTCACAGTATAAATGTTTGTTTTAATTTGAATAAGTTTAGTCTTCTTTCATTTACTATAAATTATTATTTATGTCTTATTTAATCAAATTATACTATTGCTTTTTATTATCAAATAAATACTTATAAAAAAATCAGACTATCGAAATTGTTTTTTTAATATTATGAATAAAATTATAATTTTTCTATGAAACTACAAAATTGATTTTTAATGACCGCAAATTATGAATGCGAGATAGCTCAATTTAAAAAAATAAAGAATATTTTTTTAATTTTAACAATTTTTCTTTAATAAAAAAAAATTATTTTTTTTAAACTAAAAATAAGAGCTTCAAAAAACGATTTAATTTTTTATTTTAATTTTCGTTTATAATTAATATAAAATTTAAATAATTGGATTGATTGATCGATATATAACAAATTATTTTAAATTAAAAATTATTGTTATTAATTTCTTATCTATATCAGTGAACAGGGCAGGAACTCTTCAAATAATCTAATATACTATGAACATCTTCTTAGGTACTTTCTCCACGAACTAAAGTGCAACCAGAGTAAACACCAAAATAGTATAAGTGATCATTTATACTTAAGTTTGGTTTAACAGAAGCAGAGCAATTTTAATCTTCCCCTTGTTTGCAATCAGTTTTAAATGATATTTCATCTACAATCCACATTTCCTAACCTGTGTGGTAAAAATCAAAGAATTTAAATGGAAGATGAGGTATAACGTCTTTTTTGTTAGTTATTCTTACAGAGTTATTTTTGAGTAAATTATTAGCATAATCAGAAAATTTTTAATTTCCAACTCTAGGTGAACCAAAAGTCACTAACTCAATTGAATAGTCTGGATATTAAGTCTTTATATCAACAGCTTATAGAGTAGCCAAAGCACCACCAAGAGAATGTCCAGTGATTATAATTGAAGCTTGAGGATATTATTTTATTAAATTTAATGCACACTCAGTCAACTTATTTTAGAAACTACTATAAATATTATAGATACCTTCGTGTACATTACATTTGTCACACTTCTAATAGTTAAATTTTCTACAATTAAGGTTACTCATCCAATTTCTTAAATTGTCACTTCCTCTAAAAGAAATAACAATATTCTAACTATCTTTGACAAAACCACAGTATCCTTGACCCTAAAGTTCTGTAGTTACAGTTTATGATATTGCCATGTTTTGATGTCTCATACAAGCTATTCCACAACTCCAGGAATTTATTTATTAAGCATCACAGTATGATACTTTTGAAAAAAAATAAATATCTTTGAGCCTAGTAATAGAGTCTTCTTCTAAATCAATTTTACTATTATTACCAGCAATAAGAACTACAGTAATAGCTACCAATAAAAGTCCTGCAAATATAAAAGAATAACTTTTAGAAAATCCCATAATTATTTATTTTTTTTATTTTTATTTATTAATAATAATAAAAGTTGATAGTTGCTTTATAAATAACATAAGTTTACATAAACAAATTTATTAATCTAATATTTTTATTCCATTAGCTAGTATGATTAAAAATATTAATTTGAAAAAAAATAGTTTTGAAAATTTTTAAATATTATTTATTGATTAAATTATTAGTGTATAATAGCAATTCTATGATTTTTATGGGAATAAATTAAAATCATTCTGCAATTATCTTAGATTTCAGTCATTAACTTATTAATTGCATTTTTCAATATCTAAATATTCATCATTTAGTTTCTATTTATAATTTTTATTTCCTTATGTTACTTTTTAATCTTATGAGCTTGGAAATTTTAAATTTTTGCTTTTTATGAATATTTAATTAAAGCTGGAAAAATTATTAACATTCAAGTACTTACATAAAAAAAATTTTTTATATAAAGTTAAGGTTGGAAAGTAGTAGGTATAAAACATATTTTTAGATAAAAATCAAATTCAATTTTTTTCAGAATTTAAAATAGAAAAAAATTATTATAGAAAAGCAAAATTATGGTAAAATAAGATCAATTATAAACATTTTAAGTTTTAGAATTAAACATATTTTGTGAAGTATAATAATAAAAAAAGTTTTAAATATTACTTTATTATCTTTTGTATTATTGAAAAATATTTATTATTTGCAAATATAAATAGGATATAAGCTAATTTCAACAATAAATTTATAAAATTTAGAGAAATTATATAGATATTAATATATTAAGCACACATTTTTTAAATATAATTTTAACTAAATATTTAAAAATTATTTATATTTTTATTAATTCAAATAAATAACATAACTATTTAATAGATTAATGTTATATTAAAAAATATGATATTAGTAATAATCTAGCTATTCCTCTGTAAAATCCTTATTAGGCATTAACAGCAAATATAAGATAGCCGATTTCCACTACTTTTTTGATACTTATCAGAAAAAAATTGATTAGTAAAAATAATTTAAACTTTCTTTTCAATTTAATAAGAAAAAATAATTGGAGTGATTCTAGTAATAATAATTTATTAAATTAGAATATTTGTCTAAAGTTATATAAATAAATTTTTTTCTTAAAATTAGGAAAAAATTGTCTTTATATTGTATTATAGATAATTAATATGTTTTATTATACTATTCAATAATATTTTTTTTTATTTTTAATTAAACCTGCTTACACTTAAAATATTATTATAAAATACATCAGATCTTTTTCTCTAAATTAAAAAAAATACTTTATATTCATTCGTTTTTTTTAGTTTTTTTATTTGTATTTAATTTATTGTTTTTAGCTTTTTTTGTAATTAAATAAATATTTTTTAATGTATTTAAAATATTGAATTAATAACCTTTAAATTATATCTATATAAAAAAAATAATTTTTTAAAATTTAATTAAGAATATCTAATTATATTTATTTGTTTACTTGTTTACTTCAAAAATAAATTTAATTTCGAGTTGCTATGAATAAAATATAATTTATTTTTTTATCAATTTGATTTAAATAAAAAATATATAAGTGAACTATAAAAAATAATATTTGAATTTTACTTGATCAAAAATTTGCTGAAATTTTAAAAACATGCTTAATAAACAGTATATATAACCAATTCATACAAACAGATATAGTATAAAGTGCTTTTAAGTAGAAGGAGTTTTAATTCATTAAAAGAAAAAAATCTATTTTTAAGTTAAATAAATTATCACAAATATAAGAAGTCGAAGTAATGTTGCATTAAAAACATAAATCATAAATTTTTAAAATTTTGCTAATTGCTAATTTTAATTATTTTTGCATTATTTAATTAAGTTTCAATGAGCAATAACATTGGATCAAATTAAGCAATTGATGGAACAAACAAAAATATTCAAAATTATGTGCAAGAATTAAAAATATGGAACAATAAACTTGAACAACTTAAATAGAATAGAGATATTAAGGATCGAGAAAACAAGAAATTAAAAATTTTAGGAAAAAAAGCTGTTGTTTTGATGAATCTAGGAAGATATTCTGAGGCGCTAGAAATTTATAATTATTTACTTAATCAAGAAATTGATTGTAAGACATATATTCATAGGGGAATCTGCTTATGCAAATTAAACAGAGATGAAGAAGCGATACTAAACTACAATGAAGGAATATCATAATATAATGATGCCTTTGAACTTTATTACAATAAAGGATATGTTTTAAAAAAACTAAAACGCTATGATGAAGCTATTAGAAGTTATGATATTTCACTATAATATAATTAAAATGATATTAGCTCACTTCATAATAAAGGAAATATTTATAAAATTCTCTAATAACTTGATAAAGCAATTGAGCAGTATGATGAAATATTAAATATAGATCCTTAAAATATAAATGCCTTAATAAACAAAGGTTTAACTTTAAAGTAATTGAAGAGAGATTAAGAAGCAAGTATTTGCTTTAAAAGAGCTCTAGAATTAGATAGCAATTCATAAAAAGTTATTTATAGAGAAACAAATTAATGTACTCTGTGTGATTCTAATTTATCATGCAATTTGATTTGAGCAGGTAATTTTGTTGTAAAAAAACTAATAATATACTGCTAAATTTCTTAATTGCTTAATTTCTTAATTACTTACTTACTTACTCACTCACTTACTTTGCCATCTCAGTTTTCAGAATTAAAATTTAAAAATGTATAAATAAAATATTTATACATATAAGAAGATGATTTTAAAACTAAAAAAGACTTACTAATTATTCACTACAAACTATTTATTAAACTATTTACAAACCATAAAAATCTAATTAATTAATTAATTTTTGATAATACCTGATTATAATAAATATTTAATTATCTATGAAGTAATTTTTTTTAAAATTGGCTTTATTTCGTTATATTTTATTTGTTTATTTGTTATATAAGAAATTATATTTATAGGATAGTTGAAAGTCAGATAAAATTTTTTTAAATGCAATGTATTTTTTAAAAAGAGAAAAAAAAATATTTTATTTTTTTATTTTGAAGATTGATTGATTCATAGATTTTTTTTTGACACTCTTAAATAAAGTATAAAAAAATAATTAATTTAATTGAATAATTTTATATTAAAAGTCTTTTATGAAAATTAAATCAAAATAAACAATTATCTACAACAAATGCCAGTTAATTTATGATAGTGATACAATCGAATTTTTCCTTTTTGAAAAAGAAAGAGAGAAAATCGTATTACAGTTTTAAACAAAAATAATTTAAATTTTAACAACTTTCAATAATATCTTCACATAGCATTATCAAATCTTATTAAAAATGATATAAATTAATATTAATACTATTTTATTCCTATAGTAACATAAAAAGATTTGAGTGATCTTTATAAAAAATAACTTAAGAGATTGCATTTTAAAAGAAAATAAAAATCTAATGAACATATATATAATTAACAAAATGAGAATAATACTGAATTAAAAAAATATTTTAAAATTGAACTATTTATTAATTAATTATTATAAATAAAATTTTATTTATCTATTGATAAATATTAAATTAACTTAAAGAATTTTTATAGTTCTTAATGATATATCATTCATTATAGATTGATTAACTTAAAAAACTTTATATTCTTTTTTTGTATTCAAAAATTTGTTGATAAAAATATTTAAAAGCATTATTTTTATAAAATATATAACCTTAAGAAGCAAAATTTTCCAAAAATGATTTAAAGAAAAGTAAGTTTCATTTATTATCATCTATAAACAAAATGCTGTTATTTAATTATCATCAAATACATTTATCATTTTTTACAATTAAACTAATTTTCACAGAAAACGTGCTGCTTTCTTTTCATTTAAATTCAAATATATTTATTTATTTATTTATCTATCTATCTTACTTTCTATTTATCTATCTATCTTCCTATTTACAAATTATAAGTTAACTTAATTTTTAATGATATTGGTATTTCAGCATTGACAGTTACTAACATTATTTTATGATTAAGGAGTTTTTGTATCGAAAGGAGTTGTTTCCGTATACATTTATTCAGACTATCTGCTTTTTTCTGCTGTTAATTTGAAATTATCATTATTTTATGGTGATGGAGAACCGACCTGTAAAGTGTCAAATTTAATTTTTTATGCACTGTCTCCAACAGTATTAATATCATTTAAAATTTTTTCTTTTATTTATCTAGCTGTTTCTTCAAATAACTATGTTATGTTAATATTTTCTTTTGCTGATGATTCAAAGAAAGGAATTTTATATTCATCAGCTAGAGCCTATCCTTCTGCTTTATCAACTTTTCTCTAATTTTCGCTTTCATCGCATTTATTTCCTACTAGGGTTATAATAATCTAATCTGGAACATGCTCTGAAATTTACTTAATCCAATTTCTGACATTCATGAAACTATTTCTATCAGTAATGCTGTATACGACAATAACTGCTTGAGCTCCATTATATATACTTTAAGCCATAGCTTAATATTTTTCTTGTCCAGCAGTATCCCAAATTATTAATTTAAGCTGTTTCTAATCTACTTTTATAGTTTTCATCTTAAAATCGACTCCTACTGTTACCATGTGAGCTGTTTTATATCCATGATCACAATATCTAAGCATAATATTAGTCTTTCCTACTGCACTATCACCAACTAGAAGTATCTTAATAACGTAGTCTACGTTATCTTTGAATTGCCTTAAATTTGGTTTATTCATCGCTCCTTAAATCTAAATATTTTACTAGCTCTACTTTTTATTATGTTGTCTTATATTTCTAAGATAAGTTAACTGATTCCCTTTGATGCTTGCTCTAAAATCAATTGATTTTCCTTTTTTTCAATCTTTAAGTTTATACCTCTTGAATGAATGCTTGCTTAATCTCTTACTTGGTTTTTCTTTTTTATTTTAATTAAAAAATTAGCTGCTTTTTTATAATTTACATATGAATACAATATTAACTTTGAGTTGAAAGTTTACCAAAATCCACAGCTAAATTTTTCTTTTAATTTTCAAATATATTTTTATTTTCATTAGTGCTTTTATTATATCCATAAAAAAAGCAAGAAAGCAAAATTTATTAGTTTGTTTGGATTGGATTGATAGCTGAAAGTCTCTTTCATTCAATTATTTATCTCTTTCTTTTATAAATCGATATTTCATCAATAATTCATCTATATCAAATTTAAATTTATTAATTCAGAAAATATCAATTACTAATGTGAAACAAGCAAAAATCTTCTATTAATTAAAAATAAGCTGTTTTAAATCTCTGAAGAAGTCTATATAAGATTACTAAACAAACTCTTTTTAGCAATAAAATTTTCACTATTAAATTCATAAAAGGTTGAAAAATACTTATTTATCATAAAAAATATTTTAAATTCACCATAAAAAAAACAAAAACTAATGTAATTTTTTAAAATCCATAAAGAAATAAGATAAGATATATAATTCAATTTATTAAAATATATTAATTAAGATACTAATTTTAATCTTTTTATTTTCTAAAATTTATTGAAATAATAAATCTAATCTGAATTTTAAATACTAATTTTACTGAATAGCAGTTTTATTAATCGAATAAAAAAAGATAGTTTTAAATTAGTTATTGAAATAATTAATTACATCCATTTATTTACATTCATAAATGAATTCAAAAAAGAATTATTTAATTTATTTTAGAAATAACAAATTATTTTTTTTAAAATAAAAAAATAAATTATAAAATACTTACTTATCTTTTGCTTAGAATTTCAGCTATAGGAAGGAGACTTTATTTTCAAAGTGTTTCAATTTTATCTTTTAGGATGCAAGCAAAGCGACATTACTTTAGAGATTATTTTACTAAAAAAGAATAGCAAAACAAAATGAGAAGAGGATTAAGTCATAACTAAGATAGGAGTTTTTCATGTAATTTGGAAAATGAAATATATTATTCTCATATTTTACTGTTGCTTTAAAATATACGCCTTTAATTAGATTTTTATTGAAGTATTTAATCCATAATTATCATCATTTAAATAGCTTAATTTGATTATAACTCTAAAAAAGTAAAATATAAATAATTATTCAAACTAAATAGATAACACACAAAGAGTGTAATAAATTAGCATATGTCAAACAAAGAATGTAATCAATAAAAATTTTATCCTACGCAAAGAACCTAATTTTTAAAAGATTATAATTAACAATCTAAAAAAAAATATTGATTATGATTGAATAAATAAAATTCTATTAAAAAGTTATTTGTATACTTTAAGAGTCTCTTACTGAATAAGTATTTTAAAAATTTATTTGCGCGTTTTGATATTTAATTTATATAAATGGTTTAGAGAAGTATTGCTTATTATTTATTGAATTGGGAAAAATAATTAAAAAAATTTTTTATTCATTATTAATTGAGATGTTGAATTTTTATTAAGACGTAAATAAAATTAAAACCATATCCCTTTTAAGATGGTTTATTATATTTAGGGATAAAAGAATTGAATTAGGTTAGTTTAGTTGATTAGAAATAAAAATTACCAATAAATTTTTTGATGAGTTAGTTTATGAATTTTCTTTTTTTATTTAATATTTATTTATATTGATTAAATAAAAGTAAATTTTAATTAATTTTTTGCATTAAAAATAGCATTAAATTTTTATGGGTATGAACAGTAATTATTTATGGTGTTTTAAATTGCTAATGATGACATTTGTTAAGATTATATTTAGTTAAATAAATTATACTATTTTGCTATTGGGAAATAATTGAATGAGAGAAGTGGATTCAAATTTAGATTTAAAAACTACTAAAAAAGTAATAAATTAAATAAAATAATAAGCTAATTTTGATAAGAAATCAAAAATTAAACAAATAAAACGAAATTAATAACTGAATTTAATGTTTAAGAAAATTGACATTTTTGGAAGTTAAATCTTGCTTAGATTCTAGGGGGAGCCAGCTTATAGTACTAGGACGGGCTCGGTTGTTACCCTTTTAATCATAGGCTTTATATGCTTTCGTTTAATTGCTATTATATAGGATGTATTTCTCAGAACTAGCCCACAAGTAATCTATAGTGAAAGGTAAGTCGATAACCCAGCTCCATTTGAGATATCAAGCTAGTCATTCCCTTTAGCATTTGGAATGGAAGATCCAAACTTTAGATACTACATAGATGAAGGTATTTATACAATTTAAGCTACGTATTACACAAAGACTCTTGTGCTCAATTAGACTACATAATAGAATGATGCCGTTTGGAATATCACTCATATTAAAGTGTAACCTTGCACTTTAGAAAATTTTAAGAATCCAGATAATTTAGATTATTATACCAGCTTATAATATTAAAATATGTATTGTCTTCCACCAGACATTAAATTTACTTTGCAAGGCGACTTTGTATCTCCTATTTATTCTTATCTTGAGATTTTGGTAGTTAAATGCAAAGAGAATTGTAAATCGAAAGAGGAGCTAGACCATTATTTATTAAATTCTAATTTTGCTATGCAGTTATCGGATTCTTTTGTAAATCCTTCAATTAAGTCAAATCCTTTTAAGATCTATTCAAGAGATATTTACTGGGCCACAAGCACTTAAATGCCAAAAGCTGCTACAGTGTATCTAAGAAATAACTACGTGCAAAGTGATTTTGGATGGTTTTTGCCTGATTTAACTACACAGCGTTATCCTGCTTATAGTTATAATGATGTTTCTGTAATCTCAATTATTATCACAAATCAAAAATTTTTCTTTTTCTAATTAAAAATTTATCAAATTTTGATCATTCAAAAAATTTTTTGGTGATTTTTTGTTTTTTAATTTTTGCTAAAAGCTTGAATATACTCAAATAACCATACTTCTCTATTATTATTAATAATTTAGGTTTTCCCAGACAACTTTTAAACATACTTCCTCAGCGTAACATTTAGATTTGAAAAATAAAAAGAAGGCTTTTATAGCAGAACATATAAAAACTTTAATAACATAATGTCAGAAATAGGTGGATTTACACAGAGTCTATTGGCTATCGGTTATCTAATTTGTACAAGAGTTTCGTAACTTCAACTAAATTAAACGCTTATCAATTAGGCTTTTAGCTATGAAGACTCAAAAGATGAGAGTGAGGAAAATAAAGACACTAAAAAGTAGCAAATTTTATAAAAACTTTAGCTTTTAAATTACTCTTAACAAAGTCCTTGTATGCAAAACCAACTACAAAAATCAACATAACAATAGAATCAACGATTTAATCTGAACTAAATTATGAAAAAAAGCTCAGATAATTAGAATCAGAATTTAAAAGCCAATTTAGATTATCTTAATAATCCTGCTACGAATTCGTAATTAAATGTAGCCAATTAAATTAATATTTAGTAAAACCAGTCTTTACAAATCCAATCTTTCGAATAGGCAAAGTAGTATAAAGATAATGAAAATTTTGATAGCAACTAACATGTGTTTAATAATAGAAACAATCTTAAATTAAGCAGCCCAGATAATAAGCAAACATCAAAGCAGCTTGATCAAAAAAAGATACTGAATTTCCTTATTCAAGATGTCTAAATGAGCGATGAGCTAACATAAGGAGGTAAAGATTAAGAAGTCTTAGACTAAAGCAATCATGTAAAAATACAAAAGTAAAAAATGAAAATAAAACAGTTTGAGCAGAAGCTTAAAGAAAATAGATTTAATGAACTAATGTAAAAAGAAACAAAATGTATGAAGATGAGCATTTGGGAGTACTTTAAATCAAATATTTATCCTTTTGGAGAGTTGAAAAAAAAGAAACAAATTATATAATACAGTATAGATAAATTGTATTACAATTTAGATATTTTTAATATTTTGAAAAAGCTTGTGGAGGTTGAAAAATTGAAAAGACTGCTTTTAGATCCTGAATAATTAAAGCTTTTTGATTATTTACCAAAACCAACTATTCATTCAGATTTAGTTTTAAATCAAGATTAAAACCAAGATACAATTAAAAAAAGCTATGAAGTGGACGTGCTTTATCAAGACCACAGGACAGAAATGTAAAAGGTGAGAGATGCCTTTTAGGCATATAAAAAAATAGTTAGCAAGTAAAACCATACAATGTTAGATCAAAAAATCATTGACTTGCTTGACCCTAATTTAGTATCTATCTTTTAAGCAGAGGGTATCTAAGGGTAAAATAACTTCATTGAAAAGTCAAATATTGAAACAATGATTCAGTAATCTAAAAACAATACATTTAGTTAATAAACACCAAAAATCTAGAAAGAATAAATACAAGGAGAAGCTCTACAAGAAATATCATTGTCAAAGTAGGATGAAATTATTGACAAACAAGATTTTATCAGTCCACGACTCATCATAGACTCTTAGCCCTTTTTGTTAAATACAAATTAATAATAAGGTTTATAGTAAGAGGAACCTAAATTCGAAGTAAATAATATCTTCGAATAAATGAGTAAATCTAACTAACAAAATGTTGTTGTAGATTAAATAAAAGATTTATCACAAAGTGTTTATAGTGAGATAGCTGCAGAGGAATCGTAGCAAATGCCTAATTATTTCTAAAGTAACTAAAATGTTTAAAAAGATGAAAGTTAATGAAAAAACTTAACTATTTTATTAGAAAATAAAATAAACTTCTTATAAATTAGTTTACTAAATAGGAAAAAAGTTATTTTTTATTCATTTATTCTTTAAAATAAAATGTATTTGAAGGTTTGTAATAATTATTAAGTATTGTTCATCAATTTAAGGTATAATAAAATTTTTATATTTTCATTTTTTATCAGCCTTTTCTTTACATCAAAAGAAGTAATTAAATAATATCTGACTGTAACTGAAGTTAGAAAAAAAAAATTCATAGCAGATTAATTTTTAAAATTTTTATTTATTTTAGGGCAGTAAAGTCGAAAAAAAACCTTTATCTATTTTAATTAATTTTTTATATTCTTTCAAATTACAGTTTACAGTTTGATTTTTTTAAAAACATTTGGAATCTTAAGTAATTAAAGATAGATGTAGAAACAATAGTTGAATAAAATAACAGCAGCCACAACAGCGTTTTTATATACTTTCCTAATATTAAATAATACTTAAATTCTAATATTTGTAATTGAAATAGTTTAATTTTTTTCTTTTAAATTCAAATATTTATAATTGGAATGGTTTAATTTTTTTATTGTTTCCTTTATAATAACTTGGTTTAAAATAAATATTCAAAATATAAAACTAAAATATCTAATTTAGGAAAATAACATGCTTTACCAGATATATTTAGAGTTAAAGATTTTAAAAAAAGTAGGTTAATAATTATAATACCTTACATTTCTTTGTATTGCATTATATCATTGAATCTAAATGTAAAACTGAGAAAATTATATAAATTCAAAAAAAATTTTTTTAAAAAGCAAGATTAAAGTTTTTGTTAAGAATTGAATATTTAGTGAAAATAGAAAATAAAATTGTAAATAAAAAATAATTTAAACTCAAGCGCAAGATTATTATATATATTTTAAACAACTTTAACGATAAAAAAGTATAAAAAACTTTTCATATTATTAATGAATTTCTTTTTCAAATTTTTAGATCATTAATTTTTATTATACTTAAAATAATGATAATTCTTTTATTTAGCATAAATTAAATGTAAAATTTAATATAATTGATTTTTTTATATTAAATATGTATGGCATTTGATAGAAATTACTTTAGGAAATTGTTATAAATAATAGCTGTTTGGTATCACTTGCTCATAATAAATATACCTACTTTATTTTAAATATAGACATACTTAAATAATTAAACTATTTTATAAACTAAAATTTGTTTGATCTCTGAATTAAAATGTAAGCTATTAAATAATATCTTAAAACTAAAATTTTCTTATCCTAAAGAATGAAATAATATTATATCTTCAAAATACTTCTTTTAATAACTATTTAAAATTTTTGTCTTTTTAGAAAACTCATCAATATTAATATGTAATATTCAAATTTTAAAAGAAAAAATATTATTAATTTTTTCATATAATTTTACTGGATTTTGATTTTTTAAAATCTTCTTGTTCCTTTTTTTAAAGATACAAGAATAGAAAAAAACTGAGTTAGTTAGTTAGTAGTAAAACATATAAAAATTATAGCAAAATAAAAAAACTAATATTTTAATATTTTATAGGATTTAAATTATATTTTTTTCTTGTTCTTTTCTTAAAAATACTTTTTTATTATAATATATTCGTTTTTCATTTATACATCTTTTTCATTAAGGATCAATTAATTCTTTATATATTTGTTAACCTACTAATTAGAAAAGCTCTCTAACGTTATGGTTTTCTTTAGCAGATACTTCAATATATTCCATATTATTTCTCTTTGCTAATTATTCAGCAGCCATAGGAGTGGCATATCTTCCTTCCTTTTAAAAATCACATTTATTTCCAACTAAAACTCTTACTATTTAGCTATCCTAATTTTCAAAATTTATTTCTTATATCCATTTCTCAACACTCTCAAAGCTTTATAGATCATTAAAGCTAAATATAACTATAACAGCAGCGGCTCCTGAGTATTAAGCTTTATTTGATACACGATATTTAGGTATGCCAGCAGTATCCCATACTTAAAATTTCATAATGTTATTGCCTACTTACATAGTTTTAACTTTGAAATCTACTCCAATAGTTGGAGTATGCTTTTCGTTATATTATAAACCTGCTATTCTCCTCGATATTTATGTTTTACCTACTCCTTCATCACCTACTAAAACTACTTTCACCATGAAGTCGTACTATTCTTTTTGATTTTATTATGGCTATGATATTTGAGACATTTTTTATTTTGTAGTTAATTTCTAATTTTATATGTGTTTCTTGTTATTTGAATAAACAATTAATTTAGTTAATAATTATTTTGATTAGATATTTACAATTAAATTTTTGATTTTAATTATTAAAATTTGTGGGCTCTTTTGTATTTATTTATTTAGAAATATTATTGATTAATCATAGAAATTAATGAAAAAGTAGTATAATTTAATCTATTTTATATGCTTGAATATTAATAAATTCTTAAGAATATTTTTTAAAAATAAAAATAGATTGATTCAATAAAAAAATTATTTATATTTTACATATTAAACTTTGTCTTTAAATTTAAAAATATCTATAATATTCTTCCTACTAATTATATTTTATATTTTTTATAAATAATTAGATTAAAGAGTATTTCAAATAAAAATATGTAATTTTAATTCAATTTTTATATTAATTAGGTACTTGAAAAAGTAGATTTATTAATGATTTAACTAAAGTTTACTTTTTGAAACAGCATTTAGTAGTATAGTGAGTGGGTATTCTTTTTATAATTTTTAGCTCAAAGATAAAGCTAAAAAATATTATAAAATAGATTAGGTTTTCAGAACTAATTTGTTTTTTTATTAACAATTTTTAAAATTAAAATGAGTTATTAAGTAACATTTAAAATAATTTGTACATTTTTTAAAATTTTTATTTGTTTTTTTTAATTATTAAATTTGTTTAAAATATTTAAAATTTTAGTTAAAATATCATAATTTTTGTAGGAATTACATTTATGTTTAGATGGATTTACTTATTTATTTGATTGATTGATTTTCTAATATAAATAAAAAACACACACATTTTAAAAATAATGAAAGAAAACAAAATTTTGTTTTTAATATTTAAAGCAAAAAAAACTATTGATAGTTTGTATAGTAAGTAACCAAAATTTTTTAAAGTTCAGCTCTCTTAGTTTAATCAGCTTTTAAAGAGAGGATTGGAATTTGAGAATCTATAAGAATGATCGTTTAGTTATGCATTTGAAATAATATCTGTGTAAGGATCGAAAATTTTTTTCTTATTTGGAGATTTGCTCTTTGCTTTCATCAAAATAGGATTGATTATAGTTGATTTCTAGAGTTGATGAGTTGAAAATGGAATTGTTTCGACTATAAATGAGTTATTAACATTTGGAGCAGATCCTATAATCTTTTGTGATTACTTTAATTGATTAGGAAGTAAAGAATTGTGATTGAAAGGGTTTATTTTTGCATTAAAAGAATCTTGCAAAACGTTTGTATTTCTCATGTTATTTGCAGCATTAGTAGTAAATACTTCACTTGGGTCATAAGAAGCAGTGTTTGTATGACGTAACTATACTATATCCTAAATAATTGGGCTCTAATTGTAAAGCTATTAAAATTATTGATTCACAGAAACCTATTAAGGAACATATCCTTAGAATTGTTGTTAAGGGTTTACTCCAGATACTGTTGCCAAATTCATATTGCTTGGAGGAGCTCCTGCTTAGAAGCCAAGCTGCTATTATTGTACATGTGTTGTATTGTAAAGGGGCATTTATTATTATTGTATTTAAGATTATAATTGTTCTTGTTATTGCTTAATTATCTCTTATTATTGTTAGATAATACGCTTTGCATTAACATCACTAATTTTAGATAAATCTATATCTAAAAGTGCCTATTAAGATTACTTTTAAGTAGGTGCATTTGGATTAGCTAACACTTTAGCTCCAGAAACGCTATCAAAAATTCCATTTTTCTTTGGCTCAACGCTATAGAATTACCTTTAAGAAGTAGCTCTTTTGAAGAATGGATCAACACCAGTCATATCCTTAGGATCTACTTTTGGTAATTGATAGTCTGTATAATTTATTTGATAGTTCTTTGTTGAAATAATATTTGAAGGAGGAGGAGCTACAGGAAGAGGAGAAGTAGCTGCTAGAGGAGGCTTGTTCATAAGAGGAGCTAGCTCAAAATATTGCTCTGGTATGAGAGTGTAAATATTTGATTCGTTAGGATGATGAACGATATTAATATTTGATTTTAATATTTCAGTGAAATGAGGATTTTCTTTAATAAAAACAGGTTCATGAGGGTGATTTTTTTCCACTATTCTTCCTTGTTTATCTTTAAAGTAAACCTTTTAGTTAGAATTCTCATAGGGATTTCTAGAATTGTAAGTGACGGCTGCCTAGCTTTGTAATATAGATTAATTCATATTACTGGCTGAAGTAGTCTGATTTAGTAATTAGCTACGGTTTGGATCAGCAACAGTGCTACGATTTACCTCATGATAAAGCTAAACTGAATCATACTAGGAAGAATCAGCAGGAGTGAAATAAGGTAAGACTGGTGAAAAAAAATCCTTAAAATCTTAGAATGATATTGTTTCACAGATTTCTGGTTTTTTCATACGACGAAGAAGCCCAAGATATTAGTTAGGAACCATTTAGTTATTTGTTCTTTTTATAAAATTAAACACAGCAGAAAAATCTAAATATCCCTTCTTATCTACATCTATCAACTCAAAGAAGTTAAGAATGGTGTATTGCTAAGGATTATGCTATAATTTTAATTTCTCTTTTTCAGTAAAAGTGATTAAATTACATTCTAAATCGAAAATCAAAACTAGTGATTAGATAACGCTCAGAGGAGGTAGAGTTCCTTTTTTTCCTTTAACGCTTTGAACAGTTTAGGTCTAAGCTGGTTGCTAAGAAACATTTTCTGTTTCAAAGATGACTTTGCGCTTAATTACTTTCATTTTTGCTTGAGGAACTGACTGTGAAACTGTCATTTTTAAGAAAGCGTCATAGCACATACCATTAGTATATCCTATTTAATCATAATACTTGATAATGCACTCAAGAACTTTGTCTGTATACTCAATAGAGTAGAAATTTAGCAAAGCTAGCAATTCTGAATAAGGAATATATCCCGATCTGTAGCTATTAATTTGGCTGTACTCCATCACATCGTTTGGACTAATAGAAAAATCAAAAAATGACTATGTTTTCTAAGTCTCTTTGATATGCTTTGAAAAATTCTTTAAAAAATTGAATGCTATTTCAGGATAAAACTAATTATTTTCACTAAGCTTCAAGCGCTCGTCTTCTATTTTAGATTCTGCTGCCATTGTTGCTAAAAAAACAAGTGACATTCTTTTTTTGATGTCAAAATCCTCACTTTCTAAATTATTTATCGTAGTTTGACCTACAGAAATCTAAGATCCACCTAGTTGTACTCCTAACATATCTATCGCAGTAAGATGGCGTATATTTATGAATTTTTACTAACTTAAAAGATTTAAACTAAAATTTATTAACTCCTATTTTTTTATTAAATTTTTTTTCAATTTAAATTTTATGCTATATTTGATGGTATTATTAAAAATATAATTATTAATGATAGATATTGAGATCTCTTTGTTATTTTTTATTGAATTACAAGAATAAATGCATAAAGTTCAATCAAGCTGGCTTATTATTGTCAATAAAAAAATAGAAATAAATAAATATGAAAGTACTTATTGTCATTATTTTTTATTTTGACTTATTATTTTTATTGATGCATAAAATATATCTATTTATTTATAAGTCTGCCTGCCTTAAATATTGATCATTAAATTTATCAATTCAAGCTCATATTATTTTTATTTTACTTTTTCCAAATATTTGAATATTCATATCTAAGTAAATTTTTATAAATGCTAATTTAGTTAAAGTTGGTTATGTTTCAATTTAATCATAATTAACAATTTTATTTGATAAAAATAACCAGTTTTTACACCAAATTTACTTTATTTAACAATAATTTATTTAAATAAAATAATTATTTAGATTATTTAATTTAGTTTATTTTTTTGAATATAAACTAGTAGAATAAAAAAATTAGATTAAAATAAATTCTTATTTAAAGATTAATTTTTAAAAATATTTTATCTAGTATTAATATTACATATTTAAATTTATTCCATTGCAACGACACAATTATTAAATTAATTTGATCAGTTAAGTAATATAATTCATTCAGTATAAAATTTTTAGCTAAATTGAATCATTCTTTTTAAAAATCAAGTACAAGAAAATAAATCTTTTTATTATTAGGTATTGTTAATGAATTGATATTTTGATCATTTTGAGTAATTTTTCAGTCAATTTAATTATTAAGAAAAGCAATTTATATATTTGAAAAATACTATAAAATATATACTTTTTAAGAAAATTTTTTATAATATACTTTGATTACATAATATTTATTATTATTACCTTTTAAAATAACTAATTATCTTTGATATTTTATGAAATTGAATAAATTTAAGGTTAAAAATAATATAATTTTTTTTGTTTAATATTACTCAAAATTTGTTTAATTAGTCTATTAATAAATGATAAAATAGTATCAGCAAAACTATTTTTGGTGGAAGAGTAAAGCATCATCGTCGTAACTATATATTGATGGAAATGTATCTGTAGTTTCGTAGTTAAAATATTATCAGAAACATTTAATCTAAATATGACTTAATTTCAATTTTATATTCACATCAATAATCCTAATGTCTAATGTGAATTTAACTCTACATTTAAGAATAAAGGACTTATTATTTAAAATAAATAATTAAAAAATAACAAATTTAATCTCTATAGATTATATCTAACATAACTAAAACAGATAAAACATTAAAAAAAACAATTATCTAATTTATTAAAATTCTAAAATGTAAATCAGTTCAAATATTTCAGCCATTATCAATAACTTCTAGAATTCATCATACTTCATAAAAGCTCTTGACCATAGTGATATTGTAAATATTTGTTTAATCAAGTAATTGAATCTAAATTCCACTTTTAAACTCTCAATAGCCAGAAGTTAAAAACCTTTTAAAATCTCATAATCACCCTGTGAGTGAGCATAATTTAGGATGTAAATAAAAAGATTATAAGAAATTCGTTTATAAATTGATATTATTTATAAATAGTAATTATAAGGGATATGTAAAGAGAAAGTCCTGATACATTTTATTTAGGTAAAACTATTGTTTATAAATTAATCTTCTTAATAAATTCACCTTAATTTTTTTACACATTAAAAGTTGTATATGACAAGATCTCAAAATAGTTAATTGGTATGAGCAATTTATGGTATGAAAGAAAGTATACAAGAGGTTTATGCACTCTATTACATATTGGATAGATATTTGTATCGTTGACAGTACCTCCAACCCTAGCAGCTGATGTTGAATATTTGTAAGTCAAATTTATATTATCAAATCAGTCTATTATTAAAATCAAATTTAATTAAGTGTAATCTTTAAAATATCTCTACACTTTATTATAATATAAATATTTATTATAATACAAAAAAAAATAACATAATATTTCTCAATATTACTAATTTAATTCTTTCTCATTTTGATAAAAAGTTAAAAATTTATTTATATTAAAGCCTAGTAGATAGCTTAACATAGTTAGGAATGAAAATGAGAGATTGTTATAAATCTACTATGCACATTCACTCAGATAGATCAGCTAGATATAAATAAGTATTTTCTATTTCTACTAATTAAATTATTAATTACTTGATAAAATAATTAATATTCTCAATAATTTTTTCTAATAAATTAAGATAAATTACGAAAAAAGCGAAGTTCATATGACTCTCTACCACTATGTCAAGCCAAAATAGAGTCTTTGAAAAATATTCTAACTTTGAGATAATATGAATTTAGTTATTAAAAATATGTCATAAAAATTATCAATTTACTAATAGAGTTCATTTAAAATAAATTAATGAAGGTCATATTATATAATAATAATTAGATTAAATGTTTATTTAAATGTAACTTAAGTACTGATTAAATATTTTTGTAATGTATTAAATATAAAAATTCTTTTTAATATCAACAAGTTTTTACATTAGATTTATAAAAAAATAATTTATTTTAATTTTATGTAATATTTTAATAAATTAAGTAATGTTAGATAAAAATAGCAAATGCTAGATTATTAATTTTATTAATAATTTCACTAAAAATAAAATGAGAATTAAATATCTCTTTAATCAATGAGCTATAGAAATATTTTTATTTTTAAAAGCAGTTTTCTTCAAGATTAACACTTAAAATAAATTAATTTAAATTTCTAATTTAATCTTAAAATTGTGTTAAGAATTAAATAATTTAGATGAGACCTATATAAATGTTAAATATTAATTTGATTAATTATTCCACTAAATTTCATTGATTATAATATATTTAAATTATGAAATAAGAAAATATCTTAATATTATCAAATAGTTTATATTATTTTGTTTGATAGAAAACATTTATTATTATTTATATGATATTTTTAATACTTAAAAAATAACTATAATGATGGATATTAGATAACATGATAAAGATAATATTTATTTGCTTTGTAAATAATTTCATTAAAACTTATTATATATTAACGTCTTTGTGGAATCAATCGAATTAAATGTCCGTCCTTATATCATTTGAAATTGATTTTTATAAAATATATAATATTTGTTTGTTTAAATAGGAATAGTGGTATTAAACAATTTTATCAATATATTATTTCTATATTATGTATATTAGTTTATATTAAGAATATTATTAAGTATTAAATAAAGTAGATATAGTAGAATATAAATTTATTCTTAAAATGATTTAATTTTTATTGACAAAAATAAAAATATATAGTAGCAAATATAAAGTAAAATTTAGTAGAAATTAAATTTCAATGATTGTAGTAGTAATAATTAGTTAGTTAGTATATAAAAGTATTTTCATATTGATTATTCATTTTCGATTTAAGATCCTTCAATTTGTTGTTGAGAATTTAAACTATTATAATAATTCTCTTGAATATAAGATAAATAAAAAATATTTTACTATTTAAATGCTATCAAGCTTATTACTGTGAAGATGCAGAATAAAAAGAAATAAACAGTATATTTAATTAAACTTAGATATGTTTCAATTATCCATTTACTAGTATTTATAAAGAAATTTTAAATTTAGAAAAAATTTTAATACTTACATAACTAATATTATCTCGATAGCAGTCATAATTAATCCATTAAAAAATAAAAATCTTATTAATTTAGAGCTCATCCAGACAAAAAAACTTGAAATTGATCTATTATTTTATATTTCTTAAATTCCCTAATTTATTTTGCAATTAAAATCATTTGATATTATGAGGAAATTTATACCGAAGGAGAAATATCAATATCATTTATTATACACAAGAAAAAGCAAAGTTGACACTATATTACAAAACCAAGAATCAAATACTTCCCATAGTTTCTATAAATTTTAATTGAAGAATCTCTTATTAAACTCATTTTTGTTTGTGTTTTATAATTTGTTAATAATTTTATAATTAATTTAATTAAGTACGCGAAATACATTCAAATCTTTTTTGAAATTTAAGATATCATTCAATACTAACATAACAACTTTTAATAATATTTTTTATTATTCTAAAATATCACATTCATAAACAAATTTAGACACATTTTTTGTAAAAGTGTGTCTTATATTATAGTTATTTAAAAGGAGACATAATATCTAATAAACAACCAAAGGAATTTCTTAAAGTATATTAATTAGAATTTCTAATTTTTTATTATTTTCTAATTTTAAGTAATAAAGCATAGATATAGCTTGTGTAATTTTTTAAAATACGATATGAATTTTATTAATCTTAATATCTTACTTTTAAATAAAAAATATTTTTTTAAAAATTTTATTTGTTATTTATTGAAAAATATATTTTTTTATTTAAGTAGCAGTTAGTTTTTCCTAATTAGTTTAAGTTGTAAATTAATACAATTCAATAATCTTTTAATATTATTTATGGATAAAAAACTCTTTTGAAAATCTTATCATTATTATTTTTAAACCTCAAGATGGTAGTAATTTGTAAATAAATTAAATTTATTTGATATTTTTGTTTTATTCATGCTAAATAAAATAAAAAATTGACTTAAAAGGTATTTTAGTTTCTGTTATTTAAATTAAATACTAAATTCAAATTAATTTTTAGACTATTAGGAATTAATTTTATTATCTAAAATTAAATAAACAGTAAATAATTAATTTAAAATTACTATAAATAAATATATTAATTATAATTATGATAATATATTTTATAATTAATTACTTTTAATTTATTTATTTGTTATTATGAATAAATGATAATCTGATTTTTAAAATGTCTACTTATTTACAAGACAGCTAGTTAAAGAATTTTTATAAAATTGTTCATTAGAGTTCAAGAAAATTTCAGAAATCTTCAGTCTAAATTTATTTAGTGATACTCGCAAAAAAATTTTAGAAACAATAAAAATCAAATAGAATTAACTACTTTATCAAAATACAAATTACTAAATAGGTAAAAATTAATTATTAAAAAGATATGGCTGAGTAAAAGGAAGAAGTTATTTTAAATTCAGATGATGAAGATTAATATGGTTTGCCTGCTTGCGGGTCATCAGGCGATCCAGCTCATAAGTTGAAAGTTTTTGAAACTAAAAAAGATGACAAATGTTGCAAATCTTTAAAGAAACCAGTAGAAGGTGGTGATTGCAAATCATGTGATTGTGATTGTAAAGAATGCAGTTGTGAAAAGAAAGATAAGGAAGAAAAGAAAGTTGATGAATCTGAATTAGATGAAGCTAAAAAGGGGAAGAAAATCTGTTATAAATGCAAAGAATAGGAATCTCAATACAAGTACAGATAAGACTTTGCATGCAAAAAGTGCTTTGAAAGCAATATAGATCATAAATTTAAGGTATATTTGATTTTAGAAATTGTGACAATCTTAATAAATGAAATAACTTTTACACTTACCATTTTAGATAATATTAATGAAAATTATATAAAATAATTAGGCAAATTTGAAGTTAAAGATTAATTTAGGTAGAAATGAAAAATGTTTAGTTTGTGTTAGTGGAGGAGCCAATAGTTTAGCTCTAGCCCAATTAGTTTCTAACGCTCTTCATAACTCTATGGGAAAAAAAATGTTTTTTGAAGCTGAATTATTTTATATTGATGAAGATATTCTCTATAAAAAGGAAAAGTAAGCAGAAAATCTTGAAAAAGTAAATAAAATGGCTGAATTATTGAAAATAAAGTTAACTATTGTTAAGTTGACAGATATTTACAAAGATATAGAAAGCGAAGCAGAAAGAGAGAATAAATTACTTAGTTTGTTAAAGCAATTCAAGGCTATAGCTTCTTGCTAAGAAGATTTAGTTAGCTTCTTCAAAACCTAATTATATTTGGAATATGCTTTCAGAAATAACTTTGATAAGGTTCTTCTTGGTAACTGTGGTTAAAGACTTGCCAGTAAAATTTTTACTCTTTTTACTAAAGGAAGAGCAGCTTCTTCAGATAACGAAATTTAATTCATCGACAATGTCAGTTATGATATTCTTGGTAGATTCTTTGACTTACATAATGAAGATAATAAAGTATATAGTAAAAAAATCCTTGGTATTGGTAGACCAATGAAAGATTATCTTAATAAAGAAATTATGAATTATTTACATTGTATGGGTATCCTTAATTTATTAACTGAAAGACCCTTCTACCTTTGTGAATAGGAAAAACCAAATCTCAAATTACCAGGATATGGTAATTTAGACAGAATCATGGAAAATTTCATTGATAACATCTAAGAAAACTTTGTTTCAACAGTAATTTTAAATTTTTTTGTTAATATTTTACTTATTAATTTAAATATTTTAATTAGACTCACACAATCCTTCACACAAGTGAAAAAATTATCAAAAAATTTGAACCTCAAAAAGGTTTATTACAAAGATGTCCTCTTTGTTTCTAATTCAGAGATAAAATTTCTAATGTACTAGAAATAGAAACATTTGATTCCAATTTGACACATTCTTTAGAAGGAGAATAAAGTGATGGTGTTAGAACATAAGAAACTTTAAAATTAAAATACTTGGAAACTGATAAAATCAAAAACAGAGATATGAGAGAATTAGTGCTCTGCTTCGGCTGTAGAAGAATTTTGTAAAGTCAAGTCAAGGACGAAATAAAAATTTTTGAATCTGATTTACTACCAAATCAAATAGTTAAACGTGCTTCATACATTGCATAAAATACAGATATTTTAAAGCTTTTCTGAAATTAAAAAGTTTAATTTAATTGTTATAATAAAATCTATTCCCTAAATAAGTTAAGCGTATTTATTTTTTTACTTTAATTCAAAATCATTTCAATAAATTTAAATAAAGTTTGTTATTGTTCTCTATTTACCTATTTGTCTATTATAAAAGTTTATTTTGAAAATAATTATTTCTACATATTCTTTTAATTTTTTAGTAAACTTTTAAAAAATTAAACACATTTTCATTTTGAATTATAAAATATTTTATAAATTAAAAATTGTTTTTTTAGTTTAAATTCAATAAAAACCATAAATTCAAAATAATAATTAATTATATTTTTAATAAAGTTAATTAAAAGTTAGAGAAAAAAATATAGAAATTAAAAATAAAATTCATAAAAATTTTATTGTGTCTATGTTTTGTTTCTAAAGTTCACATAATACTTAAATTATTTATGATTTTTATAATTAATTAATTAATTCAACAAAATTTTAAATAAAAGAAAAAATAAAAATGCAAAAAGAAACAGAATATTAAAATAGCCTTAAAATAATTAACAAATTACTCCAAACAAAAGAAAGAATTAAGAAATATTAGATAATTTTATAAAAAAACCTTCCAAATTTTGATTAATTTGATTATTACTCTCATGATAAATCAACAGTGACATTTATTGCAACAGACTTACTTTCTTAAAAACAAAAATGTTTTAGAGTCTTAGAAAGTTAGTTTCTAGAAATGATAAACAATTTTTTCTTAAGTGAGTATATTTAATTTTATTTAACTTTGCTCAATTTATACTAATATAGGTTAATTTTCAGAGTTTGAAAATTCAAAATATGAAGGAAGCAGCATATTTATTGAAGGTTTATCAATTTAAATTATAGATAAAGAGGAATGTAAATAAAATGCATTAAATTAAATTAAAATAATAATTTTAATAATTTTTATATAAATAGACATAGCTTCAACTTAAATATAAAATTTAGATAATGTAAGTTTGAAATTAAAATTAAATTATAAAATTAAATTCAAAATAATTAGTTGGATGAAAACTCATCAAAATCTGCTAGGATTGTTGAAGTAATAAAAAAGTATTTTGATGCAACTTTCTATTTGCTATCATTTTTTTAAACATTTTTAATTTTTTTTAATTTTAGGAATTAGACTTTAGGCAATTCATTTCTTAGTGAAATTAGTTCGAAATTGAATTAATGCTAAAAGTTAATAATATTAAATCTAGATTTAGAGTAAACATATAATAATAAAATAATGATTAAAACACAAAAATTTTTATTGTTAGAAATAATAAAATAGGCGTATCAGAAATTTAATAGATAGCTTAACTATTATCTAATCTTTGTTAAATTCAGCAATTAACTCTTAACTTGAGGTTCAATTTAAAGATCAAAAAAAAATTATTTATAAAACAATTCAATTAATAGTCGAAATCAACTAGGATCATATGGATCTATTTAAATAGGTAATGGTATATCAAAATGTGTATATCTGACAACTTTATCAATTGATTTCGGGTATTTTTAACATTTTTTATTAATTATATTTACAAGAATTAATTAAATAGTTGGAATCCTATCGGCTATGAAGGAGCAGAAAGACTGATACAAGAATTTTCAAAATGCAAAAATCTAGCAAATTTAAATCTAAACTTAAAGTAAATTATAAAAATATTTTAAGAAATTGTTTAAAATATTACAAAATAACAAAAAGTCGTTGCTCGATTGGAGCTTTAGGAATATGTCACCTCTCAAGTTAGATATAACTTATCAAGGGATTGTCAGAAATAAAGCTTCATCTTTAGTAAAAATTTATTTTACATAAGTATTAACTAGAGTTAAAATTTTTTAAATTAGAGGAAATTCAAATGGCTAGGATATATTTTCCACAATTTCTTTTGAAGTATCGAAGTGCATTAATATTCATACCATTTATTTGGATTTATCGTAAATATAATGTAAAGTTAGCACTTCTAATTTAATCAATATAAATAGATTTTGCTATTTGGGAACTAATGTTACTTTAGATAATATAGGAATCGAGCTTTCTAAGTGCCATAATGCTTCTCATATATATTTGAACTTACAGTATTTGAAATCACCAGATTTAATTTAATTTATTTTTTATTTATTCTATATTGTCAGGAAAAATCAAATAGACTTATTTACTGCAGAAAGCATTGGATCAAACTTAGAAAAATGCATTTATGTGAACACTTTGCATTTAAACTTAAGGTAAAATGTTAATTAAGTTAAAATTAATATTAAAAAAATTATTAATTGTAAAAGTTACAATTAAATTAAAGGATCTTTACGTTGTGGATTTGATTTTTCTAAAAGAATTTATCTAACAAATTTAATCCTAAACTTCAAGTAAAATAATTCTATTAAATCAAAAATATTTAAATATTTAATAAATTAAAATAGGTACAATCAGATCGAATAGTTTAATTCAAATTTAATTAAAACTAAAAAATCTAAAAGGTTAACTTAATATAAAATAATATTTTGATATTTTAAATAATTTATCAAATATTATTTACAATAATTAATGTTTGCTTATTAATTAAATTAATTTTACTTTTATAGAAAGAAATTAATTTTAACTGATTAGAAAGAAAAATTATATTTTTATTATTTTAGGTTAAATTAATTATATGTTTTATTTAAGCAATCAAGCAAGCGCTGATTTGTATTTATTTTTAGTGTTCTCTGCATAATAATTAAGTATTTATGATAATTTTATATTAATTAAGCATAAGATTTTATTTGACGCACATTATAAGCTAAATAGATTTATTGATATTTATTTAATTCATTCACCCATATAAATTAAAGTTTTTCAAAAATTTTTTTTTTCAAAAAATTAAACAGCAATTAATTCATTATATTTTACTGACATTTAAAATTTTTTGTGAAATAAAATGGAAATATAAATTAGTGAAGAAAGGAAAGCTGAACTTCTCAGAAAAGATAAAGAAGAAAAGGAGAATAGAAGAAAACTACTGGAAAATGGAAATAATGGATATTAAGATTTATCTGAAGCTAATTAATATAGCGGATATTCAAAGTAATTTAGTGGCTCTAGATTAAGGGATCAAAATGATAATATTGATACCAATTAAGGTGACATAAGTGGCAAGATGGTTATAGCTAGTATCCTAAATAATAAATATTAGGGTGATAATAAATAAAGTGAGGGTTTATTTGAAGTTAATCACTAAGAAAATGAAGATTATGAGAATTATGAAGATATCATTCAAAAGGGAAACGATCCTAACAGTCACATTGATTATATACAAAATATACAACAAAAAGATACAGTTCCTAAATCTAATTTTTAACAATTTAATAATTAAGTATAATATGGAGTAGAATAATTAATTTAAGAAAAGCTAAATGCTAACTAAGGAAACCTATTTAGTTTAGATCAAATAAAATAAAGACTTCAAAATATTCAGTAAAGGAATGCGGATATGAAATAACAATTCTAATAAAATATATAAAATATCTCAACATAAAATGAACCAGAGACTTAAAACGCTTATTAGATGCAATAACAGCAAGGAGGTTAATCATAGTAATTTTAGCCCTCTTTTGTGAAGTATATGAATCCAGCATCAGCTTTACCTCCTCATCCCACATAGGCAAGAGTTGAAAAAAACTACAATTAAATGCCTCTATCAAGAAATGAAGATAATTACAATTAAAAAGAAAACTAATAAAGTAAATCAGCAAAAAAGCTAACTTATAACACATACTTGCAATAAAATAAAGAAAGCTCACAACAGTAGCTCCATGCAGGCTAACTTACTTTCCAAGGAGATTAAAATGAATAATATGAAGAACAGAGATAAAACACAGAACAGTATTAATTATTTAAAAATATTAAACTAACAAATTTATAAACATATCCATCAATTTTTAAATAAATTTTAAAGATTCTTTGACTAATTTAACTATTTTTTTATTAATTTAACAATAATTTTTAAAAATAGGAGTTTGTATGAAAAAAAGCGTAGTAACAGCTACACCTAAAAGAGGACAGAATAAGAATATATTTAGCAAACTAAATTCCCATTTAAACCCGAAATTAAAGAAATCCCCAAAAATATATATGGAGATTGTGATAAGCTAAAAATAAGTAGATAAGAGTAATGGGAGAGGCTCTTAAGAGATAAAATAGAAACGCTTACATCTCGTGAAAATTTAAAAATATTATAATAACAAAAGGAAATATCTGAAAACTGTACTTTTGTTCCATAGATCAGCGATATTTCAAAACTCATTATGGCTGATAAATAAGAAAATTAGTAAAAGCTTCAAATTTATTGTTTTAAAGATGTAGTATAATTGTTTTTAATATATAAATAGACCAATTTAAGACAGACTTTATGCTGAAGGTTTAAAAAAGTAGTAGGAAAGAGAAGAACTAAAAAGAAAATATGAAGATTCTAAAACATATCCATTCAAGCCCAATATTGAAGAAAGTATAAAAGCCTTGAAAGGTAATGCAGCTTTCACTAAGCCTCTTTATTAAAGAGTAGATGAAGTAGTTAAAGAGAGGTAAGAAAGTCGCCTCTAGCTCTAAATGCAAACTTAAAACGACTAATAATATACATTTAAACCTATTTTGAACCCAAAGGTAATAATGAATATTTTAGTTTATTGATAAAAAATCTTTTAAAATGATTTTAATCAATTTTTATAATTTATAAATTATTAAGAGTGAAGTTATTGCCAAAGATAAAATTGATGGAAAAAGTGTTGTTCAAAGATTGTTGGATGATATTCAAGAAAAAGAGTAGAGAAAATCAAAAATTATAGAAAACCATAATCATTCAGTAAGCTAAATGTGCACTTTCTAGCCTTCAATAAACCCATCAAACAGAGATGATGATGAACAAAAAGACTCTGAATCATATTAAAAGAGATAAGAAGAATTTGTTTAAAGATAATATTTGATGGCTGATTACTTAAAAGAAAAACTAGAAGCTAAGATAAAAGAAATTTATAGTAACAGCGAATATACTTTCAAGCCACAAGTCAATTAAGTCAGTAAGTATTTGATTGAAGCTGATGAAGAGAGAGCTACTGAAACAACAAATGATAAAATTAAGAGACTACATGAACAAGTATAGTTTTTTTAAAAATGATGAGATTAAAATAGTAAATATTTTTCAAAATTAAAAGGACAATTTGAAAAAGTAAATTGTACAAGAACAAATTCAAAAAGCTTACTATGATCAATTCTAGTTCAAACCAGAAATTAACCCACTTTCAAAGAAAATAGCAAGAAAAAGAAGCTTAGATTCCCTTGCCTTTGACAAAGATAAAAATTAGAAGAAGAAAAAAATAAAAGAAGTAAATTTATTCATTTTTATTCATGAAATTGTTTTATAATATGATTAAAATGTAATAAAAATAAGAAAGTAGAAAATGAAAAGATGAAAGAATGTACTTTTTAACCAACTGTAAATAAAAATAAAAAATACAACAACTTAAAATCCCACTACGCAGCTGATAACATCTAGCAATCGCTTAAAGAGGAGAAAGAAAATAAAGAAAAACAAATTAATTAAATTAAAAAGTAAATTGAGTTATTTAAAAATTAACTAAAAAAGATTTATATTTTAATAGATAAATTGAATATGAGGAGATGAAAGAATGTACTTTTAATCCTGTTACAAAGCAATTAGAGAGTGTTGATTATAAAGAAAAACTTCAGAATATGAGAGGTATCGATAAGTTCTTACAACAAAAAGAATTAGCAAAAAAATAGTAAGAGATAAACAAAAAGAGAGAAGAAGAGGTTTTTAATGTTAAAGATATGAGTTAATACAGAGACTCAAATAAAACAGTGATTTAACCATTTAAATTGTCTAAAGTAAATTTTTTTTAATTTCAAATTTATTAATGAAATCTTCGTTTTCATAATCAGGGTTTTGGACCAATTTAAAAGAAACCAAGAGCTGATTTCTTGTAAGAATGCACTTTTTAGCCTTAAACAAATGAATCGTAAAATTAATTAAGTTATTAAATAAATAAATATAATTAAATGTAATTATTTTATTAAATAGCAAAAACAAAGAAATTATTAAAAAAATAATATCTAATCAAAATGGGCCAAATAAAGGCTCTAAAATGAATAATAATGAAGTCAACTATGAAAATTAATATGAGCAAGTACCAGAAATAGAGGAGATAAACTACGAGCTTTAAAAAAACATGTATAAAAACCTGCAAATCAACAATTATTCTAATAATTATGAAAATGTGGAAAATATTAACAAAAATATTCAATAACACATTCCTCGCTAATAATACCAGAATAATTCTAATTAATATTCTATTTATAGTTAAAAAAACTGATTTTTAATTAACATTTTAATTTTATCTCATAAATAATTAGAGATAAGTTTTTGAAAAGTTCAACCAAGTTTATGTGTAAATAAATAAATAATTAATAGACTCTGCGTTAAATTTTAAATATTAATTAGTTTAAATTAATATACTTCATTTTATATTATACATTTAACTTTTATAAATACAAAATTTTAAGCTATGTGGCTAATATATTTATGATTATTAAATAATATAATAAATTTAAAACTAATAAATAAATTTTAATTTCTATATTTCAAGCTTTTTAATGATATTTTAACTATTTAAAATGCAAATTTTAATTTCAATTTTATTGTAAATTCTCATATATTAATAAAATCCTCCCCATATATCATATACGAGAATGGCAGATTGTGAGGATAAAAAATTAAAAAAAATTTTTTTTTTTTGATAATCCTTATTCATGAGTAAATACTGTAGTTTATTTTTTATTTTGACAATAATTTTAAAGCTACTATTAAACATTTGTAAGATAATATTTACTCTTTATTATACGATAATGGTTTGAATTTAAACTTATAATAAATATTTAAGTATTGATATTGTTACATAAAATAAATAAATATTTGAGGAGAATCTATGATAAGATATAAAACTAAGAAATTATTTATTAAAATAAAATAAAAATATCTTAAGATTTCATGAGGCAATATATCAAATACATAAAAAATGAGAATGATTTGATATACTTTCCATTAATAAAAAATCTTTTTAACCTAACTTAAAAATTTTTTATGAAAATGTTTTTTATTTAATATGAATTATATGCAGTAGTATTATTTATAATAATCAATCTTGGTCTATTAATTAATTGAAATTTAGTGGATGATATTATCTAAGAAAATTCTTTGGCTAGCAATTATGGAATACAACTTTACGATCTAAAATTTGAGAAATTTATCTATTGATAAAAAAATTTGTACTTAAAAATTTACTATGCATAATTTATCGTTGTATCTATTGAATTGCTTGATTATTAATCATGAATTTAACATTATCAATTTTTCATTTTAAAAATTTTGTTATAAATTATTAATTGAACTTAATATCAAGCTTTTATCAAATTACATAAAATGGATTTTAATTTTAAATTCAATTTATTTATTATTTGACATGGATAATTGGGGGTTGGGGTTG